TACTACACATTTAGCACACCTAACAGGTTGTCCTGACCGGGAAATATATCAGTGGAATGACTAAAACCACGTTTTAGGGAACTCGCAATCATTTGGCCTAGATGACGCACAGACCAGCCCTACTATGCACATCCTACTAATCAGAGGAAAGTATTAAGGCTAAAAAAAAAAAAGGTTCTTCTGTTGTTTCTGGCGTCAGGGGTTAATTCTATCGTGCGCCTAACCTTTTGTGGCATGGGAAAACATGGGAGCATGGAACCGATTTAATCCTTGGGGGGGATACTTCGTCGCGTGTACCGCTCTGTAAGTAAGCCGTACATAGCGGGGCGCGCATGTGGCTCCCGCCTAATACGTGCTGGATATGCCTGTACTAGTAAAATACATACATGTACTACCTAGTTCGTACTAACCCTGGAAGGCGCTCGCGAAATACCTGAGTACGTTACGACGGATACATTGAGCCCCATATAAGCGACCCACATGCTACAAGTAAGAGTAATAGCGCTAGACCCTCGAGAAAGTTTAACGTTGATGACTAGATTGGGGAGGTACAATCTCTTACGATCTATTTTTGTACTATATACCTGGTATTTCGACGATGATGACCGTCCCGCCGAGGTTCCCAGCACCCCCCTCAGTTGTCTTCTTTGCTGCTCCATCTGAGCCGGGTACCTAATGCGTGAACGTATTTTATCAGGCGAATGACTGGACCACAAGTACCCTGCTTCGTTGCTAAAGGTATTTGAAGTACCACTTCTTAAGTTGTTCGAACTCACTAGAGGGAAACTGATATCCTTCTCTACCTTCGACTACCCCCGTCCCGCTTCCCAATTGTCCCATTCTATGCCTTCAAGGAACTCCACTCGCTTTCTTTCTCCTCTCCTCCTCAGTCTCAGACTTATTTTAGTTTCTTCTACTTAGAATCGATCTTGTTATATTGACCATATCCTAATGTTAGTATCTGGCCTACTCGCGCCTTACCCAAAAAGTCTCGCTCTGTTTTCTCTATCTTAATGGTAGTTTTTGATGTTTGATGGCTGCAATCTCCCAACCCTCCCAAAACACATCACTACCTAGACACGACCACGAGCCTCGTCCACGACCATCCCGCACCAACTCAACCAGCAACGCCGCCGTGCATGCAAGAATCCAAAAGCCGCCCTCCGCTTCTATAAGAAAAGTACCCTATTCGGGCGATCCGACTGAGTCTGCTACAGATAGCCCGGTTGTGGTGTCCTCCAACAATTTTCGTCAACACCAACCAAGTGCCTCGACCGGCTCTGCTTCTCTCGCCAAGAACCCGAAGTCTGGAGGGCTGTTCGCTTTTGCCGCCGCCGCGATTGACAAGACTATTGCCAACATATCAGAGCCTACCATCCGCAGCCGTCCATCTGCCTCTGCGCTCAGTCGATTGTCGGTTGTGCTAGATTCGCCCACGAGCAGCGAGAGTTCGAATTCGGACAGGTCCAGAATTCGCAGCTTTTCCAGCAACTCTTCTGGCCCATCAACCCCGTCTCTATTGGGGCCACTTTCTGACGCAAAGCGGCCGAGTCAATCGTCGCTGAGGGATCCTATTTCGAAACCCTATTCCGAGACAGACGCAAGCAGACCCCCTCCCATCTTACTGCAGGGCTTGGAAAACAAAATGCATCAAACCTCTTCTAGGTTGCTCCGCATGACGGATGATGACCGCCCATTCACCAAAGTAAGTTGAAAAGATTTAATGAATACTATGCCATTGGCAATGTCAACTTCGACGGTTACGTCTTTGCCGCTTCCGTTTCTTTGGGCGGTTTGGGCAATTTAATCGGGAGTTTCTCTTTTGATCTGCTACTAATAATATTCGAAAAGGATTTCAAAGATCTTTTCTCCACTCTGATCGTCAGTTTGCTTCCGTTGTCTGCTCATCGAGTACGATTAACGCGAATCGAACACACATTTTTATCAGAAGATGCGATTAATAACTTGGGCTCGTTGAAATTCTCCCAATCCAATCGAATGCCTGACCCAAAGGATCCGTCGCGCATTGTGACAACAACTACGACTACAACGTTCTCTATGGCGAAGGATATGGCTAGGTCGATATGTCAACGCTTCCTTGACGCTAGGTTCATTGAGTCGGCCGATGGCAAAATGCAACAAGTCTACACGATGAAGGGCTCTGTATGGCAATTGACTCCGAAAGGAGTTTGCGTGTTGGATCGTTTCTGTTCGAGGAATGGCATTCAACAAAGACAGATCAGCGACCTTATCGCCCTCGGGATGAGTTATCTGTGCATCTTGGAAAGAGACAGCCAGACAGACAAGTTGGTCATGGATCGGGGAACAATGGAAGTCATCTTCAGGAGAATGATCGGTGCTAACGGTCTGAATGTAAAATCGAGTGTCAGCGCAGCCGACTCGGATTCGCTGAGCGACTACCGGGATGGTCTTACGGGTGTGAAAATGGCCAGTGAACGCAAGATAGGAGGAAGGACGTATAAAGATACGTTCACCGGTAAGGCGTGTTCTGACTGGCTGATGGATTGTTGCACCACAGTCGATCGTCGCGAAACGTTTGAGATGGGTACCCTTTTTGTTCAATACGAGCTCATGGAGCCTGTTCAGCAAGACCGAGTGTACATGGCTGCTTCGTCAGGCAGCAATCCATTCCAACCTACTAAAAACGCTATCTACCAGTTGACGGCAAAGGGGAGAGATATCCTCAGCGGCGGTTCAGGGAGAGGGCGCACGTCCGAGAGCGAAGGAATGGCATCGTCGCGGACAGGAATTGCTAGGGACTCCAACACACAACGTCTTGATAAGATCCTGAACGATGCTGCCCTGCGATTGCTATTTAGAGAGAACCTGCGAGAGACTCACTGTGAAGAGAACCTGTCGTTTTACTTGGACGTGGAGGATTTTGTGTCAGGTTGCCGTCAAGCAATCAAGCAGGCCCAGAAGAATCCCGGTGTGACATCGATGGACGGAATCAAGGAAATTATGGCGCAAGCGTATGGCATTTACAACGCGTTCTTAGCGCCGGGCTCCCCTTGCGAGCTGAATATCGATCATCAGCTGCGCAACAATCTCGCCACTCGTATGACGAAAGCAGTCGGACAAGATGTGACCATGATTGACACCCTACACGAGGTGACGACTCTTTTTGAAGATGCCCAAAATGCCGTTTTCAAGCTGATGGCTAGCGTAAGTAACGCTCTAGGGAAGTATGCACATCGTCAATTGCTGACCTTTTTATAGGACTCTGTACCCAAATTCTTGCGGAACGCGAAGTATGAGCACACGTTGAAGAATTATGATTTCGATTCAATTGTTCTTGGAGGACGCGGGCCGGAAAGAAGCCAGAGTCAGTCTAACCGGAAGTGATGGCAACGATGATTCGGCGCATTTTCGAGCTGGCCTGCGTGGACCAGACATTCTATTGTAGTCCACTTTAGCTTGGATGACCGACCCATCTATTCGACAGCGATCCCCGACGATTTATTCTACTTTTCTTGCTAGCGCAACGTCACTTTTGAGCGGCGTTCGATTGCGAAGACCTAATAGCAATCTCTGACATTTTGGTTCTCGACTAAGACTTTCTTTGTTTATCTGGGCGGCGTTGAAGGAATAAACCAGCATAGACACCCATCGGCGTTCTTAACCGCACATATCGAGTGGCTCATCTGATTTTTTTACAGCAAAGGGCGAAGCAGAGCAGCCAGAGTGTATATTGAAGGTCTTGGCTCAAGATGTGGGTTAATTCCGTCTTAAAACCATTCCCATCGACAACCCATACGACGAAGAGCTCGAGGTGCATCAATGAGCAATCATTGCTATCAGTGAATTGGAATTGGTAACGTTTGGAGGCATTGCGTCGGAGGTCTACAACCTTATAATTATCACGGTGTTCTTGGAGGAGGGATAGAGATGACGGACATGGACTGTGGTAGCCTTTGCATCGCCGAAGGCATACACAGCCAACATTTTGTGGATATTGTTTGAGCGGTGGAAGGATGCGTTCGGCCAAATTGTCGGCAAACCTGTACATACGACTTAGCTGGCCCGCAGTACGCTGAGGTTCTCGAAAATGGAAATCAAAATAGAACCAGGGAGGCCCCTTTTCCGTAGCGAGTGACTGGAACGTGATCTACGCATTGTCTGAGTCGTTCTCAGCTGCAACCGCCTTGTTGACTCCCTAAAAGGGTGGAATGGAATCAGGGCCGTAGTCGACTGCAGCGTCTCTCGGAGCATTCCAAGACACGAGGGATGGGCTAAGTCCTGTTTTTGTTTTGTTTGTCTCTCCTTCTCAACAAACCTATTGGCAGCCTTCGGGTATTGCCTGTCTTATTACAGATTCTCCCGAGTTAAGCCCATGTTCTTTGTTCTCACCCGTCCCCTATGGTCTTTTTAAGACGGCTGATCTCCCCTCGTATAGCTCATCTTTTTCCCTACCTTATACTCCCTACCTTAATACTCACACTTATATCCTCGTCGTTCGTTAATTGCTGCGTCTGTCACTCGCTCATAAGATAATCATCAAATTTTACAGACGATTTATCTTGACCTCTTACACTTAATCAAACCAGACCAGCCGCAACAGTAAATCTACGAAAATGTACCACAAGACTGCCGCCCTCTCCGGCCTTGTCGCCGTCACCGGCGTCATGGCTGGCAACGACGCATACAGCACTAGCGCTCCTAGCGTGGCCACCTACCCAGCTTCCACCTACGAAGCCTCCACTTCCACGTACCCGGCTTCTTCGCAGACGGCGCCGTACCCGATGTCGCACGTCTCGTACCCGGCCAACACCACGGCTGCTACCTCCGTCTGGCAGTACTACAACACGACCGTCCCCACCACGGTCGTCGTGCCCGTGCTCACCACCGTCTGCCCCGAGGCCACCACCCTGACCTACAGCGGCGTCCACTACACCGCTACCAAGGGCCAGACCATCACCATCACCAACTGCCCTTGCACCGTTACTACCGTAAGTTCCTTTCCCCCGCTCCGATGCTAAGAAAGATTCACAAATACTAACAAATCCTCATCCACAGGCCGTCCCAACCATGACATCATCCCTCTGCCCGCCCGGCGTAACGCCTAGCGTCATCGTCCCGGGCATCCCGGCAGGCACCACGCAGACGGTTGGCGTGGCTCCCGCCACCACCCCCGCCGGCGCTCCTCCTGCTTCTCCTTCTTCCATGGTCTCCGTCGCTTCCGGTTCTTCGCCGGAGAACACGGTTCCCGCCGGCGCTGCCCCGGCCGTCGGCTCGACCACCACGTACGCCGCGGGTGCTGCTCCCACGTCCGCTAGCGTTAGTGCTGTCCACGGAACTTCGACTGCGTCGCCGAGCGCGGTCGAGGTGAGCGGTGCCCAGAGCCTTGGTCTCGGCGGTTTGGGCGTCGCTATGGCGGCGGTGGTTTTGGGGGCTTTTGCTTTGTAAGGAGCTTAAGCCGGAGTATGAGTACGATCTAAAAAGAATTTGGGATACTAGAGAAAAAAAGGGGGGGGTTAGGGACGAGATAATAATGTCTATTTAGAGTCCGGCTTTGACTGTTGCTACTACTACTATTACTACGGCACTACGCTACTATTTCCTTTGTAAACTTTTTCTTTTCCTCAACTGTATTTCTGTAGATGGTCTGGGGAAGGGTAGGCGCACCGCTTGGGGTTATCGGGATCGGGATTTAGGGGGCATACGGATAGGGTGGAACGGAGGCGTTTCTTGTCGCTGTCGTCGGGTTATTTTTCTCTTGTCATGTACTTGCATACTTCTCTATCTACCTTGTGTGTAAGCACGCCCGAACTACCTAGGTACCTACATTGGGACTATCCTTTAAAAAAAACGGGTTCAATTAAAAGCAGAACTACATTCCTTAACTGTTTCGTGCTATCTCCCTTCTTTGTGTCTCGTTTCCCAATACGGCGAGCCCTTGAATTCTTCCCCTGTAGCCAGGGGTTCCGCCGTCTTGGTCTCGCTCAGGCGGGTCGCTGCTTTCGGTCGTATTGTGGGATGGGCGAGGTTGGGAAGCAGCTGAACTACTACGCCGTCGTCCCTTAGGCACGTGGGCTAGTACGTTCCTGAGGTTTGGCGCCGCGGCGATCTACGGCGCCTATCGCGCGGGTCTTCATAGCTGAACTTACTATATTCGTTGGCGACATAGCAGCGGAGTTTAGTGTCTTGATCTGATTACTGAACCTCCGTATGCCATAATATTCAAGGTATGAATACTAATCCGGCCCTGAATTTGTCTATGTCTAGAGATCTCGATCTCAATGATACCTTTCTTTTGATACAGCTCATCTACGCTACTTTGGCACTAAGCAGATTTAAATGGTAAGGCAAATATGCTTATGATATCATTTCATTAACCGTTCGCCGGTGCTATGCTACCAACATCTTCTTGTACCCAGGTGGAAAAGCCATCTGTAGGCTTTGTTGCGTAGCAAAAAAAATTCCTAACGCCTTCATGATGGACCGTTGTTGTATCAGATAGGTCCTTTTTGTCCCTAGTAGTACAGGAATAGCAAATTACAACCTCAGTGCTTATGCGCCATAAGAAGTTCGCGGAGAACAAGTAGAATCGTGATGGGGTAAGGTTGGAGCCCAGGCTACCTTTAAGCATCATCGGTGCTAAGTTTTCTGAGGCTTAGGCCGGGGTTGTGGTGAGAGAGTACATGGACAAACCAGAGAAGACTATTCTCATATCGACGAAGGAGCTTGATCTCGTCGCCAACCCTTGTTTCTCATGTTAGCCTCGATCGACTTCCAGATGTGCTCCACAATCTCCCTGTCCCTCCATCGGGTCGACTCGATGGACGCCTGTACCGGCTCCTTCCATGGGTCTATTCCGACGCTCATAACGCGGTGTCCCCAGTTGCGGACGGCTTCGGGGGGCTTGTCCGTTCGCCAGCCGACGTAGACGCCGAGAACGTGACGGAACAGTTCGGTAGGGTTGCTCCACTTGTAATTCTTGAACTGCCAGCTCTGGCCGGTCGTGAAGACGGCGACTACGCGGTTCCAGTACTCGGGCTTGAACTGCTCAGGGCCCTCGACGAGAATGAATCTCATAGGTCGATTCGGGTCGATGTCCTTAATCAGACGGTTAATGTGTAGCATACTCGCACCCGTGCTAGAACTAGCAGATAACGAGTTCGGAGGAACGTACTGGCCATTCTCGAGAAAGGACTTGATGTTCGTCATGCGGAGGAGGGAGGAGGCGGAAGGGGAGAGGAGGATGATGGGGTCGGGCCGGCGCGGCTTCTTATGTGTCGCCAGTGTAGGATTGTTGGGGATGCTAGAAGTTGAAGCTGATTGCGATTTCTTGGACATTAAAGGCGCGGCAAGTTTGCGTACGTGCGAGAAGTCCTAGGTAGCGGCGCGTTAGTTGTTAATCTCGCCAAATACGAAGCTGTAGACCTTACCGTAGGCTTGATACCTCGAAGCACACTGTTTCGATCTCCCATCTTTCGCTCTCCACTAAGTGTAACTGCAAGTCGCGGGTCAACCGTTCCCTTCCCAGATCTTCCTCCCGTAGCAGCTGCGGGAGCGGTTGCTCCCTTCGAAGCTAGAGCAGCGACAGAGGTCGAAACATCTTTGTCTCCGGCCAGGAATTTGATGTATTCGGTATGATCGCTAGCTCCCTCCAACCATGTGATCAGATCCAATCGTTCGACGAAGAGAAGATTGCGAACTTGGCCCTTGTCCCCAAGCTCTTCGTTGAGTTGCGCGACGGATGCATTGTACTCCGGGATCGCGTTTTCTCGATTCAACCAGGCGAAAAAGATGCTGCGAAGGTTAACGAAGGTCTCATGAGAGGAGAATCTCGTCTGAGCGTCGAGGGGAACGGAAATACGCTCGGGCAACAGGAAGGTGAGGTGCGTTGCTTGCGACAAGGGAACCTCTTCAGCTGAATCGTCGTCAGACGCGGTTGGGAAAATCGTCTTTTTCTGCGTGATTGCTTGGCGTAGCAGCAGAAGAGGATTGCTCTCCACAGCAGCCATTGTCACAGATGGCCAGTTCAGACGTGCTACCGTGAAAAATAGTTATTAGAATGACGGATGCTGAGAAAAGTGATGTGCAGGTTGCGAAATCATTGAAAGAAGCTCGGCCTTGAAGCTAAGCTTTGCATTACAATCATCTACGAGGCTGCATGTCGTATTCATGCATATCGCATTCAAGCATCGACGCTCGGACCATTTTCGGGTACATTTATGATACTTTTAGAGTGATATCTTGTGATAGAGCATATACGGTTAGAAGCACAAGAATATTCATACAAGGAGATAACCTGGTGAAGTCCTTCCCACAGTATGGCTATTTTATGGAAACCATGGGATATCGTGGCCTTTTTACTATCAACCTTACACTTAATTAACCTCTATTCAGCGTATTTCCGCTTCCACGGGGATTCTGTTCCTTGAATTCATCCCACTCTCGCGCCTTCATCGTTTCAGCGTCCGCTTTTTCGATATTATCCTCATCCGGCTCTGGCTGCCTCATACTAGCCTCTCCACCACCCTCGATAATATTCCCTCTCCTTCGCTCTGCGTCTAGGTATTCATCAATGCTCATGGTAGGGAGATTGTGACCTGGACGAAATACTCCCTTCTGAAGCTCTTCTCGGTTAGAAGTGAGAACGAAAGGTCGTAGAGGCTTTCCTTCTTTGCTGAGAAGCGGGCCGTTACTTGACAGGCTGCTCAGGGGTAGATCCAACCTGTCCGAGTATCCTTCGTTGTTCAGTGATGCCCTGCGACGTCTCTCATCATATTCGACTGTCTTTTCTGTTTGCATCAAGGGAATCGGCGCATGCGCCAGTATCTCCATCTCCCGGTTGATACCCTCCAGGCCTTGAAATGCCATATGCGTGCAGAAAGCTATGTTCGTGAGATATAGTTCGCGGACAGCTTCCTCGTCTCCCCCATCCTCTAGATACCGTGGAGAACTTTGCATGTACGCCAGCTTGTTCTTCAACTCCTTTTCCATCTTGAAGTTGGCAATCTTGGCATTTCGTCTAGCCGAAGGATCGGTAGTTGATATTGTAGAGAAGGTTGCAGGGTCTTCATTGTATTCAGTGAAGAGCTTTTTGTCTGATGAAGATAATATCGAATAGTTGTCAAGAAGATGCAGAAATTGTTCATATCCCTCTCTAGTGCTTTTCAACACCGTCTTTCTTCCCAGAGGTGCTGCTGTTGTGACCTTTTGAAGTAACTCGGCGATGCGATAATTAACCAATAAATAAGGGAGGTCAGATGTAGCAATGTCCTCAAGCTCTTCGTTAGGGCTGAATAAGGAAATCTTATTGATGATTTGAGTGCATTCGTGATACAGCTCTATAGTATTGGCTAGGTCTTCCTGGTATGTAGGCGAGTTTGCCTCGTAAGTACCTTCCAGTGCTATCCGTTGTTTCTCGGCAGCCTGAAAAACCGACTTTAGTGTCCTTGACTCTTGACTCATGATCACAGAATCACAGATGGTGGAAAGGTATGGTGGTATAAGAGGGACGTCCTTGGAAGTGAACAAGACAAGGAAAGCTCTTGATCGGTGTGAAAGTGAGAAGCGGCCAAATTTCCTTCAACTTGTGTCGGGAAGTTGCAATTTGTAACGTTTTTGATAAATGAGATGAGTGATGAGATCAAAACGTCAGCGGCACCAATCTACGTACTGTATGTAGCAGGGATTCTCCAGATCTAATAATTCAAAAAGTGGTCCGGGCACCAGATTTAGAGTACCTAGTCGTCGCGTTAGATACATATCTTAGTCGATAGTTGTTTGTTGAGTTTATTACGTAACTATACATATTGCATCTAACGACACGACGTCCAAGCTGTAGAAAATTAAGCAAACTATAAAGACACAAAATTCAAGAGGTCATCTATCCATGAAGAAATATCGAAATATTGATACATTTATATGGATGTCCCTATAAATATATATGTTATGTTAGCGCGCAGAACGACGATGGATACCTACCTATGAACTACCGACTCCAGGTGTGCGTCATACATATACTACGGGAGGATCTATTATTCACTCATGCTCTACTCGATGTGAGCTCTGGTAACTGGTAAACAGTGTTTTACTCTAATATTATGTGAAGAAAAGGATATCCAAGCCAAACAGTTAAATATAAGCAGGCACAAACAATGACAATGCTTTGCTGTATTAGTAAGTATAGGTGAACTAATTATCCAAGGTAAAATGTGATTCCTTCAATTGGCTGAAGTCATCTTTAACTTCTGCCAAAAATCTCTCGGCATGATGGTGAACAGCACTGTCAGAACAGGCATTTTCAATGAGAGAATCTAACTTTAAAAGTATCTAGGCAGTATTGGGTACGAAAGCTCCAGGTACCCAGTGCCTACTGATCAACCCCTTCCCATTTCTATAGATCTTTTACATATTGCAGTCGCTCCTTCCATTACATATATGCTAAAAAGCTTAGGTGCCCTCAAAGCAAACCTTGACATGATCAAGCTTACATAAGGTCGCAATAATAACTTTACTAGATACATCAACTCTTACGGATATGTATGGGTTTGAAACTCATAAGTCATAAACCAATCTGTTCCTCATTACAAGATGCTATCGCCAAATTCACTCGGGGGCGTTAGGCTTGCACCTAGCCCATCGCGTTCTCCAGCGACAGAAGCCAGTTCTCCGACGGACGTCGATGATGATTCTGGCTCTGAAGATGACCCTTCTCACACAGAGGCCCCGGAGCCTCAGAGGGGGGCACGAAAAGTACTTGACAACATGCAGTTTTCTCAATTCATGAGAACTCATCAGGAGAAGTTGATTAATTCAACTGTTGGCCCGGATATTAAGCTTGATGAGAAGTCTATGTATCTGCTCGTGCGAGAGGCAGAAAGCGAGAAGATCATTTCGAGTCCCAGAGAATACCAGACTGAGTTATTCGAGAGAGCCAAGCAGAAAAATATCATTGCCGTCCTTGATACCGGTACGTCCACCTCGCTATACAATTAAAATATTCGATCGTATATTAACGAATAGTTTAGGGACGGGTAAAACGCTCATTGCTGCGCTTCTCCTTCGTTATACCCTTGACCAGGAACTAGAGGACAGAAGCGTTGGCAAGCCGCCACGAGTTTCTTTCTTCTTGGTATCTATTACCCCAATAATCGTACGCTTAATGCTATACTAACATATCTATAGGTCGACAAAGTTGCATTGGTCCATCAGCAGTACGAGGTGCTCAAAGCTAACCTTGACCATCCCGTCCATCGATTCCACGGACATCTTGGTGGTTTCACACTCACCCGCGATTTCTGGCAGAAAACTGCGGCGGAGAGTATGGTGATTGTTTGCACTGCGGAGATCCTACTCTCGTGTCTTCATCATTCGTTCGTCAAAATGGAGAACATCAACCTTCTCATATTCGACGAAGCTCATCATACAAAAAAGAACCATCCGTATGCTAGAATAATCAAGGATTTTTATGCTTCGCTAGAAATAGGAGAAAAAAGACGACCTCGGATCCTAGGTATGACTGCATCACCTGTTGATGCTAAAACAGATGTTACTTCCGCTGCCGCAAAGTTGGAGGGGCTCCTGCATAGCGAGATAGCCACAGTAGCCGATCTCTCGATCTATGCGAAGTCTTCCATTAACCGACCAATCGAAGATTTCATCGAGTATACCAGACCGCCGGAACCCTTCGAGACCCTCCTCTGGCAAAAGTTGCATAAGTTGGTCGGGCACAATGATGTCTTTAGAAGACTGTTCTTCTATTCAAGGTGCTGCACTACAGAATTGGGCCGCTGGTGCGCGGATCGAGTTTGGAAGATATGCCTCACCGAGCAAGAAGCCCAGAAGTTGGAGGCAAGGACAGAGAAAAATTTCTCGTCTGGAAAAGTGCAGCTTCCAATAGCCGCCCTTGATGCCGAAAGATCGGCCGTCAGGGAGGCCTATCAGATAGTGGCGAACCACTCGATGCCCGAACTCGATCGCAACTCTTTCTATCTATCACACAAGGTCGAGGCGCTCATTGAGGCGCTCCAAAAGCATTTAGATCCAAAGGAGGATAAGTGCATCGTATTCACAGAACAGCGCCTTACTGCCATGTTGCTAACCGATCTCTTGAAGCAGCCGAGTCTAAATATGCCTGATATCAAGCCCGGCATGCTGGTAAGCTTTCTTAACATAGTTTACGAATACTCTTGTTGACCAAGGTGTAGCTAGGAGCGAGCAACGACTCAGGGGACATGGGGATGACGTTGAAAGACCAATTCGTGACCATGTACCAATTTCGAAATGGTGACATTAACTGCCTATTCTCCACGAGTGTTGGAGAAGAAGGCATCGACATCCCCGACTGCAATATCATCATCAGGTTTGACCTTTGCAAGACGATGATCCAATATATTCAATCAAGAGGTCGAGCACGGCGCAAGGACTCAAAGTTCTTTCATATGGTTGAATTCACTAATCAGGGTCAGGTACAAACCATCTTTGACAACGAAGATAGCGAAGTTAGACTTCGCAAATTTTACAACACGTTATCTGAAGACCGAATTCTTACCGGCAATGATTATAAGATAGACTATTTTCTCTCTCAAGAGAAGAGCCTCCGCACCTACATCGTGCCTTCAACTCGCGCAAAGTTGACCTACAAAATCAGTCTTACGATTCTAGCCAACTTCGTCTCAACCCTGCCACGACCATTGGACACCATTTATTCTCCGGATTATATCATAAGAAATGTTGGCCGTGAATTCGAATGCGAGGTTCTTCTACCAGATACTTCTCCAATCAAAAGCGCAGTTGGACGTCGTGCAACGTCCAAACAAGTCGCCAAGTGCGCGGCAGCGTTTGAAATGTGTCTGCAACTAAAGAAAAAGAAATACCTCGACGACTATTTACAATCAACATTTACCAAAAAGCTCCCGAGCATGCGCAACGCACATCTAGCTATCAGTTCCAAGAAACGCGCCGAATATCCTATGCGTACGAAGCCCGAAATGTGGGATAGCCGAGGTATGCCGGAGAGGTTGTTTCTGACGGTATTGAAGATGACTTCTCCAGAGGCCCTGGGAAGATCATCAAGACCTCTGGCTATTCTTACGAGATGTCCACTCCCGCAAATAGCCAAATTTCCCCTATTCTTCGATCATCAGCGTACCTCGGACGTGGAATGTGTGCCCCTATCTGCCATCTTAGAGGTAGAACACGAAGATATCGAGCAAATGAATCATTTCACGCTGAAGATATTTGATGAAATATTTAGTAAGGAGTACCGCTCGGCACCGGAAAAGATGCCATATTTTCTTGCGCCCCTTGTACATCCCCACGACTACGACTTTACTAGTATCGCCAATGACGCCCGCACTATCATCGACTGGGAATGTCTTGCCATGCTTCAAACGACAACAAGATATCTCGATCCAGAAAATCAACCAGATGAATTTTTCGAGAACAGGTTTGTCATTGACCCACATGATGGTTCGCGTAAATTTTACACTGTTCGCCGCCGCCGGGATCTTAAGCCAACAGATCCAGCAGCTTGTGGAGTACCCAGGAAACAGGGTGGTGGAAAGGGTATGAAAGGGACGCCAGGAGACATTTGGAACTTCAGTATCAGCTTATGGTCTAGGACGCGATCCAAATTAACAGTTCGTCTTGATTTACCTGTGGTTGAAGCCGAGTATATTCCACTTCGACGGAATCTCCTCGACGAACTCGACAGACCTGAAGAGGTAGAACGAAAATGCTTCCTTATCTTTGAGACTCTGAAGATATCCCCGGTAAGTTCCCGTCGCCATAACTATTTCGAATTTTGAAGCTAACCACAATTTAGCTACCGATTGATGTGATTGCCATGGCTTACAACTTACCTGCAATAATCTACAGGCTCGAGACGAGTATCATCGTACTAGAAGCATGCCAATCTCTATCCCTAAGCATTCGCCCCGACCTCGCCCTTGAGGCAATGACTAAGGATAGTGACAACACCGAAGAACACTCTGAGGAGCAGGTGAACATCCAGCGAGGCATGGGAAAGAATTACGAACGTCTTGAATTCCTTGGCGATTCATTCTTAAAGATGAGCACCACAATTGCTTTGTTTTCTCAGATTCCCGATAGCAACGAATTCCAATACCATGTTGACCGCATGCTGCTTATTTGCAACAAGAACCTCTTCAACAACGCGCTCGACTTGAAGCTTGAGGAGTCAGTCCGGTCAAAAGGGTTCAACCGGCGAATTTGGTATCCGGATGGCCTAGAACTATTGAGAGGCAAGCAGAATAATAGTATTATGGGGAGAAAGGGTAGCGGCAGGGGAGTTCACACGCTTGCAGATAAATCAATTGCAGACGTTTGCGAGGCACTCATTGGGGCATGCTACCTTACCACTTACGAACAAGGCAGCTTTGACTTAGCTATCCAGGCTGTGACCAAATTCGTCAACCACCCAAACCATAAGATGACGGTTTATGAAGATTATTACAAGGCATACCAAATTCCTGAGTGGCAGAGCGCTGAAGCTACAGCAGTTCAACGAGAAGTCGCTAGGCAAATCGAGGAGAAGCTTGGCTACAAATTCACCTATCCCCGTCTATTGCGCAGCGCATTTATGCATCCGTCTTATGGCACCATTTACGAGCGAATCCCCAATTACCAGCGACTGGAGTTTCTTGGAGATTCATTGCTCGATATGGTTTGTGTCGACTTCTTATTCCATCGATACACGGGCGCGGATCCTCAGTGGTTAACGGAGCACAAGATGGCTATGGTGTCGAATCAATTTCTAGGCTGCCTGTGCGTTTCCCTTGGCCTGCAGACGCACATGCTATCAATGACTGGTGGGCTGCAGAAGGAGATTGCCGAATACGTGGCCGCAATCACAGCGGCACGCAAGAGAGCAGAGGAGGAAGCCGAATCGGCTAATCTCGGCCGCGCGTCATACGCTCGGAACTTCTGGGTCGAGGTCCAGCGGCCGCCCAAAGCGCTCCCCGACATCGTCGAGTCGTACGTCGGCGCGCTCTTCGTCGACAGCGGGTACGACTACGGCCAGGTGCAGCGCTTCTTCGACGCACACATGCGGCCCTACTTCGAGGACATGCACATCTACGACACGTTCGCGAACCGGCACCCGGTCACGTTCCTGGCCAACATGCTGCAGCTGCACTTCCGCTGCGCCGACTGGCGCCTCATGATCCAGGAGATCGCCGTCGAGGGCGCGCCCCTCGGCCACGCCCAGGTCATCTGCGGCGTCATGGTCCACGGCCAGGTCCGCGAGCACGCCACCGCCGCCAGCGGCAGGTACGCCAAGATCGCCGCCGCCAAGAAGTTCGTGGCCAGGCTGCAGGCCATGAGCGTCGACGAGTACAAGCGCACGTTCGGCTGCGGCTGCTCGCCCGAGGAGGCGGAGAACTCGGATCCGCTGGCGCATGCTACTGCCGTCTGAAGACGTCCGGACTTTGGGGAGGACGCTCTTAAGGGAGGATTACGGGTAGGTATGTGAGGTGCTTAGGTAATTTGCAAGTCTCCTATCTTAGGTAGAATAGAAAACACGATGATTTTAAGAATTGATACAATCTTCGTAATTTCTGTTGAGTTGTGATCAGGGGTTATGATTGTGGTAATAATTCTCTTACTAGGGACCATGAAATTTCTTATTAAGCGTAATTTCACACAATTCTACACGGTACCTATCACTCTGCCAACCTCATGAATTCATTAAGCAATTTCCTCTTATTATTCATCTCGTAGTAAAGTCCTAGATGATTCGTACGGGCTCTCTCTCTCCCGCGTGTATGCAAAATCTTGGGGGTAACAAAAAGAAGGGTAATGAGGAGCGTAGCAAGGCGTAAATTAGGTACAACATGTATGTGATTATGCGTCGTTAGGGGCTTTATGTGAACATGTAATAAATCAAGAACTACCACCGCCCGTCTATGATGGCCTAGAAGGCAATGGACCTTTCTTCTCGTGCTTCGTTGTTTGCGGATCCCATCCGCGGTGTCAGGGGGTATAAACCGGTTTTGAGCCTCGCCGGGCCTCGAACCGCCTCAGCTCAATGCGCCAAACATTAAACCATAACAATAGTCATTACAATCGTATGCGTGCCGAAAAGAGGTATTAGTTTGATAACCTCCGCGTGAATAATAGAAAAGGGAAAGAAGGGTATTATGTAATGGTATTCGTGCGCCGCACACTTGGCCAACGCGCCTTAATGCAAATGAGAATTCTCGTCATCTCATGACTCAATATCTGCATAATTTGATGGATCATCTAATCCAATCCTGGGAATACCAATATCGGTAGCCTTCCCTTTACCTTTCGCTTTGCGTAGCGAGCCAGTACTCGTGCGCTGCTTTGTCTTTGTCTCCCTACGAAGATGCGCGACTCTTGACATGTCGGGAAATACGGTATCGCTCTCCCTTAGCGATTCCGTGTTTGTTTCGAATCGCCGTCTGCTGCTATAGGACTGGCGCCTAGACCCAATTGAGCGTGTCAGGGGGATGTCAAAATTGAGCTCTTCTTCGGAGTCATATTTGAGTTCAGAATCGCCGCCAGATTCCGAATCACTATCACTGAAATCCGGCATTCGTAGTCGAGACGATGTAGGGCGAGATGTATATTGTAAAGATCGAGCCGAATACCGAGAGCCCAACGGAAGAACATCGAGATGGGAATTCAGGGCATTAAGATGATACTGGTCCCTGTATGCGGAGAACGAATGTGTTCGTTGAGACAGGTCTTTTCTGGGTTTCGACGGTCCCGCATCAAATAAGCCCGGAAGCCCTGGTAGTTGAGAACCTTCGAAGCCGTAGCCTTGGAAGAGAAGATCTTTTTCGAACTCGCCAGCAGAATGCTGAGGGTTGTCAAAAGAATCAACTGACGAGGCATCTTCGTCGATCACAAAATCTATAGAGGGTCGTCGTCGTTTAGAACCTGGTAGTAATTCAGGGTCAACTTCGTGGTATAAGGACTCATGCGTATCAATCTCTGATCGATTTTCAGGTGACACACGGTTGCTTTCGGATAGAAACATTGGGTGAGATTCAATAGTCTTGGGCAATGGGGCACGAGGTGTAAGGTCGACAGATGTGTTTGTGGTATGTCCAGATTGTGGCCTAAATGGATTCGAGCTCTGTGTCGAGCCTCCCGTCTCAGAGGTCAACGACCAACGGCGAATGCTACTGCCTCGTTCTGGTACTACATCTCCCATTCCAGTGTGCTTCAAGCTCTTCGCAGACACAGAAACAGCACTTCGATTTCGATTACGATAATTCCGTTCATCTCTACTGTTAGGACGGCTGTGGGCCAATCTCGACTCTGAAAGATACGTCAATACATCAATCGCATAAATGGAAAGGAAAAAAAACAGGACAACGAATCTCAGAAGCACTAACCTGATGGCTCCACAATGTGTGACGATGAGAATTCACGAAATGAGTCGTGGATATCAAAATCGGCCTCATATCCACGTCTTGGCGAATCGTGATTCTTCATATGTATATTTTCCTCTACCCCCGGCAAGCTGTTCTGAATGGTCGACCGTCTCCAATAGGGTGATTGAGGCGTTTGTAGGTTTCCACTCTTAGATGCCTGTTTGAACGCAGTCAAAGACGGTACATTTGGTGTGGATTCGCGCCTGAAAGAGCCCTTGGTGGATCGGTATTGGTCTACCCGAGCTAACGGGTCCTGTCTAGAATCGTTACATTCATAATAAATATCGTCGTCTGAATCCTGTCCATGAGCTAGAATCTCGCGGGCATCTCTCGACGGTCGTATTGGCTTGATCACTTGGCTTAAGTCCACAGATAAGTCGTGTTTAAAATCCTCCCGAGCCACAGCCCGAGCTTTCTCTTGAAGGGAACTAGGAAAAGAGGGGAGCCCTGTCCCTTCCACATGTTTTGCCCTCGAAGAACTGCTCGGCCTGTCTGCGCAGAGCTCCGCGGAAGACGGGGGGACATATGAATGCAAAGATTTTCGGCGAGGAGCTTTTCGAACCGGGCTTGTTATGTTCCTGTTCTCGTTTTCTTGCGGGAGTTCCGTGGACACAATCACAGGCAATGTGCTATGAAAGTTGGAACTAATCGACTTGGTTCGTAATCCAGATCCCACAGAATGTCTTTTCCTTGACGATGGCGGCCGGTTGACATCCTTGCTATCGCTATCGACGCCAAATGAGAAATTCTTCTTGAAGATTTCTTCGGTCTGCGTGGGGTTAACACTAGAACTTTGCCCGCCAATGTTGCGGTCTGCAACATCTTCACCATAGTCCTTTGCGCCGGTGGCCTTGACGCGACCGTAAAAGTCAGACGGCTTGATAAATGATTGAGCTTCCAAGAGGTCAACGAACTTCCTGGTTGATGTTGAGTCCGCACTGAAAATTGAAGAATTGCGATTGCGGACGAAAGTTGGGGATGGCACACTATAAAGTAACTTGTTTGCAATCTCGTCGCCACGTTCGTCCGGCAACTTCGAGGGGAGCTTATACGGACCGTGTCGCTTCTTGGGAGGTGGTAGTGGTTTTACTGAGCTCGCTGATTGTGATTTTGGTCGTGCAGATCCTTCCGATGATCGATGAGCCGGCGCCGTGTTAGGGCGTTCGAGAAACGGAGGAATTGCAGGATGCGGCGCGGGAGAAGCATTGGAATTGGTATCTTTTAAATGCGGATGTGCTTTCTGAAAACTCTCCAAAATGTTGGGGCCGTTGCCAGCTACCGGATAGGTGCCTTGAGATAGGTCAGCTCGGAGATTTACCAGATTCCTGGGATGGAAACTCGGCTCATACCGCGGATTGGAGGATTCGCAGCCACAGTCTCATGGTAAGCTTGTGCTTTGAGACCATCATCTTGATTGTTAACAGGAGACTTTCTTGATAAGAAATTCAGCCAACCCATTTTGAATATTTAGATATTCTCCATGTGTAAATGCGACAAAGCTATCGAATAAACGTAAATAACTATCCCTTGCTTGCTCCGTCTCGCTGTTGTTTTACTAGTACGCGGGGTTCCATTGGGTCAAGGTGAGAGAATAAGTGCAGCTTTCACCACATGCTAGATACAAGTTAGGGCAGAAGTAAAAAGGAGTATAATGCGGAAAAGGAAACGAGAGTAAGAATGGACGAGAGAAGAAAGGAAGTGGAAGAATTAGGTACTGCAGAATGAAAGTGTCTGGAGAAAGAAAAAGTTGGGAAGGGGAGGAAGATGAAGCTTAAGGGGAGATGAACCGGCTGCAAGGGTACCCGGATAACTGTAAGGAACTTTGAGAAGCTTAAGGCTGAATGGAGAAGAAGAAATGGAAGGCATGGATCAATGATTTGCATAGGTGATTTAGGTGATATCCGTGTATCATGTGCGGGCGTAACTACCGTAGTTGCCGTAGTAAACTTCGTTGATTAAGGTGGTAACTGCTATCATTCTGCAGCTAAAATGTTCTGCACGTCGTACCTTGCGTTTGTATTGCTTCTTTTTCCACTACTGCACTACTGCGTGATACTGTAGCTACCACATAGGCTGTAATAAACCCACTTTATCACCCTTGTCCAACCCTAGTTCGAACCCCACACCTCCCCCTCGAACACCCTTTCTAGACCCTATTGGCTATCAAGACGCGTTGGATTGCGAAACCTTGGAAACCACACACGCCGCAACCCCTGCACGCCATGAACCGGCGCAGCTAACCGACTTCAGGATGTTTCGTTTGTCGTTTGCGAACACCCATATGCCAAATTCATTTATACATAGTACACACCTATACTCTTGCCAAGGATTCTTATACGTATTTCAACGTAGCTAAGTTGACTGTAGTAGTAGATGAAAATATGTTCTACCTTTGTTCCATGACCTGATCTATCTATTCTTTTATACGCTGCTTTATACATACATGAAATATAAGGCGCCACTAAAGACCTAGTTTAGGCAATATCTCCATGTGTTGCAGGACTTCATTCGATAGTTTCACCCGTGCAGCCCGTGGTGAATAGACCTAGGTGTCTAGCCGCAGCATCGGTGGAGAATTTTTGCTTATTGCGGCCGAAGCCCTGGAGCTAACACGGATTTTTTTACTTCGGTCAAGGGTCAAAAGGTAATAATCTGGAGATTCACCCACCTACACAATATCCAGGTTGTCCTCCAGAAAGTTCAACTTCAAAATCAAGGCGAGGGACAATGGTATACACCACCTACAGAATGGATTTGATACCAAGACAGACACATGATACAACGATGCAATCAGCGTGTCGCATTTTAGGATTTAAACGCATTTTCATCATTCCTCCGCAACAAGGGTAGAATCCTTGCAAAAGCGTGTTTAATTCCTACGGTACCTAGCAGACGTTGATGACGATAGCCGATCTGCAACTTCCAAGGAACAACTAGCTTTAGCCAATTAAATCCTCGTTACCTTCGACCTTATTGATTCCCTCGAATCCTAATATCCTACCCTTCTTTTTATTGATAGCCGAATTTATCGCGCATCAATGTACAAACACGATTTTGCTCAAGCAATAGTCGACGCGGTGGCTATCTAAGATGACATCAAAGTGTCAAGATGCAGACCCGGAATAAGGGGGATCAATACATACAGTAGTTCAGCGTCACCATCCCTGAAAAATCCACTATGCTGATGTACGCATAGACAGAATATGGGACCCTGGACTTACCTGCATTCGGCTAGCTACCCGAACGCTTCGGGAGATTCAATTCGTCGGGACTTCAAGTCCGTCAGCTTCTAATCAGTACTTGGATCAGGTGAAAGCCCCCCCTGTACCTGAGCTAAACAGCTAACCTAATAAGGGAAAAATCAACGGTAACGCGTCAAGGTATCCCCGACACCTCGTTTAGCTGAATTTAATAAAATATTTTTAAATAAAAAAATTAAAAAATAATAATTAAAAATTATAAAAAATTATAAAAAATTATAAAAAATATATAAAAAATTATATTATTAAAATTATTATTTATTTATAAAAATTTATTATAATATAAATTAATTATTTATTAATTTTTAATTAATTTATTATTAATTATTTATTAATTTTTAATTAATTAAACATTAATGGGATTTATTATGTAATCCTTGCTAGATTTACTGTATTTAGTTAGCCGCAGCTAAAAATTAGCGCTCGAACGGTACATATACTGCTATATAAAACTATATACAAAACTAAGTACTCTTCAAGTTTCAACCCCTCCATCGTCCGCTCGAAAAGTCCTCTATCTTCTATCAATTGTTCCTCCACGAAAATAAATGCTATACTTTTATAATTTATATTAATTGAAATCGCATTGAAGGCTTTATCCAATAAAGCTTGTTGCACTTTGAAAGCTGTTGATTCAGTTGAGTTATTCAGGTTTAAACCCTGAGCCAGCATTCTTACTGCGACAGCTCCCCTGAAGCCCCCGAAACCACCGCGCCGACAAGAGCTCAGCTTTCAACTGAGCTAGCTAATTCAATCCGAAGATAAAATACATGCAATTCATACACTTAATAGTTTATTCGATTAGCTTTCAAGTGATATCCTTTTTTACTCGATTGAAGACGTTTTGGTTTAGGAATAATTGATTCAAGTCAAGAATTCGTTGTTGTGGCCTTAGCGTGGGAGGGGCTTAGGAAATACTTAAGATTATATGGGGGTTTGTATAGTGGATGATGTACCGCTTGATTCCGGATCTGCGGCACGCTAACTAAATTCAGAATTGCTTATTAAATATCTAATGAATTAATCATTAATTATTAATTAATTAACCATTAATTATTATTTAATAATAAATTGATTATAAATTAATTAATAAAATAATTTTATTTATTTATTTTATTATAAATTTTATATATTTTTTTTTATATTTTTTTTTTATTTTTTATTATTTTTTTATATTTTTAAATTTAAACTTTAAAAATAAATTCTTTTTTATTATTATTAAGTTCAGCTAAACGGGTGGGGTATGATCGCTGTTGCTGCATCCAATCACTGACCTTTTCAATCCCTGCGCCCCACCGACAATTATTCCCATATTAGGTTAAATTTTTAGCTCAGGTACAGGGGTGACTTTCATGTGAGCTATGTACTCGCTTCTAATATCCACGGTAAGCGATCAAAAGTGGACGACAGCTTCATTGTTTTCTTTAAATATGCCGACTGGTTTTTATCAGATCGTCCACCATCGTCCATCGATTACGTTGTCACGAAACTACCCAGGGCTACTGTTCAAACTAGAGTGAGCTCCAACGCCACCTTATTACAAGAAATGAGGCAGTTTATTCTAGATGGTCGATCGTCAGCAAAGGTCCGATGTAGAGGGAAACATCGAAATTAAGTCTACATATAACTTCTTAGGTAAGGCATATATACTTTCGTGTCATGGGACGTCAGGTCAACATGCTATTGATTGTCCTAAAGTCTTCACGAACTCGGTGAGTCTGGGGTACATTATGGCTGTCGGCATACGACAATAACCTACATTCTATCTACTACCTAGTCTACGTTAGTGAAGACTGTTGAAGACTGCCTAGATGCTTAGTCCGTCGACTAAAGATACTATGGCAGATACTAGAGCATTCCACAGTAAATATAAGCGACAGTAGCACGGCTCTTCGATAATTATGGTTAATTTAGCAAGGCATACGCGAGCAACGATAACCCCGGGATCGAGACACCTCGCCATCCCTTTGGGTCGGTTCATTCAGGTGCGGTTCCGAGTGGCTGGCTGAGCGGGTTGACTTACAATGTCTCAGAAGCCATGTGTGAGGTGTTTGCGTCTCGTTCCTAATCTCATATAAATGGTTTCCAAGGGGATTTATTTCTAATTATAACAAAGACATCACCTAGGTACTCGGTGTTATTCCCGCGACTGCAATTGGGCAGATCGAATGGGGCTGCGGTATCGCCCAGCTATTGCGCCTCTATTCATCTAAAAATTCTCTTGCATATAACGTTCTCCGCGTGAACAGCGACGTTGAGCACGTTGTTGGCTTACTCAAGATGCGGCCGCATTAGATATGTCTTGAATCTAGGGCCCTCTGGGCTTTGTTCGCGTTGTCCGTGTTTGTATTCTTATCTTCAGCACTCAGCTTTCAGCTTTCAGATATTTATGAGCTTGATCTAGTACCTAATAGCGATGTGCTAAGTACCACTACCAGATAATTTGTAAGGGGCCGCCGTGTCGTATGTGGCTTAAACGTACGACGCAAGAGTACTATGTATATATAGAACCGGGTCGGCGATAAGACACCTTTCGGCGAGCATTGCGTGTGTCCGCCACAGCCTCAGATACTCCATCGCCCCCTATGTGTCTCGCATAAGCAAACTGTAGGATTATATTATGGGTGTCGTCCATGAAGATCTAGAGTGATGACTCAGCCCACCCGAATCCTACAACTACTTGAACAACCATGAGACATATACGGAATGATCTGATTGCCCCTCCGACTTTTCGAGCTTAGATGTATATCAATCCTGACGGTTTTTTTTTGGATATAGCTGCGTTACAGTTTGACTGAACGTATGAGTAAAGGGGGTTGGAGGAATAGAGGGATGGAGGTGTGATACTATCAAGCTTACTCAGAGTAAATTCAAACTGTTGCTAGCTCAGTCAATAGGTATCAACCGTTAGGCATTTCGTACAGTTCTTGAAGTCAGAAATATCAAATAGTATTCTGAGATATTTATTGCTAGTAAAATTCGATGAACGTATTGGAGCTAATAGAAGTTTGCCACCGTCGCTGTCTTGAAACTTCCCAGAGATATACATGTACGTAAGATGTGCTATGTAGGTAGTTGGCCAAAGTCTAGCTTGACGATTGAAAGTGTTAAGAGTTCACTTTGGGCCAAGGGAGGGTCAGATGATCTATTGATCTTCTGAATAAACTCTTAGATGCCTTCAAGTTCAGGGGACTTGCCATGATGTATCTTCAAAAGTGCACATAGAGAGGAAATGTTCTCTCATATTGCCACGTGTCTACCTACATATGATCTAAACTGACCTCATATCAATAATACCCCCTTCAAACTGAAGTAAAATAGGGTCACTGTCATTGGCTATGTAATTAAATTTCACACGTAAAATCGGGATAACGATTATGTACCTTCATTTACCTAGCAATAATAGAAAGGTGTAGCTGCTACCCTTGATATTATATCTAGGATCGACGCAGGTATGTAGGTTATAAGCTAACTCTTTCCTAACCCTATCCTAAAATGACGAAGCAAATGCCATTAGCCAGTTGCGACTTCCCATAATCATCAATGTTGGAAGAGCAATGGGCCTGCCTCGTGTTTCCATAGCACACTCAAGTCGAATAAGTCAAGTAACGGAATTATTTGGAACGCCAGAACTGTAAATGTTCTCCTCCTCACCTACTACCACCCCATCGCAAATATTCGCTATCCCTTATGTATAACTATCCCTATACTAGCAGAACCTACACATAAGAATACTTAGATGTAACACCCGGTGCAATGTTTCAATTGCCCGTTTCTGGGCCCAACGCATTCCTTCGAGACGAAGAAATCATTGCAGCGGGTTCCAAGGACGCCAACGTCTTCCCGTATAGCTTTGACGGAAACGGAACCACCATGACTGATGCCACCAAGGCTGAGTCTGCTGAGAAATGCGGCTGGCGAGGTGATAGTCCAGAGCCGCAGCTCGACGATATCACTCACGATGAGCAGCTTCATCTTTGCATACCCGATGATACTTGTAGTTGGCATGGGGATCCTGTTGAGCCGGAATTGGATGATCTTGCTCACCATTCCAAGGACGAGCGGTATCCTAAGCTATCTCCAAAATCTCAAGCACCTTCGCATACCGGCCAACAGTCGTTAGCAGTTAAGCCAGAGCCACTTGCCACTCCCCCGAAAGCTCCTGATGAAGGTTGGTTCTACCTTCGAATATAGCTAAACACTAGAGGTTGACAGAATACAGAAAAGAAGGCCGATGCTCCACCTGATAGTTAGTCGCACACTATAGCTATCTAAGGTATTATGACTTGGCTAATACTGTTCTATAAGATAAACCACCCCCTAACAAGGATAAAGAGGAGAAAGTGCCAGACGATTCGAATGACGAAACACTACAGGAGAAAGTTGCTCATGGAGTTCAGCAGGCATTCAACATGTTTCGAGGCATGGTCGAATCATCTGAGAAGCCAAGGGAACCAGACCATAGCAAAGGGGGAAATCCCCCTGCAAAAGAGGAAGGTATTGCTCCGGAACCTCGTCCAGTCCCTCCGATTCCCTCTAAACCTCAGCCGGCTAAAGTGAAGAAATCCAAAGAGGAAAAGGAAATGGCGAAGCAGGAGAAGGTAGAGGCAAGAAAGGCTGACAAGGAGAGAAAAGTCAAGGAAAAGGAAGAAAAGAAAAGGCTCAAGAAGGAGATGGAGGCAGCGAAAAAGGAACAGCGTCGTAAGAGCAAAGACAAGAAGAAAAATAAGGGGAAAGAAACCGCCTCTTCTCCCCCGGATCTACCCGCTGGTGCCGAAGGGACGGCTTCCGCCGAGGCAGATCCACAACTTGGTTGTCATATATGTCAACATCCGGAAGAGGAGGGGACGATTGATTTCCTAAGGGACTCGCTGGAGAATTGGCAAGGCTTGCCCTCTCTCGATGAACTAACTGATGCGGCAAAAAGATTGCTCAGCATGACAGATGGAAATGGGTTTCCTAGTGAACGAGAAGCTAGCCAGAGCACCGCTTATTGGGATGAACAGGAACTGATCGATCATATCGCAGCACACATCGACAGACACATACACCAGCACTTCGACCTAAACTCTCCCGAAGGGGGAAACCCAGAAGTCGGTAAGGCTCCGCCTCTCAAGCCTAATCCCTCTAGCCAAAATGAGGAGCCGGCTCCACCTGAGAAGCAGCTGGAGAATGATAGCCCTGCAAATCATGGTTTGGATGGAAATAGAGACTGGCCTTTGTCTATCATGCAAAACCATATTCTTCGCAGTTTAGAGCCGATTTCCACCCCTGACATCGTTGCTACACGACCTTCTCAGGCTTATTCGCCTCATAGAGGCCCAGTGAGCCGCTGCGTGTCTCCGTGGTGCGAGCAGCTCGGGTTCACGGTAGGGGATTCGCCCCCTTCTTTTGCAAAACGCAACGGATCGTGGTTAAGGAGAGGGTAAGTTGTCTGCTTTTCCTAGCTTAACGTCACATTTGTTCCCGATGGAGTACATAGCTGATAATGTATACTGACCTGAAGACACTGCTAGATTTAACTCTAGCCCGAGCCGAATGGGAAGTATTGCCACAACGTCTTGCCTTCATATTCCTGTTTGTTCACACGGGTTCCATCACGAACCCGCAGCGTATGCCTGTGTTCCAGTTTCACTGATGCCGGCTCTCTGCCTTGAGTCACCTTGTTGCGGCCATAGTTCTTGCCACTACATTTCCCCTATAATGACACCCCTATCGCTTCCGCTCACTCCACATCACTCATTTCCTCTGGAATCACCCCATTTTACCGAAATCCTCCCTTGCAGTTCGCCTCGCAGAAGTTTCTCCGCGAACGAAATACGAGCGATGTATTAGTGCCATGCGAACCTACAGCACGGGATCCGTAGAAGTTCACTTAGGCAGTGTACAAAGCGTACAAACCCAGGTCTGCGAGCAATAGTCAATTTAGAAAATCAAGGGATGGGGATATCTTGGGGTTTGATGGATTAGGTAAACTTGATGGATATCTTGATACTTATAAATGCCCTTCAGAATGTTTGTGTGGGTAATTAGCAAAGCCATTGTGGTATCACGAAATTGTCAGTATTGCTCGCGTTGCTTCTGTCAAGGCTAGAACTAGATCGGTCAACCAACCAATTCATGAAATATCTTCGTATAATTTCGTGATTCCGACGTGGTACCATGTACGCGAGTAGGCATGGATCACCCATTAAAGCAGAATGAATTCCCCCTTTCTCCCCATCCTAACGCCATGATTGTAGATAACAACACTCAACGCCCTTCCCCACGACATAAAATTCCTAACCAGTCCCACACCACGACCATCATCACCATCACTCCAAAGCCCCCGCCAACGCGACGCAGCTAAACCGCATATCGCCGCCACCGCGCTCGAGGAACTTGAGCGGGCCCCAGAGCAGGGCCTTCTCGGAGAGCACGTCCTCGGCGTCGTCGAGCTTGCCGCGCGCGATGGGGCCCTTGCGGCGGCCGTCGAGCTCCCACAGCGTGCCGTCCTCCGTCTTCACGAAGCAGACGTAGTGCAGGTCGACGTCGTCGCGCGCGTCGGGCGCCGCCGTCGCGCCCTGGCTCGCGGCCTCGTGGTGCGCGGTCGCGAGCTCGCGGGTCTGCTCCAGGAGCGCGGAGCGTTGGGCGGGCGGGAGCGGGACGGAGGCGGTTATTAGGTTTTGGAGAGGGGTGTTGGGTTCTGCGTGGGTTAGTTGGTTAGTATTTATTTAGGAGTTTGGGGGAGTGGTGAAGGAAAAGGGGAAAGGGAAAGAGAAATGAGGATACGCACCAACGAACCCCCGCGCCGGGCCGTTCGACACGGCGTGCAGCAGGCCCATGAGCCCGCACGCGTTGCGGATGGTCTGCTTGTACCAGATGACGGGCTCGCCGTCGCCGCAGCCGGCGTACTCGTCGACGCCGGCGTCCTCGGCCAGGCGCGCCGACTCGTACGTGGCCGAGACGGGGAAGACGAGCAGCAGCGCGAGCGCGGGCCGCGGCACGAAGGCCAGCAGCTCCGGCTCCGTGATCGAGTACACGTCGTGCACCTGCAGCGCGCGGCTCAGCCCCAGCTTGTGCAGCAGCGAGGTCATCAGCTCCGGGTTCGCCTCCAGCGGCACGAAGGCGAGCGAGCCGGGCGACGGGTCGGGGTTCGTTGCCGCGGACATCTTTTCTTTCCTTTTTTTGGTTGGCTGTTGTGTCTGTGGATCTTTCTGTTGTTATAAGAAGAACTGATTTCGTAATACGGAGATCGAGCGCCTGAGTTTCAACTTGATCTAACGAATGTGATCTCGTTGGGGAGGTGGGTTTGTCAAGAGAAGGTAGGAATATAATCCATATGTATTGCCCCGCTAGCAACAGGGGTAGTGAAGGCAGCTAGCAGTATGACGCCACACCTCAGCTCTACTTACCTAGCTAAAGCTTTGTTGGTGTGGGCTTATCGATAAGGCACATTTGTCTTGACGGTCGGAATACTGTAGACTTATATCGCGAATGTCACTTAAATATTACTTAAATTGAATGAACGTTTAGAATTAGATGATACTAGGCTGTTCTCTTGGTCCTAATATTTCCGTGTACTCATTTATCGTCATATATCTCGTACCCATACAACCATGGATGTGTATCTCCTAGTTATGCCGCCCTAGACGCCAAACTCCATGAAGCCGATCCCTTGATCGCTTCACATTTAGACACCACCTATAGATCAAACCCCCCTTACTAATTTACGATCCTTAAGACCCGAAAGATTGTGTCCTTAGTCCGAGTTCTTCTTCCGGGTTTTGCGAACCTTCTTGAGCCCGTCGATGCTGTCTTGCATCACGCTACCCGCATCACCCGCGGCCTTCTGCGACCGTTCCTTAACTTGGTGCTTCTCGGCCTCGTCGTTTATATCCTCCACGACATCCTTGCCTAGGCTTGTGCCGCTAACCCAGTCGAGCAGACCCCAAGCACCGAAATTCCCGCGTCCTCCGCTGGCATAGTGTGTCGCGGTGCGTCTGGTGATGCCGCCCATTATGATACCCGGTACCATGCTGTAGCCGGACATAGACAGCATCTCCTCTAACGTCGTTAGGATTGTAAATAGAAAATAGGTGAGTAGATGTGGCTGTATGACCATGGCCGGCAGATATACAGGTAGGGTGCGCTGGAGGAGCAACGGTAGCGGGTGGTCCGTGTATAGCATGAGCGCATATGGGGCAGCGTTCTTGCGGGAGTGCGAGTATGTCTTGTGTAGCTTCGCTATTCTACCCCGCGAGTGTAGGATATATCGGCTGATGTAGTATGTCAAAACTTCGCGGGCGGTATATAGCAGCCAAATGTGCTTCACGATCTGCCATGGCAGTGGCAGCCTCGTGCTCGTCTTGAAGAGTGGATGGCGCAAAAGGGATCCTGCACCTATGGAGATCCCGGCCTGCACCGCGGTGCTGAGCGCCAGGTTGAAGATGGCGAGTAAAACTTGCCGAAGTAGGGAGACGGCATTCCGCCGAGGCAGTGATGCGGAGCCGTAGAGCTTGATAGACTCCGCGAGGCTGGGAAGTAGTGAATCAAATATCAAGAAGAAAAGCGAGGGAACTAGCCAGAAAACTATGCGCACAGCTAGGGTACCGACCAACTCTATCTTCAAAGGTGAATGCGACAGAACAAGAGTGGTCCATGTCATATAGAAGAACAGAAGGTTCATTGAACCCGACCACGAGGTAAACACGGGTCCGCCGAAGTACGATACGATCGGAAGGGAAAGAAGTAAATCCATGTTGGCGATATAGACGTTTGACTGAAGCAAACGCGATAGTAGGTAAAACTCGTGATATTTCGGTATATATACTTGATTTTTCAAGTATATCGAGGAATTTGATCGATCATATAGCCCGAAAAATTACTTGTGAGGAAACTTTTCATCCATACCAATTCATATCATCCATTTTGGATGTCTTGGGCCTCATCCCGAATTCCTGATCTGATGTGCGCCACCTGTCGCGCAGCCAAATAGTGACGTATGTCGTGTTGTCATCGGCTTAATTGGCTGCGCTGAGAGTTGAATCCCGTCCCCCTGTCAGGCTCTGCAGGCTCTCCCTAGCTGTCAGTGTCGGGCAGGGGCCAAAAAAAGGTCGTTGGGAAATCTGAAGTCCGAGCTTGCGATTGCAGCTTGTGGAACGACATTGATTGCGGGGCATCAACGGGAACCTGTGCTTAGCTAAGATCCATGGATGCTAAGATGCTAAGACGACCAGGGGGTTTAGGGGTTAATAAGGCGCGGAATCTGTACTCCACTGCTTCTCGAAATACCTGGAGTGCACTGAAATTCGAACGATGGGACTCTGGCACGGTCGATTGAAGTTGTATGTCTCATCTGGGAAGTCTTTGCCGCCACGTGCAGATGTCACATAAGATTTGGTCACAACGTTCTCAGTGAAATTCCTTGAAAATGACAAATCATCGTGGGAAGGAGTCCGGGTTGTTACGACGCTATCATCTCGCGAAAATGTGACGACGTTTTTCTCTGGCATGGGCCCATGGCCTTCCATGTACATACATACATACATAGAATTCGAAGAAAACGGCGTGATTGCTGGCTACGTGGTCTAGTTCTATTCATCAGCTTTCTTGACCTTAATTTGTCTTCTACCAGCTTGTTGAAACGTCCATATACTTGATGGCGAGCTTGGAGTTTTCGAACAAGTTCTGTTAGTCGCTATGTTTCGAATATGGATTGCAGCTTCATAGGATCACCCTGTCGTTGGAGAAGGCAATTAGCGTAGGATATTGGACTGGGTTTAAAGACTATAGCTCCTAGAGTTTTAGGACGAGCCGTCGGCTTGTTGTCAAAAATAGGAATCGTAATCGATCCATAAACCTCAAGGGCTTTCGCATCTTGTCATTCGCGTGGCGTCCGCAGCTTGATATCCTCCCCGGCGTATTAATGCATGTAAATTGGAAGCTCCAAGCGGCTCTTCTGCGCCGAGTAGGCAATCCAAGGGGGGACCAACAAAGGAATGATTCATTCTTGCGACTTCTTGCAAATGTGTTCGGTTAAATAGTCGGCTGGAATTCTCATTATGGGGACAAGAGTCGGTTCGTATATGACATGGACTGATACATCGTCTATTAAATCCTGCAGATTGAATTGTGTATGCGCATGTAAGTGGCTAGCTGTGGGCAAGTAAAAGCGAAAGAAAAACACGGTCACAACATTTAAACTTCAACTTAAATATTATTCAAGATATAGCAATTGATTTGCAACGCTCCTGCGATGACGCCCCGCCAATAAAAACCGTCAATTCCTTCCTCTTTTCTCATTCTCCACAACCCCACGTCGCCTAAAGTCAAATTCAAAGGCAGTTGATCTTCTTCACCGTCATCGTCACCGTCGCCGATGTTACTGGTTTGGCGGGTTGTATTCACCGTCATTCTGTTTTATGGATAACTATATCTACTCTCGTCCCTTTCCCACAATTTTCACGCAATTTCTACGTAGCGATCGACTCGCGCCATATGCTTCCGAGAAAGTAGCTGAGGCGGTACGACTTGCTTCTTATCCCCTTCTCGCTTACTATCTTTGGTAGTACGAATAAACGTTGGACGTTACAGCTGCAACACACTGCACATACTTTAATAGGGTACCACTCGACGTACATATCTTGAAACGAAAGCGTTTGCAATAGGTATATGTGTTTAATATATTCATATCCATTGCCTCTATATCTTCTGTGGCTTGTACTTGTTGATACATAGCTCGTTGACCGTTTTACTTCACCGAAAATCTAATCTGGCGGAAAAACGAAGTCTTCTCAGGGGAATGCTAAACTCTAATGATTGGAGAGACTAGAGAGACCAAGTCTTGCGTTAATCTCAATTGGGCTCAGCCTCTCAAGCATTTCCACCAGTGGAGTAAATAGTTCAGTAAAGAGACATGTCGATCTGGAAATAGACCGGGTTCAAGAGTATTAAGAGCGGCGGCCGCGTTGTGATATATCTGTCCAACTTCCTGTCATTTCATGAAGAAAAGCAAAGCAAAGTACTACGAAGGGAGCTTAGGAATGAACGTCTAATAACGTTGAAACCATTGCAGCTGCTCAAATGATATCTTAAGTTTCTAATACCTGCTATCGTACAAGGTACATTCGGATAAGTACCTCCAACATCCATGTATCACCCGCAACCCGCAGAAACTACAAGTGATGCTAGGCACCTGCATCGTACAGGGGTTACCTCACAGAATACCTGCAATGCCCTGCAATATGTATCGCTATTATTGCTGCAAGAAGGGGGACTGGAACTGCACAGACACAGACTTTCCGAATAGAAAATCTAGAAAGTTAAACCACCACACACAGCACTCACACAGGAAGCCGTTATCGTGCAATCCGTGCAATCCTGTACCTAATTGGACCTACCTTACCTGCCTTGTCCAATAATAATAATATACCTAATAATTCGATCGCCCGAGATTCCCACTTCCATTTCCCCTGAGTTAAATCTTTCTGTTCAGAGCAACTTTTATTTTTCCCTCCTTCTTGACCTGCTCTCTGGAAATTGCGAATCCGGGGTTGAGGTTTTTTCATCAATACGAATCGACACAATTCTTTCTTCATTCTTTCTTTTAGGCAGAGTTCGCAATCTTCCACTAAGCTCCAATTCGTCGATTTAACCAGTACATCCAGTACATTCCGTACCCCTTCCCTGTCTTACATATACAACTACATACATACGAACATAGTAATGTACGTGCGAGTCAGATCTTCGAGACAGTCAATCGACCTGCCCCAGTTGCGTTAGTAAATTGGCAGTCGGGCAGTTTACTGCTACAAGGCCCCGGTCTCTAAGCGCCTTTTACATGTTCCCAAGTCTGGGACCTGCAGCAGGTGTGTCTCGGTATTGACCTCTTGACCCAACTTCTTGCATCCGCATCCCGTCAGCCCGTCGAGTCTGACCTCCCTTCCCTTGGCCTTTCCTTGAACCTCCACAATTTCTGCTGCATCCGCTGCTGCTTTGGATCTGTACACGCCGTTCTGGCAGTACACCGCTCGCGCCCGGCTGTAGCAAACAAGACATCGGCAGGTAAGACCAGACGCAATTAGGCAAAACATTGACAGCCCCAGTTGTTCAGTTGTCAGCCAGCTTTCGATCCAATCCTTTCCTTGCGTCCGGTCGCCATGGATTACTCCGCCGCATCTAACAAGTCAACTACCGGAAACCAGCTACCCCCTATTCCCCGGCAGACTCGCCAACAATCCCGCAGGAAGGTCATCGATCCTTCTATGCACCTTCATCTGCGTGACGACGACAAAGATCGCGCCGGTATACCTGCTGCTTCTCCTGAAGTTATATCATCTTTAATCACGAGTTTATCCGTCATTTCAAAGCCGGCGAACAAGCATTTCGAGGGCCAAAGTTTGTCCCTACCAAACTCGCCGAATTCGCCGCGAGAAGGCAGTTTCGGCGTTGACTACGGCGCCTTCAATCACAAGCTCGGCAGGCTGCAGGAAGAAGAGATCGATCTCGACGAATTGGCCGCTAGTCCCCCCACGATTCGGACCGCGAAACCACCGTCCGGCTTCTCCCCCTTAACCGCCCCCAAGTCACCGCGTCGCGAAACATCAGGCGGGCTGAAGTCCCTCCTGCGCAGCTCGTCTCGGCCGTCGTCGAAGGGATCGCTTTCGTCGCATGATGATACCCGAAGCATCGGGAACCTTTCGGTTGAACGTGGGCTTCCGCCAACCCCTGAGTTGCGTAAACAACGATCGCACGACAGCTGGGGAAAGAAGCAGGCTCGTAGTAGTAAAGGTCTGATGTACATGGGCTCAAAAGAAAGGTTACGTGTTAGTGACTCGGAAAAGAGGCGGACAAGTACTGGGTCAATTGGTACTAAATCTAACAGCTTGGGCGGCGTATCACCCAGGCTCGATACAACTCTTGCCGACACTCCGATTCGTGAAGAACCAAGCGATTCACCTACGAAAGAAAATATGCACGATTTCAGCCCGTCATCCCTTGATTTTGATTCTAGCCTCCAGCGGCCGATTCCCGCGCGCGACTCCTCCCTGCGCAAGACGGGAACCAACGCAAAAAGGTCGTCTCATAGGTCTTCACGAGGGAAGAGAGAAGGCGATAGCGGACTCGCCGATACTATCCCGGAGGACTCTGAACATACTCGCTCGCGCGATCCTTCTAGCGGAAGGCGCCGACATACAAGTCGCGCCAATTCGGAAGTTGACACGAGGAAGAGGAGAGACGACCCTCTACCAGAAATGCCACACACTACAAGAGCGAGCGTATCTTCTACTAAAAGGAGCCAGGGAAATAATTATGCGCACAAGCGCTCAGGATCGTATTCGACAGATGCGAATGCGTTTGAAGACGGCGCTCCATTTCCGGCGGTATCACAGAGCAGGAGGCGCAGCGCGCATAGTACCGACCGTAGAAAGTCGGGCCGCACGACTCCAGACCCGGGAGATATAATCAAGCCTAAACGAAGCAGTTCACGACTGAAACGTCTCTCAGCTGGAGCCAAGAGCCCTGAGCTTGATAGAAGGAATGAAGCCACTACCCCCGAGCCCACGGTGGGTTACGAGCGACCTGCAAGCGCTGATTCCATTGACGATGCCGTTGAGTCTTATCTTTGTTCGCCAAGACTGTCGCAGAAAATCCGACACCCGCAAACAGGTCGTATGATATCTTTCTCTGAGGTCGGCGACGCTGAAGGCTCGGCCGTTTTCTGCTGTGTTGGCATGGGTCTGACTAGGTACATCACTGCGTTCTATGACGAGCTAGCGTTGACGCTCAAATTGCGACTAATCACCCCTGATCGACCTGGCGTTGGTGATAGCGAGGCTTATGCTGACGGGACGGCGACACCCCTTAGCTGGCCTGGTATGTCTACTTCCCTTTTGATGATAATTACATGTGGATATTAATGAATTGCAGACGATGTCTACGCAATCTGTCAAGCGCTTAAAATTACCAAGTTCTCGATACTTGCGCACTCTGCTGGCGCGATATACGCTCTTGCTACTGCGCTTCGTATGCCACAACATATTCGTGGTCGTATCCACCTCCTAGCTCCATGGATACCTCCGTCGCAGATGAATGTGTTCGGCACGTCACAGGCTCTACCTCCTACTAACGCCATTCCCACATCCCAACGAATTCTTCGTGCCTTACCAACCCCTTTTCTCAAGGCGGCGAATAGCTCATTCATGACAGCCACTAGCAGCTCGATCACCAGCTCATTGCCGAAGAACAGTCCTAAGCGTGGGAAGCGAAAGTCGTCTGCTCCTTCAGCACGTGATTCGACCGCAGGGAATCGCCGAGATTTTACGCCTAGCTTAGATAAAGAGAACATTATACAAGAGAACCCGGGCGGGAAGGGCTTGCCACCCTCCGCTAGCGAGAACATGGACCAGTATCGTCCAGCCGACATGGAGTTCAACCCTCAGGCTGCTATCATCGAAGCTGCCGCCGACGCGTTAGCGGATAAGGAGAGGCAGATGACGTATGATACGCGACTTACTCACGCGATCTGGGAACTCGCTACTACCGGCGCAAATCCTGCTGTGGATTTGCTTGTTTGCCTGGAGCGTAGGCACACGATTGGGTTTCGTTATGTAGACATTACGCGCCCCGTCATTATTCATCACGGCAGTAGGGATACTCGTGTTCCGGTTGAGAATGTCAAGTGGCTTGGGAAGACTATGCGGAGATGTGAGGTTCGTGTGCTGGAAGGCGAAGGGCATGGGTTGATGGCTAGCGCCACAGTGATGAGCTCGGTATTGATGGAAATAAGTAAGGAGTGGGAGGATTGGATGGTACTCACGAATTCAAACCGGCGGACGGATGAGCGAGGCAGGAGCGTACGAGCAAGTGCCCGATAAAAAGCGATGATGAATTACTTGGGGGAAATCATCTGCCACATCAAATCTGGCTTGGATCATACCCTGGCGAATAGGAGTTTTGCATTATGGATCGTTCTATCATGAACTTAATGGCCGTCAGGGATCCCACACAAGGGGACATTGGTTTTTTTTTTGTCGTTTTATATATACGCCAAGGAGATTGGCGACGCTCATGTCTGTGAGGCCCCTTCAACTTAGGCTTAGGAGAGCAAAGCTTAGCGTTGTCGAATAACGAGCTTTTGAAAAGTGAGGAGGATTTAGGTGTACCAATAGTCTTGAGTCACGGCTTATTAAAAGCCTGTATTAGTACGTAATGTCTAGCTATACCCTTTACACTAGACCAGGTAATTCGTGATCAACAAATGCGGTGACTGAATGTAAAGTTGTAAGTATGTAGGTAGGTAGACAATCATACTATGGTGACTCCTACTCCTAGTCGGGATCCCAGCTAGGCCATAATCAGTCCCATATCGTGTACATAGTCATCCTCGTCTCGTATTTCTATTTTATTGTTTCTGATCTTATTGCTCTTGAATCCTTGATATTTCCATCCACTCGGCATACAAGGCTATCTTTCAATCCTCAACACCTACATACACACCCAGTACGTACATTAACGCACGGTCCATATCGAAATGCGCTAAAACAACAAGGTATGAGCGGCTAAACCCCGGATCCCCACGTGATTTACCCTTCTCTCTAGCCTAGCAACCAAGCAAACTAAGGTAGCTCCCGGGTTCTTGCGCTTTCCCTCTGTAAATTTTACGAGACGCGTTGCGACAGAACGGGGCCTTGAAAGTTCAAGCTCATGCAAGGCATAGACTTATCCTCTGACTTATCGGATACTTCTTCAATTCCATCTACTCCATTCCAACCTTGAACCGCACATTCACACACACGCACAACAATACAAGTGAGTCTTGCGGATTCGAACCGCTTTTATTCTTTAAAAAACACGACTTACTGCACTGTACTGCACTTTTACTTCTGAAGTCCGCCAGGGCTATCTAATCCCATCTAGTCCTATCTGTTCCCTCCATCTCTTACGTCGTGTTTGGCGCGTTGCCAATACCGAATCTTCACATCTACAACCGCCCTAAGATGTCATAGGTGAATTGAACGCAATACAACATGGACGCTAGAAGCACTCCTCAGGCGTTCCTCTCATCCTATGCGCCGCGCTTGCGCGTCTACAACAATTCTCTTCTTTCTCCAGTAATTCATTCTACCGCACCCACCGGCCCGGTATCGCGAACAACGAAGCGTGGCACCACCGTAATCAATTACGCCGAGGATGGTTACGATTACGACGACGATGATGAAGAGGATTCTCGAAGGCGACCTACAGGCTTGCGTAGCCTAAGACGTGAAGACAGCGCATCGAGAATAGATCCAAGCGACAAGTTTGGGAAGGAGACCAACGCGCCTGTCGAGGTCCAGGGCATCTGGAGGGAGTGGTTCATGAAGAATAAGATTCGATCAGACCTAAGCAGCCAGGCCCAAGCCTTACTACCAGTGACGCTTATTCCTATTCGTATCGATGTCGATATTCCTGCATTCATGCCTATGGCACCCTTCCCGGTCCCTCGAGGGCTTACTCAACCCCCGCCGAATATGGATCCAGCTTTGTATCGAACAGGAGAGATGACAGTCCCATACAAGTTGAGAGATATCTTCTTGTGGAACCTGCATGAGACCATGATGACGACGGATCAGTTCGCTCTCACTCTCGTCCAAGATCTGGATCTCCCCAACTCAGCCGCCATTGCTGCTGAGATCAGCAAGCAGATCAGAACTCAACTAGAAGAGTATGCTGGTGTTGCTCTTCACCCTCTCTTCCATTCGGAAGACAAGGCACCTACGAACGGCTTGGGATTAGCCCCTCAGGCCAGCTTCCGCGATACCCCAGCCACCCCGGCCACTCCTCTACCTAATTCAATACGGGCCCCCGAGACGCCCTTTCGAAACAGTCTAGATACTGGTGCTGATACTCCAAGAGGTGGCCGTCTCCAGGTTAACGAGATCACAGCCAGTGCTACGCCAATTCCCGCCGATTCTGACGAGTTGAATCCCGATGACACTTACCGATGCATCGTTTCCCTAAATGTCAACCTTTCTTCTCAACTTTACACGGACAAGTTCGAATGGTCGTTATTGCACCCGCCCGGTACCGCCGAGGCGTTCGCCAAAATCACGTGTGCCGACCTGGGTCTTTCTGGCGAATGGGTTCCGGCTTTAACCCACGCAATTTATGAGGCCGTGTTGCGCCTCAAGAAGGAAGCGTGCGAGGCCGGTGGTCTGGTGGCAGGGTGGGGTGGAATCGGTACGGAGTACCCTAATGATGCCGCCCATGGAGGTGACGCCGGTTGGCGATACGACCACGAACATCTTGCGGACGAGTGGGAGCCAAAGATCGAAGTACTATCTAAGGAGGAGATTGAGAAGCGTGAAGTCGACAGAGAACGACAGATCCGCCGTCTTCGCCGAGAGACAGCTCGATTCAGTAGCAATGCTGGCATGATAGGTGGCGTGCCTGGCTTGGGTATTGAGGTCGAAGAGGAGCGGATGGGACGCGGAGAACGATCGAAGAAGAAGCGCAGATTCCGAAGTCTAAGCCCACTCGGCCGATCCGGTACTCCGGGCGGTAGAATCACACCGGATGTAGGATACGGTGGAGGCGGAGGCAGCACGCTCACCGACCAGGAACGACTCGGCTGGCGTTGTACCCACTGTCGTATCTGGGGAACCAGTGTGTGGGGAGTCAGAGACGGGCCATGGGGTCCCAGAGTAAGTAAATCTATCCAGTTGATACGCATCATTCGCTAATTAGTCCTCTAGTCTCTCTGCGCCAATTGCGGTCGACTCTACGAACAGACCAAGACGTTGCCCCGATTGACCAAGAATCTACACCAGGCGGACATGCGTCCATTTTAGGAATCTGGAACTAATGCTCCGACTGTCGTGCAGTCCGAGAAGAAGAAGAAACGAAAGAGCAAGGGAAAATTAGAGAGACCTTCCCCCGCGAAGAGAGCTAAGAGAACTCGCAAATCGACTTAAGATTTAATGGTTGCATTCACGATACCAGGCGTTTCTAGGCGGGATTGCGTATATCACGGGGCTCCTTTGTGTTACTTTCCCACCTGCCAGGAGTCGTTGGCTACGGTGTATACCACTTGACGCATCGCTTCGCCCGAAGACTTGCGCGAGGGTGCAGATGGTTAAGCTAGCTTGCTTTACGCATGGGTGGTTTGATAGAGCATATATGTGCTGTGCTTTGTATACTAGGTTGCAGGCGAAAGACGCGAGAGCCATGGACATCACGGCGAGCTTTGCGAAGCTCGTACACAATTGACAGCTGTACTAACAAAAAACTGAATTTCATTCTTGCATGCTAATCTAATGTATACGCGTAAAGTGCGCTAAGTCTATTGCAGTTGGCTATTGCAGGAAACCTGCCTTAGGTAAGGAAGGATCTCAAATAGGTATGTGATGGATATATAAACCACCTTAGTAGTGACTGGGTCCCACGTCTTTAACAACAAGATAGGCAGTCAAAAGCCGGTAAGAGAGATAGGTAGAGAGGTAGGTAGGTGGTAAACAGTAAACACACCCTACCAAATTCCGGGGACGATCTTCGAAGGCACCTCGCGCTTGAACTGGGCCCACTGCTCCTTGTAGCGGTTGGTGCAGTAGTCGTCCATGACGCCGGCGGCGCGGTATCCGAGGTCCCACATCTGCCAGGAGCCGACGGCGAGGCCGCCGATCCAGCCGGTGGCGACCATAGTGTAGCCGCCGCGCCAGAGCGAGTAGCCGAAGTAGTTGACGTGCCGCGACCAGCGCCACACGCCCACCTTGCACACCTTGCCCGCGTTCTCGGGCGCGTCCTTGAAGTCGCGCCGCTGCCTCTCCGAGACCGCCTCTAGGATGATGCCGAACACGTACACGCACACGCCCACCACCGTGCTCAGGGGCAGGTTGTACGCGGACCCGGTCACGGAGAGCGCGGCGGGCACGCCGAGTTGCGGCTGCGAGCGCACCGAGGACGTGAAGAGCGCGAGGAAGAGCAGCGAGTTCAGCGCGTTGAATAGGCTGTTGTAGAAGGCGACCGCCGCGGCCGCGGGGGCGGGAAAGGACTCCTTGGAGACGAACAGCTGCCAGTAGATCTGCTTCACGCTGGACCCGAGCGCGAAGAGCATCAGGATGGCGCTCGTCGGGTGGCCCAGCACGTCCAGGTACGATATGCCGGTGCTGAGGGGCCCGGCCGGCGTGGTCGCGGTCGAGGAGAGCGTGATGCCGAGCTTGGAGAGAAGCGCGGGACCGAGACCGGCGGGGAGGAGGAGCGCGTGCTGGAGCGGCAGGTCCATGATGCGTAGGCCGACGAAGGTTAGGGTCCCTAGTAGCGTGGGCTTGCGCTCGCCGCGGTTGATCAGGTCGAATTTCTTCGGCGGGGGCTTGCTGGAGTCGGGCATGGTGGGTGGCTGGTTATGGGAAAAGCGACTGTTTCCTACTGGTGATGGGCTCAAAAGCTGGATATTAGGAGTTACGGATTTGTGGGACGATGGTTTCTTGCTAATGTATGGATGCCGGTGTGCCTAGTCTCTAGCTAATGCTGGTGGTGATGTGATGGTGATGTCGACATCAAATCAAGCCGTCAAATGCAGGCCAATGGCTTCAAGTTATACCCGAATTACAGACGGATAAGCGCATCCGAATGGCTGGACAAAGGCTACAGAAATATAAGACTCCGGTGTGGATCGTGTAACCGGATCCCCGACGAAACGGTCCAGAGAAAAGACCACTCACCTACCTGCGGTGTGCATACCTAGGTCAAGTATAGCGTCTGGTATCGGGCTTCTCCAAATGTCGCATATATTGTCTGACTACCTACATAGTTCTGGAACGCCTCCAAGGAGTTGGGGGGCTTTCGAGGCGTTCGGAGCTGTATGCTTTTCGAGCGATAGCAGGCCGATTAAGCGCCAAGTTTGGTGAGAGCTTCAGTTCCTACGGAGTTGATCGGCAACGGTACTCGGTCCCGGAGGGGTAGATGATTACCTAGATGGGTAATCAAGCTAGGCTGGCCAGGCAAGGGGGTTGGTCTCCTAAACTCCGAAACCTGATGGCTTCATAGGGGTCCTCTCCATGGATCCGGCATCATCCATCATCTATCACCTAAGAATTGCTTTTGTTACCCACCTAAATAGATTAACACATATGTACAAACACCCACCCAACCATCTTGCATATCAGTCCACTTGGCATAAACAAATTGATCCTGATTCGTAAGCAGGCTGGCGGAGATTGCAGTAAACGGCTGAAGAAAACCGCCACTCGTTTCAGCCCTTGCATTAGTTCTTGTATATACCTACATCACAAGCCTTTAAATTCATCCGGACTTCGCTCTGATCGCCTTTGAAGCGGAGTTTTGCGGTAGCAATATCTATTAGATGATGTGATGGGTTATCACGCATAATTTACCAAGCGATGTTGCCCAGCTACTAAGTCACTGGTTCAAGTCCTACATGATGAATTGGTTGGTTCATTCCAGTCTGACTCTTTACTACAGACCTTGGCAGTTGCAAACTGGCGGTCGAGTATATTATGTTGAGTGGTGATATCCAGTAGAGATTCTTGGAGCTGAGAATCGCGGAATCTGATTCGCTGTGGAATACGGGATAGTATACCTATTTGAGACTATCCATGGATGTCTTCATGTAAGTAAGCTATACTAGGCTCCTAGGGCAGGTAAGCAAACAATAATAAGTATATATTGGTACTAGACTGCCCTCAACAGCATGTGACTCACCATTATAACATCTACGATTATACTAGCCTTGCTGCCTTATTATCACCATCAGACATCTCTCCTCGGAACCCGGAACCCGTATACGATGTGGAAGACCAATGGATGACACCGGTTCTTACAAAGCGAATGCGATTCTGTGGGGAATCTGACGGCGAGGCGGGCCAACTCCTTCGCCCGATCAGCTGAATATAAACAGCAATGGAGCAACCGTAATACGGACTCGCTCGCCAACAAACAAATCCAACGAAATCTCACCAACATCGCTACTCCGAAGCCAGGCCCAGAAACGCTTTCCAAAAGGACCAAAAGAAAAAGGGAGGAAAAAATGTCGGAAGTACCAGTGATCCAGATCCTCGACAAGAAGAACTACTTCAAGCAAGCCCTCGTAGCTTACCCTAACGCCCTGCCGCTCCCGCCCTTGGCGGAATCGTCCCTGCGAATCCGGACCGAGGTGATCAGCATAACCACGAACAACTTCTGCTACTGCAAGCTGGGCGACGTGTTCAACTGGTGGAGCGTCCACCCGATCCCTCCGGACACGCCGGCGCCGTACAGCGACGCCGCAACGTACGGTCGCATCAACGCCTGGGGGTACGCGCGCGTGCTCGAGTCCACCTTCGCCGCCGTGCCCACCGGCAGCTACGTGTGGGGGTACCTGCCGATCGGCACCTTACCGCTCGACTTCCGCGTCGCGCCGGGCGCCGTGCCGGGGCAGTTCCTCGTCACCGAGCCGTACCGCCAGCAGCTGCTGCCCGTGTACAACCGGTACACCTTCTTCCCCGCACCTTCGGCCGCGGCGCTAGCCGACCGCATCGCCGCCAAGGATGACGGCGTCGCGTACGACGCCCTCGTCAAGGTCATGCACCTGACCGCCTACCTCATGGACCGCTTCATGTACCCGGCGGACTCGGCGCGCTCCGTCAGCCTGCGGCCCGAGCAGGCGGACCTGTCGAACGCGACCGTCGTCGTGTTCGCGCCCGGGTCCAAGGTCGGGCTCGCGTTCGCGCACCTCCTGCGGCAGCGCCAGAAAGGCGCCGGCAAGCCGCGCCGCGTCGTCGGCGCCGCGAGCGAGGCCTCGCTGCCGTTCGTGCGCGGCACCGGGGTCTACGACACCGTTGTGTCGACCACCGCCGCGGACCCGCTGACCACGCTCGCGGATCTAGATAGTACTAATGCTGATGTCAACGCTGAGAGTAAAGATAAGAAGGTCGTGATCTATGACTTCGGCGGCCGCGCCGGCGTGGCTTGGAAATGGGCCGCGGCGATCGGGGCCAAGTACCCGCGGACGCGGTACGTGGCCGTCGGCATAGAGGTCTCGGACCCGACGACGGCGGGGGATGCGGCGCAACAACCCGCGAAGCCGGACGGGTTGGAGGTCGATCAGGTCAATGCCGATGGGATGCTGACCGCAGCGGTGGGACAGGTGGGCGAGAAGGAGTTCTTCGAGGGGTTTGAGAAGTCGTGGAGCGGGTTTAGGGAGGAGGGGATTAAGGGGTTTCAGATTCGATGGGGAGAGGGCATAGAGAGTGTGAAGGAGGGGTGGGATCGGTTTGCGAGGAACGAGGTGACGGCTGCGGAGGGACTTGTGTTCAAGCTGTGAGAAATGGTTGTGTTAGTTCAAAGGAGTACGGGCCTAGTATGAGCGGTAAAACACTTGTGCTGCCACTCATCGTGATACAAGCGAGAGAATGAGATCGAGGAGGCTTCCTCAGAGGCCGACATACTCACAATCCAGCGATTAAGAACACGTTCTTCACTTCTTCACGAGTCGTGGTGTATTAAGCAGGAAGAAATCAATTTTTAAGATATACCGTAAATCATTAGTAGGTACCCGGAATCCTCCATCCCTCATAAAAATGTAATGTCCAAAAACCCGACACCGTGCCACCGTGACCCGATTCAACTCCTCCCCATGCAAACATGTATCCAAGTGATGTAAATAACCTCCAACATAAGAACAGCCAAGACAGATATTGTCAATAAGACAAGAGCATATCTAGGTAGGAACCTATATAGCTAGATATCACTGGATCGAGTCACTATTCATCAACCTCGTGTCCTAAGACCGACTGGAATTCCCTCTTAACATAGCCTCGACATCGACACCGACCCATTTCATCTCCCTCGGCATCTGGGCCGAGACGTTCTGCGGCTGTGGCGAGCGCTGCTTTATCTGCTTCCTCACGCGTAGGCGGTCCACCAATTCGCTCGATATAATATCGAAGCTCTGTCTCAGCGCGACGCACGTCTCCCACTTCTCTCCATACTTCGCGAGCGTCCGCGCGGTCCTCTCCAGACACCCCAAACTTCGGTCTAGGTTGTCGACCCCAGGACCACCGGGGCGCGATGGCAGAGGAGGCGGCAGCGCCTTGCCGAGCTCGACGAGCGGTTGCGGGGGAGTGACGCCAGCAAGAAGCAGGTCTTCCGCGTCGCGGAGTACGGCGACAAACTGGCTTGCCATGAAGAACGCGCGCAGGGCATCGTGGTACGTGTAGAATGCAGTCTTCGTGTTGCTATGTGAGATCTCGAATATGCGGTCGAGGTAGGCGATAGCGTGTTCAAAGATGAGCAACCGGCCGTAGTCGGTCATATGAGGGGCCCGAGCTGACGGCGCTATACAGTAGACGTAACTATACCGCAGCTCGAGGTCGAATAACTCCCTCATACCAATTGGTAGCGAACTAGGAAGCGCTTCGGCCCACTCTCTCATGTCTTGGCACATCTGCCAGATGAACGATGATGAATCAGGCAGCGGGGTTGGCTCTGCTTGAAATAACGCCTGGTACCAATGTGACTGAGCGCGCCGCAGCTGAAAGAGTAAAAATGCAGGTTCGGAACCCGAGAGAATTTTACCAGTGATTGATGCTCGGCGACTAAAAGATGAGGGTCTCGGCCAAGCAACATTTGTGGAGGCGTCGGTGAAGGAGAAAGCGCGTGCATGAACCATACTAATGGATCTTATTGTTTAAGGAATTAGCATATTTTACGTGGCGAGCGGAATCTCACGTACATACCTGTCTAACGAGTAAACGCAGTAAAAGGTCTTCCGCCTCATGTCTAGCACCACTTTATCTGACAGTTGCTCGGGCGGAGGATCCTGGTGGAACCCTAAGTCGATCACTGCCCTCGAGGTGAAGCCGATCAGGTGCCAGCTATCGAAATGAGCCGGATCAAGCATCGAGTATTGGGTGAGCAGGATTAAGGACTGGATTTGTGTCGTGTAGCCCGGCATCAAAGCCCTGTCCGCATGCTGCAAGGCCCGAGTGACAAAACTTAGTCCGTTCAGATAGTAATCATCGTTCTTCACTCGACTCTGAGCGGTGGACCCGATAGCTAATACCATGTATACAAGCCAATATTCGGAATCTTTGATGATGCGATCCTGGAATGAGTACATCTGCTCGAGAATGGTGTAAAGTGTCGTCTCGGGAAACGCAGGAAACAGTGAGTATATGTTGGTCATGTAATACTGAACTAGAGTGATGGCATCTTGCCTAGGAGGTAACGTCCAGTCCAAGATATCCGGAAGAGGATCATTAGAAGCTGCTGCTAGTACGAGACGTGCAAATGTCATGTTACCCATTGAAGGTTCAAAGTCTCTTGTGGTAGCATTGATGGATCTTCTCTTTCATTAGTGGCAGTAACTAAGCTTAGGAATTATAACTACTCACAGAAAGCCAAAATCAGACATCAATGAATTGACATCGGACATTTCTCGTTTCCGAGCAGCCTTACGATAAATGGCTGCTTTAATGGTAGCAAGTGAGTCTTTCCGGTCAGGTTCAGGTTGTGCCGGTGGCACCTCAGACTCATGCTGAGCGACAGACGCCTTTCTTGATCGAGCATACGCTAACCGCTTCTCTAACTTCTCTATGCGAAGCTCGAGAGCAGCGACGTAACTAAGAGATACGTGTGAGTAGAAGAGCAGGATGGTTAATTGTGAAGTTGAAGCATCTCACCTTCGTTCCTTGCCTCTCGCGAATTGGTCGTTAGCGGCCGAACATTCATTCTCGCGACCGGCCTTCTCGCAGGCTGTACATGCTGGCAATTTTCCATCGCACTAGCAACACCATCATCAGCATTCGGACGATTAGGACATTAAGTATAATAAGGTTACCTTGACTTTAGCAGCTCGACCTATTCACATCTTAGTCATCACGTCCTTTACATTATATGCGCTTCAACATGAGAATACTAACATCTAGAGCAGGCTGATACCGGCCGTGACACACGCAACAATGGATTATCCGAAAAGCTTGATCGTGGCATATTGCCCGCTTCGAGATGATGGCTTGAGCGCGTACGGCTTCCCGGCTGTAGTCCGCGATGTCCGGGATCTCGGCTCTTCTTTTAAAGTACACGATAGTATATAATAGCGCGCCAGGTCAAGTGGAGAAATACTTCCCACAACTGTCATAGATTTCTTACGTTTTTGCTTTATGACCTGTATGAATGCGCCCTCGGTAAAAATGTGGCGTAGAGGCTGTAAGGTTGAATCGTTTTCCGTGGAGGAAAAAGAATAACGGAACAACGGCAAAGCGTTGATAATAGACTATTCCTCTTAATAGTAGCGGTAGTAAGAATAAGATTCTCACGTGGATCTGCCGCTCCTGCTCCCGCTTTCAAAACGCTCGGGTTTCAAGAGTGATGATTCGAGTAGGTAAGGCGGCTCATTATTTTAGTGGCTTTGATAATACGGTCAAAGGAACAGGGTCCTAATTACTGAACAACTTGCGCAGTGCCCAGATCTTGCCCAGAGGTATACGGGATCCGTAAGTGTGCGCTTGCCTTCCGAGGATGGGTTAGACTGTCTGGTCATCAATGGGGCACAGGATGCGGAATTTCGTAGCGATAATCTGCGGTACCAGCTGTACCAGGTAATATGTACCTATGTGTGCCGCGGGCGCTGGGACGGTGGGGGTTGCGTGGTGACCGGTTTGCGAACAACCTGACCTAATGCTTGTCTCTAGACCACTTCGACCATTGATATTGCATGGATCATCAGCTCCCCTCGAAAAGCTTGGTAGCTTGGTACGACGTAGTAGGATTTCGTTGCTGCTGTGTTGCAACCTACATGACTCGCGGGGTTTCTTTCACTTTTCGACTTTAGTCTTTGGGATCAAAGGAAAGGAAAAGAAGGAAAAAAAGAAAGAAAAGACACTTGTCTAATCGCTTGCTATTTCTGTCGTAAACGTAAAACATAAACCTTGGAAAGATCCTCTATTCCGACGTACTAGAGTAGGATCAGGTTGATGACGGGGAGCTGAGTATGGATGCTTCCGTACTGGTAATTCGTAGGCTTTTGTAAGCCAAAATAGCTTGCGTCGGTACTTATGCGTACTAGCTGCAGCTCCTCCTTGCGTCAGGGGGGAGATTGTCAACTTAGCCCGCTTCCTCAATGACCCTCAATGAAAGTTGTATTAGTTTGGTCTGCATTCGACTGACGAATCGTGAGATCATTTCCTACTCCTTTACCTTCCCTTGCGCCTCATTCAGGACTGCTAGCCGGTGTCAGAACTCACTAAACCTCCCCACGCGCCCCCCTCTTACTTTGACGAGATGTGCTCGTAAGGCTGCTCAGAGATTTCCAGGGTTTTCCGAATGCAGTTGGTGGGACAGCCTTCATCTATTTTTCACATGTATAGTTGGCTGTCGGAGCCGCGTGCCGCCCGATAAATTCCCGAACGAGAATTTATTGGCAACCTCTCAGCTGCCTTGCGAGGCATTCTCAGTATAGCCTGCTGCAAAGAGGAGCCCGATGATGTTCTCTTAGTTTCTGTGGTCACCTCCCACTTTATGCACATGTGGACTGGGTGGGTTGTAGTATTGTTGCCTGTCAAGCTGAAGGGAGAATAGCAGAATAGAGAGAAAAGATGACTACTGCGCGCGAGTGTATCAGACAATCAGCAAGTAGCGACTAGGTAGGTGGATCCTCAAACCGATGCAACTGTTCCAGAAAAGACTTGATTAGGAAATGACCCTAATGAGTTAAGAAGGATTCCAAGAATAGAAAAAAATAGAAACGGAATATCAAAATTCAACTAGGGAAGAAATCCTAGAAGGACTTCCGCCGCACGCGTGTATGCAAGGTCAATAATAGCGAGCGAAGTCGTGCGGAAGTCCGCCTAAATTCCAGTAATGATTGTCAAAACGAAACGCATAAATAGAAGTAGAGAATAGACGAAACGAAACTGCAGTCTGCAATCTGCAGCCGTTTAATCTGCGTTGGTAACTCAGCCTGTGGGGCGAAGTCATTAAAGGGGATTTAAGAGTGAAACAACTCAAAAGAGACTCTTCTTCTAATATAACATCCAATATACAACATACACAACGTACATATTGAGCCGATTGAGGTAGTATTCTAAGTTCCAAGTTTAACTCTAATCCATTCAATGTTTCGATGCTTGAGAGGAAAGACTTCCAAGGTTCTCTTACCCCCATCGGCCAATCGCTGCTTCGATACGACATATAAGTCCGTGCTCCTGGTGTAGGTCTGGTCTGGTCCACGTTCAATGGTCACTTCCCACTCAAGCTGTACCTACCTAGGTAAGTTTTAGTTTCTTTAGTTTCTTAGCTAAAGTGGTCATCAAGTACCGATCTAAGTAATGCTTATCTGACAGTACACGGAAATAAGCATGACTAATAGGCTAACTATAGTACTCGACGTTAGATAGGTACAAATTTATACGAGAGCGTACCTACCACCTACCCACCTGTCACCTTCGTACAGAAGAAGGTACATACGTAAGAGAATGTGTTCTCAGACCGAGAATGGATATTACAACTTTGGCGGCGACGATTCTCCTTTCTACAGTCGAATTTACGAAACTTTCTGCGCCGAAATTCCCAAAGCTCCCAATGCTCGAGATCATGATAAAGTGAAATTCAATGGTCAGCAACAACATCAGCAGTCACAATCGATTTGCCTTACTCGCTCACCCCGCTTTCATTTCCGAAGCCTCGAGTGCTCGAAGTTGCGTGCGACCAACGACAACTGATCTCCCCCGCGAATCTGCCGTATCTGGCGTATCTGGGGGCCAGCTCAAAAAGCAAAGGCGGAAGCAAAAGCAAAAGCCAACGTTCACGTCTCACCACCAGAGGATTACGGAAAACGAAGAAACCACAACAGATCCACCGATGGATGCCTCTAATGTCTTCCGTCAAGTCCAAGGTTTTGGCGCCTATACTCCGAGGCCGCCGAATGGCTTACAGCAAAATAAGAAGCCCGTGAAGGTCGAGGATCACGGCGATGGCGAAGCCTCGCACCGCATTGCGCATACTCTCACGGCCTGTTGCCGATGTCGCCAGGTGAGTAACCTGCCCACCGACCTTTTACGTATGGCGCATCATGCGTCATACCTCAAGCTCTCTGCCCTTCTTTCTTTTGAGAATACTCAGGTTGTCGGGGATTGACTTGGTTGGTTTTTTTTGTTGCTTTTAGAGAAAAACGCGCTGCGATCCTACGCTACCTCGCTGCCTGCCTTGCGAGCGGTCGGGGTCCACTTGCGAGTATTTCGATACGACGAAGGGTAAAAGGATAAGTCGGTATTATGTCGTTAAACTTCAAGAAAAAGTTCGAGCACTCGAGGCCGAACTCGGTCAATATACCGACGAAGACGACTGCCCTAAAAACCACGAAGATTTCATTCGACCGGGGGGCCTCGTTCGCTTAAATGAAACCGACGAGACACCACGATATCTCGGCCCCTCCAGCGGTATTGCTATGACGCGCATACTTATGGAGGAAGCAAAGCGCTACACAGATACTAAGCGCATTTCTGATTTAATTCCCGATGTACGGGACCGGCGACAAACCGATGCCCCCGGCACCACCTTTCCCGGCACGCGATCACAGTCCTTCACCATGCCGCCCCAAGTATCAAGGAAGAAGAGTTACCCCATAATTAGCGGTGTTGCAGCGCAGAATCTTCCAAGCAGAGCCATCGCCGACAGATTATTGGAGGTCTTCTACCAACGAGGTGATTTATTCTCGCTTGCTAGCCCCTCTTATCCAATAAGAGAATACCTAGGCTAATTATTAACCTCAGCTCAAGTATTCACTCCAACTTTCCACGAGAAGGCATTAGAGAAGATATTTGACGATGTTTATGCGGGGAGCACAGATGCGTACCAAAATTTTGTCGCGCGCTTAGTTATGGCGACTAGTATGCAGAAACTTGACTCGACGTACGCCGGGCTTGCGGACAGCTACTATCTTTCCGCTATGAGACGTTTCGAAGACATTGTCCGATCGAAAGATCTCAAAACTCTACAATGCCTCGTCTTAATAGGACAGTATTCGTTGTTAACGCCTACCCGAACCGCCGTATACTACATCGTTGGCCTAGCCACGAGGATCTGCCAGCAACTTGGGTTAGCTGATGAGAAGACGATTGCGCTAGGCGCCAACGATCCGTTGACCCTGGATATGCGGCGGCGATTAAGTTGGATCGTCACCACAATGGAACTTGGCTTGGCCTATAGCATGGGTCGTCCAAGCGGGTTCGCTAAAACTAATGACATAAACGATGTCAGATTCTTCGAAACGGTTAGTGATGCAAATATCAGTGAGAATGGAATCATCCCTGGACCTCCCGATGAGAGGAAATTGGTTTCTATACACTTTTGTAAAATGCGGCAGCACCAAGCCGAAATCCGCCGGGTTTTGTATGAAAGGAAACACCCGGAGCCGAAGGACAACCGCCATCCATGGTTCGCGGATATGGAAGCTAGGATAGACCGATGGCTTAAGGAAACTCCTGATAATCCCCCCTGGTGTAAGCCATGGTATGTATCTGATGTCCGATACCAATACCTCGATTAATACTAATCGTATGATATAGGTTTTCGGGACGGTTTCACACAATGATGATAGCCCTTCATCGTCCCTCACCTCAAGTACCGAAGCCATCCCTCCTCTCGGCTAAGAAATGCTTCGACTCGGCTGCTTTTGTCATCAATATTTCTAGCAAGCAGATGATGGCAGCTGCGGTTGATATTACTTGGATATTCATACTGACTCTTTACATGTCACTCAACACACTTTTATGGGCTGTTACGCATCCTGAAATTCGAGCATCACACTCACGTGAAGAGGTTCAGGAACTTGTTAATATCTCACTGGATATTATTGATCAATGCGTTGAAAGGTGGCCGGGGACCGCCGCTGCGTCTCAGTTATACTCGACTTTCACGAAAGCATGTCTTCAAAGTTACGACTCAAACGAAACACCCAACCTCTCAAGCTCAAGCTCTTTCAACACTCCGTCCTCTCAAACCGATACAAATTCACCTTCTGCATCCGAAATTTCAAGCGCAACAACCATGTCTGCTGGTGGCGTTTTCAATCCACAATTTGGCTACGTTTTCGGCTCTGGTCCAGAGGAGATGAACGGTTATAAGGTTGAGAATTTCCCTCCACAGCCGACATTCAGATCCAATTCTATCTTCCTCAATCCGGCCACTAGTGATCATACTGGGCGTCGTTTCAGCTATTTCCCTCCCGACTTTACCCAAGCTGGAGACTTGGCACTTATGGAAGAGAGCAGTCCTCCGGATACTGATACAACAGTGTCTCCACCGTTTTTATCTCCCACACAGCATCTACCAACATCTCCAGAGTCGGTAACCGGAGGCAGTGCTACGACTCCAACCATGGGAACCTCGAACCTTGCTACGCCGATGCTCTCAACTGCAAGCCTAGCTCAAACCCCTTCTGATATAGCGACACCCAACTCAGTGCCCCCGTCACAACAGCAACGCCCACTTACGCAGCCCTTTACTATCCCTCCTATATCCCAACATTCGTCGCAGGGACAGCGACCTCTACCTCAAGTAACCACAGTCACAGACTGGTTCAATCCTCCACCGCCTTTTATCTCGCCGTATTCATTTGGCGGCGGATTGGGTGGTAACTTCTGGAGCGACTCGTCCGGAGTAAACGGCATGGCTGACGTTAACATGAGTGATATGTCATTCTCCAATGGTCTTCCCCCGGAGCGGCAAGGAAGCTTAAGTCAGGAACAGCAGATGGAACTAATGGATGTTCTAGAGAGCGAGGGTATGACAGACATCGACACATATCTAAACATGAATATGGCCTATCAAAATTTCATGGGCAACGACCAGGGGTTACATTGGAATGGGCATGCATAAATCAGGGACTATGTTTGGGGGGCATATTTATTGCATTAACTATCGCTCTATACAGATGGGAGGGGATGTCTTGCAGCTTTTATGCTATGTTGGGAAGGTATATACGGGAATTCTCGCTGATAGATACCAATTTTGGGCGTTTAGACATAGCTGGTCGGATGATTGGATGCTTGAATGAATGACTAACCTTTTCGGTTTATACATCTACTGTCTCAAGTTTTTCTACAGGACTCATAGAAGTTGACGGTGGATTATTTAGCAAACAGGGCACAAATCAGCGCGCCATGAAGCTGGACAACGCTTAATCATTAACACTTCAGCCAAGCTCTTTATTAGTGGACGTCCTGCAGGGACCGAACGATGCCCACCATAGTACCCGCCAACTAGATGTGAAGATCGCAGGCGGGGAATTATGAGTGGTGGAATTTCGCCCTGTATTAGGGAGTGTCTCCGCTGAAGCTTACCTATTGCGGGCTATGGATCTATCCTCGGCGGCGGCCCGTCTGACCCCAACGCCCCGGCTGGGACGGCTCCTCCCTACGTACAGGAAAACAAGCATTAAAGCATTTATGTTAGGTAGATCTGCAGTTGATGGATACGACGTGCGTCCCAGCCATTTGGGCGAGACTTTTCCCCACTGAGCTGAGCTGAGCGAATTGCTGTCGCTTTGGCATTTCGCTAACGTCGAAGGGGTAATACAACGAGGGGTTCCCGCGTGCGGATGGGATGTTTGATCCTGGTCTAAGTAAGCGGGCTTTTAAGTAATGTAACTATAATATATCGACGGAGAAAGAAAGTATTTATATCAGTAAGAACGTCTTATTGTTATGGATCGATCTTCTCCATCCTCTTGACCGATACCCTTTATCGCAATTGGGAAGTCAACTTCACCCGGCTGGGGTGGAAAGAGGTTGAGGATATAGAAATATCCTGGAATATTGCTGGAATGCTTGCTTCTTAGAGGCTCTATAACCTGTAAACACCCTGAAGACCAATCACAATTGAAAAATATGCTACTGAAATGGACAATATGTAGGTATGGTTCTATACGGCTATGATGCTTCTAGCTTCAACTTGGCGCAGGCTTCGGATAATTGATTCGAGTTCGAGAACGAAGCCTTGATCAACTCATAATGTCGGTCAGCAGCTCTCGAGCCATGGCGCGCTGAACTCGTACTATAGCGCGATTTATAAAACGAGTTGGTCGTCTTCCCCGATTAACAATATGATTAACGCTTTGAACGCGACGCGCGGAATTTTGTTCACGCTCGCCGTGTGTAATGCCGATAGATTCGGTCGACGACGGTTGTTCATTATCGGCGCTGTCGGAGTAGGGACATGCATGCTGATTATTCCAGTAATTGGCATAGCGACGCCCAATGTCACCGGAGCTAAGGCTACGACGAAGACAAAACCCGTCGGTACTGGTATCGTAACCTTCCTGTTTATCGCCGTATCTCCTATAAGCGGTCTTGGAGTGCGGCGACCTGGATCTGGACGTCGGAAGTATTCAGTATGAATGTTCGAGCACAAGCCATTAGATAGGCATGTTTCCTCGGATGTTAAACCTGGCTAATGCCGTATTCTAATAGTTCTTCCCCATATTCCTTGTCAATGAGGACCCGAAACGGTAAAGGTGCCTCTTAAGGGAATTGACACATCATTTGTTGGCCAAGATCGTGCAGAGAAGAGTGGACCGATGCTGAATGCCACAGACGCACGCAATGCGAATCTAAGGAGCAACTTAGAGACGCAGCAGAGCGATATCACAACGGAGATAGGTATTTAGATACGATTTTATATTCGTTTAATAAGAAACATGACACTTCCCAGGTCTGGCCTTAGGTAGTCTCTACAGAGCCGGCAATAGCCCCATACATGCCAAACGCATCTAAGCATCGATTACAAAGCATAACGGAACATGACCTGTATAGTGTTAGATACATTATATTCTGATCAATTCAGCGATAACTCACATTGTCCTTATCGGTGACATCCTTAAAACCCTGTAGTTCACTGGATCTCTTCGTCGCTAAGACTTCATCTTCTGATTTTCCCTCCAAGGACCGGTCTCGCCTCTTGTTTTCAAGGTCATAAATAATACGCAATACCTGGTTCAGGAGTATATTCATCACGAAACAATAGAATATAGCCTTAATACCGTTGCGGTATGCTGGTGCCTCGGTGCTCTTAAAGAATTGCGGCCCGAAGATATGGCCGGCGCAGTAACAGACAAATACCCAGCCCGAAGCGACGGACCTCTTGGTGGTACCCGCGATGTTGGTTGAGAGCAGGCCGAGGATTGTCATGAAGCCCACGGGATAGGAGCCCTGTATAAATTAGTCTCTAGTTAAGCTTTGGCTTGATCATGAGTTTCAAAGGCGATGCTGAGTGAATCTTCGAGCCTATAACTCACCAATAGCCAAACCCCGACAAGTCGTCCCCATTTATTAGCAGGCTGGAGCTGGTTGATCAACATCGTACCTACGATCTTAAGCATATGTTAATTTGCTTATTTCTTCTCGATACATGGGTATACATACTGGAAGAATCATTGCTAGAGATGCAATATGTAAGCGAGAGTTGCGAATGCGAGCAAACAGAAATCCCGATCCAATTTGTGTCCCAACCTGGATTACGGATAGGGGCAGGTTTAACAAAGCAGTTTCGAGTGGATCGAAACCGAAACCTTGAATAATCGATGAACCGAACACGAGTCCGCCGGATGCGATGGCGTTGACGAAGGAGATTAAGCCCAAGATGATAATCTTAGGATCGGTAACCGCCTCGACGACCTGGGATTTAACAAAGCGACGAGATCTCGTGCCGGTTTTATTGCCCATCACTCGTTGAATAGAGGCAATTTTCTCGTTCTCGTTAAGCCATGTGACGGTTACCGGGCTGTCTGGCATAGCAAGTGAAAATAGCACTCCCCAAATGAGATTAAGGCCTCCTAACTTTAAGAAGGTGCGCTTCCTAAATAGTTGTTAGTGGTAAACTTAGTATAGGAGTAGAAATATCTCTCAGGAGCACTGTATATATGGGCGGATTATCGTACCAACCACCTAGTTGTGCATGCTCTTGAGCAAGACCATAAACTAGCAGCGTTCCGATGAAGCTGCCAACTCCTAAAAACGAGATCCAGAGGGATGAACGACTAGCTTGCTCCTGTCTAGTCCACCAGATTCCCGTGATAGCTACGAATCCAGGTGATATTGTCGCTTCGACCACACCTAAAGAGAATCGCACGGTGGCAAAGCATGCGAAAGAAGAGCACGCTGCGGTTGTCATGAGGATTGCACCCCATAGAATCATATTGACTCCCAAGAATTTAGCTAGTCGAAACTTCTGCATAATAGCGAGACTGGGATACTCGGCAGCGAGATAACCTGTGTATATTAGCAGCTTCATCAGTAGTTCATACGCTCAATAGACACACACCGAAATAGAAGATGGAAATGATCCATGAATAATCTTGGCCATGGGGTTTGTAATCGGGGAAAATCCCGTAGACAGAGCAATAGTCCATTGACGTCTTGACCATGAATTGAAAAGCATAGGTTATACATAGAAGAGGCAAGACCCGTCGGTCAATTTTTGTACGGATTTTCCGAGAGATCTGGTTATCCATAGGACCACTTGCCAGTGCTCTCTCGACTAGCGACCCAGTTTCATCCTTGATATAATGAGCTGTCGCTTCGGCATCAGGTATACTCGACAAGGTGGCGACGATTGACTGGTCATATGGTTTATTTGAAGTCATCCTTGTCGTTCTCCAATTAGGTAATGTGTTTTAGTAAAACTCAGTGCTGTCTTTGGCTAGTATCGGGAATTGTTTATAATAAGACGGCTCCAATGTCGTGCAAAGAAGATGCCGATAGATTTGTGAATGGGAGCGAGCCATGTTTATATAGAAACAGGAGTGTTTGGCCTCTCGAGTTTGAGATACGTTCAATGACGGACCCCTCGATCGGAAGTGACTGGGTAGATAGATGTGACATCTCTTTTAAGGTAGTCAGTCATAGGACAGACTCATTGTCTCCTGTAAGCAATTGCTTCGAAGCCGCAACTCGTCAGTCAGGCACATGGAGCTTGTTGTAACTATTTCCCAAAGGGGAAGTCGAGATATTACCTAGATAATAGATTTGTCGTACCCATGCTGCTAGATAAGTAGGATAGACTAAACGTGTGGGGTAGACTTTAGACAGCTGGAGTTGATAGTTACATTGCGGTAAGTTGGCAGACAGGCTAATTGGAACTTCAACCTGGAAGTCTTTAAAGTCCTCAAGGCTCGCGCAATCTCGTTTCCAATAATATCTTCCTTCCTCAAGCTTCTTACCTGACGCGCTATCGCGAACAATAACTGGATACTCATCCGAGTATTGTCCTAGCGCCATGGAAGGGCAAATTGACGACTTCGTCCTTGTTAACCACGAGGACGCCGACTTCGCACAATCCAAGCTCGGTTATCTTGGGGAGATCAGTGACTTCATCGACAACATAGCAGATGACTTATGGCCTGTCAACAAGAAAATCCACGACAACCCCGAGCTTGGCTACGAGGAATTTGTCGCTCATGAGACTCTGACAAAGTTCATGGCTAGCAGACCAGGTTGGAAAGTGACTCCATCTGCCTATGGTCTGGCTACCGCGTGGGTTGCCGTTTTCGACAGTAAAAAGAAAGGTCCTGTGGTATCATTCAACGTGGAAATGGGTATGTCATGTCTGAATCCCTGGGTAATCAAATCTAATAAGATCATGTAGATGCATTGGACGGGATTGGACATGCGTGCGGTCACAATCTCATTGCTACCGCATCTGTAGCTGGTGGGTTGGCGACGGCTAAGATAATGGAACAATATGGATTAGGTGGAAAAGTTGTCATGTTTGGGACTCCCGCTGAGGAAGGTAGGAAATCATTGTTCAACGCTTGCAATTGATCTTCGCGAGACTTACAATTCGATTTGCAACAGGCGGAGGCGGTAAAATCAAACTCTTGGAAGCTGGTGCCTACCGGGATCACAATGTCGATATCAACTTGATATCTCATCCTGGCATCACGGCGGATACCGCTTTGATGCGGACATCTGCATATACCGCATTCAAAGTTGAATACTTTGGACGTGAGGCCCGTAAGTAACCCTTGGCCTCATCATACCGAGAAGAATACTAATCTCAAGCGTGATAGATGCCGCGGCAAGCCCTTGGCTAGGTATTAACGCACTTGATGCGTTGATCACGGCTTATAATTCACTGTCCGTGCTCCGCCAGCAAACGATGCCGGGTGATGTCATCCAAGGGAATATCACAGATGGCGGGGTTCGACCGAATGTGATCCACGCTTATACGGCTGGCAATTTTGTGACGCGCGCCAATACCCAAGGTAGGGTTAAGGAGTTGAAGAAGAAGGTCGACGCCTGCTTTGAAGCTGGAGCAACAGCCACAGGTGCAACACTTAAGATGACTCCGGTGCAGTCTTACGCTGACCACGTCCCTAACCGAGTGCTGGGCGGTTCTTATCGCAAATACTTCAATGCGCTGTCACCTCCGCGACCAATCCCCGGAAACGATGACCAGGATGAGCTTGAAGGCCGAACAATGGCCAGCACAGACCAAGGTGATATAAGTTATGCCATGCCCAGCTTAAGCGCAGGCTTTGCTATCCCACCGGGACCAGGGGGCAATGGACCTCATAATCCTGAGTTCGCGAAGGCGGCCGGAACGAGGGTTGCATTTGAGAGATGTCTGCGAGTAGGAAAAGCTCTTGCGGGCACAGCCCTGGATGTTCTGACGGAGGACGGACTCCTGGGAGAAGTGAAGAAGGCATGGCGAAGAGAGATTAAAGGAGAATGTCAATGACAGGGATGTGATTGAATATCGAATTGGAGAATAATGTTTCTTCTTTCCTTCTCTATTTGCGCACCCAGTGCCTGCCCAGACTTAACTGTGCAACACAGTACCCCTAAGGGTGGCACTTGACTCAGATACATAGTATATAAATAATATTTGTAAAGTGCATTCCCACGATAGAGAGGAACAAGAAGGTTATCACGTGCTGATAGAGGGGAGTTACACCTAGCGCGCCGCGATAAGAATCACCGACGCAATTGAAGGTTTTCTATACAACTTCATTAGCCATAGCACATCTATACATAATTTCTAAGCAAATTAACGACTCTTGCCGATATTTCGCGACTCTTGACGGGATATTATCGTTGTGGTTCGCCCTGCGTCCAGTTCTTTTCGGCTTTTACATCATTAGGGAATTAATCATACTCATTTTACTACGACCGTACCTTTTACGACTATCCTTACCACCAATGCGCGATGGGAAAAAAGAACAAGAAGCCCGCAGCGGGCGAATCTCCTAGCTTGGAGCCACAGACTGCCGCAGAGCCCTCGATAACCTCGACATCCTCGACAGCACCCTCAACAACGAATAAGAAGAAGCCATCCTCCCCCGCGCCCCAACCTTCGTCCGCGCTCGTCATTTGCCGAAATAAGTGAGATTCCAATTCCCAGTCCTCTTCCATTCCCGTCGTGTCTACGTAGAACTTATAGCTTATTGATTGCAACAGGCATTGGCGTTATATCTCTTCCTTCCATGGCCCATGGCTACAACTACCTCTCGAAGTCCTCGTCACGCTCGCCAATGCCAATTACTACATGCCCTTACCGCGCCCCGTCGATCCGGCAGTATTCTACGATCTGGTGAAGATAAGACAGCTTGTGGATGGTGCTACCGATTTGGCCGTACGAGCGGCCAATGGCGTCGCCTCTTCGGCCTTGTCCAATTCGCTAGCAGGAGGAGCTGCGCATCATATGCAAGCGTTAGGTCTTGGGTTTGGGAACAATGCCGGCGCAAAACTGAGTCCAGAAAGGAAATATCGAATGCGGGAGCAAGCCACCCAGAAGTTGTCGCGCGCCTACCACCTCGACGAAATAGCCTCGAGCGTCGCCACGATGCAATCTACTTCAACCTTAGAGAACGTTGCCGGGCTTGTATTACAAAGGTCACCCAACGATCCCGATGCCAACTACGTCCATTTCTTCCACGAAAAGATACCATCTAGGCAGCTCGCAGAATGCACCGACTTCCGCGCATTGAATCTGATAATTGGCCAGCGGCCTTCCGAGTGCGAGCCCCTGAGGACCCGCGCGATTGTCCGCATGTTCAAGGAGGATTTTGAAGGTGCCGTTCAGGATCTCACGTCTGCGCTTAGTGTGTATCGCCTTCAGCAGCCACGGCATAACAAGCCCGCAGTAGATGAAACGATGCAATTAGAACAGAAGACCCGACGGCGACGAGACCAACCCCCGGTCGACGAGGCAAACCAACCGAGTAGTACAGAAGTACAACTCCTGTTTCAACGCGCAGGTTGCTACCTCACTTTAGCATGTGATCATGTGCCACATGCTCTCCCTCATTCACCGGTTGAGCAGAATGGGAACGTGCGAAACGGCACAAATGGCACCAATGGGCCCAGTAATGGCACAGCTAATGGGAACGGGAATGCAGAGCTACGGGAGGCTGAGGGCGACTTGGAAGAAAAAGGTCCTACCAAGAGACAGCTTGATATGCGTAAGACAGTGCGCTTTTACGCGAAGCGCGCATTAAGGGATTACATGGAATATTTTAAGCACTTTCACTACTCGCCCAACTTACCTATCGAAGTGTCGGATGATTTTAGTCGTCAGGTCAACCAAGCAACTCATCGTAGCAAGAAGTACTATGGTCAATCTCGACACGCGTCTCAGGATCCGGGAAGTCCTACGGGCGCTTCGCCTGGCCACAAGGTGTACGAGCTAGCATCGCTCTTCTCGGCGACGCCTCCGGCAGACTTACCGCCCTACCCCTCGACAGACATCATATCTCCAGGTTCTGCTACTGCAGAGTCGATCCAGGTAACTAGCGAAGTTGTCACTTACCACCCACTGCTTACCGACGCGTTACATTCGCTCTTGCTGTGTCACACCCTCATGCAAACTTCGGCAAAAGAGTTACAACGACACGCGCATATGGTTGCTCGCCTTGCTCGTTTGGCAGATGGGTACCCGGTATTTCAAGCGAGCCGGTCCCCTGCGCGAGCGGATTGGATAGAGGTCCTTCGAAGAGCAGAGAATTGGATTGAACTAGCCTCGAGCTGGGAGGCGCTCTGTGCTCCCGCTCCGCTTCCCACTCCCATGTCGGCGGCACTGGGTATGTCCGCCGCGGCTGCGGTTAATGCTCTGTCCATTACCGGCGGCGCAAGCCCCGCTCCTGAGACGGAGGAGCAAAGGAAGGAGCGGATGCGCCAACAGGCTATAATAGAAGCCCTGGAGGACGAGCGCGTCAACGACGAGGCCAGCTTTAAGGCGGCTATTCTTGCCCGCCAACGTAGGGCGGAGGCAGACCACGCCAGTACGCTGAACGGCGGTGTCCCGAGTCCCAACGCGGGGCCTAAGCGCTGGGCCGTGGACGATGGTAGGGAGTACCCTATCTTGACGGAGCGCGCAGAGGCCGTCGCCAGATGGATCCGCGAGGCGCCGACGGGTCCTGGGGCGGGAACTAGCAAACGCAAGAAGAAGTCGCGAACGCAGAAGAAAGCCGCTGAGCCGGAGCATGGGAAGGAGCCCGAGGTTACAGAGACGGAAGCTGCGGAATCGGCTACGGAACCGGCTTGAACCGGACTGGTGGAGAAGGGCTGCCTACCTATAATAGCGACTTGCAGCAAACGGCCGTTGGATGCCGAAAGAGAAGATAGAAAAATAAAAAAGTGGTTTGAGTATCTTTAGCCGCTAGCGTATTAGCAAAGATATACTTTGTAGTTTATACCTTAATCAAAAGCAGGGCGTGGATTTTGCCAGGCCGCTAGGTACTACTGGATGCTTTGTGGTATCGAGGAGTATACCTAAGGCATTTTCTGCTCGACTTCGCGTGTTACAGGGGTCGAGGAAGGAATTATGCTGCAAACCGACAATTGCTCTGTTGTAGTAAGTAATGGATCATTAGCCGACGGACCTATAGATACTAGTGAGATACCATGTCGGCGGTGTAATCCGATGCTTTAACATGTGATGTCATTGAGGTTTTCGTGCGTTGTGAAATTTTGGTAGGTCCTATTCGTTTAGGCGTTGTCCTTTTCACTCTCTCCGGTTCTCGCATCGTGTAGAGCATGGTTGCTATTTGAGGATCGGGTTTGCAAAATGGAATGTCGATCGTAGACGTCTTAGATTCGAGATTTGGTAGCATCGGATGTTGAATAGTAGGTGCTACTGGACTATAGCGCTGTCGGTAGATGCCGGTATGGCCTCATAAAATGACTGGTTTTATGCAAATACTGTTAGGCCGGAGCATATAGTCCACGCCCCGATTGCTACATAGACAGTTGGTAGTTGGTATGTGCGCTTAGTATGGTCCCGGCGGGGCTAACCTAATTGTTCTCCTTAAATCCCACTTCAAACCACCGCAAGACCAAGGACTGAATGGTTCTCGGAACATCCTTCTCCTTCATGATTAACCACCCTTCGAAGCTATGTCAAAATGGCTTCAAATACAAATAATAGTCAAGCACATTTATTTCGCCTCCCTTTAGAAATCCAATGGTGGATACTCCGATATCTAGACCCTGCTTGTCAGGCCTCCTTTCTGCGGACCTGTCATCGGGCTCGGGATATCGTCGAACCATTGTTATACCACAAGGTGTTCACCAAAATCGGCACACTGAATGACACCGCCGGCCTAGTAGACTTTTTGCTTAGGCGACCTCACGTCGCGAATTTCATACACTTTCTCGTGCTTGACGAATTTAACCCATTCGCTTATCGGCAACTCATGTCTATCGTTTTCCCAAGCCTCGAGAGCATAATTATGCAACATGACGGGGAGATCCTGCAGATCGACGACAAGGAAAGGCGTGCTCTGAATCGGCATGTGAAGGAACAGCCTAATTTGACGAACCGTAAGTTTCGATAGACCTTTGAGAAGAAATGAGATGCTAGAGAAGAAATGGCCGCTAAGAAGTTTCAGTGACTTTTTCCATTGAGCGGGAACATTGGGCTGTTGTTACTTTCGCGAAGGATGATGCCGTCTTGTTTCGCCATAAGAAGCTGAGGCGTATGCGGATTTCGTATATCGACTTCTCCGCATTTGACCAATTGGACGCTGATTACTTCCAGCACTCGAACTTAAGAGTGCTTTTTTTCGAGTTATGTTGGTACAGCCAAGAGGCGATGGCTCGACTTGTAACTGCGACGCGCAAGTTGCAGAATCTGTTGATTGGCCACAACGATCAACTCCCATTTTCGGAGAAGCTCTATCCCGCCGTGTTGGCCCCTGCTCGAGAAAGCTTGCGGATACTGGACCTCACATGGCGATGGAAGATCCCTATCGAGGACAAGGGAATGGATTTCACCCAGTTCCCGAACCTTCATTTTCTCCGCGTACCTCCTGTCTACCTTCTTGGCAGCGCTTATATGGATGATGCGGCATTGCCGGATCTCATCCGCACGAGATTCCCCCAAAATCTCAAGATGCTCCTCCTGGAGAACATCGTGCCCAGATCTATCAGAGTCATGAATGAACGAGGCGTCGTGTTTCCCGGATATCCGCCTCCAGGTTATACTCTCGAGCTGACCCTCATGCCTCGGGACTATCAGTTGATTCGTTTCTTGATAACGGAGAAGCATAATGTGCTGCCGCGGCTGAAGTATGTTCTGATGTATTATATGGAATTCATGCAAGACCCTGCAGATCTATATCCGTTGGCTAAGGAGAACGGGGTTACGCTAGGACCTTTACTCGCTACCGACTATGTGAATCCTTTGTTGGACTGGTTGGACGAGCTCTGAGCCACGATCAGCGTCCCGGGTCATCCGGCTCGGGGACCGGTGGTGCAAAGCCGGCATTATTAGTCATATTAGACGGCCTCCGGGTCGGACGAGTTAGCGATCCAATACCCAAGCATAAATATCCGAAATTATTGTACGTAGCGCCATTTCTAGAATTCTATTTGCTTACTATATCAGAATTTATGAATTGTAATTACGAGAGAGCGGAACGGAGCTAGATCAATCATGAATCAAACTGTTGGTAATTGACCTATACACGCTTCAAACTATCAAGTATCTTGGATCCTTCGGTCAGCTAGGTACTTAGAACTTTTGAAGGAAGGTAGCTCCAGAGGAAGTATTCAATGCTGCTAGACGCGAGATACCGGTGACGTACCCTCGCAACCGACCGCAACTGTCTTAGAAAGGCAGGCCAATGGGCATTAACCATGTCGTGTGACACAACGGACATCCGATGCGGGATCAGTTCGCCCCTTCCCTAGATTCCCTACCTCACCTACCTCCGGTTGTCAAGGATTAGATAGGTTTAAATATACTCTAGGTCTCACCTTCTTGACACCATGAGGAATTTAATTACTATTCACCATCATCTCCGCACCGCTTCTAGGCCACTTATCAATTCTTTATACGGGCCCTACACACTCGAACATACCTTCACAATCCAACTTAGCCCCTCTCCCACCCCACATCTACGTAACATATCTACCCAAGCCAAGCCGCAACCCACACAACTCAAAAACGCGGCACATACTCAGACAACAGAAAAGAAAAAACCATGGCGCCCGTCACAGAATTCGTCCTGCTACCCATCAAGCCGGACGCGGCCCCGGAGACCGTGTCGTCGGTGATCCAGGCGAACATCGCGACGCTGCTCGCGCAACCCGGGTGCCAGCGCGTGCGGCAGTCGCGCGTGCACGAGGACCAGGCCAAGCTGCGCCTATTCGCGGACTGGGACTCGGTGGACGCGCACCGGGCCTTCGCCAGCGACGCCTCTGCGTACACGCCCTTCCGCGAGCGCATGGGACCCATCATCGACGCCTCTTCCTTCGGCCCCGCGAACCCGCGGCAGCCCCCTTACCACGTCGCGTTTACGCCTTTCCCGCCGACGGTTCTCGACGGCCCGGACAAAAGCCAGAGCCCCGTCGTCGAGGTTCTGCAGTTCTATTTCGCGGGTGATGTTACTGACGAGCAGAGGGCGAAAGTCGAGGGTACGGCGAAGGAGTTTCTGGAGAAGCTTAGGTCGAGCACGAAGGGGATGACGGGAGAGAGCGCGCTGGGCTGGAGCGTGGAGACGGATGTCCGGTTTAAGGGCGAGCCGAGCCGTGTGATGGTCGCGGCGGTCGGGTGGACGAGTGTTGAGGCGCATCATCAAATACGCGATACCGAGGCGTTTAAGGAGCTTATTCCGATGCTGAGGGGCCTTGAGGGGCTTAAGGGCATGGATATGTGCCATGTGGCTAACACTACGACTGAGAAGAGTTAAGTGAGCTAGCTAGCTGTCTCTGGGAGATATCGGGGAGGATGGTGGGAAATGCCGTCTCGTTTGCTCGATTGACATTGCTTTGTCGGTTGCTATCTCGGTCGAAAGTATGTCTGCGGAGGCCTTTTAGAAGTAGAAAATAATTGCAACGAGCTTGGTAATTTAGAAAGGTACTTGGTCTCTTCAAATGCTATGGCCAGTATGGTATTCTCCTATCTCTGCGAGTGCTACCCCATGAATGGGAATATCAAAGAGACATGACTATTTCCAAGCGAGAGCAGATTCCTTTGCACAAGATTAAAAATGAAAGCCTTAGAAAATGGCGGATATGAAGGGTGTGATTAATATAATATGTTATACATAAGCATCGCTCTACCTATATGTCTTATCATGATTGCGTAGGGTATCTGTCTAATCCCAGAAAGCCCCCAAAGATGTTCCCGCCAAAACCTCATCTAAACGACCATCCTGAGATGGAGACCGAGTAGGGTATATATGAGTAGCTAGGTATATAGATCCAAAACGCCAACAAATGCCCTCCTCTCATAGTACCTTGGCTACGTCATCTGGGTCAACGCTGTCTTGTTCATCATCGCCCTCGTCTTCATCTTCTTCCATAGCTGCTCTCCGCAACCGCTCGCGCGTAACTGGATCCTGTTCCAGTTCTTGCCAGACCTCTAAGCCCCATTCCTCTAAACTATCATCGACGCTCCTCGGCTTCCACGGCGGCCATTTCCACACACCCGCAATGATCAAATTGCGTTTCACCACTTTGTAAGCCGTCTCCATCGAGATGAGTACTATCGTTACGACGATGAGTGTTACCCACCATATCGGATCCGTTCCGAACGTGTTAATGAATCCGTTCCTGGCTGGGTAGGGGCTCGGCTGCGGAGCATAGATCCCTGAGAGGAAGGCTTGCCAAGCCCACCATCCTGCCATAGTGATGCCAAACGCTCCTAGGACAATGGCCGTCTTATGGTGTGTTTCGATAATGCTGTAATTCTCGTTAGCAATGTGTTAAGCCGAGTAAACCTGAGAAACTCACAAAATCTTCCAGTTGATCCAAATCACACCAACTGTAAACACCAAGTCGCCAAAGGCGAAGAGACTATCATCGGAAGCATGTCCAAACACGCTGTAGGCAGCCCATACACCGAGCCATACAAGCACGCCTTCTGTAGCCGCAGCAGCCATCCAGCGCACAAATTTAGGTATGTTTAACTCCTTATTCCTCTGCCCGTGTACGTACAGCTCAGGCACGGCAAGAAGTGTCTCTGCACTAAGATCCTGCTCCCATATACCCAGACAGATGACACATAAACTTGTAAATAACGTGTTGAACACGGTTAAACTCCAGTTCTCATAAAGACTAGTTCCGGTGTAGCCATTGTAGCGTTGGTACATTGCCGTGGGTAAATAGAAGAACATCTCCTTCCAGAAGGTGTTGAGAATGAACTTCGCCGTGCGGACATAGTTCCAACGGCCGTGGACAAGGAGTAGACGCTGTAGGAAGCGAAATTTCGCGATAGCGTAGTCGGCTACACGAGCAGCCTGGAGACCCTCCTTACCCGAGATTCCAACCCCGACATGGGAGGTTGAAATCATCGCTAAGTCATTAGCACCATCGCCGATTGCGAGAGTCAGAGCACTCGGTACTCGTTGTCGGATAGCTTTTACAATCATGGATTTTTGAGCTGGCGACGCGCGGCAGCATATGACGGAGTCAATCTTAGGAATGAGGGTATAGAAGAGATCCGTAAGTTGCGCTGATTGCTCAACAACTGCCAAAGTTTGGCCGTCTATGACCGCAACACTGTGAGTGCAACCAGTCTCAAGGTCCTCGGATATGTCGCTCATCTGTGTCTCTAACGAGCCCTTCGAAGAATCGAGAATGAATATATCGGAACCTGGGCGACAGATTCGTGCTGAGTGAGCAATATTGATGGCTGTTTCACGTTTATCTCCCGTCAACATCCAGATTTTGATATTGGCGCGGCGAAGCTTGTCGATGGTTTCGGGCACGCCGACTTGGAGCTTATCCTCGATTGCTGTCGCTCCAACAAGGTCAAACGACTGTTCGATTAGTTCACCTGCTGCTTCGATCATATCCTGGCGATTAACTAGACTTGTCGTTGCATCGTTGTATATTTTCTTCCATGTTTCGTATTCGCTGGTAGGTATGAATTTCCTAGCAATTAATAGGGTTCGTAGGCCCTCGGTAGCAAAGTCATCCAGATGTTTGAAACATCGACTGAAAGTTGTCGACTCGTCGTAAATGGAGGCGTCGTCAAGAAAATTGAATTTCTCTGGCAACGGCCTTGGCGTTGACGGGCTTACTCTCAATAGCGTGTTCGATACTTCGAGAGACGTAGTTCGGATGCCGAGTGTCGGACGAGTTCTATCTCCAGAGAGCCGCGATCTCGTTGCTTCCACAGATCTGCTCCTTACGATTGCTGGTGTTTTGGTAGGTACATCAAGTTGCGCAAGAGCAATACTATTCCGATTTCCCGGGATATTCCGTCGTAACGTCAGGCTTGGGCGGCCGCCAAAGCTATTTCTCACCTCCAACTGTTCACTTCTTCGTAAAAGCTCATGTTCGATCTCGACGCTCTTACGGACTTCCGTTGCCTTCTGCATTGCTACATGAGCCAACTTGAGCCTAGGAAGTATCATGGAATCTGCACCCTTGCAAATGATGCATATTCTCCCGTCGGGGTAACGCACGACAATTGACATGCGTTTCCTCTTACTGCTGAACTCGATGACATCAAGGATCTGATACACTTCAGTCCTTTTATTGCCATCTCCGACGTCAATATGTAGAGTCACAGCCTGGGAGGATCGATGGGCAACTAAGTACCCAAGTTCCTGGGCAGCACGAACAAGCGCTAACTCGTCCGGCGACGAGGCTTGAAAATCGATCTTCCCATCTTTCTCCTCCGGCAAACACGTATGGCATAGCGCTATGCATAAGATGTAATCCTTAGCTTGCCTTGCAAATGCTGACGTTGGTCTTAGTCGAATATACTCCAATAGATCTGTAGTTGTTACATCCGGCTGCAAATGGTCCGGGCGAGCAGATGATCTCCACTGAGACGACGATCTCCTCTCCGACCGAGGTGTGAAAATTGATGACGGTGAAGAAAGAGGATATAGTTCAATATCTTCATGAATCACGCTAGCAACCTCCCTGGACCGCCGAGGCATTGCGACCGCCGTACTTACACTGAGATTTTGTTCGGTTGTCGCCGTGACTTCAGATTGAATATCCATTTCGTGTAGCCACGATGTACCAGCAATACTCAATTTGCGAAACTTCATGACGTTCTCCGTTAGTGTACCGGTCTTGTCGGAGAAGATATAGCTGACTTGACCGAGGTTCTCCAAAATGGTATTGGTGTTACACCGAGCTGGAGTATCGGTAGCCTCATCGTACATCTCTACGTCGTTGTTTAATAAAAGCATCTGGCCAATCCTTGTTATTTCGAGAGTGACGTAGAGAGCGAGAGGGATAACGTTATTAAACATGATCGCATAACCGATAATGATTTGCTTGAATTCCACGGTAGCCATAGAGACGTACCACGACCCTTGCTCGGTGGATCGTCGCCAGATGACATATCCCATAGAGCATCCCACTGTCAAGATAATGACGTAGAGCGCAAGTGCAATAACGATTTTGTTGGCAATCGTCTCCAATGCCGGCTTTTTAGCCTGAGGATGTTGATTCGCATTCAGACGGATCTTGCTCTCCTCCCCGGTGTTAATAACCATACCAATAGCGTGCTCGGTATTTCTAAGCGTGCTTCCTCGGTAGACGACCTCATTAGATGTTAAAGGAAGTGTCCGACCGTCTACGGTTACACGCCCGTCAAAACGATATAAATCGGGATTCGGGTCTTCAAGAACGAACTCAGCCTGGTAGCTGCGAAGGCCGGCAATGGTACGACAACCCTTGAAATCCGGGAGAGATTCTCGGCTTTTAAGATTCGTCTCGCCGTCAAGGTCCATGGTGTCGATATATGCTAACCCATTCTCTCCTGTAGCGTATAAAAGAACTAAATCCGCGGGCACGGCCTCATCGCGGACTAGCTTAACAATGTCACCAACCCTGACATCTTGCCATTTAACTTGCCTCCATCCGTACTCCGAATCGATCTCCTCGACGTTAGATTCAACATCCTTCTCCGTGGTCTTTTGTCTGCCCGGGAACCATCTTCGAGTTGATAGCGCAGAATTTAAATTCAGAGACTTGCGCTTCAAAACTCTCGCGGCATTGGCGTTCTCGAAATTATCCAACCTATGTCGTTTATAATCATCATATCCCTCTTTCACAATCGTTAAGAGAACAAAGAATAATAAGGGTAGAATGGTTGTATAACTCCCGGTCGTACTTAGTCCTGGGATCGCTTGGGGGATTCCGACGCAGAGGAAGTAGAAATTCGCTAGTCGCGTGAATTGAAATATTATCTGTTTTGGTATAAAATCAATTAAGGTATATCGCGAGGTTCGGATCGTATTCGATATGTACGGATGACCACGCCGCTCATCGATGAGGGCTTGTTCGTGCTCGACTCGCAACGGTATATGCCGGCCATCTTTGGAAGGCTTCAGAGGCTTCTGGCGTAATATTGCCTCCAGAAAATATTTCTTGTACCATTGCGCGGCGCACTCTTGCACTTCTCCTCCAACCCTCTCCAGCCGCCTCCGAGTCTGCCGAGCGAGAGTCGTAACCGTGCCTATTTCTTGCTTCTTTACAATATCGTGTTCTTTACGGTTGGCCGATGGAGGCATTATGCGCAGGCTCGAGCGAATGTAGCCGCATCGCAAAATCTTTCGCGAGCGCCAACGGAATGGAACTTTTCACGAGATTTCTCTCACTGAAGGCCCATGTCCGTGATTGTGAAAGAGGTAATTATCGAGACGCAATGCAATGGGGAACGAGTGTATAAAGCAGTCGAAAACGAATGACTGGCCGCAAAGAAGCCGATTCCCTGAGTCGCGAAAAGACTTGAAGCGCTTTCCAAGACCAAGTTCAGCTGGAGTATGTCCAAGGGAAGAAGAGAAGATTCGTAATTGTTACTCCGGCCATCACGATCTATTCTAATACATTGTACATTCCCTGTTTACCATGCCGGGCAAGCCCGTATTAGTGGACGTAGCTTCCATAACGGTTTCTTGGCATCGATCGTAGGTACCATTTCGCCATGTTTTCGCAGCGGCTAGTACTTATCCGGACACGCAACCGACTGGAACCAAGCATGCTATGTAAGTGACTTAGAACGCTTAGAACGCATAACATTGCATAACGTGGGTCGCCATGGAATGACCTTCACCAATCACCCGACCACGAACGCATTCTCCTCATTTTATGCCGAAACCTACGATTTGCACTTCATACGCACTTACATAGGTAATGCAAGTGTAGGGTTTGCTTTGACGGGAATCGTTCAGCCCTTACCCAGATCAATGTAAGATATGAATTGCAGCTTGGTATAAACGAGATAACTTACCTTCCGTGTAGGAATGTCAAACTCTCAATAAGTATTACTGCTTAATCAAAGTATCACACCCACCTAAACCACCTACCCACCTCGTATTTTCGCTGACGAGGCAGGTTGTCAGTTGAGCGTATTGCAGATAACCCTGCATCAATACAGCAAGTCTTGAAGTGGTTGCTATCTCTTTCTAAGACCCGAGATGTTTCGAATCAAAACAGCGAGGATAATCTACCCAGCTATGTGCATACAGAGAAACACGCACCGACTTATTAATATAACTCACAAAGCCAAATATTAGGAAAAACACTTACCGATCATACAGATATAAGAGCTAAGTCATAAGAAACTAGGTGCTTGGTAAAAAGTAGTTGCATGGAGGCAGTTCGTGATAGCAAGATTCAGCACCCAGTCTGCCAGTTAAGCCAAGTCTTGGAATAGTCAATTAAGAGATAGTGAAGAACAAAACAAGAAATTCGGAATTTATAGAGGAGTTTACTTGGCAAACTAAGACTCCTGTCTCTTGAATACCTTGTACCTACGTACGAGGTGTGTATAGTAGATATATAATAATATGTAGACAATTTCCAATGTTGCTTGACATTTAAGACATTCAATATCGTCTGCTGACATAAACTTTAGTTTAAATTGCTTTTCGGCAGATGACGTGTGCCATGGGATTGCGACAAGTATTTAGGTACTTCCTCGTAGTAGGGCTGCCCAGTGCCCAGTCGGAGATAGCATGGTTTAGCATCGGCCGACCATTAATTGGAGAAAGCTCAGGCGCTGGAGCCTTATGCATGTGCATTGTGCTTCATTAAAATCCTCGAGTTTCACCGGGACGCGTTTCGAGGAAAGCGATAACGATAAACCATCGATGTAATCATCCCAGCAAATACCGAACCTAACCTATCTACCTATCTATTGACCTATCTATCTATCAGTCCAACTCACCGTCAATACTTCCTAATCTCCACCACGCGACAAAGATCACCGCTCCTCTAAATCGACTCCAGCTTGAGAGACTCCAACTTTCATGCATGCCTCCTCCTGAGCAGCTCACACCAGAGTCTGCAAGCCCTCTTGTTAGACCAGAGGTAGCCATCACGTCCGACCATGACCCCGCCATGAGTGATCAAAAGCCCGCCAATCTGCCAGATGCTTCCTCGCCGACCGTCGCTGCTATTCCGCCAGAGTCAGAATTAAACGAGACTCGGAGCAAGGACAAGGATGGCGGGAGCAAGAGTGACACACCAACCGCCCTGGATGGCCAAACTGCTAAGGACAAGGCCCAAAGCATCTTAATGGACCTTACCGAGGATAAGGCCCCAACAAAGCAAACTGCCGACAAGGGAAAGAGCCCGGTCGCTGGAGACGTGCCGGTTGATAAAGCCGGCCGAGAGTCTACCTCTGATGCTTCAGCTGACCCTCTAGAATCATCCGTCGCGACTCTCAAACCCACGAGACCACAGTATTTAACAATCACACCCGCCCCATATGTTGACCCCACGCCCCCAACCCCAGAAGGGTCTCAGCCTCCATCGAGAACCAACTCCGCCCACCGATTCAAGGGACATGGCACCGAACCGTCTCCAACCCGATCCGATGCCGGGTATGACGAGAGACGCTACCCAAGCGAGGATGAGCAGGAGGGCAACTCTCGCTCGGAAATCCAAAGCATTATGGAGCAGTTCCCTGAAGAGGGCGGTGGCCCCGGGGAAGACGAAGTAATGAGTCCACGACTTGAGATTACCTCACCCCTTCTCGGTAGTCCTCCGATACAACATCCCCCGAGAAAGTCCAGCCTTGAACCCCTCGCTCCGAGTATTGCTCAGCAGTTGCAGGACATTCAGGGCTTGGGGCTTTCGAACACGTCGTCAATGAGTATTAGGTCAAAGGAGAAGCAGAAAGAATTTGATGATCAAGGCCCGCCGGTTCCGCCAAAAGATGGACCACCTGACGAAAGGGTTCATACCACAGACTCCCAGTCTTCGTCTGCGGCGCCCTTACATCGGCCGCCGCCACCAGATCCGGAGCCTGAGCCACCGCTTCCTTTTGATTTCCATCGGTTCTTAGAACAGCTAAAGCATAAAAAGGCTGATCCTGTAGCAAGATATCTCAAGTCCTTCCTGTCCGAGTTCGCAAAACGCCAGTGGATGGTCCATGAACAAGTGAAGATTATCGGCGATTTTCTCGCATTCATAGCCAATAAAATGGCCCAGTGCGAAGTATGGAGTGAAGTTTCAGACGCAGAGTTCGACAACGCCCGCGAAGGGATGGAGAAACTTGTTATGAATAGGCTTTATACACAAACCTTTTCACCCGCAATACCTCCTCCCCAGCCTATCCCTGGTGCGAAGCCAAAGCGCCGGGGGGGCGATCGACCGATGGGACCAGGGCGGCGCGGGCAGCACCAGGAGGACGTAGAGAGGGACGAAATCCTAGCGCAAAAGATCAACATCTACGGCTGGGTCCGGGAAGAACACCTGGATATTCCGCCTAGCAGTGACAGTGGCAAGAGGTTCCTCACTCTTGCTGAGCAGGGCAAGTTTTAGCGGACACGAGTATACGATCTGTCGCTAACTATCCTAGAACTCCTCAAAATCAAATCCTACCGAGCACCCCGGGATAAAATCATTTGTGTTCTTAATTGCTGCAAAGTCATATTTGGTATGAACGCCGCAGTGACAACCTATCACCAGACTAACCGATGCATCAGGGCTTCTCAAGCATAACAAGTCTGACTCGTCCGCCGACTCATTCATGCCGCTTCTAATATTTGTCGTATTACGTTCTAACCCAGAGCACCTAGTCTCTAATGTTCATTATATCTTACGGTTCCGAAACCAAGACAAACTCGCCGGGGAAGCCGGGTACTATCTCTCATCTTTAGTAAGTACTGATTGGTGTGAAGATATCAAGTTCGTCTACTTATCTTGTGGTTAGATGGGTGCCATACAATTCATTGAGAATATGGACCGCACCACTTTGACGATCTCGGATGAAGAATTTGATAAAAATGTTGAGGCGGCCGTTTCTGCTATTGCAGAAAAACATCGAGCAGAGGAACCTCCTGCGCCTGTTCCTGCTACAGCTCAGCCTCAACTATCCGAAAAGTCGGGACTACAACCTCCAGGGTCCTCTTCCGCGCGCCCATCACTCGATCTAGATGGGCCGAACGCACCACGTCGATCTTTGTCCTCTAATGATGATAACGACTCTGGTGAAGAAGGACCTGCAATCACCGGTTTACTTCGTTCGATTCAAAAACCCCTTTCGTCCATTGGTCGTATATTTTCAGAGGATGCAAGTGCTGCCGGCCCTAGCTCACCTATTCGCTTATCCCAATCAGATACTCCCCGTCTTAGTCCGCGGCCGAGTATGGATAGACGCCCTTCGACGGACTTGCGTCAGCGGTTGTCCGCAGAGGAAGCTGCGGCAAGGCAGGCGAGCGCCGAAGTTGCTGAAGCTCAGAGAATACATCGAGCGGAACACAATAACGTTGTAGAGACCCTTGCAGGAATGTTTCCAGATCTAGATAGAGACATCATTAGCGATGTTGTCTACCAGAAAGAAGGAAGGTTAGTTGCTTCATCAATTCTCCAACTATCTTCAGCCTACTAATATTTTCTTTTAGAGTTGGTCTCGCAGTTGATGCGTGCCTTGCTTTAAGTGCATAGTTGCAATTTACGTGGGATCATTTACTCCCACATCGTTCAGCATTGGGAGGAGCAATTCATAGACAGTCGCAATAGGTGAGAATGGGGCAAGAACGTCAATCGAATTACTTTAATTAGCTGAAGCGACTTTTAGGCCTCGATATGGTCTTTTATTATATCGACATAACCCCAATAATACCCTGAATTTCACCATTCGCTATTTTGTCTTTGGCAGTACAGTCTTGATATGGCCCTATCGAAATCGATTCATCGTGCTTATTGTTCTCAATGAAGCCAATGTGGCTATACAGTTCTTATCGTCGTATTACCAGCTGACTTGCTGACTAGCCAGAGAGGGTTAGTTATATTCTAGGATGTAATCTTCATAGGTAGGTAGAAATAGAAAATCCAGTCCAAGGTTTATTGACGCTCGTCACTTTTATCCAGGCAGCCTGCCGCAGTTTGGGGGCTATGTACGCCACCATGCAGGAGGTAACCCACCATCACCACTAATAAGTCCTAGGTCCTACTTACCAGCGTACTATAAACATTGCGCATCTTGCACACGGAGACGTCAGAATGAGCTGAGACTAATTCCAACCATATCGCCAATTACAAAATGGCCGGCAAAATTACCTACCTCTGGAAACTCACCACTCGGTCGGCCTCGACGCCATTCCGGATCAAAGGTCATCGGCTGTCGGCCGGATTCTGGATTCGATTTACTAAGGACGTTGTAAATGAACCGCCTAAAGACGAGGACGTAAGTATCAATCTGACAAAACGTCGAATCGCGCCATGTTCCAATCCAGTCTGACATATACCGCAACTTATAGGATCTTTCCGAGAACCGGTACGTGTACGACCCTCTCCCGGACGGAAAGCACATCCGATTACTCGAGTTACACCCGGGGTCGGGCGACGACCCACTCAGTGGAACCCTCCGCTCGGTGTCGCTAGCGGACTCCGCGTACGGCAGGTTCGACGCCCTGTCCTACGTCTGGGGCGACATGCATAGGCCCGGCGCAGCCACGATCGCCCTCGGCTCCGGGCAAAACCTCCGGATAGCGCCCAACCTGACGGACGCGCTCCGCCAGCTCCGGCACAGCAAGCGGTCGCGCGTGATCTGGGTCGACGCGATCTGCATCAACCAACAGGACGACGCCGAAAGGGCGCAGCAGGTCCCCTTCATGGCGGAGATCTACACGCACTGCCACTCCGTCCTCGTCTGGCTCGGCCTGCCGACGCCGCACACGCGGCTGGGCATGGAGATCCTCGCGTTCCTGGCCCATAGTAGTTCTAGCATCGGCGCCGGCGACGACGCGCCCTGGGCCCGCGAGCAGAACGACGTTGTCGAGGCCGCGATCAACGATGTCTTGGGACGCCCGTACTTTAGCCGGCTGTGGGTGGTCCAGGAGGCGGCGCTCGCGCCGCGCGTCGTGATGCACGTGGGCCGCGCGAAGCTGGAGTGGGATAGGGGCGCGGCGACGCGCCGCTTCCTCATGCGCATCAAGATGGCGGAGCTGGCGCCCTCGTGGCAGACGTCGGCGCTGCGCGACGCCGTCGACTTCCGCCCCGTTAGGGAGCTGTTGGAGCAGAGCCTGGCGGCGGAGGCAAGGCGTACGGGAACCCCGGAGCCGACGACGCTGTTGGACGTCGTGCACTCGATTCGTAATAGGAATGTGATGGACCCGCGAGACCGCATCTACGGCGTCATGAGCCTCGTCACGCCCGCCGAGGTCGCGGGCCTCGTGCCTGATTACTCGGTCTCGTGGGAGGAGACGTATCGTAGGTTCTACGACTTGGTCGAGAGCAGGGTGCTGAGGGATCCTGGGACCACGTTGGAGGATGTGAAGGGGGTTGGCGGGTGATGGATGGATGATACGGCTGGATTGGGTGTTTGGTACGGTTGGTGTTGGTGAGTTTGGCGGGAACATTTGTGGCAAGTATATCGGTTGTAAAGGTCGGTCACTGGCCTCGGTAGGTATACATGTGTCTAGGTTGGGTTCGACGACGTCCACGAAATAACGATGCTAGGATGGGCAAACATTTGAGTGATTATCCTGCTTTTCCTTTATTAGCGCATATTTCATACAAATGTAAGAGACTAAGGCTAGGCTTTTTGACGTAGATGGTATGGTGAACATTATTCCCGTCGCAATGTGTTACGCGATGGACGCATCAAGAAGTTCTGATATTCTGTGGTCATGAGGATGTAACAGGAGTATTGTTTGATGTGTGATTTCTTTGGGCATGGGAATTAATAATAGATGTATTTACGACGCAAAGCCCATGTGTCATCAGCCTAGGTATTCTATTCTCACATACACTGGCAGTACAGCAGTTAGTCAAGTAGTCACGGTTGGCATGGCAGACTGTAGCAACCCGTTAATAACAATTGACAACTGGCAACCTTCATGCAGCAGGAAGGATAACTAGAAAGTAGCTTTGTTGAGATTACTAGATGATGTGATACGAAACTGTTGCAGGTGGTGTGTTGTATTGGCTTCTACCTAGGGAATTTGTGCAGCAGAACGATTCCATTGGCTTAGTAATAATCTCGTAGGCTCTTTTCCCAAAGCACACGTTTGATTAACATCAAATCCTATCCATTGTCTCGAGCTTTCGGCTTTTACCATCTACCTACATTGTTGTTCCATCAGTACTAGCATAAAATCAAATATATTTCTTCGAATCGAGGTTCTTTTAGATTGAGATCTATGTTGTTTGTCGGACCCATAACTACATAAAGTCTGCTAATTTTTATGTCCATCCCATGTATTCTAACGTCAAATTTATGAAGACATTGAAAACTCTCCAAATGGCTGATTTAACCAGTTACCTATTTTAGCTGGGATCCATTCTATGATTGGTGGACATGATATAAATTGCAGGGATTGGAGAGTCGCAGCCAATAGGAAGGGCTGAAAGTGATATACGCCCTATTCCTAGTGTGTCTATTACACGATTTTAGTATCTAGAAAAGCTTTAGATATCTTAGCAAACATAGGTACTCACAAGAAAAATCTCGCAGGAGGGAGAATTGGGATTTCTGGGTTTCAGGATTCCTAAGTGATAATACTGACGAGATTCTACACCATGAATAGGACTACATCGGGAATAGTGTCCCTTTAACACCATAGATATACTGTAGATACATTCACAATTGACGCTGACTGCAATTAGGGGAGAAGACAAGTATTAACGTCCGGCACAATCATAACCTCTACTGTAGGAAATACCTAGCTACAAAATATTAACAACGCCAAGTACCTAGATAAATAATTTAAAGCTAGGTAGGTAGGCATGGACGAAAATAGGTCTGTATGACGATGTCTAGATATATAGTAGTTGGCACTGGCTACAATAGTTAGCACGCTGTCTGACAGCCGTCCTGGGAAAATTCTTCAAAGTTTGTCCATCTAGACCAGTCCAAGAAAACACTCAACGAGTACTATGAGTCTTGTTAACAAGACATACAGTCAAAAAATGGGGGGGAGTCGAGTCATAGCATATCGAGGCAGTCTTGTACGTAGACAAACATTCACAACATAGATGAGTAGCATGCTCTAGGGCCAACTTCATACGGTAGTCACCCCCCAGGGCTAGTTGCCTACGACAACATGTTGCGTGAAGTTACGCATTTACTTACCTCAGCAACTGAGCTAGGCACATAAAGTATAATAGCAACGTGCCCATAACTCCTGATTTATTCTTTGCCTGGTAACAGGAAAATCAGAATCTTTCTCGGTCGTCACTTAGTGCCAACTTTGAAATCTATTTGTTTTTCTAAAAATACTCAGACACTATTCACTTTTCCCATCCGGTTTCCATCAGCCCGCATACCTTTTCACATCTCCATCGGCTATTCGACTACAGTTTCCTTTTACTTTCTTCACAACGTCTTCTATTCCGTCCATTTATCACGTCTTCGCCCTAAATCATTCCAGACAAACTACATATCGTACATCTTTTCCCTGATTGAGGCGACAATGGCGCATGGGTCGAATTCAGGTTCGACGCAGCACCACTGTCCCGGCCGAAAAATCTATTCAACACCCTGCCGCACTGGCAAGATTGCTGGCCTCGGCGTTTATTGCGTCACTCATCAAGACGCTTGCCGTATCCACGACATTTTTAAGTTACAGGGAGAGAGGTGCATCTCGTGTATAGCTGCGGACGCAGCTGCGGAACGTGCCCGTCGAGCACAGGCTGCAAAGAAGAAGGAGGAAGAGGCAGCTAAGAAGGCTGCTGAAGAGGCCAATAAGAAGATTCGCAAGAAAGAACGTTGGACTCAGGAAGAAAAAGAGAAGGGTGCTCGAGAGAAGAAGAAGGACGACGACGGCGACAAGACGGATAAGGCCAAGAAGGCCAAGGAGAAGAAAGAGGCAAAGTAGGAGGTAAGTCTTAATTGAATGAGTTCTTCCCATTTCATCCACCTCTTCTCTCCTACATTATATTCACATACGACATCAAATTCCTTGCGGGCCAAAATTTTGGGTTGCAAACATTGCTGGAGTCACATGGATGCAGTGGTATCGATACAGCGTACAGTTTGATACTAAACTTGCATGCTTACATAATCACACGTACCTTAGCAACCTTGAAGCTAACCAATTCCAGGCCAAACCCAACCAATCAACGACGATCCAGAATTTAAACTTATCCTCCTTCTTACCCTCCTTCTTATCCCTCCTTCTTAACCTTCCTTCTTATTCGTCTTTCCTGGATTCATCCTTTTTATATTCTGCGTCGGATTGATCATCATGGCGTACTTCAAGCTACGCACCCCAAGACCTCCAGTAAAAACCAGACGGCCTCCAGTTCGCTCTAGCATACAAAGCACCTACTTCTATGACACCGACGATGGTGACGATCCCGACGGCGACTATGTACATGCATGCGTCTATGATGATGTACGAAATGAAGAGAGCATCAGAAAGGCCTGGCTGTTGAAAGCTCTGGCACTCTGCAGACATGTATGGCCATCCGCCAAACGCGACAAGTTCTCTGTTGACTACCTTGGTCATGGTGCATTCAACTCTGTTTTCAGCATTTCGAGAAAAGAAAGGAGTGGCCAAAGACACGAATATGTTTTACGGATTCCCGAAGCCGATCAGGACATAACTCGTACAGTTGGTATTCACAAGTATCTGACCAAGTACACGAACTTGAAGGTACCCCGCGTCATTACATGGGATGCTACTCCATCCAACCCTCTACAACACGTCTACATCATCCTTGAACGGGTACCTGGAAAGTGTCTCGAGGATGTCTGGCAAGATCTTCCTTATGGCCAAAAGTTAGTTCTGGCCCAGGAGATGGCCCAATTGTACCACAGTATCGAGTCTATCACAAACCCATTCGCCGGAGTCATCAAGGCTCACCGGCAGGAGGCAAAACATTGTGATGAAGCTATCGATCAAATTTTTGTGGAGGCTTTCGGAGCTGGAACAGCAGAATCACACGCCAATCCGGTCAATTGGGATACCCCTAAAGACGGCATTTTACCCATTCGACGTGACCACCCACACTCATCCGTGAGCGACATTATGCTTGCCATCTTCAAGCGGCGCATATATGAGAAAAAGAATCGGGAAATTACCAACGAATTTACGCTCCGGCGGTACGAGCTATGCCAAAGAATAGTTGAGGACATGGTGGATATGGGGCTATTCGATCCCCAGAAAGGTGCTGTGTGTCTATGTCACCCAGATTTATTCCCTCGGAATATTATGGTCGACTTTACTCCCAAAATAACCATCACCGGCATACTGGATTGGGACGATGCTATGTTCGCACCCAGATTCGCTGGTCGTGTACTTCCGCGATGGCTATGGCAATCGGTACCTGAGGGCGAGTCTGGATCCTATATTCATGACACAGAGCCATTAGATTCTAGAGAAAGCGAACCAGACTCGCCACAGAATGCAGAGATTAAAGCAGAGTTCGACTTTACCGTGGGAAAAGACTGGGTATCTGAAGCAACTAGCGAATGGCTTCGTCTAGCCAGAGCTTTACTCAGATTCAGTCGAGAGGGACTAATCCATACACCAACCTTCGAGAGCATCGCCATATGGAAGGATAAATGGGTTTCATTGTCCACAGATGCAGCCGAGAACCTTTACTTTTGGAGGGTGAAACGCAACTTGTCGATCTTTCAGGAGCCAGATGAACCCTTCTTCAACTGGAAAGACGACGAGGAAGTGTCCTACTGGGATGAAGCGGCGGAGTCACGGAACCGTTTCGCGAGAGACCTATTCAACGAACGCCTGCGCTGGATTATATCCATTCCCGCAATCCCTTCTCGTTCCGAAGAACAACAAATTGGCATAGATAGCTCGGCAAACTCGATTAGTGATGACGACCTAGTCCCATCTAGTGCGAACAGTGACCCTCCAATGCTTTTCAGTATGGAGGACTCGAGCATTCGCGAGAGAGTACATGCTGCCACTCGATTTTCGCTGCCTTGAAAGTCCCATTCATAGAGAGATCCCTCAACAATCACTCTACGATACCGGCCTAAGAGAAGAGTGGAATCATAATGAACACGGGATAGTTTCGTGAGAGCATCCCATGAATCATTTCTCAGTGACTACTAAGGTCCATCTGCCATGACGGCCAGGTTAGTCCAATATGTCTTGGTTTTCGTGAGCTTGCAATCATTGAGCTAACTTCATCTAGGTTTACCCGCTTGAGTGGCAAGATTCTACCAAGACTCGCGATGAGAACGTGCTAGTGGTTAGTCATTAGGGTATGATGGGTTTCGGGCAGAGATTACGGAAGGGTGCTTTGATTGGGGGCTTCTTATTTCCTTATTTCCTTACCTTTTTCTTTCCTTTTTTTCCTATGTTTTTCCTTTTCAGTTCGGCCGCCAAAATCCGAGACGGCTTTTCCTAATGATTTCTGAGGCGTCATATGACGAACGCCCATACGACACGAACGCAATGGAGATAGTCTGACCTGCTAAATTAATTCAGAGCCTCCGATTGCACGCATGAGGGATGACTTAAAAAACTGATGTGACTTGTACAGTAGATAACTACCATTTTTGTAAGGCAAGTGACTGTCCATTCTGTCCCTTCAAGTGCTATCTATATCACCTAACGCATTCCAACCTTCGTAAGAAATCAATATCTAATTAGACCATTTTCAAGGATGGGTAAGTACTCATCAGGTGCATTCAATCACATGTATACATGGCCATAGGTCATCGTAGTCTAGGAATGCTCAATTTATTCAAGCAATCTACACTCTAATTACTGTTATAGAACTAGCACAATTAACGAAGTGCCACGAACCTAGTTGATAAGTTATATTAGTCCTACGCATATTATATACCCTCATCAGATCTCCAATAGGAGCGGATCCCTTAAATAAGGGGTAGTTGGCGATACCCTGTGGGGCTTCCCATGGAATAATTACCTATTTAGTAAACTACGACAGCGCCCAGTAGGAGCATAGCGAATGCGATGCTGGGTTTCTCAACTTCCATGATATGCATTTCTATGGCGTCCTTGACACTACAGACTAGGCGTCCCAATTCCTCATCTGTCTCGACCGGGATACATCTGCACTTTTCCGTGTGACTTAAACCTATGGGCATTAAACCAGCACCTAGCTGGACGGCACACCCCGTGTCTGGTCTACAGACAGCGGGACCCTTGCGGAATTCAAGACTAGCTTTCTGCGTAGAGAGAGTCGACATCTTGAGTGCTTGCGTTTACCTAGGTTTACTGTGCAGGAGGGGTAAGAAACCTGATATCTACCGAGATAGACTCGAGAGCTTGATGAACCTTTGAGCCTGGCCGTTAGGAGCTGATTTATATCTGTTCATATTAGAAAGTAATTAGATACACAATGCATTATTGTTAATATACTAATGTCTTTATTATAAGTTTTAGACAAAGTAAAGATGGGACTTGTTTTACTTCTGTTTATCAACCAGAGTCTTTGTTCGCTTGGTCTTAGGTACATCATATATGTATTACCTGTTGCTAAAACACACGATCCGGCAACAATTAATTCTCGTCGCTACCCAGGATACCTTCAGGTTAAGTCGGTTCGCGTCGGGTCGGGTCGGAGATTGACATCATTTACTGAATGATTGTCTGCTATCCCCGGGCATCCAGCACTGTCCCCAGATCCCTACGTAAATCGTTCCCCGCAAACTACCTTCCCCGCTTCCCCGCTTCCCCGCTCTGATCTCCGTAAATGTACACCATAACTCACCTAGCCGGACTGCTGGAACCGATGCGGACAGGGTCGATTATAGAGTGCCCAGTGGTTTCCAAGAGGTTGCTTATATAATATCCGTAGTGGGGTTCTTCAGCGATGCCCGGACTGCCGGGGCATTTGTCCTTCCCCTCCGTAGACGTTCCGCATCAGGAAACCGGGTGAGCGAATTCTGGGAAAGCTCGATTGAAGGAGAATAGCGGCGTGGAGTAATTATGGAGAAGCGGTGGAGTAAGTGATGGGTAGCACCTAGACTTGCAGACTTGTAGCCACAAGTCGACGATGCCAATTTCCACATTATCGACTTCGTCCCCATCGCAGAACACAGAGATGTAACCTATCCGGCATCCTATAAATACCGGCCCGGTGCCGCCAATACCTGCGCACGGTCTTCAACAGACTCATTCTGCTATAACCGATAGGAGCTCGTTCCAAGATGGCATCTCTTTCAGCGGCTTTGGTTGTCCTTGTGACAGGTGCTCTCGCATCTCCTGCAACCAATTCTCAACAACTATCCACCCGCCAGGTTCCAGATCAAGCTCAAGTCATTGACTGGAAATCTATCAATGTTCTTCCAACTGTTCTCCCTCCCACTCAAGCGAACGCTTCTGCGGTATTATACCTGCCTCTTAACTCTTGATTAACTGTAGAAGCTAACTTTGCCGTAGTTCTTTTTTGTGCCGCCTGGGCTTGACTTGGAATCAATGAAGGATAAACCATTTCATATCTTTGATGATGAATTCTATGATGTGATTGGCTCCAACCCTACGTTGACGCTCATCGCCAGCTCTGGGAACGAGCTTCTATTTCATGAGGCCAACACCTGGTATCCGCCTACGGATGAGATGTTTTTCGTGCAGAATGCGGGAGCAAAGCCGGCTGGCACAGGCTTGAACAAGTCCAACGTCATTTCCAAAATTTCTCTCAGCGAAGCTGCGGCGGTGTCAAATCTCCGCAATGCGACGGGATCCGTCACTATCCAGACTCTCGACACCCCAGAAATTATCAATTCCAACGGTGCGCTATCCGATACCGTGATTTTTGTCCTAAATTTACTAACCTACCCTAGGCGGGACGAACTTCCAAGGCCAGATTGTGGTTACAACAGAAGGACAAGGCGATGACAAACCGGCACAATTGATGCTGATGAATCCAGTCGAACCTTACAATTCAACTAGTAAGTATCACAGACCATATTTTCATATGAACTGTTGATTAATACTTCTTACCCAGTACTTATCAACAACTTCTTCGGACGCCAGTTCAATTCCCTGAATGATGTGTCCGTAAACCCGCGCAATAAGGAGCTATATTTCACGGACACCCTGTATGGATACCTACAGGATTTCCGACCCGTTCCAGGCCTCCGGAACCAAGTATATAGATACAATTATGAGACGGGATCTATCGCAGCAGTCGCTGACGGATTCACTCTCCCTAATGGTACCGCATTGCCTATATTTCTCACACTATGTTTAAATAGTCTAACACGTATTCATCAGGAATTACATTTTCTCCTAACGGATCACATGCGTACATTACCGACACCGGTAACAGCCACGGCTTTTGGGGATGGAATTTCTCTAACCCTGCGAGCATGTGAGCAGCTGTCACTCATTAAACAGTCATGATAATCATCTAATTAGTTTATAGTTATCGCTTCGACGTTGAAGAAGACGGCACATTCGGTAACCGACACCTTTTCGCCTATGTTGACTCAGGTGCCCCAGACGGTACGTAGCGTAATACATACGAACTTTCCTCCTCCCCCTTAAATTATTTCAAAATTGACCAAATCTGTTTCATCATTAGGTATCCATTGCGACAGCAAAGGTAACGTTTGGGCGGGCTGTGGCGATGGCCTACAGGTGTTCAACCCGTCGGGCAAACTTATCGGAAAAGTCTTCCTCGGCAAGACTTCCGCCAACTTCAACTTTGCCGGCGACGGACGGATGGTCATATGCGCGGAAGACGAGCTCTACTATGCTACTCTCGCGGCTTCGGGGGGCGGGTACATTTCGTAGTCTTAACCCTAATGAAATACAGGAAAGTTTCTAGCTGAGAAAAAAGAAAAAAGGAATTTTCCAAAACAGCTTTGTTCAATAAGTTGGTACTGACTATGATTGATACCTAAACCTCTAAATACTACAATAATCACGCCTTCAATGAATCAACGTACTGCTTCACAATCGCATCCGCGCTCTCATCCTTGATCAGCCCCAGCCTCAGCGGCGTAGTCGTATCGAGGTCCGGCGCCCAGCTCCTCACTATCCTCTCCGTCTCCGGGTCGTTCTCCTCCTTGATATACTTCAACCTATCCTCGCCGCCGTACTTGGCCAGCGCGTCCATCAGCTCCTGGATGGAGACCGAGATCCCGGGGACATTGATATGGCGGATGTGGCGCGGCAGCTTCGCGCCGTCCATGTTCAGCACGCGCACCAGGTTCTCTTGCAGCGTGAGCGGCGAGCTCATGAACGACCGGAAGGACCGGTCGCGCAGCGGCACGACGCACGGCTGCCCCGCCATCGGCTCCCGCACGATGCCCGACAGGAACGAGGACGCGGCGTTGGTCGGCCGGCCCGCGCGCACGGATATCGTGGGAAAACGCAGGCTGATCACGTCTAGGAAACCCCGCCGGTGCAGGTCGTTTAGGAAGATCTCGGTCATCAGCTTGTGCGCGCCGTACGTGCCCTCGGGAGTAGGGGTTACGGCGTCGGAGATGGGGCCTGACGGGAGAGGTTGGCCGTAGACGGCTTGCGAGCTTGAGTAGATTGTTCGTACGCCTGGGTACGTTGATTTTAGCGCGAGGAGTAAGCCTCGCACGCTGTCGACGTTGACGCGGAGAGAGAGGTCCCAGTTCGCTTCGGAGCCGGCGGACATGCTGGAGGGGTTTTAGTAATCGTAAAAGTAGAAGCATGGGGGTGTTGGGGGAGTACCCCCTGAATAGTTGGAATAGGGGATGGGGCTGAGGGGTTCGTATCTGGAATCACCTACATGCCGTGGAAGATGAAGATAGCTGAGAGCGGTCTTGCGGCCTCGAGTAGCGACGAGACGAAAGCCGGGTCGCAGATATCGCCCGTCATGACAGTCGCATTCTGGGGATACTTGACGCCGGCCGGGACGGTGGCCTCGTTAAGGTCTGTGAGGATGAGCCTGTACTCCGGATCGTTGAGCAGGCGGGCCGCGAGGAGGGGGCCGATGAAGCCACCGGCTCCGGTGATGATGATGTTCTTCGGGATCGGCGCCATGGCTTCAGATGATTTGCTAGTTTAACTATTGCTCGCTTCTGATATTAGATTAAAGTTGGCCAGGCAAGGATTTATGGCGCCAGGCACGGGATCTACGGGTCTTAAATTGACTCGGCTAACTTCTTCGGCATAAACTGAAGCGTGGACGTCGGGGGAATTAGTCCATTAGCCAGCCGGCTTGCCTAGGTAGTATTCGTTAGTATCCGTTGGGGAACGAGGGGAGACTGCGGGGTCGCAGTTACAGTGTGGAGGAAGAGAAGTAACATAGGGAGATTCATGATCCACTCTCCGTACCGTACCTAGGCTTAGAGTGCGGAGTCCTGTGACGTCTTCCGTACACGATCCATACCATCCCGGCATGCCCCGGAACGCGGAACGGGTCGTCCGGCTGTCGAAGAGAGGGCATTCAGGGGCTCACTTCCATATCCCTAGAATAGAACTATCAACAAAGCCAATTCATTCAAATATTACTAGGATCAATTAATGATAATATTCACATATGATTGGTGAAGCTAGTTAAAAATAATAGCGATCACAGGTAATGAACCATTCTCTGAGTTACCCAGGATCTAGGCAATCAGAATTAAATTTATTATTCATGTATCACCATTATAACTCACTAAGAGTTTTCTATTGGTTCATACTACCTAGGCATGTCAACAAACCATTACTTCACGGAACATGTTTTTAGACTTTGTCAAAATGTCAAGAGCTTCGAGCGCTAGTGGTCATCTCAGGGGTAACTTATAAAGGTGACGTACAAGACACATACATATTATTCAATGATAATATATTAGATTTATATTTCTACTCCTTATAACCCTATGAGACCATTGCTGTTAAACCAATTCGCGCACCTATTTAATCCTCCTGGTATAACTCCTCAAATGAGTTTGCACCACGCAATGCTGGGGACTCACGTCTGACGAGATCATAATCCTCATGGTCCAGTGGATTGTCGGGAGAATTGTAATTGTAGAGGTCTTGGAGGTCTTCTTCTTCTAGTATGCCTTGGTCGTGGTTTGGCACCAACACGCCTGCAATTTCCCGGAAGTCACTGATGTTGTGTGGATCGTGCATAAACCGTTCCTTTGCAGCTATATAACGCGGCTTGGGAGGGGTGTGTTGCCAATAAACCCGGATGCCTAGCGAAGCTAACCGCCTAATCATACTGAGGAAGCAAACTGTCTGATGACGTCGCTCCTCCGTGGCAGGGTATTGCTTGGTTACAAGTCCCAGAGAGTTTCGCTCTACAAATGCCTTCCGTTTTACGTTGTACTTCAATCGGTGAGCTTGAGAAAGAAATTCTAGAAGCTCCCGGTTTAAAGGGGTGTAAACTAGCAGTTGAAATCGCCACGCTTGGCCAGCGAAATATTCACTGTTAGTGTATACGTATTTTTCAACGATTCTCTTGCGGTAGGGGATCAAATCATCTTCGACATAGTGGAGCAGTTGTACTAGAGCCTCAAGTTCAGCGTTGTCGAGGTTCCATTGTACGGAACCTGAGTCGACTTTGGGCGAGCATTTAAAAGCAGCGTTTATGTTTGAACGAGCATGACTATCAGAAAACAAGAAGTTCGCAGAACATGAGATTCTGTTCAGTGAGCGTGAGAATTCGAATGGCTCAACTGCGACTAATATGTATCGATCTCCATTTGGCGTAACGTGCGAAGGATGCGACTTCTTACCACCCATGAGAAGGTAGTCGAGGCCACAACGGTGACATCTATGAAAATGACTGCCAAAGTCACTCCCATCCTGTGGTTCCGAAAGGTCAGTCATATATTTCTTACGGTCCTCAGGGCTCAACCCATCGTGGAAACCCCTGATTTCAGCGGTCGCCTTAAAGCTCCCGAACACTGGTTCGACGCTGTGTGCCTGCTCGGAACAGGGGATTCGACTTCCAGGTTCAGGTAGTGGAATGAACCCGTCCTTGACAGAGTTGATGCTATGTAGACATACCACACAAGTTAAGAGCGAATGTTTCTCGCAATACAGCTGGCCTTGAAAAGCGTTTGAGGAAGCCATTTTGGGATCTAGTAAAAGGAGTTAGCTGAATAGGTATCGATAATGAATTTTTCGGTGTTCTTTGGTTATCGGAGAAATGCTTTCTCTGGTAGATGCGGATGAAAGAGTTGGAAACGACTCAAAAGCGTTATTGTGTATGATATATACGCCCATTTGAACAATGTCCGTTGTTGAATATTCAAGTTGCACAGAGACAATACCGCTGTTCCGGACATGTTTCCAATCAACACATGTATCTGCTAGAAGCCACCTTCCATAGCCAGTACTTATTCGCAGTTCGGCGACAGTTTCATTCCCATCGGTAATAGGAATGTGTAACAACCGCAGTTCTCCTTTCATGTTGATGGCTCGATAGATTCGATCACCAAGGTTCAACTCTCGGCTCCGAAAATCTGACTAGCTCCATTTAGTTTCTGTTCTACTTGGTATTTCCACGGTCGTACGCTGAGATGCGGCAGGCAAACATGAGAATATTGATATTTGAAATATTTCGATAGTCGAATTCAAGATGTATCAATGCCGTAGTCCTCTAGTTTAAGTAGTAAGTTTAGATAGGGCTGTCGCACAAGGACGAGATCTAGATGATTTCTAGGTACGTTGGTACCTAAGTCCTTGTATCAATCGCTTAGACGGAGAATTGTCAAAGAATTGCTCGATGAGATGACATAATTTGCAGATAGCTGATAGCACTAGCGTCATAATTTGCGGGTTGACAGGGTAATGGTGGGGCGAGTGTTCGCTTAAATCCCGGGGTACCCCTCGAGGCTGGCTCACGCTAAGCCTTAAACGATGATAACGTTTACGATCCCGATATTTACCTAACGCTGTTTGCTCTTCATTGGCCAATCAATTGCTTATCTTTTCCTACCTTATCTATATTAGCGGCGAGACCGAAGTCAACTTGGAAGGCTTTTAGGAATGTGCAATGTCTTAGCCACATGCACCCGGTAAGATGATGAGGTAGGCGGGTAGATACCTTTCTAGGTGGTTCAGGTGCCCAGTCAGTCAGGCGAGTGCCCGGCACCTAGGTGCCTAGTAGTGTGGGGGAGTCCTTGAGAGCTGGAAACGTACCTATTTCGTTGTTGGTCGCAAGGGTCCAAGGTTATCAGCCATGGCAGCACGAAAAGGATTAATATCGTTGACAAGCTTGAAGGATGTAATACTTTTCTCTTCCTTACTTCGATCTTGTTATCTTGGCTCAGAAAATTTTTCTTATTTGCTTCTAGTCCCTGCTAGATAGTCTTTTCCAATCTCCTAATATCGCTCGTTTACTTGTGGTTCGACTATCTAGAGTTTCGACGTAAGATGCTTGACGCCCGCAAGCCGAACTTAAATATCCTGTTTCTGGCCTAAGTACCTGTCCTGTTCGGCGGTCGCGTCATGAGCAGATCCTTCACACGTGTCTAAACCTTGGGAAGTTCTCATTACTCGAAAATTACCTAACAAGACGGAAACGGAAACTTATTCGACTCCTCCCCTAGGCCGAGTATTGGCCTCGTTTTCACCATGGAGAGGCTTCACAATTCAAAGCTTAGTTCATGGGCAGAAAAGATTGCCGTGGACAATGAAGATGGTCTCACCACGGCCCAGTTGATGGTATGGCTGAATCTGTCCACCCATCTCACTGGATTTAAACGATGCCACCGGTCGGTGGTTAATTGAAGCCATCACGAGACTAACTAATGTCAGTTAACAAATCATGATCTTAAGCCTGTCGAGCCTGAACGTCGCCAATGGGGGGCATGGAACTTTGTGGGCTTTTGGATTGCCGATTCCTTCAACATCAACACCTGGATGATTAGCTCGTCAATGATCGTAGGCGGGCTCTCTTGGTGGCAGTCGTGGCTTTGCGTGTGGATCGGGTACTCCATTGCTGGCTGCTTCATCTGTATGACCGGTCGCATTGGTGCGATGTACCATATTGGATTCCCAGTCGTGAACCGCTCGAGCTTTGGGATATGGGGCTGCCTTTGGCCCGTGTTCAATCGTGCCGCTATGGCTTGCATTTGGTACGGGGTTCAATCCTATATCGGTGGGGAATGTGTGTACCTGATGATCCGATCTATCTGGCTCAGTTGGGTAAGGTCAACGATCGACATGTGTGCGGGAAAGTCTCAAGTTATTAACATCGTTTAGGACCGCGATCGCATTCCAAACTCGTTTTCGCCTGACTCGGGGACCACTACCGCTGATTATGTTTCTTTTTTCATCTTCTGGCTCGTGTCTCTACCGGCCATTTGGTTTCCCGTGCACAAGATTCGACATCTTTTTACCGTCAAGGCCTACTTTGTACCCTGTGCCGGCGTCGCCTTCTTGATCTGGGCTTTAGTTCGCGCTGGCGGACCGGGCCCTATCGTTAGGAAAGGTGCGACGGTAGAGGGTACTGACCTTGCTTGGCAGTTCATCAAGGGGGTTATGAGTTCCATCGCGAACTTTGCAACTCTCATCGTCAACGACCCTGATTTCTCTCGTTTCTCAAGCAAGCCACGTGATGCACTTTGGTCACAGCTTTTCACAATTCCTATCGGGTTTGCTGTAACCTCCTTGATCGGTATACTGGTCTCATCTAGCTCGGTCATCATCTATCCCGGAACCGATCCAATCTGGGATCCCCTTAAGCTGTTGGAGAGGTTCATTGACGACGGTGGTTCTGGTCAGCGCTTTGGTGTATTCGTTATCGCCCTTGCTTTTGCGCTGGCTCAATTAGGAACAAACATTGCGGCCAACTCGGTTTCGGCCGGAACCGACATGACGGCTCTGCTCCCGCGATTCATTAACATTCGGCGTGGCGGTTATATATGTGCTCTTGTTGGCTTGGCCATGTGTCCCTACACCCTACTTACGTCGGCAAACCAATTCACAACATACCTCTCGTCTTATTCGGTCTTCCTCAGTTCAATCGCCGGCGTCATGTGCAGCGACTATTATTTCGTCCGCAAAGGCTACCTTGAAATCAGGGAGCTGTATGACGCTCGCAAGACCGGACCGTATTACTATGCCTATGGTTTCCACTGGAGAGCTTACGCAGCATATATCAGTGGTATCCTTATTAATGTGGTTGGTTTCGCTGGTGCCGTAAATGGCGGCAACGTCCCTATAGGGGCAACGTACATTTACAACTTCAATTTCTTCTGCGGCTTCATCATCTCCGCGGGAATGTACTGGATTTTGTGCAAGCTATCTCCCATCCCAGCTTGCAGCGATACTTGGATGGAAGTGGGCGATCAGATCGACGAAGTCAGACTGGCGTACGATCAAAGTAGCCAGCAAGAAGAAGAGTTTGAAGAGGACGCGGCTCTGGGTAATAAGTACGACAAGAACCACCAGAAAACGGTATAAAAATGAGGACGAGCTATTTTTTGTTAATTACTTAGATGTCAGGTATCACATTGACGTGTTTTTGGCATTGGGTTAGGTAGGTGTTCATTCACACGGCGGATCTGACACTGGCTTCAATGTTGTCATCATATCTAGGAATGGGTACTGTGTGTGTATATGATAAAAGTCTAGGTAATGAAAAATCAGGACATTCAATATCTAGGTATTATGGATGTCTTATTTTATTCGTTCTTGCTCATTAAAATACCTAGACGTAGATATGGACGGTACCTTCCTTGTAAGCACGGTTAGGTGCTAGGTATGTGCAAAGTGCACTTATGACGGGTACGGTACTTCAGGTGGTACAGCCTGATCTGTGCGCTCCTTCAACTAAAATTCACGCTTGGTCCAATCCTGTCATGATAACCCGCACTTCCCTCTAGGCAGGTGCGGTACAGTGCTACCTCACCCCTACAGAGCTCCTATTCTGCCTAGGTAGAACAGTGAAGAAGTAAACGGGGGCAAGGCACATCGATTAAACTTATTAAACCTAAACAACTTCCACCATCTCTTTCCCAGCCTTGGAAGCTTGATACCCATCTCAACGCTTGTCATTTATTCATCACTTCTCTTCTAATTCTCTTCTTTGACTTCATCCTTCCGATACCCCGATACCTATTTAACAGTAGGTATATTTCATTTCCAGTGGTTCACTGCCTGCCAAGTACCATTGAAGGTCTTTCCTCAGCTTTTATCGTCCAGTTAGGTAGGTACCCGACAGCCTTATACCTACTTTGTGAGAACCCTTTTGTGAATGACTGCTGACGCTTAGTTTCAAAGATATAATCGACGTCTATCTTGACCATGGATCCTCAACCTTCTGAGACGAAGGATCAATGCCATCTCCTGAAGATTCCGCCGGAAGTACTCCTTCAGATATCTTCCTACCTCCCCACCTCAGACTATGGAAGACTTCGTGGCGTCTGTCGGCAAATCGAGAAAGCTCTTTTCCAGGCTTTCGCTAGAGAGTTCTTCACGAAGCGCCAATTTATGCTCACCGAGTTCAGCCTTCAAGCACTTGTGGATATTTCTAAGTCTAGATTCGGATCTAGTCTCACGTATCTCATCATCAGTCTCGAACGGCCAAATACCTGGACTTTTCTTCATCACCAAGGAACCAACCTCGGGTTCCGGGACCTTGACGAGATGCTCAAATACAACAGGTTCTATGAAGAATGCATCGGCCATCAGACCTTAATAAGCTCCGGACACGATGTTGAGCTTCTTACTGAAGCTCTTCGCAACCTACCCAAGCTTCAGACAATTAGTCTACGAGATTTCAATTCTCCCGGTCGATACCGTGATGGAGATAATAATATCTGGCGCACTTATGGCGCCTCAACCTTCTCGGAAGTGACAAATTCTCACGTTGAGCAGCCACGATTCATCCGGCCCCCCAATGCACCCCAGGAGTTTCATTCAAGTTATGTCTCGCACACATTTCTAGCCATGCTGCGAGCTCTAGGGAAGGCGAAGGAGGTACACCAAGCCCCCGAGCTACAGGTGATCTTACGATCATGTTATCTTCCTCCGCTCGCCTTCAACATACCCCATTATCTAGTGCCAACTATCTCACCCGTCCTCAAGGATCTCAAGGTCCTATTTCTGGATCTAGGGCCCATCTCGTTTTCTAGGCTTACTATTAACAATGGGGGGCGATACGAAGGGTTTACTTATGCTGGTTATCTTCTGGCCAAATTCCTTTCAATGACGCCATCTCTGGAGCACCTGCGCCTTAATTTCCGGAATTGTAGCGTCACCGAAGCAAAGGGTATCCTTCAGTGGCTTGCTCACGTTCCCATATCCCCCGAAATTCCACGGACTCTTGCATTGCCGGCAGACGAGATATTCGAAATGGACGATGTGCAAGACCTTGGCAACATACAAGAGCGTTTCCCCAAGTTAGAAATACCGACACTCCCGCGTCTAGAGAAGCTAGATATTGGCTGGGTAACCGTTGGGCTACCTCTACTCCTTAGTATTTTCAAGAGATACAGATCAAGCCTGCGTTCGATCTCTTTGCACAGGGTTACTCTTGACAGCCTGCCGCCACACCAGACCTCGGGAAAAGTCAACCTCTGGTCAAAACTCTTCAGTCAAATCACGAAGCTTGGCCTCAAACTCGATGCCATACATATTTCTCATGTACGGCAGAAGTATAACTCCAGTCCCTATTCGGTGGAATTTAAAAGTACCAATCAGGGCCGAGTTGAGAATTCGCCTTGTAAAGGTTGGTCCGGATTTGATTGTACGTACACCCTTTCTTTTTTGATAAATCTTCTCGGTATTCATACTTTAATGGCTTTATCCATGAAAGACTTTTCACCCGCAAACAAAGTGCTGACATATCACAGTGGAACGTGCTTCACAAGAATTCGTCGAATCAATGATTATCAATTGGCCCGACGACGAGGAAATGGAAGACGACGACATGAGTTCAGAATCAGATGGTAATGTGTTACCCCTTTAAGCATCCTTGTCACTCAAAAATATTACTTCGTCACTAATTCTTTGCAAAGGCAATTCAGGATGGGAAGATGACATGGACGATGAGGATGACGTGATCAATTAAGCTGTTCTCTGTAGTAATCAATATATACTGCAGAAATTCACCATAAAGTTGAGAGGGAAGCCTCGAAATAAATCGTATCGTCATATGCGTAAGTAACCATTCAATCTTTTAGTAGCAAACCCCAAAGTGCTACCTTGGTCTTTAACATATTCTTAGGATATTCAATCTAGGGGCGATATAATACGGGAGGTTATGGCACTGTCACATGGTGAAAACGGTTCGAACTCCAAAAGTAATTCGTGATGATATACAATTAAGAGCTAGATATGTGAGTTGATATTGCTATTAGTCCTGTATGTAAATTACATTTCTTCCTGGATAACGGGCTAGCTTAGATATAGCCCTAAAGGTTCTGATCAAGGAAGTCGTGGATTGACGTGTATGTGGTCGCCGCGGTGTACTCCTACTCACAGTTAGTATCGGTCGCGGAAACCGTCTCGGCCGGTGACGGGCACTCACCAAATTTAAGCTGTGGCCAGCTTTAGGGACGACAATAGCATCAAAAGTGGTCGCGTTGGTGAAGTACTGCTTCGACTGATCGGGGATAGGAGGCGTGCTCGTGTTGCAATTACCTCCGCAGAACGGGATATCGCGTTCTACAGTTCGAATTTTCGAGTCAGTCTACGAAATCCTTACCAGGATCAAATCGTGAATAAGAAAACAAAGGCGCATATCTTACCTCCCGTTATAACGAGGACCGGTCCTGCGAAAGTGTTGTTGCCGACCGCACCGCCGCCGATGGTCATCAGCTCGCCGACGGTGACGGGCTGGTTCGACACGTAGGCCGCCTGCAGGACGGCCGGGTCGAAGTTGTCGGGGCCGAAGAAGTTGGTCTGCACGCCCGTGCGGTCGCCCGAGGCCATGTAGCCCGCCGGGTAGGCGGCCAGGCTCGCCGACGCGTTCCGCGCCACCACGTAGTTGCCGCCGAAGGTGAAGAACGAAGAGTAGCTGCCCTGGGCCTGACCGAAGCCCGTGAGCACGAGGCCGTTGGACAGGTCCGGATTAGCCTGCACCAGCGCGTACGAGAGCACGGAGCCGTAGCTGTGGCCGACGTGGACGAGCTTCGGGTAAGCCGGGACGCCGGCGACCTGGTTGCCGCGCAGCTTGGACGTGACGGCGGCCAGCGCGGCGAGCTCGAGGTTCGTCTGGATCTCGTTTACCGGGTCGCCGCGCGTGGAGGCGCCAAGACCCAGGCGGTCGTAGAAGAAGACGCTGTAGTTGCGCGCGAGCGCCGCGTTCGCGTAGCTGTAGTTATAGCTCGCGAAGCCGAAGTCCCAGTACGAGCGGTCGAAGGCGATGCCGTGCGTCAGGATCTGCAGCGCGCTTCCGGGGCCCGAGTCCGGCTCGCAGTAGGTCGCGCCGATGGAGTAGTTGCCGGTAATGGTGGCGACCTTGGGTTGTGGGTCGGGTGTTAGTGCGAGTTTGGTATAGTGGGGAAGTAAAGGGGGCGGGTTAGGTTGGGTTGGGTTATATTTACCGAATCATTGGTGTTCAGCACCGTTTGGGTGAAGTTCGCACCTGGCTGCGCAAGGTTCAGAAAGAAGTTCGTGACTTCGATGTCGTTGGCCGGCGCTTGGAGGGTGAACTTGGTGTTCTGCGCTGATATCGTGATGGGAATCGTCAGGTTCTGACACACACGGGCCGTGGCTACGGCGGCGAGGCCGGCCAGGAGAACGGTAGGTCGAGTTACTTGGATCATTGTGAGATTTGTCTTCTCCTTTACTAGGCTTACAGCTGACTTGGTGATGAGTACTTCAGACTTACTCAGAAGGAGGGCTACGAGCTCATTTTTATATCGTGAACTACACTACTTCTCCGGGAACTAAAGGAAAACTCAATTCCAAATTAAAGCCCGAATTCCAAATGGAATCTCATGACATATTCTATCGATGAGCTATCACGATGACGTTCTCTGTATTATTGCGGCGGTGAGGCCCCAGCGTGTGCTGGACCCGGGCGACTGGGCCATACAATGGGGATCCATGTGCAGTTACGCCGCGCAGACCGCGGCGATAGAGCGGGTCGCTCATCGCGAATACGTGCCTTAATCATCAATGGGCATGAACCAACATCAATATTGGACCCTTAGCCTCGCGGTTCGGAAACATAGGTGCTAGAGTATGCGGCGTAACCCCGACGAGTGACCAGGGCTGAATCTGATTAGCTAAGGAAACGTCTTGGCCATGTGGTTAGTTGGCGAGGACATCCTTTGAACGGACCAAATCGTTCTCCAAACCCGTATTCTGCAGCGAAAAGTCGACATGGGGGCAATTCCAAATAATATCTGGGGAAAAGGAATGGGAAATTGTGAATGTTGAACCAACATCGCAGCTAAGCCTCAGCCCCGTTTGAGCCGCTAACCTAAACCTTATTCACCGGGGGACCATGCGGGTCTCTGCCGCAATTCTCGGTTAGCACCGATGACGTCTATTAAACACCTCTGTTCGGATATGGTAGTGAATTAGCGAGCTCCTTCTATCCGGAGGCCGAATTATATAATAGTCGAGCGGGCTTTATCGTCTTGGTCCCCGACTAGCACCCAATCTCGGAAATGATAGGTATTAACACAAGTCCTCCAGCAACTAGCAAACCGAGCACATCGGCGATAGAGGAGAGGAGCTATCGTCCATCCGGGTCCTTCCTCACTACATACCATAGCCCCTTTTCGTCAAGGCCACTCAGGTTGGTAGTCACCTCTGTCCTAGGAATAACTGGGGGACGGAAGCCGGTTTTCGGCAGAGAGGCAGGGCAGGGTAACATGAGAAACCTATCAGTTATGAGTCCCACAACTTTCTCGATATATTAGGACGCATGCATGGCTTGTCTCTTTCCACGTCGTCGAAGATCGGTAGTGTGCGTTTTTATTCTCCGAGACCCCCTTTCCCTCTCCTTGAAAAGCCACCCAATATTCCTACCCTACCCCACCGCAAACGAGTTGCAGACAAGCAGCCAATACTTGGTGTCGATTGCCAATGAATAACTATGATATACGTTAGATAAAGTTGAAAGGTGGTTATGTTCCATCGGACAAGTATTCTCCGAGAGTATTAACCAATATTGTTACCTATCTCGGTACATATCACCAATGAGCTGTCATGTTTTAAGATACAGATGTGATCAACGAAAAACGATCTTAAGCAAATTTCAAGTGTGAATATGCGTCGAGATAAGAAAAGGGGGCCCATCAACTAGAGCGGCATGCATTTAGTTTCAATCCATAGCCGTTCACACTGAACTTCTGAGTTCTATAATCTACCATGATCGGTTAGCTATGCCGAACCAATAAGCACAAAAGTGAAGAATAGGATCAAGTCATACCTCACACCAAGACGCAAACTGTGATTGTTTGCTGTGTACCCTAAGATAAATGCAATTTTTCATTGAGTGGTTGTCTAATATTTTACCAATATAAATCCGTACCACACCGCATGCTACCGATTAATTAAATGTGATTTCCGCGGTCCTTCTATGGGTCCGGGATGGTCGTACCTCATGTCTACCCAGACGCCTTAAGCAACACCAAAATCAAAATCAACCTCTTCCGAATGACATGTCTATATCTGATTGCTCAGGCCTTTTGTTATGTATTTTCGTATCTATTTTGAACTGTGTCCATTGACACCGTTAACACCGTTGCTCGAATGAGCCGTATCTTGCACCGCCTTCTCTAACGCCTGTTGCACGTCATGGACCAAGTCCTCCGGCTCTTCGATACCGCAGCTGACACGAACGAGATCGTCGAAGACCCCCACGGCTTCTCGCTGGTCTCGAGGAATACCAGCATGGGTCATCACGCTCGGTACTTCGACCAAGCTCTCGATGCCGCCGAGACTCTCAGCCAGCGTGAAAATCTTTGTCAGCTGGCAGAAGCGCTCGGCTGCGGCGTGACCTCCCTTGAGGCGGAATGAAAGCATGCCGCCTCCCATACCATCTCGATGCTGCTTCAGAGCAATGTGTCGGTGCGGGTGAGACTCTAAGCCGGGATAATTGACGGCAATCACATGCGGGCTAGCCTCTAGGGCTTCCGCAACAGCCGTTGCGTTGGAACTAGCCTGTCTCGCTCGCAGATGTAACGTCTTGACACCTCGGTGGGCAAGCCAGGAGTCGAAAGCCGAGGGGACAGCACCGCACGCGTTCTGAAGGAAGGACAAGCGCTCACGCAGCTCCTCCGAGTTGAACGCCGCCACTCCCATAACCACATCGCTGTGTCCATTGATGTACTTGGTGACACTGTGAACCACGATATCGGCGCCGTGGTCCAAGGGGTTCTGGATATAAGGGCTCAAAAAGGTGTTGTCGACCACAACTTGGACACCCCTTGCGTGAGCCGCCGCAGCAACAGCTCTAATATCGACGAGCCGCAGCGTGGGGTTGCTAGGCGACTCGATCCATATCAGTTTCGTGTTATCTCGGATGTGCTCGGCGATGTCGACCTCGATCTGCGGGGTGAAGGTGACGTGGACGCCGTGGGCCTTGGCCACGCGGGTGAAGTACCGGTGCGTGCCGCCGTACACGTCGCTCACGCTGATGACGTGGGAGCCCTGGGCCAGGCTCTGGAGGATGGTGGCGGTGGCGGCGCTCCCGCTGCCGAACGCAAGCGCGTATTTGGCGTTCTCTAGCGCGGCCACGGCCCGCTCGAAGTTATCCCGGTTGGGGTTGGAGCTGCGCGAGTATTCGTACGCGCCGACGGGCTTCCCGGCGGCGGTCTGCGCGAAGGTGGTCGATAGCGAGATGGGCTCGATGACGGCGCCGGTGGAGGGATCGTGAGGGGCACCGGCGTGCACGGCAAGGGTTCCGAAGCCGTGCACAGGGGACGGCGCCCGAGGAGGGGTCTCGATCGAGCTCTCGATAGGGACGGTCATGGTTGCGTGGACTACGTCTATTCAGTATAGTAGCTAGCCTTTGTTCTAGCGGATTGACGGCAACAAAAAGGTTTGTATCAAGGTGTCAGGCCGGCCTACAACTTTTTCTTGAGAAGTGGGAAAAGTAATGGGCTTGCTGCTTAGACGGGGAGACCCTGGTAGTCAATGAGTGGAAGTGGGTCCTATTTAGTTTTAAGTGTAGTAATCTGGGGTTAGAGGACTTGAGTTTAGCGCAGGAATGAGCGAATAATTGGCAATTGATGGGAAGCGACATCTTATAAAGACTTGGAAGTTTCGGCCTAGATAAGCGATATCGTCCATGATGCGTTGCGGTGAAGAGAACTCAATGGATATTGTTTTGTCATCATCGATATCTAATAAGTCCGATATTCGTCATTTGAAGGCGGGATGAGGAGATCCACCCGGCTCGGGGCTTATTAAGGCGGGGCTGCCTGCATCCGACTACCGCAAAACCGCATGTAACCGTTACCGCGGAACGGACTCCAGCTATGTATTTCGTACCTTCACTTCGTTATATGTAATCTAAACTTCAACCTTCGTATTTACAACTCAGGATTTCCAATATCATTTTTAATTCTATTTAAAATCCCCTTTTCCTGTTGTCATAACTCAGCTTAAGCACCCAAGGTTAGCACGTAATCAACATGCCATATAACGTGCTTCCATACCGCCACTGATCACCTCGTATATCTAATGCCTCAGCTTCAGCTGGTACGTAACGACATCATAAGCTGAAATAATTGTATTGGTACAACACCAACACGAAAAACCGACAGCCGTCTTATCAAAACCCTCATCTCTGCATGGCCTCCCTCATCCACTTACACCACTTACATAATAGCAAACCTGGGGAAACAACTTTAAGTATGTCCCCAGAGTGTGGAGATATCCGGGCCCACGAGGAAGCGCGAATAAGGAGCAAATACGATTTCATGGATAGTCTGGGTCGCCTAATACACAATACAACAAATGCAACCGAAACCTGGTTGTCCCTCTAGGCATCATGATGTTGTCTGTTTCACTTTGCTAATATGTACCAACTCCTTCCTGTGTCCTCCATACTCCACACTGGCCCCAGCCTCTGAGTTATAAGATGGAGCGTTTATGCAAATCTACCCCAAAGTATTTCAAAGAAGTCTCACATCCAATGCCTTAGCACGTCGTATCCGCAATTTCCTAGAGCGACGTGCATTGACAGCTGCCGGGATTTCGGGTGGCGGCGCCGGGCCCTTACTCTGGAGCTTCTGCCCCTTATTCGGGGGCCCGTTGAAATTCCCCGCGTTACAAGCGGCGCTGATCCCGTCGCACTTGTTCTCCCAGACGTGGCAGTTGGCCGAGCCAGTCGGCGGCGCCGAATCGTAGCACTCCTTTGCCTGGGCGAAGCATGCCTCGGACGACTTCCAGCAGCCATCCTCGGTCGAGTAGTCCGGCACCTCCACGCCGACCCAGTTCGCGTTCTTGATGAGATAGTTAGAAGGAATCACCCCCTTGCTCTGCTGTGAGACTTTCGATGATGCCGAAGCTAACACGGCCTTGCTCGCCGATTCTGCGGGCTGGTAGACCTTCGGCCCGGGCATCGGGTAAGGAAACTTCGGCGAGTAGATGTTGAAGGTCAGCCCTGGGTCGGTGGACTTGACGTAGCCCGGAATACTGACGCTGTATTCTGCTGGGACGTTAAGGGGTGCCGGGCTGCCATTCTGAATATATACCTGAGCACACCCTGTATAAAACTGCGGATCGCCCTTGTCGGCTTCGTGAAGGGCTAGCAGTTCAGGTCGGATGAGCCAGTATCCGCTAGAAAGAAACTCGGGGAGGTCGATAGACATCAGGCCATTGTTGTCAATCAACTTTTCTGTGCACCACTTGCCGCTGGTATCGTCATACCCTTCGTCCCACTACAACACCATGGGGTTAGTGAATTCTAGAAACTCCAAGTTGAAGTATGGGCCATCAATAATGCAGTGCGGAGGGACACGTTCTAGCTAGGGAAAGGTCTTATAAAGGTGCTTACGAGTTTAATCCAGCCCGGTCCAGCAGCAGAATCCGTTGTCATATTCTGAACTTGTTTGGCGTATACTGCACAAGGCCCCTAGGTTCCAAAAGTTAGGGTTGTCGTTTTTGCAGCATTTGGCTTGTAGCATGTCATACCTTGTGTGAGATATCTATGGCACCTGGCTGCTCAGCATCGGCCCATTCGCGCCACTCAAAACTGAGCTTTCCGCCAGTCGACGCGGGACAGGTGAAGGCCACAGGTTGGCTACCACTGGCGCCTAATCAAGAGTCAGTGGAGCATTATCGCCGGTTAAATCTCTACTGACTGACCGCAAGCCATGTCGTCGCTGCTTATGCTAGCTATTGGATAGGAGCATGTCTGAGGATCCATGCTCATCCGCACACATGTTCCATCTCCTTGGGAAACGTCGTTGACGAAGAGGGTAGTGAAAGTGGTATGAGCATCGGTCATCACGATCAACGTGGTAGCCACAATCCCAATCAAGGAAGAATGCTTCATTTTGAGAGATAGTCTCACCAAAGACTCGCGATGTTTCCAAGACAAGATTTCCAGAATGAAGGTATAGTACTTCGACTTTCGGCTACCTTGCAAGTACGTACTCGGTTTGATAAGTACCGGAGGGGTCGCTTTCTGAATGATGACTTAGTCCAGCTAAGAGGCAGGTGGACAAAACACCTTATGACGAACAGAACATGATCGGAATGAATGGATGTACGAGCAACCTATGAATAACGAGTGACAAGAAAGGAATGTATGATGCAGAATATTCATATGCTCACGCCGCAAAACTAACGAAAATGGAATGGGGGGGTTATCCTTTTAATAGTAGAACCGAATGAGTGCAAGGTGAAATGATAGGGAAATAAACATCTGAATCAGCACCGTCTAATGTAAATAGGTCACCGAGGCATAATTCTTTCAAGGCTCCTGATTCGAGGATCAATTCAACGACCTCCCTTAAAGGGGATGCTTCAAGGCGCTTGTTTACAAGGCCAAGGATCTACATGCTGCTCCCAAGACCGCCCTGTTTCCTCAGGGGTAATTCCCCATGGTGGAAATTGTCTTGGGCCCGTAAACTATGAAAAAAGTGCGACGGTAACACGTGCGAATGACGTGAAAGGGATCTGGGGTGGCGGAGGGCTAATTGAATCTGAGATGTATTCTGATGTAAGGGACAGGGGCTGGATGCGGGTGGCTGCATTCTTATATTCCGTGGCCAATCGGCCGGGAAGTACCGACTGTAGTTGAAACGAAGTTCGTCCCGACTATTCAATGGCTGAAAGGTAAGCCCCCATCTAATATCGATCTGAACGGAAAAAATGATGGGATCTAACAAATCAACCTCTATCATTGAACAGGGAAGTCTTAGGCGCCTAGGTAGCTTATGTATGGTGCGATTGCGCTGTGGCTTGCGGCTAAACTTGCATGACCCCTTATTTGAACCTCCACCAACCGGTTGGTTAGTTTTCTGACAGCTATCGTAAATATACCTGTGTTTCGATGCCAGGCAGAATGAGAAAGGCCATCATGATGGCGGCCCGGATCATGTTGACTGGTATGTACCTTAATAGGGAGGTATTAGTATTATCAACCAGCCTTTACCACTAGGGTTTCCCTCTATTTAGAGACTAGTACGTAGGTAGGTATCAAGATCTTACTTGAATAGTATTCCGGACGTCGAATTTAGCTTCAAGATCTTGATCTGTAAACGGCATTCAACATCCGATTGATCGATACCTACCATCTAGTCTGCCAGGTAGGCAACCAGCAAGACCGGAGACTAATTAACTGAAGTAGCGTGGACTTCCACTCTAGAAGACATTCATGACAGAGTTTGATCGCTTCTGAGCCACTGGCATGGCTTATATACCCTAGTGCTTCGGATTCCATGCTGTGAACTTGATGGTACTTGAGGTCTTTCAGAGGAATTTCATGATTGCGGGGCTGGATAGGTAATTAGTTTCCTTGGGAAAATGGACTCTCTGAGAAAGCGGGATCTGTATCTGTGAGACTAAGTGAGGCATGCCCGCAAGGCATATTACAAGAGTCTGGAAAGGGTAAATATTGGTCGATCATATACTTTTTTTCATAAATAGCCACTAGATTTTAGGAACTTATTTTTTTTCCTTCTCTGGAGGATGAGTGGAGATTAATTGCACCTCAAGACCATAAGGTGAAGACTACCTTACTAAAGACGCCTTTCCCCCCTCCAGCTGTCATGCATTACCTTGCGCTATGCAAAGCGTGATCCGAGCTCTTTTATACGCCGTTTCTTTTGTACATGCTATGGTACACCGGTGTCGTGAATCGTGGGTATCGTGTCATAATTACTCGTTGATCTTGGCTAAGATTCTGCAATGAGAAGGATATAAGTATCGCCACATTATATGAGATACTATAGGAAAGAGAGAAAAAAACTTACTCGCTGTCGCGGAAGAGGTGGTACTCCTCCTCGCCGACTTTGACAGGTGAGCCTCCATACTAGAAATTAAATTAGCTCCTATTCGCAACTTAGGCATAGAGAGATCCCGACTTACCTGGGGGATCAACACTCTGTCTCCTTGAGATACACCCATCGGTACACGCTTGCCCTCCTTGTTCAGCGCACCGGGGCCGACGGCCAGAACTCTGCCTTCGTTGAGTTCCTTGACGCTTGACTCGGGCAGGAAGATACCGCTGGCGGTCTTGGTCTCAGCCTTGATCCGCTGGACCAATACGCGATCCAGCAGAGGGATGAGGGACTTGATTGATCGAATAGCGGTGGCCTATCACATTGACAAGTTAATATATGCCACACAATTGTGTATAATTACCGGCTCATGGTTACAAGCCTGTAAGTGCTGAGAAGCGGTACACACCATTGTGAATTATATACAGCGGGAAGTCGTAAATCGTAGATGATAATTCTCTGGGCAAGTTGAGGGGAATTGAGAGCTCGAGTGTCGAAATTTGAAGCTATCGCGAGAGATGGGTCTTTGGAAAGCTTTGGAATCTTCAAGTGGCTAATAGACCTAAACTTTTTATTCCTGGGTTTTTCCGATTGCCGGGGTTGATTTTTAACTAGACCCGCCCGGCCGGGGCTTTCGGATCCCTGCAGCATCATAGCATTATCACGCCTATATTAAGTAAGCCGCTACATCTGTGTGCATACCTATGTACTACCAGGTACCTCTATCGAAGTCTATTAAATCACACCGACCTCAAGAGATAATAAATACATAGAATCGAAATACATCGCATTAGAAGATAGACCGCTGAGCAATAATCTACCTGAAACTCTCTATACACAGTCGCATATACTCTAGTCTATATCCGCTATGAACCTGTATGGTTTGCACCCTTCCGCATTCGCCCCATTCCCCCTCCCACTATGCCGATGAAGGTAATATGTTTGAGAAAATGCCTAACTCCACAAACTCCGAAGGAAGACTGTTCCTTCCCCTCCTATGATCCAAATACACTATTTAACACCTTCCAGCCCCCCCTCGCGTCCCTACTTGCTAGGCGGTGCGGGAGGTTCAAGAACATGTGTATGGTCCTCTGCATGAATCACTTGTCCGTGGCTAACCTGCCTGCAAATGACCGTGTCCGATACCCAAGGTTCGTCGAGGATCTCGGTCATTTGAGCTCGCTTCTTGGGATCTATCGTTAGCATGCGCCCAATGATATGCCTACTCTCTCTAGGAAGTAGTCGCAATAGCCGCCACGGTCCTCTAATCACTTCTTTCTTCTCCTGAGCATTGCTGTCGCCGCCTGTAGTAGTAGCTGGATCGCTACCTTTGGGTTTTTGCTGCTTCGATTCATCCGTGAAAATGTCACGTTGTGGAATGCTCGAAAGATCGTTGGTTGACCTTGAAGGAAGGATGAGCTTCTTGGGATCGTGGCCGGGGGATGGCTCCGCTGCAAAAAGCTTATATGAATTATCCGACAAGCGCGGGACCTTCCAAGGGAACCTCCGGAGTGACATGCAGCAGAAGATAATAGCTAGTGACCAGATGTCCACTGCCTGAGGATCGTACTTGCGCTCATCGTAAACTTCCGGGGCAAGGTACGGATCGGAGCCAACAACGCCTAATAACCTGTTAGATACACCCAATATCCGCTTTCACTGCGATACCACACTTACCAGAAGCCAACACAAGTTCCGACTCAAAAGGATACCTGAACACATGGGCGCTGCCAAAATCGATGATCTTCATAATGCCATGCTGGCTAACGACGACGTTATCCAGTTTCAGATCCCGGTGGGCGAGACCGGAACTATGAAGATAGGTCACACCACTAAGTATTTGAAGGAAGCAGCAGGTAATTTCCGGCTTCGACATCTTTCCCGTCATTACTATGGCGAATAGGTCAAAAGGAGCGTATTCCATGACTTCGTACCACTTTCCCTTCTCCTGCACGATGTCCAGTGTCTCGATGATGTTGCCATGATGTAAGGCGGACCCGATACAGAACTCCGCCGTCAACTTCTTAACATACTCTTTCTCGGTCTCGTACGAATGACGGGGGCGAAATTCCTTCACTGCAAAAACGGTGTTGTCCTCTGTCCTTTTCATCAGTTTAACGGAACCTCCGGCACCAGATCCAAGTACTCGGCCAAGCTTTCCATATTTGGACGTCAGACCATGGTCGTCGGCAAATGGAACTTGATGAGCTTGTCTAGAGCCCAAAGGAGACGGGGATATCGATTTCTTCGACTTGTGGCCAACTCCGACCTTGAAAAATCTCTTTAGATCAGACATAGATCCATGCGCACTATGTGTCGTAGACCCGGTACCCGTTGGGTGCAGTTCACCAGACTTATTCTTATTTGCGAAGAGACCAGAGAGTCGTTTCTCTTGCCTGTCAGTCTTTGTTAAGTTAGTCGTAGAAGAGGAGGGCGAACTGCGCCCCTTCTTTCTAGAGAAGACAAATCTCTGGTCGATATTGCCGCCGGGCTTGTTTTGCATAGGCCGTTTGCTTGCGGCATACGGGTCATTGACATCCCCCTGAGGGGTAAAGGGTCGTGAGTAGTATTGAGATGCGGCATTCCTCGACGGACTGGATTCCCTAGATACAGGTAGAGACTGGCCACCAATACTGAACATCCCCTTCCGGTGCGAACGGGCACCACCATCTTGCTCATCAACCGCGGTCGAACGTTGTGATATGTTGTCAGTGGAGGCAGGCCGATGAGGTAGCCCCACTCGTGGTGAAACGGGTCTCGAATCCTGGCCTGAAGCCTGTGGTGTTATGGCCTGCGAATCAAAGCCTCCATCGGAACTTAAAATTCGGACCGATTTTGCGCTCTTACTAGAGGAATCTGCCCCGGAAGTCCCGGCTGGTGTGAGTGGTGGTGATACCAGCTCGGGAGCTTTAGGGCTCAATCGGGGCGAAGGATGGCTCATGGGGCTATGGCTGTGCTGGGGAGTTGCGCCAGGCGTAGTCTCGTTGGACGCCACCTAAAGACGTCTGCTGTTAGTTGAATGTGAAATATCGATGGTTAAATTTAGAGATGCCAAATAAAGCATTATTGTTGGTAAGAATATGGATCAATCAAAGTATCACTCATTTCCTAACGCCGGAAGAACTGAAGAACAAATGAGACAAAGCAATTAACGACAATGAATTTGTCGTTTGTGTTTCGCATCTAGGAGGAGAGGGAGTAGGATTTCGTAGACGACTACCTGGGTAATCTATAGGGAACAAGCATACCCTAGAAGGAGGAAGCGAAACTGGATCAAACGAATAATTTTGCAGCCGTTGCTCCTGGAGCTGGGCGCCGTGGATCGAATTGGTCAAAGCCTTTATTAGGTCGGGGTTGGCTATGCTATCCCTCCGGTATTCCGGAGTACCAAACAACGCAATGGGAGGGTCGATCTCGTCAACTATGGATGAGAAGCGTACAGCTGGCGCACGCTCTGAGGATTTCGCAGCGGCATCGGTACGATCGGCTAGACTGTTGGAGCTGCCTATGACGTTGAAAATAGAATAGTCAGTAACCAGTTTCAAATGCTGGCATTGAGCACACGAGATACACTAGGTAGTTTAAGACAACACCATGCGTGCTCGACAAAGGGAGAAGATCTTAAGAATACCTTGCGGCTGCTCCAGTCGACGCCTGTCTGCGTCGATCGGGGTTGTCATGGCAATCGAGGTACCCAGAGGCTACGGGCTACACTTTAGATAAGGATGGGTTCAAATTAAAAGCGTTACAGTACGAAAAAAGAATAATGGTTTGTGAAAAAAATCTGGGCCGAGGGATGGCCCCCAAGAATGATGTTTGGTAAGGAAAAGAAAAGGAGAAGAAAGTAAAAAAGAGTAAGAAGTGATGATAATATGATGTGCCAGACTTTGGCAAATGTCTAACTAAAAGATCTCTCTCAAAACTTGTGGGAGTCCTGACTTATGTCCATCTTGGTGGGGCTCTCTAAGTACATACTATTAGGATGGGGATGGGGATGTGGATGGGGGATGGGATGTACGACGAAGGTAGTTCTTTCCGCTGCTGCCCGTAATAGCGCCTATTGACATGATACCTAGGCGTACAAGGTACGTATTTCGTACCCTTTTTTTTTCTTTTCCTTTTTCTTTTTTTCATCCCTCTTTTATATGGATTTTACGATGCCTATCTGCGGACCTACCTAGGCAGACTTTTAGGTGAGCAATGTGACGAAAAATTAGTACCTGTACGATAATTTGAAATATTGAAAATAAAGACATGGACTCGTCACATAAAAGTAACTGTGCAATGAAATAAAGTAAATATTTAAAAGCCGATACGGCCGGACTGAGTTGCAAATGATACTGAACGGGTGACGAATTCGAATCCGAGGTAGATGCGTACATGCATAAGTACAGTACGGTACCTAAGCCTAGGCTTTAGGTAAGATCTTTTACCTCGGCGGTTTATCCGGAGGTGCACCACCCAGACACTGTTCCGAGTTGGTTGAAAGAAGATTGAAGAAGCAGAGAACCTCAAAGTGATTGGGAAAGGCTTGGGCAGGGCCCAACATGGGTCTTGTGGGTCTTGTTCTTGCAACCCTGTCGGTGGGGTACCAAGATTTGCAACCCGTTTTCAGCCCGTTTGCGATTTTGCGTCCTTTCAATGTTCCCAATGTTCACAAGGTTCGCAAGGTTTTAACGTCTGGTGCCATGCAACGTTTGAAGATACAAGAGATACATTGGTACATTGGCACCTGTGGAATAGTGTGGGGACGGGATTGGCTGACAAACACCAACCAAAAAGGGAAAGGGTTGGAACTAGAGATGCAAGGACATTCAATCCCGCTATCCACTCTTACATAAAAGAGAACCTTGGATCGAAAAAAGTCTTTGACTCATTGACATTTTTGTTCAACATTCGAAAAAAAAAAAAAAAAAAAAGAAGAAGAAGAAGAAGAAGATTGCATGCCCCTTCTCTTTTCCCTCAGTTCCGTACCCGACAGGCCGGTCGGTCAACCCAATCAAGTAATACAATTCAAAAACTGGAATTCAATCCGTTTGGTAAATGATATTTATTCCCTACTTCCGCCGTGGATCGTGGGCACACTACATACATAGGAACCAGTTTACCAGTTGGCCAGTGTGTGTCCTACCGTCTACGACTTAAACATCGACCTGCATGGGACGTACCAGATGTACCCAATAACAATAAAAGGAGCCACAGGGTGTGCCTGAATTTGATTAGCTTGCAGCAACCCGTCTGCCGGCGGGGCCTGTGATCTGCCATGCATTATCAGGGCCAAGATTTATTATTCTCCCACAGAGCTTCAGCCAATAACTAACCTGGCAAGCCTATAGCTCTGGGATCTATCCAATACACTTTCTGTGATCTATCAAAGCTTCAGGAAAATCAAAGACGAATCCCTTCGAGACATCTGTCCAAGCGGCACATTTTGGGGTTACGATCACAAGTTCCGTGGCTCGAGAAGCAAATCAAGTCTATAGTTGAAAGCGCAAGTGTTAACCTAGGTAGGTAGGTGCCTAGGTATTGAGATCAGAAGATGTCCGAAATATTAGCACGGATACGGAATTTCGTCTGTGCCGCATAACTTTATATGCAATGTGTTGCGCAAAGCGCAGAGTTGATAGCAATGGATCCTTGCGTCCGTGTTTACCTAGGTAATTCATTACAAGATGCCGGGTCGACCCACGTAGTTCTAGAACTAAGGGTATTCTAGAATATATTTCGAAGCAGGTTCAGAGATAGACGGAACCATCAATATGTACGGATTTATGTATAGTGGAAATACTAGCGTTTATGATTTCCACGATTTGTCCTACCAAATATACTCGAGTCCTAACACAACCACATGAAATTACCACGACTTATTATCAATGCTTCGATGATGGGCACCAACCGGCTTCCAGCGTAACGTCTTCGGATATTTTCGATTTAAGCTTGTTCATTCGTTTATGTCATCTTGCTCCAACGGCACAAATCTGGGAAGACCGAAGTCGGTCCATGAGCCGGGTAGCACAACGGACAGCTGTCTTGAAGCATCGATGCCACCCTCATCTATGTACATAGCTTAATTCGTATTCTGACCCCAACTGCATTCCAGCACTTGCTACATCTTAAGCAGCCGGCAATTCATTGATATAGCTAGGTATGTGATATATCATAATGGGACATCAGTATTAAGCCGACCTTGGTTGACATCGCTGTAAAATACCGAATATTTCACGAGGAGATGAAGGGCAATATGCAGGTACCCATCTAGGGAGCAAGCATGAAATACCTTGTTTGCATGTGAGAGCATCTGAGACCTTCGGTTATCTTCAAATCCACCCAGTTCCCAGTATTTCCACTGCATAAGAAGCCTCAACGCATGGCTTGTTGAGGTGACTCTGTTTGATTCGTAAATCGTACAGGTGTGGTAATACATGTTTATGCCTATTCATGCATAGAGGGAGCTCCGAAGTGGACAAGCAACCCTATCCATGGATGCCAATCGCGCCAACGCCCAGGTAATGCAGAAGACGACCGAACCACCTTCGCCCGACGTCTACGCAACGACGGCAATTCCCATTGATTTGGCCTGGGTGATGACCAACTTGCAAAGACTTCGTAGAGGAAGGCCAGAGAGTCGCAACTCGGATTGCTTTATCTTCGCTATTTCGTAGACATGTTTTAAGGTGACGGTGCCTACTGTTTCGTGGCCGGGCCTGCTTGCTGCCTTCTTCTTTCCCTTCTTGCCTATAGGTAAATCTGCCGCGTTCTTGAGGAGCCAAGAGGCTTGCGGTGTCCGAACATCGAAGTGAAATGATCGGTCTGCTCGTACGGTTACTCGGGTTGGCATGGGCGTTCCTGGGAGTATATGTGCTGTCCGCGCATTGAATTCCTGAATATATGTGGTCAGTAATTCCAGCACATCATGGCCTAGGTGTGGAATTTGCCTTTACCTTACAGAAATCCATAGACTTCACACCTTTACTTCCAAGTGCGGGACCAACAGGAGGACTTGGAGAAGCTTTACCCGCTTCCACGATAAGCTTCACTATTTGGTCAGCGCCAGCTGCAGCTGAGCGAGCCTTAGACATATTGTAGCAATTGCGCGCGGTCAGTGAAGGGGACAGGCGAGTTGGTCGTCGACTCGAAATCTGGAGATCTGGATATCAAATCTTGAATATCCCCAAATTTTGCAGAAAGTCGAGAAAAATCGCACCAGCCACAATCCCAATGCGACTCGTGCGCCACATAATGTCACCTCACCTGCCACACCCTGCGCACCAGCCCACTCAGCTGCCCACTCCGAGCCTTCCCGGTTTCCATAAGGTTTATCAGGTGCCGAGATACCAGGGTACGAAATAAGGATATTGAAACGTGATTCGAGGACCCCGCCAAAAACGTCGAGAGCTTTGAGCTACTACGCTACTTCCCACTAATTAAGAACTTCTTTAACTCCATACTACATACAACTACAACTTACTCCGGATCACCGCTCTTTTCTCCTTTCTATGAAACCTATCTAACTTCTTCTGTTCTCTCAACCTTATCTATATCATCTATCTCTCCTACCTACCTAGATACCTATAGTTAATAACCTGAAAGATTGCACCTCCTAATCATGTTCAACTGGGCAAAGCAAACGTCAGCAGCACATCGTCCTTGATCACATTACCACGTGCCTCCGGCTAACTGATTTGCCTAGTTTGGCTAATGTCGTGGGAACGGAAGAGCCTATCTACGGGCCTTCGGCCATAAAGTCTGTCGCTGAAGATGCTAAGACCACGCCGTATACCGAGTTGAAGAGAACCGACCTAAAATGGGCGGCCATGGACTCGACCTGCGTCGAGACCCAGACCTTCTATTTCATGGCGGACAGTGGCAACCTAGCGTTTTGCCAGGTCATCTATAGCAACGTGGCGTATGAGTGTCTAGCCGCCCTGTTGCATCTCGATCTAGCTGACTTTCCGTGAAGCGGCATCCGCACGACTTGCCAGTTCAACTCAAAAATCTTCTTCGCCGACGCCTCGAAACCTATCCTATGGAGTTCGACACCTCTGAGTCATCATGAATTCAGCGAGGATAAAACCGGCTTCTATGCCACTGATTGCGCTTTGGAACTATCCGAGGACGGGATGACCTACACGATCAAGTCGATGAACGACCCCCAGGCTATTGTTAATCTTAGAGTGACGAGGGTGGCGCCGGGTTTTGTTGCTGGGAAAGATGGCAAGACCTTGTTTGGTACCGATCTATCCGATCCGTGGGGCAGCATGCGACACGCCTTTTGGCCGAGAGCTGTCGCTGAAGGAACCATCATGACAAAGGACGGGCCCGTCGACTTCAAAGGGAAGGCGTTCTATTCTCACGCTCTCCAGGGCATGAAACCCCACCACGCGGCAGCGCGGTGGAACTTTGTCAACTTCCAGGGTCCGACCTATTCCGCGATCATGATGGAGTTCACCACGCCACCATCGTACGGTGCTACCGTAGTTGACGTCGGCGGTATTGCTAAAGACGGCGAGATCATCACCGCCGGAACGACATGCGGCGCTAAGCACCTTAAGACGAAGCAAGATACGGAGAACGACTGGCCTGAGCCTACCGAGATTAAATTCACGTGGTCTGGCACTACGAAAGATGGAAAGGCTGTCGAGGCCGTCATTGAAGGTTCATTCGGGGACAGAGTTGATAGGATTGACGTCATGGCGGAAGTACCCGGGTTCGTCAAGAAGATCGTTGCTGGCGCTGCCGGAACCAAGCCGTACATATACCAGGTAGGTGAAAACGGAGAACCATTTGGGGTGCTGATTTCTAACTATGCGTATAGTTCTACCCGCACCAGCACAAGATCCCTACCGTGCTCAAACTCAAAATTGGAGACCAAGAGATCACTGAAGAGGGACGGCTGTTCAGTGAAGCAACCTTCATATCAGACATCGAGTGATCTTGTCATGGCTTAGGATGAAGCAGAGTATAGACGCCAAGCACTAATAACGGCTAAAATGAGCTAGGTAGGCAGAGCACAGCTAGCATCACATTTAGAATACGGACGCTTGGTTGAAGCATACTTCCTTGTAGAAAGGATCGACTGCGTTATAATTACTCACCTTCGGCCGGCATGCAGTCAGGATATTTCACCTGGATGACTTGGGCACATTGGAGTTCATAGAGACATATGATCACTCGCTAAGATCCAAATGAGTGAAGCAATAATCAAATCTCACTATTCGAAACCTTTTACTGTCTTTATAGGCTATAATGCTAAAGCTATTTTAACATAATATTCATTAGTTAGAGTAATATGCAGTAGGATGATATGTTATATTTTGGGGATATGTCAAGCTAATGATCGATTCATGTGTATGAGAATGAGCCAACCTAACATTTCGCAATAACTCAAACCTACCAACCAACGTTCCATCGTCGCATGTCACATTTTGTGGCGTTCCCGGTAACTAGGTAAGCTCAAACTTAAATTGATTGCCGTATCCGGCGTTTCCTCGACACTCGTATGTACGTATCTTAGGGATTACTAAAAATGACGGGCTATAAACTTCCAAAATCCTGCTCGATGTAACTAACCAAGCAACTGCGGCCACTCTCCATGTACCAACATGCATTGGAGTGGGATGATATATCTTATCGATATACTGTGGGCGCTTATCCAGGATTTGGCCCATTTCAAACGGCCAGTGGCCTACCCGCAGCTCGCATTCCCCCCCACATCGTCTACTTCCGCTCACTTCCGCCTCGCGCTACTTATCCCATCGTCTGCCTAGCCGCACTGCATTCACATTGTCACGAGAATTAAGCACGTTTGTTTTCAGCCTTCGACGTCGATACTTAGTCACGAACCTTCGAAAAAGCCACGAGGCAAACATGGCGGGAAAGGGTATTGCTCGAGGCGGTAAGGGAGGGAAAGGACTTGGCGGGAAAGGCGTATGCCGCTCTAATTTATTATGTCTTATACCTCTGTCCGTAGTTACGCGCATGCTGACTCGAGCTACCTGACACAGGGAATTAAGCGTCACCGGTGCGTCGCATACCGAATATTACATACCTGAGTACAAAAGCCATGGTCATAGCTTCTAATTGTTTATGCAGTAAGATTCTTCGCGACAATATTCAAGGAATCAGTAAGTAATCCAACTATCATGAGAAAGCTTCAGGACTCCCATCCCAGAATTCACAAGTGGCTAACCGTCAATCCTAATCGTCTAGCCAAGCCTGCTATCAGGTACGTTGTCGCTTAGAACATCCCCGCAACTCAATTCCACCTTAACTTCAAAATGCCATGTCATGTCATCCACGCTACCATTATCTCACTATGACAGGTAAAATCTAACTTTTTCAATGTAGACGACTGGCTCGTCGCGGGGGTGTCAAGCGTATCTCTGCCCAGATTTATGATGAGGTTCGCGTTGCCCTAAGAGCACGCCTTGAAAATGTATGATATGAGTCCTACAGAGCATTTCCCTTGTTACTATATATTAATTCGTCGGCAGATTATAAGAGACTGCGTCACTTACACGGAATACCGTCAACGAAAGACTGTCACGATTAACGATGTAAGTCTTGGGCCTCATAGTAGACCAATAAGCCTATCCATAACACTAATCATATTTCTTCATATTATAGGTACTGCATTCCCTGAGACGCATTGGTCGACCAATTTACGGGTTCGACGATGTGACTACAGGTCGTACCCAACCTAACAAGAAGAAGTAGCTCACTCGTATGCTTGTTTGACCCAAAGATGTAAGATCAGGCGTTGATGATGACGGAGTGGCTTGATAAATATGGGTGGTTAAGTTGCAATGTTGAAACACGGTTTTTACCACGATCTAGTAATGATACCCTATAGCTTGAGACTATTTAGCTTTTATTGAACGTCTTTTTCATGAAGAAACGATAGATTATTTATTTTGGCCGGAACTCTCTAAACGAACGGGGGTATTGATCAAGCACTGTAAAACAATGTAGCCGCCAGACGCCAACCAATCGATGCTGCCGACCTCTACCTGTGCCACTACCTCTACCTTTACTTCTACCTTGACCTCTACCTTGACCTCTACCTTGACCTCTACCTCTTAGAGTTTCCGTCTCCTCTTGCCGCCTTCCCATTCACCGAGAACCTTCTCTAGAGTCTTTGCCGCCCTTTGCTCGTCTTTTCTAAATGGCCTATTGAAGACCTCTGGTAGCACCATGGTGCTATTAGCATGCTCCTTCGCAAACCCGATCTCAGCGTCCTTGCCGCACTTCTCCCTCGTTATTTTAACGGCCTCGTGAAGCATATCGATGCCGACGCCCTTATTCCGGTACTTGAGCTTGACCGTCCACGCTCGGATTACGCCCTTGCCTCCTCTAAGCACAGAATTTCGGCTTCGCTTCTTGCCGGCTAAGCTCGGGTTTGGTTCGAGTCGCAACACCAAAGCACCAATCAGATCCTGCCCGAACCGCACGCCGATCACAGTATCTTCTTCATTGTACTCGGACACCATCCAATTCCACTTCATATTCTCAGCCACCTGGATATACTGTCCCGTATAATAGCGGATGGCGAGTAGGTAGGTCATAACGACACCGGAATGCAGCATTAGCGCTGTGCCGAGATCGCGTTTTACACGCCAGGACCATTGGTACGCGATACCGAGCGCTACAGTTAGGAGGGCTAATAAGTATGGGTGGAAAACTAAATGGTAAGAGGCTGATTGTCGCTGCTGAGCTACCGAGTCCGTCACCAAATTCAAAGCGTCCACTTTGTCGGATTCGCGATCCAGAATTCCAACAGATAGTGGAGGTAGATCATCTGGTACTGGATTGCTTGGCGGATCGATTGTCACGAGCGGCGACGGAGAAGGTGGCGGAAGCCGATTTGACGATGCGGGTTCCATATCTGGGGTCGACATGGCGGATGGGTTCACGACGAGGTTCGCCCGCAGGAAAAGAAAGAATGCTATTCGTGGAGGCCGTTGATCAGCTTTGTCGAGGCGAAAGAAAAATTATCCTCTCTCAGATGTCCGAATCGAATATCGAGTCTTGCTTCTCACCTAGTCCAATTCGTGCGAAAACTTTCGATATCAAAGTGCGAGGTGAAAAGTTACACCATGTCACTCATGGAATCCACGGAATGAGATGGTGAAGATTGAACTTTCAATTCAAGATCAAAAGAAGAGCGAGGCACACGACGACGTCAGGTACAAACTAATGATCGATAGATTATAAGGGAAATACTATCCTCCACTTACCAGTGCTAGTCCTTAGACCTGGTACCGCATTCATTTTGTCCATGACAGAGCCAGGCCCATAGCAGGCATTCAAGTCCAACTCTCGTACCACGTGCGCCATCTTGACGTTGTGTGTGGATAGCCAGTTTTGCGCCGGGCAATTAAATTTTTCGGTTGGTGTCTCTCGTTAAAATAAATACAAGTGCTTGGTATAGCGATTAATAATGTCGTAATTTTTACCGGCTGCTTGGGACTCCAGGGTCTCAGACGCTTCTGGACCCTGAAAAAAATAATTAAACCAAAAATAATGATAAAAGAGCTACCTAGCTTAGGTACTTTGGCTCCAAGCTCTAAGCGACAGCTCAGAAATGGTGGGGGTTGGATCGATTATATTGATGACGACAACCTCAAGCAAAAAAATAAATAATAGGTTACGGGGAGAAAAGGATGGGATGGAATGGAATGAAGGGAATGGGCAATGCGAAGAAGATCAGGATAAAACGCTAGAAATATGATTTACAAAGGGTGCAGACTTGCAGTCTTGGCTGGAATGCTTGCTTATATGGGATGTATGGGATGTCCAAGATAGTTCGCAGATAAACCAAGAGCCGTTTCCGTTTCCTATAAGCACCCGCAGCACAGGTGATGACATCGTCCCGCGGGGAACGCTCGTTACCAGTCGATCATCCGGTGGTTATCTGATAAGAGGTGCGTAGACGAATAAGATCGTCGGAAAGCAACTATAGACAACGCCACTATACGCTTGTCGCAAAGCCCAAATCCTGTCTAAGCGATTATCGTCGACTTGGGTGGCTGCCCTCGTGGGATAGAGCGCACCAGAACCATGGGTCGTGAGCAATTTTCCTCATGTTATACAGCCGTCTTGAGACGAAAGCTGTCGAAACTAGAGGGGGCCCAGACCATCCCTTGCTAAGCTGCTAAGTTTTAGACTGGTTGGTGTGTGCCAGGCCGTCGTAGACCGCGCCATCCAATCCGCTAACAACTTAGGACCCATCCCCATCTGTCTGAGTATCGACATCTTGTCGATCACGCTCCAGATCGCCAAAATGGGGGGAATGCCTGTTGGTCACGCAGATCAATGGACATTCCCCGGCCTTCGATTTGAAGCTGGCGAGAGTTGTCGGGATCGTTCATGTGCTCCTGTTCGTGGGGTGGAACAAAGCTTGGAAGTTGAATCTGATCCTATAAGATCCCATGGGATCTCCGTATGTAGGCGATAGGAAACAGTCTTACCCCGGCACAAGCGCGGGGTGTCGAGGTAGCAAGCAGACAAGCCAGACAGGGTCAGACTTGCGTCTCTTGAAACGTCGAACGCGTAATGTTTGGTAGCGAATAAACTCGAGACCAACAAAAACCACTTTTTCTCCGTAGGAGCCTTAGTGCGCCATCGATCAACAAATCAACTTACCTTAGGTAGGTAGGGACGGTAAAGTAGTGTATAGGAAAATTGCGCAATTGGTGTTGCGAAAGCATTCGATGGGAATACCACATATGTAGTAGACAGGTCGGATGAGATCCAATGATATGACGGACATTGTCAGGACGGATCCGCCGCATTACATACTGCGTAGTCTACATAGTCTGCGCAGTATATGCACTCGGGCACCGCTGCGTGTGAATTGATGCAACGTAAAGTCCGATTTGGGAGACTTGCTGGTCCCTTAGTGACGCAATGAAAGCTACGCTGAATCAAGACTCGGTAGATATTTAAGCGCATGCCGTGCAGAGGACTTCTGCCATCTTAAAAGCATCGAACCTGGAATCATTCTTCTCAATATATGTAAGTTTTTAGTAAAGAAGGGCGAAGATAATGAGGTGGTCCAAAAATACGCATGCCGACGAGACAACATACGATGTATGTTTTCAAAATGTTATCATTGAAAGCTCCAGCCGGCAGTTTAGTAAAGTCGTTTCATGTTTCGTATCGAGATCTTGCGTGAAACGAGAAAATGTCATTATCCATTATTATCGAATAAATGAAGCAAGGTCTAGGAACGCCAAGCCCAAAGTTCAGAAAGTCCTACTTATGTAATCAAGTGCACATGACATTGAATTTCAAGTCCTAAATTCCCTATCCCAGATTCCCGGAGAGCACAGCCACTGGAGTCGCCGCCACACATAGCCCTAAACTAGCCACGCAGAGCCAAGACAGAGCCACAAGGTTCAGGGGTCACGTCCTCGGTCCTTGATCCCGCAAATTGATCCAAGCTTCTAAGACAAAAATTCCCAAAATGATTTTTATCCCGACAAACCCCATACCGCCCATGCCAACCCATGCAATCCATGTCAGCGAAGTCATGCTCCCAGCCCTACAAGGCGACAGATCTTCTCACGACATCATAAGCCACAACGGCACAGCATCCGTGGTATATTTTATTCTATTTTATTTTATATTATTTTATTCCATGTGGCTTTACCAGAGCATCATTTGGTAACGCGAAATACTTATCTAGATCAATTCACCATATTCATCTCCATCTGGCGGAATTACGACATTGCGCGTTGGCCGAGCCCATTTGCTATTTACTAAGCGAGTACTACTGCTCCATGCCTGCTCGCAATGGCGTGTCCGAAAGCACGACAAGATCAAATTGGGAAGAATAGCGCATATCACAAAAGATGCAAACCGCCCGCAAGTGGTCCCCGGTAAGATGTGCTACTGTGATGCCGTGATCTCGACTTCTTGTTCGGGCCCTCTCCGTTCAGGCAGATCAGGCGTGTCCGAGTTATGCTTTGAATGCAAAAGCACTATACGCCCGAAAGCGAAGTAGTAATCTCGCAAAGTCGCAAGTCGCAAGACGACTATGCAGTCGAGCTTGAAAATTCGAGCAATTCGAGTAGCGTCGAGCTTTAGCTCTATCCCTTTGCAGATGTCTCTTTTCCTGCTGCGCCTCTGATTGGGTGACGCCCGAGTCCTGCAGTCAGCGAGCAATTCCCACTCAGCTGGCTTTTGCATATGCTCGCACAAGGCGTAATTTGGGGTCCTTTCTGCCTTGTTGCCTGCGTACTTCACCGAGTCGGATTTTGGACCCCAACTCCATCGCTTGCGTTCTTATGCAGCCCTGTGAGCCGCGAACGGTAAGTTAAACGCACTGCCGATAGTAATTACAAGGGCATGCTGGAGGGAGCCTGTCCAGTAGTCACCAATGGCTGGATCTGCTCTTATTAGTCCGCAGTCGTTACCGCTGGTCCTCCAGGTCCTAGGGTACAAGTACACCTGCACCTGCATCAATGCTAAAAAGTCCTACATCGTCATATTCAGAGTGATAGATTATTTTCTAGATCTTTCAAAATAAAGTCATGGATCGGTGGCGATCCACTGGTGCCCCGACCTCTTCCATTTCCTTCGAGCATTAGTAGGTTATAGACCCAGCCCAAACTTCTCTTACAGCAATGGATCCGAAAAAGAGCCTTGCCACTACCGAGCCGGCCTCTGTTGATGCTGCTCTATTTGACTTAGACCCGCCGGTCGGGCGGCGCGTAGAAGATCCTCAGGCATCTTCTTCTATCCACCCAAGACGGCGGTCACAATCGAGTCTACGATCGGGATCCAACCCACGGGCGCCTTCGCCATGCGCGTGAGTAGCTAGCACTATAACTTCAACATAGTTCTGAGCATACTAACTTTCCAAGGACACGAGAGGTTCCCGGGGAGGATTGTGCGCTGCAGAGATTTATAGTATGGGCCGCCGTTAAACGAAACAAGTCTCCCCGAATAGTACCCAACGATCGCCTAAGATGCCCTCTTGTCTTGTGTGGAGAACAGTTCGACGACCATGAAACGATGCTAAGGCACTTGATCAAGTGCCAACATCTCAAGACCGGTGAATATTTGTGCTACGACTGCATGAAAGTTGAGCGATTCAACGATGAAAAATGCCGATGTTGTCTAGGCCATCCGACTAAACGAAGGCGGATTATGAACTTGGCAAGGAACTTCTTTTCGAATATTGGTAATAGATCACGAAGGACCACGTCCCAATCTAACTTTCAAGAAGACATTTCCATGCCGCCACCCAGTTACGATTCTCTCGTGATCGACCTTGAAGAAATCAGCCAGCAACAGCAACGACAACAACAAGAACAGGAACAAGACCACCAACAACACCAACTACATCCCCCTCAACCCCAAATTGAGTTAAATGGAAATGAGATACACGAGTTGGACTCGATGCAAATGTCACCAACAGCTCAACTCGACTCCGTCAACTACGACACGCGAAATGCAGATATTCCCATGACTTTAGATCAACACGATGGTATGTTAGGGGTTGTGGCACCTCAACAAGTGACTACGTTCCCACAACGCGCATGGCCCGTAACACGAAATATTGACAAAGACGAGTCTATGCCCCCGCCCAATTCAATATCCTCGAATTCGGGTAGCCGTCGCCCTTCTCTAGCCTTGGATACTCACATAGACCATTACAGGAGCGTTCCTCGCTCGAAGCACCTCTCTCCGAGCTCATCACTTCGATCAACCGGAAGTTCGCAGAACATATCGCCGATTACCCCGTGGAGCGCAAGTTCCGGTGGATCTGGAGCTTGGACGATGTGCTCTGGTATAGATACTGCGATGACATCGCCAATAACCCCCTTAAGCTCGGACGGTCCTCCATTTGATGCTTTAGCATCATCAAAGGCTACTACCAAAATACCAGCAGATGATTGCGACTATATGATCGGCAACATGTCTGAACTGCCTGGCGATGACTCACTGTCCATACCACGTGGCCTATCCGATCCATTGTTCTTCTCTTTTGATCCCAAGGATAACTACTCCTGGATGCCATCCGTGAATACAGAGATTTCGCTTGCTACGTCGGTTAATATGGTGTTCACGGATACCGACTCCAAATCCGCGAACGTACCATCTAGATTCGTCGAGTCTCCTAGTCGTGGGCCCGATACTAGGGCCCTTGTACAATCATCCTGGGATGCCTTGGAAGAGCATGTATCGTCTTCGGTATCGAAGCTGGCACATATTAAGGGGAACCCACTGGTCGAAAGACTTCTAACGCAGTCGTCGAAAGATATAGCATTAAGTGGCCTTTCAAGTCTAAGGAATGTGCTTCAGGGCAACAATCCCACGGACCCACTCGACTACGTCTGCTTCGTTCACCTTATCTACGCCTTCTCGCTCGTAATCCACGAAAACGAGGTCGCAGCTCGTAGTGGTTTGCTATACCAACAAGCAATGGCCTACCGACACTTCATTGACCCATCACAGGCCGGATATTATACGCAGATTGCGACAATTATATGGCAGCCAACTGCAGCTGGTCAATCATCAACCCAGAGGACCTTCTTACCTGAGCCATCTAGTAGCAAGGGCAAAGAGCGTGAGCATCGCACAAGTCCAAGGATCAACATAGAGACCGATCCTCTCGTAGCCGTGGGACAGAACTTTCTCGATGGTAAGCTACGCTCCTATGTTTTCGATATACAACTCCGCTAATAGCCATAGACATTGAACACTCTGTCATAAGCAGTAGCTCAGAAAGACCCATTGAAGTGAATGCATCCGAACTCTGGTCTACACACCTAATCGATTTCCCGCCGGTTCCATCACACGATAGTCCCTTTACAATCACAGTCGAATATATTATTCAGTGTCTGGAGCTAAAATTTTCACACTCCAAAACACTGTCGCTGAGACTCGGGGAGATTGGACGAAGGGTGCGTGCTGGCCACATTACCAGCGTCCGTAAGCTCGAACTCGCAATATTGCAAGCTGGCAAGGTAAGTTCCCCCTTAATCTGTAGTGACATATCAGCTTTCAAGGCGAAAGATATGGTCATCCCTTTGCTCAAGATTCGATTTATTTTTAAAGCAAAGGCTGACAATGAAAATCGTAGAATTCTTTGGGAACCTCCGAAATTTTCGACGAATTTATTCCTCACGTTAGGGGACTTTGCAATCCTATTTACTCGGAACAGGGATATTCCACCAGGGCAAGATATCAGGTTCTAGCAGTATCACTGGTAGAAACTTTGATTCAAAGCATTGCGTCCGATCCACAAAGCGCGCAGGAGTCTAGCTCATTTCCATATGGCGAATTTCTCGAGAATCTTCACGAAACTTTCGATCCCAGCAACGACGACTTCCTCGTCCCTTTAGGCACAGGCGCCTCAGGCCAGGCAGATATTCCAGCCACCCGCAGCTTTGACCCAGTGGTTGACCCCATTCATCTTCAAGGTATCAATAGCCGGCAACCGACCACGACCTCAACGTCCTTCCCTTCACCCGTGTCTCATGCCAGCACACCCAATAGCTCCTTCGCCGCCTCGCCTAATCTTTCATTACCGATTATTCCGGGAGCCCCTCCAAAGCCTTCAACGCCAAATCATAACACGGCAAGCCCAAAATCTATGTCGTCTACAATTCAGAAAGTAGAGGCGAACGACTGTTGCGAAATCTGCGGATATCGCCCTAAGGGCGACCCGCAATGGTTCAAGGGAAGCATGGCAAAGCATAAGAAAATGCAGCACTCGACAGGGCCACCGATTATTTACAAGTGCCCCTATCCTGGCTGCACCAGCCAGTACAAGAATCGCCAGGACAATCTGCGTCAGCACCAGATAGAGAAAAACCACTGGGTTGGGGATGAAGCGTCTAGGAGGCCTAGCAAAAGGGCGAAAACTTCACCAAGCTAGGTGCATTGACAACACGAAAAATACATATGAAGAGGATATGACTATATACAACGACGGGTATTTTGCATTAGCTAGGTGTTTGGATTTGATATTCTAGGCGGCGGCCTTTTGCAACTTCACTTCTCCAAATAGCCTTCATTACCTCTCTACATTTTATACGACTTGGATAGGAGTTTAGGACAGGAGACTAGAGATACCACCAAGTTTATAGTAGAGATAGAATTAGGCTCGAGAATGCCTTTAGTAACTTATATAACTACAGCTAGTCTGGATATATACAGAATCCATTAACCTCTTCCTCTAAAGTATTACTCTACATCGCCTAAAAAATAATTTGATGCCTTCAGCAGACGTCGCTCAAATCGTCTTCCATACGAAACCTTCAAGGCCTCAGCACTTTGTAAAAACAATGCACGTAAGCCGGAATAGCTTCCGAACAGGAGTGAGATTGGAGGCCCAACCGTCTAACCCCATCATGATAGGAGATGGGAAAATCTACGAGTCGAGGGGGGAAGGCAAGGGTATAATTGACTGTTCATTACACAATCGACCACTCAGAGACTTAGAGTAATTACACTTACACGGCTAGGGCTGAGAACCCTGCTCCACGCTACGCTGTTGGGAGGCATTCGGACAACGCCGTGAGAGGGGGCATGCAACATCCCAACATATAAGGGGACTGATCCATCCCATTAGAAGCAAATGGAAGCAAAGAAAGGAAAGAGATAAGGGGAGAGAGAAGGGGAAGAAAAATTGCCGAATCCTCCAGGAAGCAGCTTCCGCGTACGTAAGCCCCCTTGGTGTGCGTGTGTGTGCATGTATGTGCTAGGTAAGATGTTTTTTTCGTCTATCCTCCCCCCACTGGGTAACCCTAATTAATATATCTCCGGTCAGCCTTACGGAAGCGTGAATTCCTGAAGGAGCGGCGCGATGCTACCTCGGCGGACGCTAGCGACGTAGGTAATCTGATCTGATCGTGAGGGCCAGCCCTACAACTCGCGACGTAATTGGCGATGGCAAATTGATGACGGCTTCGATAACCGGGATGGAAGACTTGGTATGATGGTTGAAGAGCATGGGTCCTGTGCTGCCGTGAAGAGGGCCCCCGGGAGAAATAGGAGAATGTGTTGGAAGGGGATAGAGGCGGAGGCCTGCTGTTGGGGAGACATGAGTTTCATATTCAGGGACAGATGGTCTGGTTTACGTTCTATATGGCTCTTCGAGCATTGGGGGTCAAGCTTGATTTTCTTGGTGCCGTTCTACGTTACCTTTGGGCCGCTGGGTATGCAGCCGGGGTGCCGTGGATTCAACTTGGAACATCTTGTGGGGTTGCTAAGTGGCCGGTTAATACGACTGGTTAACTGCATCGCTCGTAAACCATTCGCTACGAAATTTCTGCAATAATTAATATAGTTATAGGCTATGATTAAAATTGCCACTGAGTAATATTTCGAGAAAGGACTCGATGTAAAAGATCATAAGCTCACACTTGGGTATATGTCCTCGAAACGCCGTCATAACCACAAATTCGTAGAACTGCCTGTTCGTATTCTCGCCTGGTATACCTAGAGGTAGACAAGAAATGTCCTCAACTTATCACTTACTTCCTTCGCCGGTGCCGGCTACGTAGCTACCGTCATGTTCGAATAACGCTTGTTAAAGCCATTCAATGACGCTGCCTTGCCAAATGTATGGATCGGGATGAATCCGTACAATAGGATCTGTGGTTTGTCAGTCACCGGAGAGTTCAAAGGGGCTTGCTACTTTCTGAACTTACTTCTGAACCCAACTTTGTAGGCGTACCCGAGGTCAATGACCCAATGTTCCCAGCGGATCAAACCAGGTTTCAAGGCATGCTTGAACTCGAAGTAACTAAACTAAGGGGTTGTTAGTAGCAGTATAACGACTTACTTAGTTAAAGAACCCTACCTTCTCTGAAAGCTTCTCATAGTCTTCTAGTTCGTACGACCATAAGTTACGCCCCGTGACGTTAGAAATCTTGAACATGATCTGCAGGCGGACGAGAGAATTCCGCTCGGACCAGGCGTTGAGCACGTCCTGTAGAAATTCGAGCCAAACCTTTCCGCTTCTGACATATGCGTTCTCGCCGAGCGGGATTTTGATTTGTACGAATCGGAGGTTCTGCAAGGTAGACTTGCTAATAAAGTTGAGTAAGGAGAGGGGTGCCGGATTACCCATGATCCACGGTGGGATGCGATCGATAACGAAGGGCTGAAGGTAGAGAAGGCTTAGTGCTTCTCGCGTTATCTGCTTGCAGAGGAGCAGAATAGTGGGAGTTCTAAGGGCGAATTTGGAAGAACGCGAGATTTTAGGGTTAGTAGAGCGTGGTCGTAGCTCAATCTTGGAGATAGCTTTCTCTCTCTGGTCGTAGTAATAGTCGTATAAGCTTCGGCACGAGGGGTAGTCAATAGCATATTGATATATGCTATTACGTATCTCAGGAGGAAAGCTTGTAAGGAAGGAGTAATATGGTTGATGGGAGTTTCGGCATGGCTCCGGATCTATTGCGGGGCTGTTGAAGAGGAATGCCGGAAGGGAAGCCAAGGCCGAAGTTCGATCGGCCTCTGAAATGTGGAGTATCACGGGTCTCGGAGACGGCATCTCAGCAATGAACTTAGCCCGGGCGACCGGATCTCTAGATGCCTTCAATACTTTGTGGCGGCCTCGATGTTGTATGGCCCTCCAATCATCGAGTCTCCTGCGGTTTTCATCCTTAGCCATGGTGCTGGCGAGCCGGAAGGTTGGTGTCAGCTACAGCGGCCACAAGGCTATGTCTCAATAAAAGCCGGGATAAGGTAGCCAGGCTGCTGGGAATCAATAATGGCGACACCTAACCACATCACACCATCCGTGCCTTAGCTTGGGCGGAAGATGGTATGTTGATATTTCGATACTAACTGTTATCTCAGAAAATAAAGCTGAGGCCCGATTAGTGGCGTCCGAGTTGAACCCGATCAACAGCCAGCCTCACTTTAACTAGCCACTGTGGTACGTACAACAAACAGTCAAGTACATACAGTACAGATCGGTACGGTTTGTAATTTAAAGTTTACCTTAGTACCCAAGTACCTAGGAGGTATGTATGCATTCTGATCAGGTGCACATGTGCCCAAGCTCAGCTCAACTCAAGTTAAAAATATGATTCCAGCTGCGGATGAGTCTTCAAATTATGAAATAGCACATGGGAGTTGTAACTACCTCTATATATGTGTGTACTCAAGAATAAACATTTGATTTAAGTAGGTACCTAGCAGTTGCTCAATTTTTAAAAAGGTGAAAGGCCACATAAAGTATGAGTAATGTTTAATCCTCGATACTAGTACCATCTATCAACATCTTACAAGGCTGAGGAAACAAACGGAAAAGCCAAAGAGCGAAGAAGGACCGGGCATAGCTGCGTTTCCCTGACATTTTTATTGCCTAAATTTTTCAATGTAGCATGCGGGTATGCACAGGACAGATGTGTGGACATGATTAGGCACATTCGCAGCAATTTCGACAAGTCGTTTTTGACTACATGCCTGTGCATGTTCAATGGTCAATCTACACGTCTAGAAATACAGTACATATAGTGATACGCGTCTGTTACACTTAGACCGCAAGTGAGTTAATAACCGATTTAAACCAATGACATCGATGTGTATGGACTCCATGGATTGATGTACGTGTATGCAGCAAACAGCAGGCCGGTACCTATGGCCCTTAAGAGGAGACACGAGACATATCAGCTGGTACTTCGGTCCCTAAAAACCTAAGGTTCAAAATTAGTAATATGTTAATTATAAGAAAAGGTTTAAGCTTCAGAAAAGCTTGTTCAAGCAATATATCTAATATTAAGAATTGTTTATTCCGAATGTTATTTTTACTACATACCTCCAGGGCTATTACGAAGTTGGATGTATATGCTCATTAATAGGGGAAAATTCATTATTAGCGGTCCCTACTTAGGTAGGTGTGTACAGTGTAGGTCACAGTTACTCATCCATCAGCTTGCACTAGGTACACCAAGTACAACGTACAACAGTACCCGCTGTTTAAAAATACCTACCAGTAAAGTTTAGGTGCTGGGTCAGATCCTTACGTGTACACTCATCATGTATTTTAAGGTACAAGTGATGACTGTTTTCTGCTAGCTAAATGAACAAGTTGTCATGGTCATATCGGGGCCCCGGACCTGGGTCAAGTTGGAAATGTGTGCAGGTGCGCTACAAAGTTGTGCTGTCTTTCTTGGCGAAGGCAGTTGCATTTCGTTGCATTTCTCACCCTCCCCCCGACGAAAAACCCCTCCGTCGTTTCCTCGATTTCTTTTTTCCTGCCTTAAGACTGAACACACTTAACTCGGTTCAGCTTAGTGCATTTCTACTTTCTACAAGAAAAGGTAGATCGATCTTTTTAACACACTCCATCACACTTCCTAGTCTTCCCGTCCACCGTCTTCCCACCAAGTTTCCCACACACACACAAACAGCGCGTGCTGGCTGTTGAGACCCGAAATCCACATCCAATCCACACACACGTCGGTTTCTCTTCAACCACACCCTCGTCTGTTCCATCTGTTTCCCACCCTGGCTGCCCTGTTCCCTTGTTTAAGCCCTGGCGAGCCTTGGTGAGCCTTATCATGTTGACCGTGTCGTGATATTTTCACACCCGCCACATTTATTCCCCCTACATTATCTTAACGACCTTACATATTGTATCTGCCATTACCGGCCAGGGTTGACGGGTTGACATCACATCGTGCCCATCCCAGCTTCTAGCTTGCTAGTGCTAGGCTCACTGTCGTTGTATTCTGGGTCCCCCTCTGACAATCTTCCTTTCGCCTTCTGTTCTTTTTAGTCGATAGCGTTTGTAGTCTTTTATTTCCCGATTCCCGCCTCCTGTTTTCCTTTCCTCCCCTCCGTCATGTCCGCCTTGGGCCAGGCCGGGTCCAATTCCCATACCCATCCGGGCCTGACCTTCCCTCAGGTCAACAGTCTCAGACGTGGATATCAATCCTCACACTCGTCTACGCCGCCTAAACCTTCTCCGACGCCGCAGCAACACCAATCTCCATACCAAGCTACTCAGTATACTCCTCAGCAACCTCCACAGGCCGCCTATGCACAGCATATCTTCCAGAGCACTACTCCGTCTCCGGTCCCTAACATTGCCAGCATACCAAATCTCTCGAATCTACCAAATGGCAACTCGAGGCATACCCCGGCCCAGGCTGCTCAGCATGCCCAAGCTACCGCGCAGGCCGTCCGCCAGGTTCAGCAGCAGCAACAGCAGCAGCAGCATCAGCACTCGCATCACAATCCGCATCAGCACCCTCAGCACCAACGCGGAAGCCAGCAACGTCAAATGCAGTCTCAACCGGGCCCTTCTCCCTCAATGGCATATCTCCAACAGGCCATGAACCCGTCTGTCCAATCCGTCCAACACGTCCCGCAAACGGTGCCTCAGCCAGTACAGATCCCGCATACTCAGTCGATACCTCAGCAAGTTCAACCTGTCCAGTCGCAGACCATCCAACAAGTCCCACCACCTCAGCCTGTTCAACCGAGCGATAGTAACTTGATATCTCCCAATCCTCCGCATCATCAACCTCATCCACAAGCTCACCCACAGGCCCACCAGCAGGCACATCAACAGCCGCATCCCCAATCGCTTCCCCAAGTCCATCAGCAACCGCCGCCATTACAACCTCAACCGACTCCGCAGCCGCAAAGCCAGCCGCCGCCAGCTCCTCGACCAGAACCAAACGTGCCGCCGCCGGAATCGCATCATGATGATATGGATTTAGATAGCCAGGCAGATTCGGGAGAAGGGGATAGCCATATTTCGCCTAAGCTCATCGAAGGCACACCTTTCGTCCCGAGAACGCCAATGGGTGTAATGATGTCCGCTCCTCCCGAGGGAGGTAGCTTTCCTAGTCTTGATGCTGTCCACAAGCATGTGCTAGCGTATTGCACGTCAGTAGGATACGCCGTAGTGATCGGGCGATCGAAGAAGACCGTACCAGGGTTGAAGAAGGTTCTCTTTGTCTGTGACCGTGCTGGGAAACCTCCAAGTCGGGTCAGTCCTGAGCATAGGAAACGAAAAACGTCCTCTCGAAAATGTAACTGCCAGTTCGGATTCTTCGCTATCGAACAAAGAACACAGTGGACGATTCGTTATCGTCCGGATCAATCCCATCTTCATCATAACCATGGTCCTAGTGAGAGCCCACTTCTACATCCTGCTGCGAGGAAGTTGGATAGTGAGATGGTGGCCGCCGTGAAAAATCTCAAAGAGTCTGGTAGGTTCGGTCCGAGAGCCGCGATGAGATGATATATTGACGCCTATAGGTATTGGAGTCACCCAAACTTTAGAGATATTGCAGCAGCAAAACCCTCACGTCCCCCTACTCCCTAGGGATATTTATAATGCGCGTGCTGCCATAAATAGAAATCCGCAAAAGGTTGAGGCAGGCATCGCTGAACAGCGACCAGCGATATACAGCAAACCTCCTCCATCTGCCGAGGAACGCATACGATCAGACCTTCGAAGGGAACTTGCTCGAGCTAAGGAGGAATTGGCCAAGGTTAAGGATGAAAGTAAAAAGGAGTTGGACGAGTTGAAGGAGAAGTTACGCGAGAAAGATAAAATTATTGAGAAGTTTGAGATGTTTATCGACATATGCAATCAGCGGGTTATGGTTCAGAGGGAGAGACTGAACGATACTGGTGAGAGCAATGGTGGAGCAAACGGTCCGAACAATTAAAGGGGTCTATGGGATGCATCATTAAAAGGGTTTCCAAAAAGACGAGACGTGCGAGGACCGGGTCTGGTTTATTCAAGGGAAGCATAGGCGTCTCGAGGGCTACGACTGGAACTGATGGCATACAATGGGGTCTGGAGTTTTATTTACAAGGTTACGGTTCACCCGCGGAAGGATTTAACGGAATGTCAACTTCGCATCTGACCTTACGATTTGGCACGGAGAGGTTTTGCTATCTACTGGAAAACGGAAAATATAGACTTGGGGTTTTGTTCATGTTCAGCGGATTCAATGAAGTGAATTCTCGGGGTAGTACTACTATTGAGGACCATGGCTTACATCGTATGATGCGTACTATTCGAATTATCGGGGCTATAAACGATGCTTTCGTTCAGCTAAGCCTTTTGCGGTTGTAGAACATGGGACAACATTGCATATTCTTCCTGTAAGTAAGCGTAAGGGAAACATTATTCATCAAGAATCAAGATTGTAAATTGCATCTAGCTCTAAGTTGACAATAGAAGCCTTAAATTTAATATTTGGTCTTGTGGGATGCTGACTGGCTGTTAACTAAATCAAGCTGATTGATGTCCCATGCTGAATGAGCGCCATTATACCTCTATACATAGCAGTAATAAGTATCACAGAGGCAAAAGGCCTTGCATGTCTTATCCTATTAATATTTTAATATTATTCATAGGTACCGAAAAATCCATGGGAAGTCATAGATACTGTACTTGAAAACTTTATGCATATCTAAAACCCTTATTATAGAATATGTTAGTGTTGAGACGTTGCTAAATCCATATATAGACCTCTACTAATAAGATATTAATAGACTAGGCCATTAAAAGAACCGACGAGACATCTGGGTTAGGTTTAATCAACTAGGTCAATATGTGAGGAATCTAACGTTGAAAATGTATATCCCGAAGCCAGGCAGAGTCAACTATAGACAGGGGTCAACTTCTCAGTTAAGAACACGGGCTACCCAAGCAGAAAGGTCTGCCTTCAGAGGTTAACGTAAATGGATATTAACATCTCCAAGACTACTTACTTACTAGCCTAACTCTGGCAATGCTTGATGTGATTTTTGGTACCATAGGCATGCATGATCGTATGCATTAGGCGTTGATATCCCACATACTAATACTCTAGCATACTAGGTAAGACATGATTCGTCCATTCCCTTATTAGATTGTTTTTGAACAATCCATCATACTGGCAAAGAAGCATCCGTAGATAGTATAGGGGTTTCGGATAATAGCATGCACCTGAATAGGAATGAATAAAATGACTAATATTAAGAGATACCTAGCTCTGTATCGAACGGTGCCCAGTGTCGAACTAATCCTGAGCTACCGGTAGACAGACTAGGACGATATCTTGACATGTTCCCCCACGACTATTGTTGTACTAAGAAGGACTAGATATTTAGGCTTCTTTAGATTTACAGCTGTACGTCGATAATGGAGAGCAGTTAAAAACGGTGAACCTAATACATATACATCATACCTGTCTATGTACCTTACCTAAGCTTTGAGAACCTGTTCGATCACTTGGTTGGAAAAATGATGCAAGACATAATGATGTTTGGTACTGATGAAACAGGGGCTTCACCCATCAAAGAAATTTAGGCACGATGAGAAAGAAGATTAATTGGATTGATGTCAGGGGTTCTGAGAACACATTTAGGTGGCCCAAGCATCTCTAGCATGTGGGTATGTAGCATAAGTGGACCATTCGTCGTGGCATTCCGTCGCTAGCCCCACGTTTGATCAACAATATGGCCAATTAAAGGCCGTGGTGATTAGATACGTAAATTATCCCCACATGTATTCTGCATTAGCAGTCGCGACCCCGTTGGTGCACTTCGCGTGAAATGTGAAATGTAAAATGACTGGTGACTGCCCGTAACCTCAGAACTTCAGAAAAGTTATCCCTTCTTTTTGTACTTGTGTATTACCATCACCCCCCAAAACGAACACATCGACGATACAGGTCGGGAAACACGCCGTGGCAACGTTCCTCTACGGTTCTCACGCTCATTTTCGCCTACGTCCTTTCTTACTACGACCTATCTAATTCGCATAACGTTCCTGTAGTCGCTATTAGGAGCTCCGTTTCTCCTGAAATCCGGTATCGTTCCCTACTATTCTGAGAGATGCGACCGACCCTGTAAAATTCGATCAAGCCTTCAAGTGTTATCGCCACGATGGAGGCCGTGGCTTCTCCTTTGGGCCTGCAAGGTCCTGCTACGAACGGCATATCGCCCTCGTCATTCATTACCATCGATCCGGCTTTGGTGGTAGACTATCTGGCCTCCGTGGTCACTATCGCTCTCGGAGCCACTCGAGATGAGCTCGAGCGCCCCGATAATCTCCTCTCCAAAGATAACTATGCCGACACCATACAGCGATGTAGTCGCTTTGCGACCGATGCCCAGGTCGCTCTGTATGTTCAAAAGGATGCCAAACCATCGGGTGACATGCCCGATGGCCCAGTTGATGATGGTATGCAGCTACTACAACATGTCAACCTTAGAAAAGCCTAGCTTTGCTAACACCTATTTTCTAGTCCCCATGTCGTACACTTACACAATCACTTCCGAGATATCTTCCTCGCCGACTACGATAGCTTATCTTGCACTGCTGAAACGTCCTCAAGCGATCGACCCGTCGCTGCCGCTAACCTCGCAGATCCAGATACAAACGCTGCCTGGCACTGCTTCACTTACTAGTCTCGTCAGTGAACAAGGTCCGACTGCCTCTCCCTTCGAGATACTTCATTCTATTCTTCACAATGCGCTGGCGCCATACTTCGATGCCAACACCAAGACCTCGCAGGTTGCAAATGGCGCGAGGAATCGGGCAGACGTGGATGCAAAGACGGGTATTCCTGTAACGAAGAAGCGCATGACGGAGCTGGAGCTGAGTTTACTTCACCTCCAGCAAAATGTCGAGATTCCCGAGCTGTCTCTCTCGTTTCATCCCGTCGTCCAGGGTGCCTTAGAAGATGCTGTCGCACGCAATGTGCGACCTAGTACCGATATGATACCCGCCAACCTTCTCTCTGATAGTACTTTCATGAACAATTTACAGTCGACCGTAAACAGCTGGATTAAGTCGATACAGACCATCACGAAACTCACCCGTGACCCCGTAACGAGAACTGCGACGCAGGAAATCAACTTCTGGCTGTCCATGGAGTCTGCGCTGGAAGGCATTGAGACTCAGCTGAGGAGCGAAGGAGTCACGCTCACCTTGGAGATTCTGAAGCATGCGAAGCGTTTCCAGGCCACCGTTAGTTTCACCGCCGATACGGGTCTGAAGGAGGCTATGGAGATGGTGCAGAAATACAATCAGCTTATGCGAGACTTTCCCCTCGATGAATTACTCTCCGCGACTTCGTTGCCCAAGATTCAGGACGCCATTGGCCAAATCTTCAGCCATATGAACAAGAAGATGAGGTTCAGCAATTATCCTATAGCACGGACCTTACATTTGGTCGAAGCTATTTCAGCGGATCTTGAAGAGGTTATGCATCGCCTTCTTCCCGGCTCAGAATTGGTTGACCTCGATTATAAGGACTTCAAAAGCCTTATGACTACTGCTGACGAAATCTTCAAGTCTTGGGACGCCCAGATCAAAGATTTCACCAACATTGCCAGAGAGACAACGCGTAGAAGACAGGAAAGGTTCATCCCTATTAAAGTTAACCCTAAGCATAGTGAGCTTCAGGCTCGACTCAAGTATATCGATACCTTCCGAGACAATCATGAGCAGCTGCAGAGAACGATTGTTAATGTTCTTGGTCCGAAGTCAACTGTCAATGGCATTAGCGAGGAGACGACCGGTAACGGCGTTGCTCTCGTTGAGGAGATGGGTGACGTAGACGCCGTTGAGGAAGTCCAGCAAGCTTGGGAAGCATTGAAACATGTTGATCTGCTCGACGTTTCTCCCGAAGGCACCCAACGGTGGGTCAAAGCAGAAAATACTTATAATGAACGAACCTCTCGGGTAGAGAATTCGATTATCGCTAGACTGCGTGATCGCCTCGCAACAGCAAAGAACGCGAATGAGATGTTCCGTGTTTTCTCCCAGTTCAACGCTCTCTTTGTTCGGCCCAAGATTCGTGGTGCCATTGCTGAGTACCAGAACCAACTCATCGATAATGTGAAGCAAGCTATTTCAGGGCTTCACGAACGCTTCAAGCAGCAGTATGGTCACTCCGAAGCCCACGCTATGGCCCAGCTCCACGATTTGCCTCCTGTTTCTGGCGCCATCATTTGGGCGCGTCAGATTGAGCGACAGCTTGATAACTATATGAAGAAAGTTGAGGATATCTTGGGTTCCGACTGGGCTCTTCACACCGAGGGTCAGAAACTACAGACCGAGAGCGAATTGTTCAGAAAAAAGCTCAATACGCAGATGATATACAAAGCCTGGATCGAGGATGTTCAGCGTAAACAGATTTCAATATCTGGTAGGCTCTTCAACATCAACAAGGTTAGAGCCGCTAACAATGCGCTTGATCTCTCGGTGAACTTCGATGCCCAGATAATCGCACTCTTCAAAGAGACTCGTAACCTTGGCTGGCAAAACTTCAACGTGCCTCACGCTGTAAACAACATCGCAAAAGATGCCAAGAGAGTGTATCCGTACGCCGTGAGTTTGATGGAAAGTGTGAGAACATTTGCGCAGACAACCAGGCAGATATCGGAATTGCCTGAAGTCTCTATTCTGTTAAGCGGCTACCAGAACGATGTCCATGTTCTAGTTGCGAAGGGCATACCCTTGAAGTGGGAGACATTTGTTAACACTTGGGAATCGTACCAAAAGCCGTCGCTCGCTAATGGCAGCCTTGAGCACGCGATGAGCCGTAATGGTGAGACTAAGCATGTCTTGTTCGTCCGAGATTTTGCTGCGGCTGCTTCCCTCCTTCAAGCGAAGACCATCACCCTCGCAAATATTCACTTGAACGTTCAAAAGGCTTTGGCGGAATTAGCAACCTGCCCTTACGAAGCGTCGGAATTCGAAGCGCGCCTACAAGCGATCCAGGCGGCTGTCGATCAACTGAACTTGGAGCAATATGTCAATCTTGGCTTCTGGGTGGAGAGAATGAATGAACGAATTAAATTAACTCTGCTTACTCGCCTCCAGCATGCAGTCTCAGCGTGGATTGAGGCATTCGAAGACGACACGCCGATAGATCGTATTGAGGCCAACCGACGAAAGCAGTTGGCTCCGACCGGGGAACCTCTCAAGTCGGATGCTCCTTTGATGAAACACTTGATTCATGAAATTACAATGAAGAATCAAGTCATCTATCTGGACCCACCTCTGGAGTTTGCGAGAGCTAGCTGGTTCTTACACTTGCATAACTGGATAGGCATTGTCTGCAACCTTCCAAAGATCAAGGCCTCCAGATACCAGATGAGCTTAACGTTAAGCACCGTCGTTCAAGAAGAAGCCCGCTTCAATGACCTCCCCAGCGATTGCACCGATATACTTGGCAGAGTCTACACATCGATCGAAAAGAAGTTGCAAGGTATCGGCGAATATGTCGACAAGTGGCTACAGTTCCAATCCCTTTGGGATTTGCAATCTGAACAGGTGTACGAACTTCTTGGTGATGAGCTCTCTAAATGGCTGCAGTTGCTGCAAGAGATTCGGAAATCTCGTGCTACATTTGACACTACCGAAGTCAGCCGCTCATTCGGCCACATTACCATCGACTATGAACAAGTGCAGATGAAAGTCAACTCTAAGTATGACCAATGGCAGCAGGAAATCCTGGTGAAATTCGCGAGCCGGCTTGGCAATCGTATGCGAGAAGTCAATGCCGAGATAGAAAAAGCCCGCAGAGACCTGGAGGGACAGAGCCTTGAAGCGAGTTCGACTGCGATGGCGGTCCAGTTCATCACCATTGTTCAAAGTTGCAAGCGCAAGGTTAAGGCATGGGCTCCTGAGGTCGAGACCTTCCGTCAAGGTCAATCTACCCTCGTCCGAAACCGGTACAATTTCCCGAACGATTGGGTAGATGTTCAACAGGTCGATTCGACATGGGAGGCCCTTAACGAACTTCTGAATAGGAAGGCAAAGATTGTGCAAGATCAGACTGATGCTCTGAAGGCCAAGATCGTCGCAGAGGACAGGGTTGTGATAGACAAGATAACCGAGATTGCTACGCAGTGGAACGACGAGAAACCCGTTTCAGGGACGATTGCCCCTGATGTTGCATCTGCGACTCTCGCCTCTTTCGAAGCTAGGATCACAAAATTGCAAGAAGAATTCGACATGGTGTCTAAAGCCAAGGAAGCGCTCGATCTCCCCGCGAGCCCCGAGTCTTCTCTCTCAACTATCTTAGAAGAAGTCCAAGACTTCAAGTCTGTCTGGGCTGGCTTGTCGACTATCTGGAAGAGCCTGAACGAGCTCCGAGAGACATTGTGGGGAAGCGTTCAACCTAGAAAAATTCGAGTCAGCATTGACGGCCTGATCAAGATGACGAAGGAGATGCCAAGTAGGATGCGACAGTATGCCGCTTTTGAGCATATCCAGAACATCCTCCGCCAGCTTCTGAAAGTGAACAGCCTTCTAAGTGACTTAAAGTCGGAAGCTATCCGAGATCGACATTGGACTAAGATCTGGAAAGATATCAAGCCTGGGCGGCGATACTCGCCTGTTTCTATGACACTTGGAGATGTCTGGGATCTTAACCTCGTTGCTACTGAGGTTATTGTGAGAGACATCATCACGCAAGCTCAGGGTGAGATGGCGTTGGAGGAATTCTTGAAGCAAGTGAAAGAGACCTGGAACAATTACCAACTGGATCTTGTGCCGTATCAAAGCAAGTGCCGTCTTATCCGCGGCTGGGATGAGCTTTTTGCGAAGTGCAGCGAGAATCTGAACTCATTGCAGGCGATGAAGCATTCGCCGTATTACAAAGAATTCGAAGAGGAGGCCTCGTCTTGGGAGGACAAGTTGAATCGCGTCCACGTCCTGTTCGATGTCTGGATTGATGTTCAGCGCCAATGGGTATATTTGGAAGGCGTCTTTACTGGAAATGCAGACATCAAGCATCTCTTGCCAATCGAGTCGTCCAGGTTTCAGAACATCAACAGCGAGTTTATGACTGTGATGAAGAAAGTCTACAAACAACCTATGGTGATGGATGTCCTAGGTATCACTGGCGTGCAGAAGTCTCTAGAACGTCTTGCCGAACTTCTCAACAAGATACAGAAGGCGCTCGGTGAGTATCTTGAGAAGGAAAGGGTGTCATTCCCTCGTTTCTATTTCGTTGGTGACGAGGATTTGCTGGAGATGATCGGTAATAGCAACGACACCTTGCGCATTGCTAAACACTTCAAGAAAATGTTCGCTGGTCTCACCGGACTCGTAATGGACGACGAATCGATCATTTCAGGCTTCACTTCCAAGGAAGGAGAAATTGTACGACTTAAGAAAGAAATCTCGCTAGCAAAGGTCCCTAAGATCAATGATTGGTTGGCTTTGCTCGAGAATGGTATGAAGGTCACCCTGGCTGAGCTTCTTGCCGAAGCTGTCGAAGTATATACGCCCCTATTCGAGTCGGGCGAGATCAGCCCGAACGCCTTGAACGATTTCATGGACGCCTTCCCTAGTCAGATCGTGGTGTTAGCTACCCAGGTGGCTTGGACTACAGCAGTAGAGCGATCATTGAATGACGGCGGCAAGACATTGCAATCTCTTTTCGAGCGGGAAGTCCATGTTCTCAAACTTCTCGCGGAGACTGTTCTTGGCGACTTGGAGGTGATACAAAGGAAGAAATGCGAGGCTCTCATCACGGAATGCGTTCATCAGCGAGACGTTATTGAGAAGCTAGTGAAGCTCAATGCTAGCACGCCCACACATTACATGTGGCTGCTACAAATGCGATACGTCTATGTGCCCGAGGGAGATTACTTAGAGCGTGTCCATATCAAGATGGCAAACGCGAAGCTCAACTATGGTTTCGAATACCTGGGTGTTCCCGATAGACTGGTCCGAACTCCTCTTACTGATCGCTGTTTTGGAACGCTTACCCAAGCACTCTGCCAGCGACTTGGCGGCTCTCCCTACGGACCTGCAGGTACTGGAAAGACGGAATCTGTCAAAGCTCTTGGTGTCCAGCTAGGCCGTTTTACTCTAGTCTTTTGCTGTGACGACACTTTTGATTTCCAGGCCATGGGCCGCATTTTCCTTGGTATTTGCCAAGTTGGAGCCTGGGGTTGTTTCGACGAGTTCAATCGTTTGGAGGAAAGAATCTTGTCTGCCGTCTCGCAACAGATCCAGAATATTCAACTTGGTCTAAAACAGGGTGCGGAAGACGACAAAGCCCAAATTGAACTAGTTGGTCGGCAGCTTCATGTAAACGCTAATACGGGTATCTTCATCACGATGAACCCTGGATATGCTGGTCGTTCCAATTTGCCCGACAACCTCAAGAAGCTGTTCCGTAGCGTTGCAATGTCAAAGCCGGACAAAGAGCTCATTGCTGAAGTCATGCTTTACTCTCAAGGTTTTAACCAAGCCAAACAGCTCTCCAAGCAGACAGTTCCGTTCTTCGACCAATGTTTCGTAAAACTATCCAAGCAAGCACATTACGACTTTGGCCTACGTGCCTTGAAGAGTGTACTTGTTAGCTCTGGTGGTCTCAAACGTGCCCGGCTCACGAGCAGTGACGGCAACATCGGTTCCGAAGAAGTTGTGGAGCCTGAGATCATCGTACAAAGCGTTCGAGAAACCATCGCTCCAAAGTTGATTCGAAGCGATGTGGAGATCATGATGGCGATCGAGGCAGATTGCTTCCCAGGTGTTCAGTACGTTCCTGCTAACTTGGCAGAACTTGAGGATGCCATTCGTCGTCTTGCAGCAGAGAGACACCTTGTGGTCAATGATATCTGGATGACCAAGGTTCTTCAGCTCTACCAAATTCAAAAGATCCACCATGGTGTGATGATGGTGGGTAATTCGGGATCTGGAAAGTCTGCTGCGTGGAGACTTCTCCTGGATGCACTTCAAGAAGTGGAAAAAGTCGAAGGTGTCTCTCATGTCATTGATTCTAAAGTCATGTCAAAGGAGGCACTATACGGAAACTTGGACTCGACTACCAGAGAATGGACCGATGGTCTATTTACTAGCATACTACGGAAGATTGTCGACAACCTCCGCGGAGAAGACTCCAAGCGTCACTGGATCGTATTTGACGGTGACGTCGATCCTGAATGGGTTGAAAACTTGAACAGTGTCCTGGATGACAACAAGTTACTTACTCTCCCCAACGGCGAGCGTCTCAATCTGCCACCCAATGTTCGGATCATGTTTGAAGTCGAGACTTTGAAATATGCTACTCTGGCGACTGTTAGTCGATGTGGTATGGTATGGTTTAGCGAGGATACTGTCACACCAAGCATGATGGTCACCAACTACCTCGATACTCTTAGGACCGTGGCATTCGAAGACCTGGATGAGGACACAGCTGCCGCTGGTCAAAGCCCCGCAAAGACCCTCCAGATTCAGAGTCAAGTTGCCGATCTGTTGAATACTTATTTGACGGAGGAAGATTTCATCCTCACATCCCTGAAACAAGCCGAATCTTACAACCATATTATGGAGTTTACCGTTGCTCGCGTCCTGACAACCTTATTCTCTTTACTCAACAAGGCTGTTAGAGACATGATCGAATACAACGCCTCCCATGTCGATTTCCCTCTTGATCCGGAGCAGATCGAAACGTACGTCTCAAGAAAGTTGTTGCTTGCTCTAGTCTGGGCATTGACGGGCGATTGTCCACTCAATGATCGAAAAGCATTTGGAGATAATGTTGGAGCGCTAGCAAACTTCGGATCGCCGCCACTTGACGGCACTAGCTCTCTCATCGACTTCGACGTTATTCTCCCCAGAGCTGAATGGACGCCGTGGCAAAATCAAGTCCCTACAATTGAGGTCAACACGCACTCTATCACGCAAACGGATGTCGTCATTCCTACATTGGATACTGTTCGCCATGAAGATGTGCTCTACTCTTGGCTCGCCGAACACAAGCCCCTCCTACTCTGCGGACCGCCCGGATCTGGTAAAACAATGACTCTGTTTAGCGCACTTCGAAAATTACCCAACATGGAAGTTGTCGGCCTCAATTTCTCTAGCGCGACTACCCCCGACCTCCTTATCAAGACGTTCGAGCAGTATTGCGAGTACAAGAAGACTCTTAACGGGGTGATGCTATCACCGACCCAGATTGGCCGATGGCTGGTGATCTTTTGCGACGAAATCAATCTGCCAGCACCGGATAAATATAACACTCAGCGGGCTATTTCGTTCCTTCGTCAACTAGTAGAACACAACGGCTTCTGGCGAACATCTGACAAGTCTTGGGTGACTCTTGATCGAATCCAATTTGTTGGTGCCTGTAACCCTCCAACCGATGCTGGCCGTACACCAATGGGCGCCAGGTTCCTAAGACACGCGCCGTTAATTATGGTTGATTATCCCGGTGAGCTGTCCTTGCTTCAGATCTATGGCACTTTCAACTCCGCTGTCCTTAAGATCATTCCTGCGTTGCGCGGATACTCCGAGCCGCTCACCCAGGCAATGGTTCGTTTCTACTTGGAGTCGCAACAACGATTCACGCCTAAGATCCAACCGCATTATGTTTACAGTCCTCGTGAATTGACCAGGTGGGTCCGTGGTGTGTACGAAGCTATTCGTCCGCTAGAGACTCTCTCTGTTGAAGGATTGATCCGTATTTGGGCACACGAAGCGCTGCGACTTTTCCAAGACCGTTTAGTTGCAGAGGATGAGCGACAGTGGACTGACGAAGCTGTCCAACGAATCGCATTAGAGTTCTTCCCTACAATTGACGAGAGTAAAGCGTTGGGTGGCCCGATCCTATTCTCCAACTGGCTTTCCAAGAATTATGTTCCCGTTGATCGAGAACAGTTACGAGACTTTGTCAAGGCTCGTCTGAAGACTTTCTGCGAAGAGGAAGTGGATGTTCCACTCATTTTGTTCAATGATGTGCTTGAACATGTCCTTCGTATCGACCGTGTCTTCAGACAACCGCAGGGCCATTTGATATTGATTGGTGTCAGTGGAAGTGGAAAAACAACACTTTCAAGATTCGTCGCTTGGATGAATGGTCTCAAAGTCTTCCAAATCAAAGTTCATGGGAAGTATTCCGCCGAAGACTTTGACGAAGATCTCCGAGAGGTTCTGCGCCGATGCGGTTGCAAAGGCGAGAAGATCTGCTTTATCATGGACGAATCTAATGTCCTTGACTCGGGTTTCCTGGAGCGCATGAACACTCTTCTTGCTAACGCTGAAGTCCCCGGTCTTTTTGAAGGGGACGATTTTGCATCCCTTATGACGGCTTGCAAAGAAGGCGCACAGCGGCAAGGATTGCTACTGGATTCTCAAGAAGAGCTATACAAATGGTTCACTCAGCAGATTGTCAAGAACTTGCATGTGGTATTCACTATGAACCCGCCCGAAGACGGTTTATCCTCCAAAGCTGCTACTAGTCCGGCTTTGTTCAACCGTTGTGTGCTCAATTGGTTTGGTGATTGGTCTGATCAGGCGCTCTTCCAAGTTGCCAATGAGCTTACTCATTCCATCGACCTTGACAAACCCAACTTCGCGGCTCCTGATACTATTCCCGTCGCGTATCGCGGTCTTAATCTGCCTCCTTCCCACAGAGAAACAATCGTTAATTCCATGGTCTATATTCATTACTCTCTGCAACGTTTCAACAGCAAGCTTCAGAAGCAACAGGGCAAGGTTACATTCCTCACCCCGCGTCACTTCCTCGATTTCGTTGCTCAATATGTCAAGCTGTACAACGAGAAGCGGGAAGATCTAGAGGAACAGCAACGTCACTTGAACGTTGGACTGGACAAGTTACGAGACACGGTCGAGAAAGTGCGTGATCTTAGGGTCAGTCTGGCCGAGAAGAAGACCCAGCTCGAGGCAAAAGATGCCGAGGCCAACGAGAAGCTACAACGCATGGTTGCTGATCAACGGGAAGCTGAACAGCGCAAGGGCGCTTCTCTGGAGATTCAAGCAGCGCTTGAAAAACAAGAAGCAGAAGTTGCCACTCGCAAGGAGGTTGTCTTGAATGATCTTGCAAGAGCTGAGCCTGCTGTCGAAGAAGCCAAAGCTAGTGTCAGCAACATCAAACGACAGCACTTGACTGAAGTTAGGTCTATGGGTTCTCCACCGCAGGGTGTCCGACTTGCGATGGAGTCCGTATGCGCGTTGCTGGGCCACAAGATCGCCGACTGGAAAGGTGTCCAGGCTGTGGTGCGACGTGACGACTTTATTGCGAGCATCGTCAATTTTGACAACGAGAAGCAGATGACCAAGGCCTTGCGAACGCTAATGCGAAACAAATTTTTGAATCAGGCGGATTTTACATACGAAAAGGTCAACCGTGCCAGTAAGGCCTGTGGTCCGCTAGTTCAGTGGGTAGAGGCTCAAGTTAATTACTCTGAGATCCTCGACAGGGTCGGTCCTCTGCGAGAGGAGGTGGATCAGCTTGAGGAGCAAGCCCTCCAGACAAAGGCTGAAGCCAAAGCCGTCGAAAACACCATCATCAGTCTAGAGCAAAGCATCGCAACATACAAGACCGAATACGCAGCTCTTATCAGTGAGACTCAGGCCATCAAGGCCGAGATGTCTCGTGTCCAATTCAAGGTCGATCGAAGCGTAAGATTACTCGACAGTCTTTCTTCAGAGCGTACCCGCTGGGAGGACGGAAGCAAGTCGTTCGAAACTCAAATCAGTACTTTAGTTGGAGATGTCTTAGTGGCAGCGGCTTTCCTGGCTTACAGTGGTCTTTACGACCAGACCTTCCGAAAGTCAATGATGGAAGACTGGTTACATCAACTGCATCTTTCCGGTATCAACTTCAAGCCCCACAACCCCGTTACCGAATATCTGTCGACTGCCGATGAGCGCCTTAGTTGGCAAGAGAATACCTTACCTGTTGATGATCTCTGCACGGAAAACGCCATCATCCTTAAGCGCTTCAACCGTTACCCGCTTATCATCGATCCTTCGGGCAGAGTTACCGAGTTCCTTCAACGCGAATGCAAGGACCGCCGTCTTACTGTGACTAGTTTCTTAGATGATTCCTTTACCAAACAACTAGAGAGTTCTCTCAGATTCGGCAACCCGATTCTCATTCAAGATGCCGAACACCTAGACCCCATCCTCAATCATGTTCTCAATAAGGAGTATCAAAAAACAGGTGGTCGTGTACTCATCCAACTTGGCAAGCAGGAGATTGACTTCTCGCCTGCGTTCAAGATCTACTTGTCGACCAGAGATCCGTCTGCTACATTCCCACCCGACATTTGCAGTCGAACTACGTTTGTCAACTTCACTGTCACACAGAGCAGTCTCCAGACTCAATCTCTTAATGACGTCCTAAAATCCGAGAGACCAGATGTTGACGAGAGGAGATCGAATCTCATCAAACTTCAAGGCGAGTTCAAGGTCCATCTTCGACAACTTGAGAAGCGTCTTCTTCAAGCCCTTAATGAATCCCGTGGTAATATTCTTGATGATGACAACGTCATCGAGACTCTTGAAACTCTCAAGACAGAAGCTGGCGAGATCACGGCCAAGATAAGCAACACTGAAGGCGTGATGGCTGAAGTAGAAGAGATCACATTGCAGTACAGTATCATTGCGCGATCGTGCAGTGCCGTCTTTGCTGTTCTCGAACAATTACACTATCTCAACCACTTCTACCAATTCTCACTTCAGTACTTCTTGGACATTTTCCACTCTGTTCTTCACGGCAATAAGAACCTAACAGGCGTGACTGATTTCAACGCACGCCGAGACATTATCATCAAAGACCTATTTGTGACCACATTCAAGAGAACAGCGCTGGGTCTACTACAGAAGGATCGAATCACTTTGGCCATGCTCCTCGCCCAAGCCTCCCCATACAAGATGGATAAGGGCCTGATCGATATTATTCTCGACCAACGTATCGAGGGCAAAGACCTCTCTACCGAAATCGACGCTAAAGATGAGACTTTTACTAAAGCCAAGAGGCTTGGCGTATTGAAGGACAAGCTCGATCAAGTACCATCTGCCGCCTGGGAAACGTTCCTGTCGGAAGAACTAGCCGAGAATGTCATCCCCCAAATCTGGGATGCGAATACTGAACCATTTGATCAAGGATTACTCTCGCTACTCCTCGTCAAACTCTTCCGCCTCGATCGTTTCGTCCCAGCCTCAGAGCGGTTCGTTGCGTCCGTCTTCGGAGCTGAACTGTTCGACATTGTAGATGATCTCAAAGAAACTATCAACCAGGTCCCTTCGACCCGTCCCATTTCGCTTGTCTCGAGTCCTGGCTTCGATGCCAGCTACAAGGTAGACAATCTGGTTGAGAGAACGCGTGTCAGATGCACGAATATCGCTATGGGGTCGAATGAAAGTCTTGCGAGTGCGGATAAAGCAATTAGCAACGCAGCACAGGTCGGATCTTGGGTTTTGATCAAGAACGTCCACCTTGCACCTACTTGGTTGCAATCCCTGGAAAAGCGCATGGAATCTCTGAACCCACATTCTGATTTTAGGCTCTTCCTGTCGATGGAATCCAGCCCCAAGATTCCTGTCAATTTACTTCGCGCATCTCGCGTGCTTATGTATGAACAACCGGCTGGTGTCCGCGCCAACATGAAGGATTCGATGTCTTCTCTTACAGACCGAGCTTCGAAGAGTCCCGTGGAGCGCGGCCGACTATACCTGCTCCTTTCCTTCCTACATGCTGTCGTTCAAGAACGTCTACGCTACGCACCCAATCTGGGTTGGAAAGGCTTCTGGGAGTTTAATGATAGCGATGTAAGTTTTCCCCTTGACAACATGATGAACAGCAGCTAATCCTTCATTCCCGTAGTACGAATGCTCCGCCTTCATCGTTGATACGTGGGTAGAATCAGTGGCACAAAGCCGCTCAAATATCAACCCACAGAATATTCCTTGGGACATGATCCGCTACTTAGTCCGCGAGACATACGGCGGCAAGATTGATGACGAAGGCGATTTCAATCGCTTAACGGAATTGGTCGACCAATCTCTCACGCCAGCAGCCTATGAAATTGGGCACAAACTAGTCGAAGGCACTGAGAAGGATGGGCAAGAAGCAAGCCTTGTGGTACCGTCTGGCACTTCGCTGCAAGAGTTCATGGGGTGGATCCAGAAACTGCCTGAGCGCGAACCACCAACTTACTTGGGCCTGCCTGCCAACGCAGAGAAGCTGCTGTTGGTTGGGCTTGGTAGGAGCCTGATAGGAAACCTGAAGAAGGTGACGGAATTATTGGACGAAGGAGAGCAGCTCTTGGGAGAGGTCTGATATGCCTGTACAAGATTATGGACGTTGTTTCTTCATTGGGGAGTTTGGTCTTTTTCCTCTCTACAGGCTTCGAGATTACAAACCTTCATACCCTGATACCCCTTTTAGTTTTAGATTGTTACCTATTTCCTTTTTTTGTTACATACAGGTGTATAAGTTACACTATACACGAAAATGAAATTGTTGCCCAATTATGTGTGCGAACTGTTCTCTCCGTCTAATCCTTCGATTGATCGTGTAGCTAAACCATCGTAAATCTTGAGTGACGACACATCGGCACTGACATCATTTTCTATGTACTGTATGTATTAGAGTGGTATTTGCTTTAGCGGCTCCAACTATGCAAGTTTCCAATGCCTCACATCCAATCAGACAAGCTGTATTTCAAACCATTACGACTAAATGTTCCCCTCGTCGTACATACCTATTTGTAAATGAATGCTAATCCATCAAATTCTCGTTAAATACCTGGTAGGTAGCTCCGAGATAAAAAGGAGCAAGCGAACACTGAGGCACCCAGGGGTATGCATAAAGGAGTACGGCGTAGTGATAAGATTTACATAAGTACGATTGATTAGGGCATCTTATCTACAGTATCTACGGAGTTCCCCCTCCTTCTTCCAAAATTCAGGTAGTGGTACGTACCACGGTAGCCTGCTTGCTGCGGCTGCACCATGCAAGGAGATGGGCCTAGATAAAAAAGCTTGGCGTTAATAAAAGAGGGACTGGCAATCCAGCGGGAATATTGAATGTCCAAACCCTGAAGGATTGAAACCTCGGAAGTACTCCGTACTCCGCGGCCGGCCCTAACGAGTGTTCCCTACTCCTTTTGGGGGCTTCCAATTGTTCTTCTCCGAATACATATACCGGAAACCGGAATATACTTAGGTACCTGAGCGCAAAAGCGCAGGACCTAAAACGCCTGATGCATTTTAGCGATATAGCGTCCAAGCTACATAGTTAAGATTTTAGGAGGAAATGATTGAGCATGTTTCTCGCTTATTTGAGGCCGCGGGTTAGTGCAGGCCAACGGCAGAGAGTTCCCAGGTCTCGAATCGTTTCTGAAAGGCCCCAGAGACTAGGGGGCGAGACCAGATGCGTACGCCCTAGACCGCCCAAACGCGGTACGGGATACGCGGATAGCTGTATCGTCTAAATATGTACCTAGGCTGCCAGGTATGTTATCATATTATGTGGTGTAGCCATGTTGGTCGTGTTGGCCAATGTTGGGTTTGATTTATTATTAAGGATTTTAAGAGTGACAATTGATATCAGAATCCCAGATTATCGCCTAATCAGATGACAAGGATTGGGAGATTGATTACGTTTTGTGAAGTTGGCAGACCGCTTTCCGAGATGCTTTAGGTATTACTACGATCAGCCAATCGTCAGGTGAAGATTACAAAAAGCCCATGCTAGTCTCGTCATGTTACCAAATCTGATCTACATCGTGGCCAATTAGAGGTGATTTAATAATAATCCGCTCGACTCTCATTCAACCGGGTCGCCGACAGTCGGGATGGGTCTCTTTTTATCTTTTTTGAGAACTGGCAGATCCATGTTTAGTTCATGCTAGGTGGCCGCTAGTAGGCACTAGCCTTATGGGGAGCGTGTATATCCCAGCACTGTTTCGAGTGTCCACTGTCCAGAGTGCCCTTCAGCTGGCAGGTACCCCCTAAGGATGAATCTTAAATGAGCAAGATGAGCCTAACTTGGTAAGCTCAAGACCCAAGTCTCGGCCAGCCCACGAGTCTCGTTCTACACCTTATTCCACACCCCCCCCTTCCATGTGGCATTCCCAATTTCATCCACCGCCGACCACCAACTCATTCAGATCAGATTATCTATTCCCTCGAATCTCCGAGTTTCACCTCGGACCAAGACGCTCGCTTCTACCTAGCCGTCTTGTGTACAACTCCTTGTCCGATCTTATCTCCACGGATCAATCCCGACGTGGCGGAGCATAAGTTGAGTTAGGCCTTTAAGTCGTAGCCTGTCGATTGTCTGTCGACTGCCTGTCGACTGCCTACGCCTACGTACGAAGTGCGTTGACAGCGAGGGTGACGCATGCGGTACAGAGCATACAGGGCAAGGCCAACTCCTGCAGTGTTCCGTACCGTACATACCCAGCATACCGTACATACCGTACATCCTGCTTACAGCCTGGAACGCCCGTCCTCGTGATCCGGGCATGGCCATATCCCGTAACCATAACACACAAGAATCAACCCTTCATCACTCCACCCCTTCCTGCGCTTAACCCATCTTCACCTGTCTGCTCCGGCCCTACGTCTATGAGGAACCCACACGAGCCTCTAGGAGTCTTGCCCCCTTGCGTCCGTGTCCACCCCATAGTCCCGTCTTTAACCATCCCAAGTGACTTCGTTGTCAATTGTACATAGTCGAATCATCGTCCTCCAGCTCGCTTTCGGCTCCTCTTTTTATCTACCATCGTATGCAACTGGTTTAGGGCGGCTTAGATCTTGAATACACACTACTAGTCGCCGTTATTTTATTCAAACTAATAAGCGTTACGGACAGTCACGACATACTGTAGCCCTTGCGACGCTTCTTCGGTCGATCACTTACTAGTTGGCCCACAGCTAGTCTTGCTCGTTGAGCCGCCAATATCTTGAAAGTCGAACAGGATTCTCACGTCGTCGAACAATAGCATTTTACCATCTACCCAATCTAAGGACTACTTCCCATTTTGGGTTCTAATCCGGAGCCCCATGTCATTATAAGACAAAGAAAGGTACCTATCGCGGCCACCACTGTAGTTGTGTCACGATTAGGCCAATTCCTTCGAAAGGATTTGATCGACGGAGAGTCATGATGGAAGTTGCTCCCTATCCATATGCGAGTCTTACCAGGTCCGAACCGAACTCTGTGAGAACCGCGCTCCCTACTCGTCCTGTCGTCTCTAGAGAGAGTACCCAACCGTCAGAAACCATGTCCATTCAAAACGCCTCCTCCGTTGGTTCGAGAAGCCCAGCAGTTTTAAGCCAAAGCGATTTTTCGGACGCGCCTAGTCCATCGATACAAGGATCCGAACGAGTCCATTCTAAGAGTCCATCTCCCTTCGATACAGTCCGTCAGGAAAACTGGGCAACGACGAAGTCCAGCTCCACGTCCAACCAAGGCGGCCAGGTGTGCAGGTGAGTCGACTGGCTACTAAGAGAGTATTCGATGAGTCCTAATTCCATTCTAGTAATTGTAGTACTACGAGAACGCCGCTATGGAGGCGGTCGCCGCAGGGGGCCACCATCTGCAATGCGTGCGGACTGTATCTAAAGGCGCGGAATTCGTCTCGCCCAACGAATCTCAAGCGGCCGCCATCGGTAGTCTCTACCACGCCGAAGAGAACGCCCGAGAAACCACCTTCCAGTTCCTGTTCCCAGAATAGTTCGGCGAATATTCCAGGCGCAACGTATGTCGCGGCAGATCAGATGCCCAACGGATCGTGTCCAGGTGGAGGACGATGTAATGGTACGGGTGGAGCGGAAGGATGCAGTGGTTGTCCAGCTTACAACAACCGGGTGGCAAAAAGTGCTCAACTCCAAAATCAAAATCGACAATCCGGCAATGAACAAGGGACTCCTTCGGACGATGGGCCGGCTCCAATTGACATAAACGCGCAACAAGCCGCGGCTCAGACAACTGTTGTCATAGCATGTCAAAATTGTGGTACTACGATAACCCCGTTATGGCGTCGAGACGAATCTGGCCATACTATATGTAATGCCTGCGGTATGTGTGTGCCTCAAGTTTTACTCGTGATATGTTCGCTAAACACGAATTACAGGACTGTACTACAAACTTCACGGAGTTCACCGACCGGTAACAATGAAGAAATCCGTCATTAAGAGGAGGAAACGTGTAATACCGGCAAATCAAATGGATGACGGAGTGGAAGACGTAATGGCGGTCGATTCGATTGAACAGCAGAGCCAATATGCCGAGTCTGAAATGGAACGGGGCAGTGTCAACGAAGACGGGTCTGTTAATCTCGGGCTACGACGTAAAACCGAGCATCCTCTCACATTGCTTCCCGATCCGATCCGATCTGGTGCGGGATCAACCCCAGTATCCACCGATCTCATGGCGTATCACAACACCAGTGCTCCACATCATGTCGTCGATATTCGGGATTCTCTTACCGACGACAATCGTCTAGCTCCACTAACGTCTATCTCGCTATCGAGTGTCCGTCAGTCGTCCTTATCCCCAGCCTCGTTTCTGTCTCCGTCGAGAAAGCGCTCCTTTTCGGGAACCGAGTCGGAATACGCACCGAGCGAACCAAGCTACGATAACTCAAAAAGGCTATCGTCGATAAAATCACTTCTTAACCCGTCGTTTGAATCGAGCCCCAGTTTTCGCCCGGTTGAGAACGCTCCCGAGTCGCTGCGACTTCGGTCACCAGCGAACTCACTCATATTAGCACCAAGTCCCAGCCCGCAACTAGTATCCCCAAACGTGTTGCCGAGCCTCCAATCTAGGGAGAGCACAGTTGAAGATGAGAGGACGAAAGCCGGCCGTCTGGCGGCACTACAACAAGAAACGGAACGAATGCGCCAATTACTCGCGGCCAAGGAACGCGAGATGGCAGCGCTACAACAATAGTTACTAATATCCCCCTTTCGAATTAGCGCTGATGATTTATTGCTTTGATGATCAAGATTTACGATTGGAATTACCGGTGTTGCTCTATGGAAACACGGCAAAAAAAACGCAAAAGGGTGAGCCAAAGGTTCAGAGGCGTCAAAAGGTAGTAGAGCTTAGCTGGTGGTATTTGCTTTTCAACAACATACGTACCTAGGTAGCATATGTGCTCGGCGTACATGAGTTTGCAAAAAATACATACAAGGATTAAGGAGGCAAAGTGTTCTGAATTACATTGCATGGTTGCAAAATCCCCGTGGCAGAGGCAAATTTTAAAGGAGATTGAACTTTCAAAAGGAATTTCTCATAGGAACTATAGAAAGGGTATGGAAAGGGACGGGGCATTGGATGAAGGCAAAGGATTGGTATGAATCGGTTTTCGCAGTATCGTTCGTATGGTACACGGGTTAAGCAGCTTCTCGCACGTAACCGCTCACCTCAGATAAAATTAATGAACTTATATGGATTTCCTCGACGATATAATGTCTCCTGATTACAAGTGCTGAGGTATCAAGAGTCACGAGTTCAGATTAGCATGTCATGGGAAGAACAATTCCATCTCGTCTATCTCGTCTCTACAACTAGTCTCCCGATCGTTTACACGCCAACGTGGTCTTCCATGGCAAAATCCATCGCATTTATTCGTACATCTGAGGCCATCATCGGCCCAACCTAACCGTCCCAATAGTTGGAGTAACGAATTAACTTTCTAAAACACCAGCATTCCAGCCGCAAATTTTTTTGTTTTTCACCTAGTTTTTCATATAGTCGGGCCCCAGTTACCAGCTAGAAGCTAACCTCTGGTCCCCTTCCTTGTCGCACCTTCATCAGTCGGTATCCCACAAGGCGAGTAAACCAACCATCCTGTCCAAGCTAGGAGATTCGCTCACCCTCCCTGCCTCCCTTCGTTCCTTCCTCTTTCCCTTTCTCTCTCGCTCGCTGCCGTCCCAGCTTATCCGCGACATATATATATACATACATGCCCGCGACGTGTGCCAGGAACGCTTCTACTAATGTTGTAGTTTCTTGGTTAGGTAAGTTGTTGTTGTTAAGTGGTAGTAAGTTTAGGTTCAGGGGAGGGCAATCGCGGCGGTTTTAAAAAGGTGTCGGGAAAAAAAATTTCCTAGACCTGCTCGGCGCCCCAGCCCTGGTCGGCCTCGCGCATGTTGGCGGGGGGCTCGACGGAGGGGACGAACTCGAGGGCGACGTAGGCGAGGCCGACGGCGCCGACGACGGAGCCGGCGATGATGCGCAGGACGCCGTTGTTGAGCAGGATGGAGCCGACGAAGACGTAGAAGACGCCGCGGCCGAGGAAGGAGAACATGAAGGAGGCGTAGCGCGAGACCTGCGGCGGGATCTGGAACTCGAGCAGCGCGACGCCGAGGCCGAAGACGAGGACGTAGGCGCCGATGATGATGGATTGGCTGGAGGCATCGTGAGAATTGTTATATGTTACATAGTTGACACGGGGAATTTTCTATATTCGGGCGTGTAGGTAGGCTAGGGGCCGGAGAGATCGGTGGTTACGTACAAGCTCGCGTTGAAGAACTGCGATATACCGCCCAGCACCATGATCACGCCCACGGCGAGGTTGACGATTCGGCTAAATGGGGGGAAAGTCTTAACGTTAGCGCTTTCCCATCTTTTAAATACACGGTGTGAAGAAAACGGATTCTATCCCAGATGTTTGCATACAATGAGTCAGAGAAGTCCATCTTTGCGATTCGGTTTTAGGTTAACTATTTTGCGCGATAGATGGAGAGATACGATTCAATTCTGATGTAAAGTCGGCTCGGTGAGCGGCAGTTTCTACTAGGGACAAAGGGACGCGCGGAAGCTGTTGCAGTTTATCGTAGCTTAATAAAGTGATCGGAGAAAGAGGAGATGAGGCTATTTAGACGAGGCTTGCGATGACGGGCTTAGGTAGGATAAGGATAGTTCGCTCTAGGCAGACGCTTTTTTTCGGTTGCGACCTGTATGGACGGATGGGGGATGTTTGTGTTAGGTTTGCGTCAGGAGGCTGGAGCTAAGTTTTCTTTCGATAGGGGAGAGCTCCCAATCTTGCGAGCTACCTTTCCCTAGCGCGGACAGGGGTGCAGGGGTTGTCGTCATCTATTTTCAGCCACGCGAGCTCAGCCTTATTTCAGATGTGGCGCAGATCAACCACTCTTATCAGAAATAGGGGCAGTAGGGGTCAATTCCACACATCTTCTCACCATTTTCTCGCTGTACATACCCAATTACAAGTGATAGTGATATGTTAGACCTATATTACAAATCCACAATCTCAGTGATTTATACAAACTATGATTTGATGTAGGTAATCAGTGCTATCAGCTTGTTTCCCCTATATGGCATTAGAGCAGTCCGTCAATATTGAACACCTTTGCTAGATATAAACCACATCAGATGTTTACTTCTGTTCATTCATCGTCGTTTGTCTAGCAACAACGGATATAGGGCATTTCCAAAAAAATATATATTCTACAATAGTGAAGTCTTGAATTTATCTAGTTTGACTCCCTCCTCTTATTACTACAACCCACTTATGCAAAATGGAGTAAAATATAAAGCATGACATTCCCTTCAAGATTAGATGTATACTTAGCCACGGTTTATATGGCTGGATACCAAGCAATCTCATCACTAGAACCATAGTATAGATGCTCGGGTCTATGTATCGCTAAAAGATGTCTCTGCCTTGGTTCTTCCGGAGAATGCTTGCCCTCCTCCCTAGGGTACCCCAGCGACGAGATAAAACTCTCCGATCAAATATGACAGAGATACGAAGCAATTCAGAAGGCCAACTTCGCGCTAGTCTAGTATATACAATTAACAACAAAGTACGACGAAGGAATATGATCAGCATTGAAAATTTGCAGATGAAATAGGTCGATTACAGTGGGATCCAACTGATTTGGATAACCTAGACGGCAAACTTCACTACCGGTGTGTTTAGCTGCCGTCATAAACCTCGAAATAAGGAGGTAACATGAGGCACACACCAACGTTGACAGGTTCACAGCCTGGGTAGATCCAGATGTGTCTCTCGCCCCAACGAGTGTTTCCCGGCAATAGCGCCGCATATTTACGCATCAATCCCTTCGTTAAGAGGGAATATTAACAGTCAAAATCTTCCATGGACAATCAGACAGCCTTCGCTATATGTCCGCGTTCTATGTTGCGTTCGAGGTATACCTACACATAACAGACAAGAACAGTTAGGGAAATTTAGCCCTCGCCACCGATAAATGGATCATTGGCAAGATCGATACATGCTTCAAGACATTTCACATTTATATTCCTAGCATAATTCCTTCTCCCTTCAAGTACTAACGCACATGTTCGGCGCAAAACATATAAAATACCATATGCAACCTTTAAGGCCCTGACTCCTAGAGATAACTCAGGAAGTTTGTCACATATCATTTCTGCTTCACATGTGCCGATGCCAAAGTCGGGCAGACTTCCATATGGTAGAGGAAGCACGGCAAGGTACACCAGAATGTGTGTCAAGAACACAGCCCATACGAGCTAATTGGTGGGCTGTGCGTGAAGTGTAAGAACGCGCGAGAGAGTGCTAGAAAGGCCACGAGAAAAGCCCAAAAACAACATTAAGTGAAGAAAAGGGACGAGCCATGGAAGGTCAGGACCAAAGTTCAGCTAGGCGAGGACATCGACTTATGCTTGATTAGGATTTAAAGCTCGCGACGTATATTAATCCTTCCAGCATTCTGTATTTTTAACCATGATTCAACGCCAGGTTGGCGAAGGAGAAGCCCGTTTTCGCGAAATCCCCTGGGAACTACGCCTCTTAAAAGTAAGCGTACTGTCGTGGGAATTGTCGTCGTCCAGATGTGCGGTTGAATTCACTTGAAATAAAGTCAAGGGGTTCCGCGACGCTGTCCGCATTTACCTCATGAGGGCCCAGGTCAATCAATTCAATCAGTCCTACATGGAGGATCTTGACAGCGCTACTATCAATGCTAGATCTACGAATGAGGGCACAAGCACAGAAAGATCTGAGTCTCGTTTTGCTGGAAATCTCTCGAAGATGGTAAGGATTTAAACCTCGAAACGAATTAATGGGTACAATGGTACCCACCTAGTTTTTCTAGAGCAGTCATTCGAGGGCGTCGTTAACCATTTCCCGATCAAGTACAGAAGCTAAGCCGCGGGCAAGTGGCAGTTTCTTTTCTTTCTAACCTGAAGTGATCTATATGTGAGGGAAGGAGAAGAAAATACTGGAGAGAACACGTTACACCGTGTTTTAGGGACAGCTCCTGGAGACGCACAGTCCGGTGCATACGTGATTCCGCAACGGAAAGGAGAAAAGAAGAATTCCCAGTGTTGGGACCAGATCCCAACCTGCCGGCGATTTACCACCTCGCGGGAGTGGAGGTGGAAAACCCAGTGTTTCCGCGAGGATACGGGCTAAAACGAGCTTCATGTTGCTATCCTTATACTATTGCCTGTGGTCCAGTGCGTAAGGGGGTAAAATTAAGACCAATATAAAGAGTGGTTGGTTAGATAGTCTCCAAAGAAACGTTCAAGAAAAGAAAACGACAAAATCGTATCAATATTACAAGTGAGGGCCCATCCACCATATAGAGGATCAGATAACCTGAGAAGCCTAGAGATAAATATATTCGCCGAACTTCCAGTGTTATAGTAAGCAGAGTTATCCTTAATAAAAGTCCACGTTATGTAAAGAGCTTCTCCCCCTGAATGATCAGAACTTCATCAAGCAACAATGTAGTTGATCATCGTGGAATACAATAACGAGCCGAGCTTGAATCGCCGCCACAGTCGTATCCTTCAGTTGCTGGAGGTAACATGAGATACTAGTTCAACCTTTGCTCTTGAACTTTAATGTTGCTAATCATCTTCTCGTCTGTTCTTCTCGGGGCAAAAACGGCAATCGTAACCTTTCCAGCCAACATTTCGGGCCCGAGGCAACGTTCGGACACATAATCCAACTATTTGTATTCTTCGAATATCGCCATCAACCTCGTAGCTTACTTATCTTGATGTAATTTTGATGAAATACGTGTTGGATAACAAGTCGTATATAAATACAAACTTGAGGTCAACTTCAGGTGTACAGGACCGATGAGGCTAGATTAAGTTATAGAATCATCCGCCCAGCAGCCGTTAGCAAGGGGTGTTTTTCTATGACCGCTAGATCTAGCCGTTTCGTATTACTCTAACATCAACCACATAAGCACACCGCACGTTTGGGATTCAAACCCTATTCTGTCATCGGCATTCTGTTCTCTTACCGACAACGCTATCATTAGCCTAGGAGAGAGGGAGGAGACAGTATCGGCGTGCCGTTCTTCATGTTCCGTAGCAAGGCACGATAGACTCCAGATCTAAACGCTAGAGGGTCGCACTCCGTGGCGTATACTGTACTAGGTTTCTGGGAGGGTTCGGGAAAGCGTGCAGAAGTTGTGCATGGAGGGGAGACGAATAAAGACCGATATAAGTTCGTAATCCTCATTACGACATACGCGTGTCTCGCATTTCTTCGCTCCTTTTTTTCTCGAATGAAAACTGAGAAACTGTTCCCAAGCCACTTTGACCATTCTGACGATGCTGCCTCGAGGCCTCACGATACGAACGTAACGAACGTCCCATGACCGATCTGATACCCCCTCTTCACCGGTTGGGCATAGGCGAGAAGTGACAGTCGTAAACAGACCGGGCTGTGTCCCCAGGAGGTCCGTCGTTATTCTCAGGTGCTTCGGAGGGTCAATCCGACTATGGCGGGGAACTGGACAGCACCAGCTCCCCATGGGAGCAGCGCTGGGACAAGCCAAGTAAGCAGCCCCTAAGAGATCCTAAAACATCAATCAATAAGAAAAACTCACAACAAACCAGCTAGCCAAGCACCCAGGCCCGCCCTACGCATCAACCAACGCCATCGTAGGCGGGGAGCCGACCCCGTCGATCGACGACCCCATCGCCGCCGTGCTTCTCGTGCTCTTCCTCATCTCCGCCGCGGCGCACCTGGCCATCCTGCGCGTCAACAAGCGGCGCGGGCTCAAGTTCGTCTTCTCGGGCATGCTGTTCGCGCTGTGCCTGCTGCGCGGGGTCTCGCTGGCGGCGCGCATGGTCTGGGCCTCGTACCCGCGCGCCGTCAACTGCGTCATCGCCGCCAGCGTCATGACCCAGTGCGGCTCCGTCCTCATCTTCGTCGTCAACCTGTTCTTCGCCCAGCGCGTCCTGCGCGCCTACCACCCGCGCCTGGGCTGGAGCCGCGCCGCCACCCTCGTCGTCTGGTTCCTCATCGCCTGCGTGATGTGCTGCCTCGTCATGGCCATCGCGACCACCATCCACACCTTCTTCACCCTCGACCGGGCCGCGCGCCGCGCCGACCGCGCCGTCCAGCTCTTCGCCGGCTGCTACCTCGCCTTCCTCGCCTTCCTTCCCGTGCCCGTCGTCGCTATCGCCGCCGCCTGCCGTCCGCGCAGCACAAACAACAACAACAACCGCTTCCGCGTCGAGAAGTTCGGGTGCGGCCGCTGGCGCGCCAAGGTCGGGCTGCTCGTCTTCGCGGCGCTGGTCGCCACGCTGGGCGCCGCGTTCAGGGTCGGCGTGAATTTCGACGGCAGGCCCGGCACGGCGCCGGCGTGGTTCCACAGCCGCGCCTGCTACTACGGGTTTAACTTCGTGACGGACCTGGTGGTGTCCACGGCGTACCTGCTCGCGCGTTTCGACAGGCGGTTCATCGTGCCGGACGGGGCGCGCGGGCCGGGGGAGTACTCGCCCATCATCCCGTCGACGCACTCGAACAGCAGCCACCTCGAAGGCAAGCTGCCGCTGATGGGGACCAGCAAGCCCGCAATCATGCTCCGCCAGCCCTCCTCGCCTTCGTCCCCGCCCAGCCCCCCATCATCGCCGCCCCACACGATAACAACGACGGCAAAACAGCCCTCGTCGTCGTCATCATCGCAGCAGCACCTAATTGAGTCGTTCACAGACACCTCCAACACCGCAGTCGAGAACACGCCGACCTTGAACCGGAGCCTAAACCGCAAGGACAAGGACAAGGACAAATCGGCGCGGCCGAACCTACACCTGACGCTGCGGTACCACACGCACAACCACTCGTACGCGCACCTGCACAACTACACCCATACCCACAGCAGCAAACCGCGTCCCAAGAGCGCCCTCAAAGTCAAAAATAACAGCAGCAGCGGTAACAACAACAACACGAACACCGTCCCGCGCCCCGGCCTAAAAGCGCGCACCCGCCGCGCCGCGATCCTGCGCATGCGCATCAACAGCGAGGCGGACGCGTACGGGCCGGACAACCACAACCACAACAACGACGATCTTCTCAACCCCTCGTCGCCGCCGCCCTCGCACTCGCCGTGCGGGTCGCGCGAGGCTCTCGTACCTCGCATCGCCTCCCGCCAAGACTCCGACGGCTTACGGGCGCCGGCGCCGGTTCACTTAGTCGGGCCACCGATCCTGCCGGATCTGGACCTGGATCTGGAGCTGTTGAGCGCGACGCTGCCGTGGGCGCTGGATAGCTGGGGGTGCGAGGTGCGGAGGAGTTCGCGGGGTGGGAGCGGGAGCGGGAGTGGGAGTGGTGCGGTGCCTATGCAGGGTACCGAGGGGAACGGGAGGAGTAATAGTAATAGTAGCAGTAATAGTAGTAGTAGTGATAGGAGTGCGAGTAATAATAGCGTGGATGAAAGCGGAAGGGGGCAAAGGCAAGGAAGAGAAGGAGTTGAAGCTGGAGAAGTTAATAGCGGGAGTGGGAGAAGTAGCGGAGCCGGTAGCCAGCGATCGATGCGGTCGTGGCGGTCGAGGACTATGTAAGTGCTCGAATTTGGACATGCTATACCCCTTAGCTTGATAACTCTTCTACCAGCGAGGAAGAGGGAAAAAGGGGGGGTCAAGGTCCGGAGTAATCATAGAGGGAAACCGTTGTATATGAGATGGCCCGGCAAATATGTATACCACTCGATATCATTGTTAGTAATTATACCTAGCTATTGTTTATATTAGAAAACGAGTCTGGATTTTCCAGTCTAGTCTACCTTGGAATTACTGGTTGGCAAGCTGGTAGGATCTAGGACTTTGCTATGCGATTTGATACTCTAAGAAAACGTGCTTCGCCTAAACGAAGAGTGTTACAAGGCAATCTCACTTCCCACTTGGGATACATATCAATAGCTCTCTTCATTACTAGTAAGATTGCTCACAAACAATGACACATCCCTCGAGAACACCATATTTGCATAAAGCCAGTTGACCACCCGATCGATACTAGAAATTATCTTTCTCTTTTCACTCGTGAGAATTCTAATGCTTGGGTATCTACCTAAGTATCTACCTAAGTACTTCGCATTATGCTGCTCAAAACATGTCTCTGCCTATTAACATGAAATGGGCAAGAGGTTGGGGCCAAGAGGCGGAAACGCGGCAAGGGACAGATGGAGCCGTTCCGCAGCACAAGGCGTGTCGGGGCCGGCCTAGTCAAAGACCGTCGACAGTCGAGTTCTTAGTGGGTCATCTCCGTGTATGCTTGATGTGGCCAACGTGCATAGGCCGCCACCCTGACTTTCGGCAAAGACAGGGGGGTATGGCGATCTAGGCTCAACGTAACTCCTGAAGACCCTCCTAAAGACCTTCCAAACCTTGAATCCGCGCACCACATCTCCAAGGTGCGCCACCAAGATTTGCCCGAAGCTTAGAGGAAGTAATCCGGGGTGCCTATCAAGATGGTTAGTCCTAACGTCAACGACCAGCGTAGCCACGTAGGATAAAAGGAAGGAGTCGGGAAATGCTTACGTCGAGAAACCATCGGCTCGCCAGCTCGAGGGCAAGGGTCAAACTGTAAGCTGCAGTATATCGTAAGCAAATGTACTAAAAAGCTAGGCCACTAAGTGGTCCGAGTTCGACATGAGCCACTCACAATGTGTATTTCAGGTGTTCGTCAATCTCCATGATGGCTGCTTGATTACCACATCGGTAGCAGTAGTTAGGTGCTAATGACGATCAGTAGGTTACTCAATAGAACGGGGCGAAGATAAAGACTCACCAGAGAAGATGGTTACCACGTTCCTATCTTGCGACCAGTTGTACCCTTCCATGACCAACTGATGGGCACGTGCGATCAGTGTGAGACCGTTGTTGTGGTTGAAGGCCTCGGAAATGTCCTGGCCGAATGTGTAGCCAGCACCTCGGGGGCTAATGCCCCAGCCGCATCGGTCGTCAGGGTCGGACCAGAGCAAGTCGCACATGGGTCCCTCATGGGGAACCTCCTGGATCCGGTCGAGGGCTCTGATATTATCCAGCGTGTCGATACTGGGCGAGAGGCCGCCGTGAAGGCAGAAGATCTGGTTGTCGATAAGCGCAGTGAGGGGAAGGTAGTCGAACAAATCGGTGAAGAACTTCCAGACGTTGGCATTGCCGTATTTGCGCAAGCATTCATCGTAGAAGCCATAGACTTGAGTGATTTGGCGTGACTCGTGGTTTCCACGTAGGATGGTGATGCGTTGGGGGTATCGAATCTTCAACGCGACGAGGAGTGTCACGGTTTCGACAGAGTAGTATCCTCTGTCGACGTAGTCACCTGTTCTAATTATCAATACTACCGTACTTCACAGCATCTCAGTCGCGTATCGTGGAACATACCCATAAATAGGTAGTTGGTGTCGGGGTTAGGGCCGCCGATCTTGAATAGTTCCATCAAATCATGGAATTGGCCGTGTATATCGCCACACACCGTCACCGGGCATTTCTAAGTGAATGTCAATAATAGCGATAGAGGCGGGCGAAGATCGGAATGACATACGACAGGCTGAACGTTGGATTCATCTTGCAATACTTCTCTGGCCTAGATAAGATGAGATATCAGTATGGCGTCGACGGCGAGATGGGCCGCAAGGAGCTGCCTGTAAGCTACCACGAAGGTGAAGGATTACTCACCTTCTCGCAAAGTCTCTGGACGTCGACCTCGGCAAGCTGCTTGCAGTTCATCAAGCTCTCAATCCATCCGTCGAGGGTGGGGATGGTAGTCGGCTCCGAGACGGGCAACGGTGCCAATTCAGCAGGGACTCGCCCTACGTCCTCCATGTTTGTATCCATGATGGCGAAACAGTATCAGCGAATATGTGTGTCGAGGGGAAATTGTGGTGTGCTGTGGTATCGTAATAGTATGTATGGGCCGTCTGGCGGTGTTCGTGTCGCGTAATGCTTTTTTTTCGCAATAGCTTGGTAAAAATCGAGGAATCGATGGAGTCGGGGAATCCGTTGACTGGAATGACGTTTGAAACGGCAGCAGGAAAAGCGCAACGCCTTCTTTCGTTTAGGTGTGGCGTAATTTGGGGGGTGGGGCTAGGATGGGTATCGTTCGCGATATACAGAATAGTATGGGAAAACGAAGGAAATAAAATAAATGCAACGGGGATTTGTCAGTCGCAAAATTAGGACGAAAGTGAGTCAAGCTTTCGTCCTTGGTGCTGCGTCTTGGAAGCTCAGGAGTAGGTGTTGAGGGAAGGGTCACGATGGATTGCAATGTACGAGGTAGGGTTTTCCTTTTGTTTGAAGATGGCAGAATATTAGAATGCGGTCGGACCTTTCATAAGGGAGGTTAGGTACCTAACGTAAGGTACTGACGCTACAGCGCTACATTGTCCCTGTACTGTACAAGCTACCCAGCAGTACGTACCCTTGTAATACGTCAGTCTTCGCTTAACATGCGGCTCACCCTTCCTTCCCTTTATATCTAAACGTTTAGGTACATGTATAAGAAGTAGACGGTATATACCTAGGTAGATATTCATGTATAGATCTACCGCATCGTATCGAATTGTATTGATATAGTTAACCACCCTCCAGCTGATGTTATATGTACCATACTACTTTAATGTATACATCGATTTTTTCTAGGAATATGGGAGAGCTACGTCAATCCAAGGCCCACCGGGTCATTGGACTTCGTGCCTTGAGGTACCTCTCGACCAACTAGGTCTCGGAAGTCTAACTGGACTTCTTCCAGCATCTTCGCATGGGTCTTTGCTCTGTCCATGCATTGCTTCCATACTACACCATTCCTCTCCGTGCTACTCAGCTGCCTGGCTAAGATCACGTTGAACGCGTCCACTTCTTCCTTGGCCCATTTCACGCATGCGCTCATCATCGTCTGCGGGAAACAGCTTTGGAAACAGCTCACCGTATTTCGTATGATGCTGAAATAGACAAACGAGATCTGCCAAATGTAAAGGTGGAGGTCACCTTGGAAAACGCATTGTCTATGTCGAGTTAGTATCCATGTAGACTCTCTAGAAATCACGTGACATACCTTGAGCGCTTTTGGATCAGGTCGCTCCGGGCCTTGAGATAGGCATCTCTCGCGCTGTCCTCAAAACCTAGCCTATTCAGCCACTCAACGTTGCGCTTCGCCTTTAGTGGTTGACTATGTGCGTCTATGAGTTCCCGTATGATAAGCCCGGCCAGTTTCGTGCATCTCTCCTCGACCTTGAAGTTGATGAAGTCTTGCGCGATAATGTTGTTTTTAAGTCCACGAGCAAGCTTCTGCATCGTCTCGACGCGGTCAACCGCTAGCTCAAACTTCTGAAGCGCGATGTCAATATCGAGCTCGTCCATCTGACCCTCAACCCAGCGAAGATTCTGCTGCTTTCCGTCCACCTCAATCAGCATATCCTTGATATCGGATAGCGTCTCGAGTAGCTCTGTCTTCTGCAGCAAGCCCGGATCTCGGGAAGCAAAATAATTAATGGTTTCTTTAGCCTTATTATTAGCTTCCAACTCGGACTGCAAATTCTTTCGCAGTTCCTCGACCGCCTTTCTAATATTCAATACCAAGGTTGCCTTCTCGGTGTCTTCCGGTTTCTCCGTCCGATAGATGAAAGATTCCTGACCAACACCTCGAACCATGATAGCATCTGCAAGCTTGTTCCTACCGCTGTACGAATCGGTGGTTGCAGCCATATCAACGACCTCGATGTCTAATAGCGGCCAACAACGATCGGCAACCAGCTTCGTCGCCGGACCTCGTGTGTCATTAGGGTTATCCGTCTTACGTTTCTTACGCGAAGCAACAAGCAGGTGGTCGTTAAGAAGGAAGAGCTGCATAGATCTCCTGGACTTATACGTCGCATTGTCAAGTTCAATCCAGGGCCCGGCATTCTGGACGACGTGCCTACCCATCGAATTGGGTAGAAATTTCTGGGAGCCTTCGACATTTTTGTAGAGAGCCTGCATCTGAGCGTTCCAAAGAGCTGATCTATCGGCCACCGAGCTGCGTTTGTCCCTCTTACTAAGGCCAGTGGAAAATTCTCCATTTATAGAGACATTGTTGCCTCCTGACGAAGCCCTAAGTGCGTTCGTGTTTGTAGCTAGTTCTTTGAACAGATTGCGTAGAGAACGCATCTCTGCCTTGAGCTTCTCAGCTTCCTTGCTGATCTTAATAAACTGTGCTCGGTTTTGATAGACGCTCTGCTGTAAATCTGCCGATGCCCTATTCTTCAACTTGCGCAAGGCGATTTCGTAATCTCGGATCTCGTCTTCGGTAGCTTCGCTCAGAATGCTCGACACATATTGATCGGGTATGAGCCTCGGGTCTCTCAGTGCCTTTGGGTCAACTGTTGGTGGCACCCTAGGCGCACCTCCATCACGGGACGGGGGCGGTCGAGCCCGTGGTGGGGGCTGATCGTATCTCGATGGATCGAAACTAGGCATGGAAGGAACCGGGGGAACATTTGGGTCATAATCACTGGGGAGATTGTTGAAGCGAGTTGAGTATCGTCGCTTGACGAGATCGCTAGTCTTCCCACTAGTTGAAGGGGGCTGTCGCTGTCGAGGCGGTGGTGGGCCGCCGGGACCCGGTCGTCCACCGGTACTGCGAGGCACAGGGACGTCATTGTTTGGGATAGGTTCGGAGATTTGCCTAGGGGCGCTTATAGTAGGGCGAGCTTTCCTCTTAGGGCCTGTGCGGAGCGATATCTTACTTCGTTCTTCAGACATGTTGAGTGCCTAGTTTAGAACAGGATCGAGAAGTAATCTTTGTAATCAGATGCAAGAGGTGCGGCCTTATGGGTACACGCAACGATCCATCAAGGACCGTTGTAGGAATAGGAATTGATATAAAGAGGAAATCCCGGGCTCGGGGTGTTTCTTTAGATCAAGTGCGTCCAATAAGCGGGTTAGACGTTCATTGCCATTTTCCCAATAATATGAAGATGAAGGTGAACACTCGAAGATTGAACGTTGAACGTTGAAGGTGAAAGTTAAAGTAGAGGCGGCTTAGCTAAACGGGGCACAGACATTCAATTGCTTCATACGCCACTATGCGACAATGCGCTCCTTCCCATCTGTAAGCCCAGATGCCGACTTGCTCTATCGGCCGGATTTATTTGATAGCGGATACGCTAGTCCGTATCTATTCCTAGCGCGATTGAGGGTTGCAAGGATCTGGGGCTAAGCTGCCATGGGCACGTCAACGGTCAGGTATCCGAGCTAAGCTGCATTGAAAAAAAATTACGGAAGGCTGCTTCTGTCTTCGTTAAAGACCTTTTTAGGAAGTAACCTTGCAGAACTTCAACAATTCGCATTGTACCGGACGAGAGACAGCAACTACGACTCGATCAATCGTAGCATTCGATTAGATTATTTAAATCGCGACCGCCGTGCATTAATTCAGCTAAATCGATTTCTCCTCAACCCCACACGGGATTATCACAGCCATCACAATGGTCCAACCAAGTACGGTACTGACGATATCAGCCGCAACGGCGGCCACCGGTATACTAGGTATGCATTCCTACTTCTGACCTACTTCTACTACATGCGCGACTGCCGTCAATGAGCGCGGCGCTCATTTTCGCAGTCCCGTCGTTTCTCGCCAATCCTCCGTACCCGACTGCAACCCCGCTAACCCAGGTTTCTTTTGAACAGCATACGCCATCTACTTCGACTACCAACGGCGCGTAGACCCCAACTTCCGAAGAAACTTGCGACGGGAAGAGCGACGACAAGCGCGCGCGGAGAAGGAGGAAGCCCAGGCGCAGACGAAGCAGAAGCGCAAGGACATCCAGCGGGTGGTCGACTCGACTAAGGAGGAGGGATTCCCCACTGGTGTCAACGAGAAGGAGCAGTTTTTCATGGACCACGTTCAGAAGGGAGAATTGCTCGCAGCCGATCGTAAGTCTCGCATGCACATTTGGACTATTTCATTGGGCCGGAGAAGAGGCGAAAATAGAGCAAGTCTGGGGGAAATTATAGGAGGCTATTCCGAAACAAAGGACGTCAAGCGCTAATTCGGAGCGATCCCTACAGCATCTCGAACGATGGAAGCCGCTCTAGCCTTCTACAAGGCCTTGAAGGTATACCCGACTCCGGGTGACCTAATTAGCATTTACGACAAGACTGTGGATAAGGTAAGGATCCCGATGCGAATAAACCCTCACTGCTACGAACACCCCACTAACCCCCTATTCCTACGCAACAGCGAGTATTAGACGTTTTGGCCGAGATGATCGCCTATGACAAGGACCTCGATCTTGGCAGCGGCGGCGGCATCAACCTCTCAGACCTACCTAGCGCAGGTCTGGACTAGAAATAGGATAGGATAAGAATAGGAGTCTAATACACCCCCATCATCCTCATCCATACTTAAATCCATAACGACACTACTACTCCCTCCACTCTTCCCCTCATGAAAACAAACGACTGGTAGATAGGCTTCGCTCGCCCCGGGGTCGGTCAAGTAAAAAATCCAACCCCTAGGCAGATAGACGAGAAGCTTCTGAGCAAAAAGGTGAATGGTTCCCGCGGTATAAGAAGGGAGCCAGGCGCTACGCGCAGAAAGGAAATACCTCGAATACCTTGTATGATATAATGTTCGGCCAGCAGCATGCGCCTGGCCGTATACTCTTCGGTTCGGATGTTCCGGTAGATAGGGCGGCTCCGCTGTACATTTTTCTCACGATCATGCTCGGTGCGGCTGGTATAGACAAACGAATTGAACCATGATTCTTCTTACTGATTCTTCTTACTTTTTTCTACCCAACGGACTCCTACTCGATTGCTCAAGTGATGTGATGATGTAGACAAAACGCCCCTTAACCATGCATCTTATACCTATCTACCTAGGTAATCAAGCCTCGATCTTCCTACCCTTCCGGTCAACCCTCACATCCCTCGGATCAAACCCGCCATTCCCCCAAGTCGCCCACTCGGGCGTCTCGGGACCCATGTACTCCTCCGGCGTCCACTCGCCATCAGCGCCCCGTTCCTCGAGTAGTTCGAAGAAGCGCTGATAATCAATCCGCGTGTGCCACTTCCCATCGACCCTAAACCTTTCGCTAGCAATAAGCACGCAGCAACTATGCGCGTGCTCGGCCGCAATACCATATTCCAGCCCCCTCTCCCTCAACTTCCTATCCAGCGCGGTGACGAACTCCGTCACCTCGGCATAGAACGGGACGTTCGCCATACTCAGGCCCGCGCCCGCGCTACTCGACGTGCCGCAGTACGTCACGCCCTTGATCTCGACGAAGCACGGCAGTCCCCTCTCGACCAGGTCTGCGTACCCCTCGACCTCGTCCTCCACGTTGAACCCCTTGACAAGGGTCAGGCGGAAGACGGTGCGCTGCTTGTTCCGCTTCTCGCGCAGGATGTCCAGGCAGCGCTGGAACCGCTCCCAGAAGTCGCGGTGCAGCGGGCGGTCGATCTTCCTCAGGGACTCCTTGTTGCTGGCGTCGATGGACACGTAAAGCTGCGTGACGGCCTTGAGGGCCGCCAGCTGCTCCGGGTGCTGCGCGTTGCACACGAGGAACGAGGATATGCGCTCGCCGTGTAGCAGCGCGAGGAACTCGTTGATGTGCGGGTAGAAAATGGGCTCACCTACCAAGCTCAGCGCGCAGTGGCGGATGCGCATTGCTTCGGAGAACCGTTCTGCCCGTACCCCGGGGATGCCGCGCAACATCTTAATCTTTTGGTAGTGCCCAGCCTTAACGCCATCGAAGATGGTCTCGGGAGGGTCGACGACCCAGCGCCATGTCGTGCCTACGGGGTTCGTTCCGTGCCTCCAGCAGAAGACGCATTTATTGGAGCAGGACAGTGACGGCGTCGTCTCCATGCACTGATGCGACGCGATGCCGTAGAATGAGAACTTATAGCAGGAACCACGCCCACGGAGCGCTGACTTGGTCCACCTGCAAATTTTGACCCCTGAGTGCGAGCCTACGATAGTGTACCCTTGTTTGGTTAACGATGCGTATGTAGGTGAGTTTTTTGGTACCATCTCCTTGATTGTCTGTGGCGGTCTTTTCGATTTTGGTTTGTTGTATGTTGTAAAATCTACTGCGATCGGTGTTGGGTTGTTCGATTTTTCAGGGTTATTTTGAGAGGCCTTCATAATCCTCCCAAGGTCTTCGACGTCTTCGATATTTGCGGAACGCGCCTTCTTCGCTTTACTCGTCGTCATCGACGGGTCGACAACGACTTCACCGTCATCATCGTCGCCGGATCCATATTCTTCGTCGCTTTCAATAGCATCTCCGCTTCCCGGAACCCCTTCCCCTAGAGATCCTGTGTGAGCAACGTATTCTAGGATATCCTTCACACCATCTGTCCATTCATCTAACCTTTCTCTCAGATCTCTTTTTGTATCTGCCATTCCCAATGGATAAGCTCTCTTGCGGCCGGTGAGTCTGGCCATCCATTTATCGACCTCCTTGGCCTGAAAGCAAAACCCTTCGTCTTCAGTTGGCCATCCTTCCCGGTCACCCAGGCCAAATACAGAGTAACCTAATATACCCGACAGTGGGGCTGTGTCAATCCTGAAGTCGTGGTGGGTTTCCCTCAGATGCTCGAGATAATTGTCGTTGATAGAATCGATGTTATAACTCGGCATTAATAGAAGATAGAAGTAGTCCACCGGTATATCTGGGTCCACCGACTTAGGTGCAGTAATGAAATACTCATCGTAATCTATTTGAGCTAAATCTAGGACGATGGGACTCAAGAAGGACTTTCCAGAGCTATCGGCCCGCTCTCTTAATAAAGTGCCGAGAGCTTCAGCGATGCCACCAGCGGTCTTCTCCGTGCTTCCAGTTAAGGAAGAATAGAAGATAAGTACTTGAATGGGGTTTTGGCGACTTGGTTCTATGTCTTTTCGTGCGTTGTCTACTCTTCGTAGCTCGCCCTTGATGCGGCGCGGTCCGATCGTAGCTTCTTTCGCCTTCTCCTTTGGCAAATCGATCTTCTCTTTCGCAGCTGCGCCATTGTTGCTAGGTATTGTCTTCGTAAGCTGTTGATCGAGCTCTAATACGTTTGCCGTGGTACTAGTCTTCTGGAGTAGTTCTATATACAGCCAGACCACGGCTAAGGTGCAAGTTATCGCAAACAGGATCGCGGGTCGGTGCTCGTGCCATAGTTCAAGGACACCTAACAAAACGTAAGCAAGCGTCCAGATACTTTCGAGCGGTTGCCTTTACCCTTTAATGACCCATTGGTGTCTAAACCTAGCTCCCCTGTTCCGTTTGCCATCGTTGATGGTGCGGTTGTCGTGTCGTGGTTGACACAGTTTTTCCTTCTATGAGTAAGGGAAGTTAGCGGGGCTAACCAGTCGCCTATGTAGAATTTTAAATAGAGGGGCACTTAGGTAGGGAAAACCCCGCAATACCCCAGATTTATGAATAATATCGCTAATATCGATAGCGGGTAACAGATCCATAACGGCGGCTGGATTTCCACCCATCGGAAAAGAAGAATTGAACCAGTCAGTAACAATCTTATTTTGACCACACTTCGAGATCGAATTCATGATAAAAATAAGATGGTATCATTAGCACTAATTCCATATGCGCCATGCCTCAGTATTTCGATATCTAGCAACCTAGATCTCTAGGTCTCAACTGGTCTCAATAAGCCACAAAAAGTCGATAGCAATCCGCAATCCAAATATGATACCTAAAAGAGTAACTTTCAACCCATCCCTCCCGTCGTAAGGACCTCTTAAACCCGCTAATACAAAGGAAACTTATCATAACTTTGTCGCTGTCCTTCTGTGTGGGCGTATATTACGCATCTGGATCGCTATCGGCACTCGGGGCTTCCAAGAGTAAATCGGGGATCCTGTTTGCCACGTCCGCAAAGAGATCGCGGGCCCAACAGATGGTAACCATAATCGCCAACGCGTTCCACTGGTTTTGGTTATTTTCCGATAAATTCACCTGAATCGGAATGTGGCAGCTGGCTTCCGGGTCTTTGGAATCCAATGTGACGATGAACAAGATGTGCTTGAAGATGACGAGCCCGAATATTACCGGCGGTACTGGTCTCTGGTCTTCGGGTACGCGTTCTAATTTCTCTCTCCATGATGCCGCCATCTCTGCCATGCTGTTCTGGATGGATATATGCATATTATCCTTGTCTGCCTCATACATCTCTATTAATCGAACGTTGGGCGGTAGGGTGTTGCTGTACTTGGCGATGTCACCATCAAGCTCAGCCCAGCGCAAGGCATCTTGAACTCTTGCTCTGATATGTTTGACGATTCGTCGTTCATCTTCATCCTGCGTAGCATCTGTTTTCGCTTTGCGTATGTCGCGGATACGCCCATGGATGTCCATCAACCTACGAAGCGCGATCGCTCCTATTCAAAAATTTAGCTGGACCGAAAAACAAATTGGCAACAATAAACTAAAACGTACCTCGGTATTCAAGCCTATCCGTGCGGGCATATATCCTTGGCCGGACACTTATAGCGTGTGTTTTGATGTAGAAAAGACCTTCCGGTAGAGGAACTCCTCGGAAGTGCATTTTCCAAGTCGAGGGCATGAGGGAGTATTCGTCTCGTCCTCTCAGAATCTGATTGAGGAAGACCTGTTCGTAGCGCCATCCGTCTTCCGGGTCATAGTCCTGGTTTGTTTCCTGAGTAGTTGAGGACGCTTCTGATTCGCTTGCGGATCCGTCGTCACTTAACGCAGCCCATTCTCTCGGTGCGTTCTTGGCGATGCTATTGCGTCGATCTGCCGGGTGCTCTGGGGTTTCTGGCAGCAAATCACCTTCGATTGATGCAATTGCGACTAAATTATTGTAGCTTTCCGCCACGGGATCTGGAGATTCTGGCCTTCCGTCTACCTTCTTGTCGCCTCCATGGTCATGGGCTTTATCTTCCTTAAAAAGGTCTTCTTCTTCTTCTTCCTCCTCTTTGATAATGTTGTCAACTTCTTCATCCTCAACTTGTCGGCTCGCATTAACTCCCATTCCTAGAAGCCTTTTCCATCCACGCCCTTCTGCATTGTTGGTTGGCTCTTCATGTGTCTTCTTCTTAGGCGTCCAGGGGTGTTTTGTAACACGACCACCAAAAACCCTATTCCTTAGAAAGCCATTGTTCCCGCTGTTACTAGGTGTAGGTGTGATAGGTGAACTGTTAGGTGCCCCACGAGAAAACCAACTGCTGAAGCCAGCCATCCTGACGGTGGTGTGTTCTGTGTTGCTATAAGGCTCCTGTCGCAAAAGTTTCGAGGGTGATGAGGTGGATGATGTGGAGCGTGAATTTTGAAGTCTGTCAATGAGTGCAACATTTAACTTCTCGGTTTCTCATAACGCTAGGTGAGTTGGGGGAAAAGAGAACATGGAAATTATTGATTTGACGGAAATAGCGAGGACGTTATTCATAATTGACTGGTGACAATTCATCATCTAGGTATTCAATGTCTCTCACATAACTGCCCAGATGCTGTACCGCTTTTGGCCAGGCCGAACATACCAAATTGAAAATGTGTTACGATATGAACGATAGTAGTAAAGGAGCTGATATGTGAAGTATATAATTCCTCACTATGCCGCTTCCGGTGAATGCGAATTCGTAGCTGACAACATTTGAAACTACATAGTTGCCTATTGCTAAGATTCCACAGCTGTTGCTTCTAGGTATATTTAAACTTATAGCAACCGATTGTCCTTTCCAGAATCTTGATTGTGAATGGGAGCTACGCTACATGTGAGTGGTCACTTACCTAGCGTTGTATCCTTGGACTGAAAGATATAGCCAAGTTCGTGCAATATGTACAATATGTACAATATGTACATAATACTATGTACGACATAGGCCATGAGCTAGTCCTAAAGAGTACGAGCGGGATAAGCTACTGATTATATAATAATATTATGCACGCAGCTACTACCTAGGTAGGTATTCAGGGTACATACATGTACGTCCATATGTGACCTACTAAATAGGTATCCACTATGAGCTCAGGGTTGGCAGCTGAATTCCAGCTGTTCGGTTGCTTATGAAATTTTTGTTGTACTACGTAGCAGGTAAATCTGGTACTACAAGACCGCGACATACGCGCCGGCCCAACTTAACCTTAAGCACCTAGCAACAAAACCCAACGTTGGATGAATGACATATTCATGATCTCTTCGGCGCATCCATTCACCTACACTACCTACCTACTCACCTACTCTTTTCAAGAACAACAATTACAACATCCCTCTAAACCACAACACCTATCCCTGTTTCAGCTTCCCGTCTACCTAACCAACTTTTTACAACCTAGACGACTACTGCAAACCGTTACTCCAATTTAATCACTTACACTTCATAACTTTCCACTTTTTCTTTTTTTCCCGTCTAAGCTACCTTAAAAGTCCCTGACGATTTATTCGGAACATTTTCTCCCATCACACAGATACCTACCTAATTACGAACGCGCTGTGCTTCCCATTCGTAATTACAAAACAAACTTCGTCCTTTTCTTGTTGAAAGGAATCAAACAAGAAATGTGCATACTTTCTTAAATTTACCCTCCGTTCACACTTACCCTTTCCTGTCGCGAGCCATGGCTACAGACTGGAACAAACTCAAGGTCGTCGACCTGAAAGCCCAGCTTAAGAGCCTCGGCTTGCCTCAGAATGGCCTTAAGGCTGATCTAGTAGCACGTCTGGTAGCTGCAGAATCCGAAAAGAATGCATCTCCATCCCCCGACGAAGCCACCGAGGGCACTGAGGATGTTAACGACGAGCCGCAACCTCAACAAGAATCTCCTAAGGCACCCGAAGCCATTGAACCGAGTCCCCCCAATGAGTCTCCTAAACAATCTGAAGTCGGAAGCGAAGCTGTACATGTAGAACCAGAAACGCCTGTGGCTGCACCTGCAGCTGAGGCTCAGGCTATTGTCGCCCCGTCATCCTCCGGTGCGACCCCTTTACGAGCGAGCGAAGCCTTACAGGATTCGCAGAAACGAAAGCGAAGATCGTTGAGTCCTGCCCCCTCTACCCACGAGGTTGCACGTAAGCGAGCTAGACAGGAGGATGGCGATAGCCAAGAAGACCAAGCTGCAGATCCGATCCCAGAAGAAGTCGACGAGGTAGCTCCTCGAAAGGAAGAGACTTCAGCTCCTTCAGACGTCGAGATGCAAGGTGCTAAAGATGACGCGCCAACCGAGCCCGAACCCGGACACGATATCGGTATTGCTCAGCCCAGCCCTACGGAAAACGTCCCCCTAGTTACTCAGAACGGACACACCGAAGAAGATGTTACTATGGATGACACCGAACCAACCTTCGAAGGACGTCACGAAGACCCGTCCTCTCGAGAAGAGACCTACAACGCGCCTCTAGTCGAGATAGAACGCGATGTGGCACCGTCGATCCATCCAGCCACATGTGCACTCTACATTAAGGACTTCATGCGACCTCTTCGAGAGCAGGCGGTCAAGGATCATTTGTTAGACCTCGCCACACCGGTAGGCGCTCCCATTGAAGATGGTACAATTGTTGATTTCTACCTTGACAATATCCGAACACACGCATTTGTCGTGTTTAACAGCATATCGTCTGCCTCAAGGGTACGTACCGCACTCCACAACCGCATCTGGCCTGATGAGACCAACCGCAAGGCTTTGTGGGTTGACTTCATGCCGTCAGAGCGCTTCGCGGAGTGGGTCGATATGGAACAGACGTCTTCCGGAAGACGTGGTTCGACGAACCGTTATGAGGTCGTCTACGACAACGATGAGGATGGTAATGTGATTGTCAAGCTCGAAGAATTCGACAGCACGGGCCCCGCCCCAAAGCAGACGCTTATTGCGCCCGAACCCGCGCCCGAGCGCAAGCAGTCCATTCCTACCGGCCCGTCCCGATCTTTCGCTGGCATCGAAGGCGCGCCTACGGGACCGCGCGGTTTTCCGGGAGGTCGCGGTTCCGCGATTCATCCTAACAGGATGGCGCGAATAGACCAAGCCGGACAGACAACCCGCGCCTTCCCAACCATCACGTACCAGCCCGTCTCGGACGAGTTGGTGCGTCGACGACTTGACACGATTTCGGCGGCGAAGAGTAAGAGCTTGGACAGAGACTTCGGCAAGGAATACAAGCGCTACTACTTCGAGAACGGCGATACCCTTGTTGACAGAGGTCCCGAGATTTTCCTAGGTATCCGCCCGCCGCACCGAGAGCGCGAGCGCCAGCGTGATCAGAGACGCGACCCACGCGACCCACGCGACCCGCCACGTGCTCGCCGAGGTGGTGGTGGTGGAAACGGTCGACGTCGTGGAGGCATGCCGATCTTCCACGGCGTTCCTCGAGGTGGCGATCGATTCCGTCCCGGAGAGTCCTCCGGACCAGGTCCCAACGGCCGCTCTCGATATGCAGACGACCGACCAGGCCGCCGCTACGATGATCGCGGTAGCCGAAGAGATAGAGACCGTTACTAACGAACTAATAATCTCTGCAGATGTCTAGAGACAGCGACACGAAGCCAAAGTTAAGTGACGTTGCTGCAAGGCATTACGAAACCAACTGTATATGAATGAATTGGACGTACGACGCGCGGTTCCCGCTACTCCCGCACCTAAATCGCAAACGCAAATCAACCAAAAGTTTAAGGGCCCTTTTTTTCTTCGGAGCATAGAGAGACGCATAGGAACGAGAACAAACAGCATTTGGCAGGACAGATAGGACGCATTGTATGGAAAGGATACCCGGTCCGAAGGGAAAGGAGGGCGGTGGCAAAGCAAGCCTATTTGACGAGAACAGAACAGAAGACGGCGACACGAGAGACAGCTTTTTGCAAGACAAATTTCTGACATGACGCCTGACTGATTAAGGTACCCAGTAGGCTATTGCAAGACAAAGTGTGCTAATAATTGATGATGTTTATAACCCGAGATGCTTCTCAAGCTCGTGTACCGCTGACTGAGAATGCCGTTCTATCCTTGCGTGAATATTTTCGATATCGCCGCCCAGTTCGCTCCTTGACTCCTTATTATCAACTAACTACATAGTATCCTCTAACCAGGCGTGTATATGTACAGGTACCTAATCCAGATATGACTCGCGCCAGCTTATATACGGCCGGTAGAAAAGAGAAGCACTAAGATGAATAGAAAATATGATCTGTTCCAGCCCCTACGAACCGGGATCGCGATCCTGCAACTGCCTCGCAGCCAGCGCGGCGCCAACAACCGAGGACGCCCATAGCAAAGTCTCGTCAAGCGAACGTACGGCCACGGGTCGCACATGGACGCCGTTGACGCGGGGATCCCGCTCCCAGGCGTTCATCGCGCACCACGGGCGCCCGTGCTCGCGCTGCCTGAACGCCTCGTCGCTGGAATACGCCGCGGCCAGATGGGGCAGGATATGTTGGTGGTAGCGTTCGTAATGCGGCCTTTCGTCGCGATATATCAGCATGGTTGGTGTGCGATACATACATACATAGTAACTAAGGAGAAAGCTCACCAAGCAACCATCTCGAAATACCCCCCACTCTTCCACAGCTCCCCAGGCCTCCTCGCGCCCTCCGGCGCATCCGTGTACCTCTCCCTCTTAAACCTGCGCGTCCTAACCTCGTCGCGGTCCACGGGCAAGAAAAGCGGGACATCGAAGCGGTCCTGCGCGCGTCGCAGCGAGCGCAGCGCGACCGCCTCGGCGTCGGAAGACGGAGATACCCGCCCGATCGGGTCGTGGTCCGGGTCCCGCGCGAACAGCGTGAAGCCTTCGGCGACGGTGAACCGGTAGGGGACGACGATGGGGACGCCGGGGTCGTCGTCGTCTATTCGGATGCGCTCGATATCAGGGGTCGGGGTCGGGGACGGGTTCGTCAAGTGTCGCCGGAACGCGTCGCGCATGGCTTCGACGGCTGCGTCGAGGGTTTCGGGGGAAAGTTCGTCCGCGGCTGCGGCGGCCGCTGGGGAGATGTCATCTCGTTCTAGCTCTAGCTCATCATCTCCTCGTGCTTGTGTTTGCGCGCGGTTTTGAAGATTCGTTAGGAACCGCGGGTTCGGCACGTTAGCCCTTGCGTTCTCGTCTGGCTCGTCGATGTGTTTCGTGAGGAGCTCGATATCGCAACTCCCGACGCGGTCCCGGTCCTCTACCAGTATAGGTGGGTCGTCCGGGCCGGTCATACTCACGACCAGCTTGTCCTCCGGCCACAGAGGCTGCACCGGGACCATCGGACCCCTTTTTATACCATCTTTGAAGAAATATGCGTCCTGGTGTATGATGGCGGTGTGCGGAGGGAGCACGAGGTTGTGTTCTCGGTTATTGGATACCATACGACAGACCGCTTCTCGCAGTACGACGTCTAGCAGGAGAGCAAGCGTTGTCTTGCCGGCGGAGGTGCATCCAGAGATCCCTATGACGAAGTTGTCTTCGGGCTTCGCAGAAACGTGGGGGCGGTGCCGGTCGTGTTCGCGGCTATCGAGCTCCATTATGCCGTAGCACGACCATATTAGTTGTTCTGTGTAATCCATCGCCCAGTAATAGCTCGGTAGAGTAGGAGGTAGGATGCTGAGAGGCACAAGTGCTTAAGCTATTCAGAAATTTGTGATACATTTCGCTTTGATTGATTCTCAGATACCTTACACCTTATACGGCTCATTTTACCTAGGAACCGGCACTTTGAGGACCATAACGGAGTAGGTAGATATATTCTCCTAACTGAAGATCAAGTCTCCTGACCATCATACCAGGCGTTTTGTCGAGGCCGGGAAATGGCCCAAACGCCATTGTTCATCGCATATTCATAGCGGTGCATGAAAATGAGACGATGTTTATAAGAAACGGTCGATACCGCTTCAGCCTCAATAGGTACCCGAGTATTTTGTATGGGGTACAGGAGTATGACAAATATCATGTGTTGTCGCTCAAGTGGCAACGTAACCGAAACAATGTAATACCCTAGGTATGTAATCCTTCGAGTTGGCGACTATTAGGGCAAACGAGATTTATACTGACACTTGCTATTCTAATCACTCACAAAGACGATTGAGAAATATACTTGACAGCATATTTTAACAGTATGGGGATCGGCATGTGCCGTCTCGCGTTAGTATAAATAGGAGGAAATGGGACCACCACGCCATTTGAGGCGAATGCCGCATCATGAGTCCGGAATAAGTTCTCCATCAAGTGATTATTGTTAGATGTTTCATAATCCAGTATGAATTCTTCATACAACTAAAGCTGTTCATGAATAATCTCAGCGTACATCGAATTTGGTTATATGTTTTGGCATGAATAGGGTTGACTGCATTTAGGTAACCATACGATCAAGAGGTTGATAGGACAATCTACCCCAGAGGAATATTGATATTAGAACGAAAGTATATTGCTTGTAATTTGTCATAAAATGCCACGTTAAATCTTGGAAAACGCATCCCTGTTCCGACCAGTTTAAATCAATGATATTTGCATGCTACATATGTGAACCACTAAGCGGCACTCGCTAAAGGTTCTGGCTGAACGCCAACTCGTTCTTTGCTCAAGATGTCAAGCATATATTGGGATGGCCGGTTGTCCTTGTAAACAGTCTGGCAGGCTTTGAAAGCCATCACATCCTCGATATACTTGTCAAATAGATAAGCGCTATCCATGGGGCCACCTCTGGCCTCGGGATGGAACTGGGTCGAGAAGATCGGTCGAGAAACATGGCGCATACCCTCGTTACTACCGTCATTAAGATTGACAAAGTACTCCTTCCACTCGCTTCCGAGAGTGCTGGCATCAACAGCATATCCATGATTCTGGCTCGTGATGTGGCATTGTCCGGTCGTCATATCTAGAGCCGGGATATTGTGAGCCCGGTTACCATACTTCAGCTTGATGGTCTGAGCTCCAGTAGCCAGGGCCAACAGTTGGTGACCTAAGCAGATACCCATGATGGGTACTTGAGAGGTCTCCATCAGTACCGCCAGGTTGTGTACAGTAGATTGGCAGTGCGTCGGATCACCAGGGCCATTAGAAATGAACACCCCGTCAAAGTTGTCGGCAACTTTCTGGATCTTGAAATCGTAGGGAAACACAGTGACGCTGGCTCCGCGGTTCACCAAGCTTCGGAGGATGTTCTCCTTAACACCGCAATCGAGCAGGGCAATGTGGTATTTGGGGTTATGGGCTTCTACCACAAAGGGAGCTTTGGTGCTGACCCTTTTCACGAGGTTGATTTGGCCAGGGTCGATGAAGCTTTCATCTTCATCTGCATCGTACTCGTCACCAACTGAGATCCTGGCAAGAGAAGAACCTTGCTCTCGGAGGTGGGTAACAATGGCCCTGGTATCAACACCTGAGATCGCAGGAATGCCTTCTCGGGCACACCAATCACTCAAGCTTTCAACGGCAGTCCAATGGCTGTACTTCTCGGCAACATCAGCCACAACAATTCCCGCGCATTGAATATGGGGTGACTCGAAGTGTCTCAACAGATTCCACTCGTCACGCACACCGGAGGGCACGCCGTAATTCCCAATCAATGGCTGAGTGAAGACGAGGATCTGGCCGCGGTACGAGGGGTCAGTCATCGACTCCGGGTAGCCAACGAGGGATGTTGTAAAGACGGCCTCGCCGGAGATGTTCGAGTTAGCCCCGAAAGCTGTTCCGTGGAAGATAGGTCCATCCTTCGTCCTAGTCAGCACAGTACAAATATCCAAGCCAGCAACGGCTGTAACATACTCGAATCGTAAGTGTAGCCTCCATACCAGAGGCAGGCTTTGTACCCCCGGATAGGGTCTGGGGCATCAGCCTGCCCTTGCTACCCTGGGCAGCCTGGGCGGCGAAGCTACCGGAGGTAGAGAGGAATCGGGCTCGGGACGAGAGCCCAACAGCACTGAAAGGTGCTGCTGGCTTCGTGGCCCTGGTGGCTAGTCGTGAGAACATGATGTTCTAAAGTGAAAGGAAAGGGTTAGAGCTGGAGAAATTATTCAATGGCCCCCTTAAGCGGAGAGAGACCGCCACAAGTGGTCTAGAATTGTGTTAGTCGAAAGCGGTGAATCAGTTTGTGGTGTTAGACAAACCAGAGATATAATCCTGCAAAGATAAAGTGTTAGCAAAAGCCATGACTAAAGTGATACCGAGGGATAGGAGTTGTCCTTCTGATAGTGGTGAGTGGTGGTGTGGGACGCAAGGATGGGTATTGAATTCTGTGATGTGTTTTTTTCTCTATGATTCAAACAGGTGGGACATCCCTATGAAGTCATCCTTCAAAGAACATAAGAACATGGAACGTACCTGTGATGTGAAGACTGACGAGCGCCCGTTCATAAGGGCAACTGTGATATTTGCAACCAGAATTGGCTTGAGAAGTAAAAGATCAACTCAATTGGGTTGAGAGATTAGGAGTCAGAGGAATATGAATAGGAGCTAGTGAGAGGTGAAATGGGGAATACCGTCAGGTCTTAAAGGAGGATTGGGGAAAGAAAGGGAAAAAAATTATGTTTTCTGAATCTTAGCGGGGAACTAAAGCGGCGGTTTCGATCTCACTGGTTTCCGAATCTGCTAAGCTATATAGTTTCTCCATAATAATAGTCCAGCGGGCCAATCAGAAACGATTCATTACATGGTTACACACAGTGATACCGCTCTGCCACTACCTTATCTACATCGTCCCCAAAAGAAAAAAAAATTGTCATGGGCCGTTTTCGGCCTATCAAAGTCACTAAACCCCAGCCTTAAATACCACAACGACGCTGTAAATAGCGTCGCTAACGAGAGGGCGCATACAGTTACATACTACAATTACAATGTCACAACGAATCGTCGTATTCCAAGGTTAGTCATGCGATGCATACCTATTTATTCGCCCAATTGATACCACGGGTAGGTAAAAAGCAATTCCTTGCGATTGGTTCTATTGTCGTGAAATTCTTCATGATTCCGTCATGCTTTGCATTGCTCGCCGCTTAATACCTACCTTAGGTATTACTTATTACCTAATTAAACTTGAGTAAATTTGACTTCCTCAGGAAGAGAGTATGATCATTAAACTGTCGACGGCCGTATATGGATTGGGAGGGATTTAGCACTTAGTCAACTTAGACGCCACGATCGAAAACGTATCTTGAGGTTTTATAACAAGTTTGCGGCTTTCTAAAACTTACCCCGTGGCTAATAGCCATCAGGGGGTTAGAGTACCTATGCCGCTTCGTTATCCGTAGCCAGATCCATAGCAATTACATAGCTAGGTTCATCCTCTGTATAGGCATCAACAGCCGATGGCCGTTATAGTCTCGGAGTAAATGTTTCATTCGTTTATCATATAGCGCCCAACTCCTTCAACTTCGAGACCAGGCCATCAACATCCTCAACCTTGCCACCTCCCTGTCTCGGCGCCGGTTCTGTGGCAAGAAGTCAGCATCTCATATTACTTCCACCCACAGACCCTAGGCCGTCAACTATAAAATAGCAAAAAGGGGGAAAAGCGTACCAGTAACTTTAACAATCTTCAACCTCCTCTCATTCGCGATCCCCAAATCGCTTAAGCTCATCTTGACGAGCGGCTTCTTCTTCGCCTTCATGATATTCGGCAAGCTCGCATAGCGGGGCTCGTTGAGCCTTAGGTCCGTCGTGATGACCATGGGCAGCTTGGCGCGGACCGTCTCGACGCCGCCGTCCACCTCCTTCGTGACCTCGACACTGTCGCCCTTCTTCGCAAACGTCACCTTGCTCGCCTGCGTGGCCTGCGGCCACCCCAGGAGCCCCGCCAGCATCTGGCCCGTCTGCGCCGCGTCGTCGTCGATGCTCTGCTTGCCCAGGATCACGAGGTTGCTCTTCTCCTTCTCGACCGCCGCCTTCAGCAGCTTCGCCACGCTCAGCGGCTCCAGCTCCTCGCCCTCCTTGACGTCGACGTGTATGCCGCGGTCCGCGCCCATCGCCATCGCCGTCCGCAGCACGTCCGCCGCCTTCGCCGGCCCCGCCGAGATCACGCATATGTCCTCCACGCCGCCCGGCGCCGACTTCTTCTCGCGGATCCGCACCGACTCCTCGACCGAGAGCTCGTCGAACGGGTTCATCGAGTGTTTGACGCCGGCCGTCTCGACGCCCGTCTGCGCCTTGTTGACGCGCGGCTTGACCTACGAACCTCGAAAACTCGACTGTCAGCTTAACCATCTCTTCTCTATTCCATTCTCTTTTTTTTTAATCTTCTCTTCTCCGGTGTCCATTTCGAGTAGGAATTGCAATTGATTGGACCTTACCGCGTAGTCAATGACCCGTTTTATGGGTACGAGGATGCGAAGTGAAGACATGGCTCGTTCGCAGCTTTTGCTGGATGTCTTGTGAAAGCAAGAAAATGCGCGGGAGCTGAAGCTTATTCTACTCGTCTAACTTCGGAATACAATTCCGTTCAATGACGAAAATCCGCGACCGAAACCGGCGGTAGCCGCGCTCCCACTTAGAAAGCCTCGGCTAAGCAGATAGTGGACCACGTGATGTCTATAAACCCTTTTTACATACGGAATATAAACCGAGACGATGTCAACATTCGTATTATGATATTAGGTAACTAGGTATGTAGTATACATATGTATTATCTACATATATACAGAACATTTAATAGGTAGCTTGCAATTATTCGATTCTCTTCCCCCAAATAAAGTGATGTTAGTAATTGCAGCAGCTTAACGTTAAACCTTAGTGATAAAAAAAGCAAAAGGACATTCTAAACCCCTTTATTGATTCTAATAAACATAGATATTTATACTAGACGCTACCCAAAACTCCATCTAGGTGACATAATTGTACAGCTTGCATCGTATCTGTCATTGAGAGGTATAGTTCGTACACCACGATAATCATATAAGCACCTCACTCACCTATGCACCTATGCCTACTTGTCACCAACCCTAGCTCATCACATCATTACCAATCGTCCCACTCATCGTCCTTCTTGGCCGGCGTCGACGCATTCTTATTACCGCCCCTACCCATGGCTGACGTTCCGACGGAGCTATACTTAGGGCCGGTGCCGTGTCGCTGATCCGCCACGGCGGAGAAGTCGTCCCAGAAAGCCTTCTTACTCTCGTCGATCGGGGCCCCTCTCTGGCCCTGACCATTAGACCCCTCGACGAACTGGTTAAATCGTTCCTGTGCCGTCATTGCGCCAGCCTGTGCTGCCTTGCCTACGTTCCCTGCCGTTGCTCTCGCCTGTGCTGCAAATTCTGATTCTGAGATCTGTTCGTGTTTCGTCGTTAGCAACTAAATTCCTCGCATGTTCGCGCGCTTAAGCAGGTGAACACCGCTTTCTCACCTGCTTAGCCGTGGGCTGAATGAAATCATCGTTGAATCCTTTCGCTGTCTTGCTTACTGTCGATGTGAACCAGCCGAAACCTTTCGTCAGCGCGGCCACGGGGTCCTTCTGCACGTCCGAGAAATCAGGAAGTCCTCCTCCGCTGCCGCTCTTAGGCGACATGGGCGTGTTTCCGAATCCGGCGTATTTGCCACCTTGGCTGGGCGGCAAGTCTGCCGACCTAGACGCATTTTCTTTTCCTAGTCGCGCAAAGTACTCGTCGTCGACCTTGGCCTTCACACCCGGCCGGTTAGGACTTGCTGCCCGGCTTCCGCTCGTCGCCACGCCCTGAAGAGGTGTTCCACTCCTACTGATTTGCTTCGGGGCGGGCTTCGCGGTGCCGGTAGAGGATTGGGGTGTAGGTTTTCGCTCGCCGGGTACGTATTCTTTCCCCTCTACCTTAGCGCCTAGTCTCTCCTTCCACTCCTCGCCCACCTCGCCGCTGTACCTCTCTGCGATAGTAGCATCGTCCCAGCTTAGGCCGCGCATCTTGGTGTCCTCGTGCTGCTCGAAGAATGACCTCCACCCTTGATTACCACCGAGGCGCATACGTTCGATCTCGGCCTGCTTGAAGGCATCCATTGTAACGGATCGGACGAAGGAGATGTGGACACCTAGGCCCCGATGAACACCGGCGCAGGACAGGCATATAAAGACGCCGAACTTGGGGGATGCCCATTGTGGGTTCGGGGCATTGCAATCGCAGCAGATGTTATTATTATTCGTCTTTTGAATAGCCAACAGCTAAAGTGGTATAAACGATCAGCAAGCATCCAATAAGCAGCTAATTGAACGTTGACGCGTACTTTCGATCTAGTTTCGGGATCAACTTCCCACATGGCTTTCGAGGCCATGATGGGCTGTGGTTTAAGGGAGGATTATATGTCGTTCTAAGCGAAGAACAGAAAGCAGCGACAGGTGTCACTTAAACTTTGTCAAAATCCGGGTATCAATGGATGCGAGGCTAGGTTTACCAACAGTCAACTACGTGGTAACAATACACTTGATGCAGGTGCATAATCATCAAGATTGGCAGAATAGGGATGTCGGATGCCAAGGCCGATTGTTTGCACTAGCCGTTTCAGGGTTTAGCGCGTTTGTCCCTAACGCACCAACAAGGGGGAAGAGGGAAAAAAAGAAAAAAAAGGCCATGAACACTTTTCTTCGCCAACCAGGGCCGGCAAGTTGAGCCTGCCCTACCTAAGGGAGGGGTCCCCATTTTTGGACACTCTTATACCATAATGTAGACACACTTACCAAGTGCCAACAGATGACTCTCCGAAAAGATCAGTTTCAGTCTTATAGGATTAGCAGTATTTCAATAGGATATTATGATAAAGAATAGCCGTAGCATTGAATTAGTTGCTCTGTCAATACTGAACACTCTGACCAAGGTTAAAACTATGTCAGGTCCCGGGAAAATTATACAAAAGGGCAGGCCCCCTAGGGAGGCACTTGCCTTCCTAAGAGGATTATTATTTATTCTCTGGATTTTCTTCTTTTACTCCCACTGGGGGTCGAACCAGCTACCTTAGTAGGTTCACTTGAATCTTACCTAAGGTATTGACCACTTGGCCACTGGTTTCAAGAAAGAAATATTAAAAATCTTTTGTTTATTTAACCTTATTAGGTTACTAAGGTCTAATCACTCTGTCAGTGCCTTGAAACAATGTTAAAATTACAAACTAGTATTGACAGAACTGTATATATAGAAAGGAAGGTGAGGCTCTCATGACTTTAGTCAAGTGAAAGTGGCTAATTAGGTAATCATACCGTTGTTTTAACAGTCCCACCAATAAGAGCCACTCTTTTGTAGTCTAGTCACTGAGACTGGACTAAAATAACGGTTTTGTATAGCCACTCTATTGAATTAGTTGCCACGGTTGCAATTAGCAATAAGAGCCAATGTGAATATATGGTGAAGAAGCCATTATCTTAAGCATCTAGCACTATTTTTGTTGAAAATACTGGCGCAATACCGAAGACAGGATGCTAGATTTTTGTAACTATGTATACTTTGATTATGATGGAATAACAGTGTCCAAAAAAGGGGACCCCTCCGATAGGTAGGTAGGCATTCGTTCAGTCTACCTAGTACACCAAATATGATGGATGCTATCCATGGTACTTTAAGCTCCGGCTAATATACTTAACTAGGCATTATCAACTTGCATTTGCTTCCAAGTTCACTAATAAGCCCTAATTAGTGACTAGGTAATCACATAGACAATTCATACATCCATAATCATCAGGTCACGTCCAAGAGGTAGAATCATCAATCCGTAATCATCGTATCTATTCTGCTCGCGAGAACTTTTCCGAGCCTACCGTACCCCCTCCGTTGTCCACCTAGTGTACAACCCGTGAAAATGCTCGAGGTGGTTGTCAAAGTCATTCGTGAATTAAGGGGACGTGCCAAAACTAGCATGATGGTCCAGACGTCCTCCAGCCAAACGCAAACACTATTTGATAGTCTTTGCTACCGGCGATATCTGGGACCACGTCATGCTGCTGCCTTGGCGCATTTGCGTAACTATGGTGAACTCAAAGAAAGAAGCCATCCCCGACGTAATTCGTCACGTAATCTCGATCGACGCATAAAATAAGACGTTCCGTAAAATAAGCAATAGTGGTTCGGAATCCATCTCTCATGGGAAATTAAGCCGCTTCGTCATCGAGATATTTCTAGGCCATTTAGGCGGCAGCCGGGGCAGCCTCCTGCTGGCCATTAGTCTCATGCTCCTGAGGAATGTTGGCTTCCTCGTCAGTCTTGTCAGGGCTGTCAATGGCGACCTTGACAGCAATCTCACGACCCTCAATCTCCTTGCCGTTCATCTCAGTGACGGCCTTCTGCTGGAGCTCCTCCGATGCGAGGGTGACAAAGCCAAAGCCACGACCCTTGCGGGGCTCACCACGAGCCTGTAGCTTCTTGATCATGAATCGAGGGATGGGTCGCAGAGCGATCTTAGCGGAGGAAGGCTGGTAGTCCTGGAAGAGGTCCTTCAGCTATTGAGAAGTTAGTACATGTTCTTAATAATTCGGACTCCACGTATGAACTTTACCTTCTCCTCGGTCAGGTCGTAGGGAAGGTTAGCAACCATGACCTTGTTCTTGGAAGGAATGCCGTCAGCAGGGGGTCCGCGCTCACGGCGCTCACGAGCAGGACCTCTCTTCGCGGTCTTCTCAGCCTTGTCAGTATCCGCCTTGTTGGTGATGTCGGTTAGAGGAAGAACCTCATTGTCGGCTGGAGCACCAGTGTTGGCCGCCTCAGTAGTAGCGGCATCATCCTTGGCGCCATCCTGAATACTATGTTAGCTGAATTGTAGATACACACCGGTGCATGGAATAAGGTAGAACATACAGATCGGCCGCCACGACCAGCGCGACCGGCACGTCCACGACCTCGGCCGCGGCCACGACCAGAAGGACGACGGCGAGAGCCCTCAGCACCAGCATCGCCGTTGGTAGCACCCTCAGCCTTCTCACCAGCCGGCTGGGGAGTGCGGGCAAGCTGAACAGAAACCTTGCGCTCGAGGATCTCCTTGCCGGAGAGCTCAGCAATGGCACGTTCGGCCTCAGTAGGGGTGGAAAGATCCACGAAGGCATAGCCGACAGGGCGGTCGGTGCGAGGGTTCTTAGGGATAGAGACGGATTCACTATGTGATACAAGTCAGCGTAGGCACCGACAGAGGCCATTTGCGGAGTGTAGATCTTAGCAAGGGCAGAGCAGAACTAGCCACAAGACAATCCCAGCCCATTGTGACAATTCATAAGACCACCTGCTATCATCATACTGGTTGCTTGTTGTCATAGCCCCACAGGAGCAGACACGCCGAAGCTCAACATGTCGGTGTGCCCAGGTGGGACAAGGCGATCCATAATTGACCGTATGAGTCAACACGTAGGCAATCAAGCACAAGTTGTTGATCGCTTGCATGGATGCGTATTATGCGAAGCTGAAGAAAGAAGAGATTGAGGGAAAACTTACACAAGATAGCCCTTGAAGAATTCTTTCAACTCCCCCTCGGTTGTCGCGTAGGCGAGGTTACCGATGTACAGGCGGCGACCCTCGGCAGCGCTGGCGTGGACGGCATCTTTGTTGTCGTCCTTGCCAGTGATTGAGGTATTGCTCAGAGCGTTCGTAACGTCGTTGACGGCAGCGTCAGCAACTTTCTCCACGGTGGTGGCCATTGTGATTGATGATTTTCTAGGTGGGAGATTAGTTGAAAGTAGGTTGGTTGACTTGACGGAAAGCGATGGTTAACGTTGAGGACGTTCGGGTTCGGGTTCAGCTATTGAACTCTTGAACAATTTCGGGGGAGGAATAGGGTGGCTACGTGCCCTAGAGAAGATTGAAAGAGATGGGGGTTTGAGTTGACTGTGACACAACGAGCTTAGGATTGATGGGATTTGAGAGGTGTGAAGAAGAAATGGAAGAGAGACCAGATGTACGGACGCGGCCAGAATTTTTTAAGGGTTGTTGTTTCTTGTGTGGGTCAAGGAAAAAGATAGAATTACGGCAGGTGTGGGGGAAGTGCATATAGATTGCTTGGCAGGTGCGCATGGGCCAATGGGAAAGAAGTGGATATGCGGGTCAGCACTGTCACTATGGGTACGTACCTTGTCGTCAAAATTGCGTGAGCTAGTACCTATCAACGTAAGATCCGGAAAGCTTCAGTGCGCGACCTGATGACGTTATTATTAGCTCTCGGTAAATTTTATATCGCGGAGTGGTTTGCCTATGCAGGGCAAAAATAAATAAAAAGTAAATTTTAAATAAATAAGAAGCTTACCAAGGCTAGGTACTAGATAGGAGGCTCGTAGTTTCTAGGTATGTCGGTATGGGTTGGACGAACGGGGTAACTTGACAAGTGGCGGGTTGTTTTGTTTTGGTTTCGTGGCGAATGGCGGTTAGAAGTTAAAAGGTGAAGGGACTGAAAGGTGGGAGGGAAACGTTTATGCGGTCTGGCAGAGACTGGCAGGAATAAAAAGGTAGAAAGCGGAAAGAATCGTCAATCGGTTTGGTAAAGCTGGTAAGTGCACACAGCTCAAGTCTGAAAGAAATGAGAGTGAGCCTGCTCCAAGGTTGTTCTTGCCTTCAACCTCTTTTTTAAGTTTTATCTCTTCTACGATGAACGATACCTGAGGATAAAAACTAAGAAAGAACAATCCAATTCAATTGGTTTAAATATGTATCTTAAAATGTATATTTACCTAAGTACCAACCTTAACCTTCAAACAAGTCACACGAGTATAATCAACCTATGATGCTGTTTCCTATGACTTAGTTTATTTAATTTTCTAATTATTCATTTATTTATCCATCTATTAAACATTCACGATTTCTATGACATTTAATATTCTCAAGTCAGAGGTACCAGACGTGTACATATCTCTGAATAACCCTTCTTGTCAGTTGTGAGTTTGGTCTTCCCGAGAAGCTACCAGATGATAATTCCTTAGGTTGCATGAAATATCTACGTTAAATTTATACGCGTATTCGAATGGCTGCGCTTAGACGCAAAAGTAGATCGGTGCTGACATCTACCCTAGGTAAGGTCCAGCTCGGCAAGATGCCTGAATTGTCGAAATTGGATTCTGCAGAAAGCTCGGGGTGCATTGAAAATAGCAAATTACGCCATCTCAAAGCTTGCTTGACGCGTTTTTTGTCAGCTGAAATTCGAAAAAAACGCTTCCAGAGACAATCCGGCGTGTTAGTCATTTTCGCACATCCACCTGTGCTACCGTGCGCGCACGCGGTTCATCCAAAAATGGAATCACGTCAGGGCCTTGTTTCTCATTGATGGTTTTTCTTTCCATACTAGGCACGCGAACTAGAATCCAGTCATAAAGTTGGTTGACATTCTGGAAGCTTTCAAAGAACCTTGTCTCCGGGGTTTTCGATGATCGAGCCACTCAATGGGGACGAAACGAAGCCCTGCAGGGACTTTTCTAAACGCACCCCTTTCTTTCTTCACTATTTAGACGCCTCATTCACCTATGATCCTAGAGAACCTGAAAGAAAACGTCCTCCCCCTTTTTGGCCCCTTATAATCGCATCGCTATTAAGAAAACAAAATTTCTGATATTCGTCAAATTCTTGCAGGCCGTGCTGAATCCGGCGGGTTATTTGAAAACGCCGAAATGTCCTATCACCGTGCTTTGCAGACAAAAGCCTCTCAGTCGCCAATTCCAAAAGTCTTGTTCTCTTTTCAGCGAATAAGTGAGCAACGCCTTACGTCGGTAAATGAGTCTTCTTAATATCACATTCAGGTGTCGATATGCGAGGTACTACATACAACACAGTAGACAAACACGTTGTTAGCTTTGGTCCACATGGCTTTTGCGGATGTCTTCGGCTGGGTTAGGTAGCTTGTTAGCTCCTGTTGCGTGCATGAAATATTGCCAAACAAGCAGCCTTACCAGAACACCGGCACCTCAGAAATGCAGACGACCAAAAAAATTCAACCCAACGTTACTTTGCAGCCCGGCTATGGCAGAGTGACTGAAGTCATCAAATTACCTAGCCTCCAGCTACTCGTCACAATATTTATTGATACATCTGTACATATATCTACCTACTTACCAGGTACCTAGTCGATCGCGCACAACAGCAGTTAGCAACTAAACGGTACCTACTTTTGTCTAGCGCCGTGCCCAAAGATTCAAGCGTATGGTCCTGACAAGTGTCCCGTCATGTATGGATTTCATCCACCTACTAACCCATCTATTATGTAAGTTAGGAGAGAACTATGCCCTACGAAATGGATCTAGAGGATACTGGGACTCCTGTCTTACGGTACATGCTCGGAAGTTTTCATCCAATCATAGTCTGTGCACATCACGTGGGAAATGGACTCTACTGTCGTAGTGTTCAATATTTCCCACGTTCCAAGCTGGTATTCATTACCATTACCAGAGAATGTCAACATGTAGATACCTATCGGGTGTACCGAAGATACTTGGGTCTGATTGCATGGTACCATTTGCCTATTTTCTCTCCGACCGAAAACAGATACCTATACATACAAATGTCAAGGAAAATAAGGTGCTTTCTAAGATCATAGATCTAAGCTTACCTGACTATGACTGCGCTAAATCTGCTATGTATGCCCCTAAGTTCCCCACCTCACCACGTTTCTCAGATTGCATAGACATATTTTACTATAATATCAGAGTTCTAATGTATTTGTTATGACTATTATTAGAAGCTAACACTAGGGATATAACCCAAAGTTTGGAGAGATTTGGTAGTAAGAATTACTAGACTCAACTTTTATCTTAGCTATTAGTTTACAACCAATTCCCATCTGGACTCTCCCGGTTCATCGTCGACAGCTTGAGTCCGTCTTTTCGTCAAACACGACAGTATATTTCGAGGGGACAATATGTAAACAGCTCACTACATACCTGGATTTTCATTGTGACTTGTAACAAACTTAGAAGCCACCTGGTAGTAGATGATATGTGATCAGTGCTAGATAATCGTGGTTATTTCAGGGGTTGTAAATATCAGCAATAGATGGATGCTTATAGTTCTACTGACGCAAGACCACTATGGTCTATATAGAAATGGGATATCTTGCTGGTTCATATGGAGCCTTGTGAGCTGAAAATGCACATACCTTAAACATCTTACCTATGGCGTACACATTGTCGTCAGGTTGGCTATGTAGCTGGGTATAAAATATCACTGGCAAGTGCCTACTAATAACCCCTATCTACCCTACCTAGGTATACTAGGCACCTAGGCAAGTTAAACTAATCTTTGGTTTCATGATTCATGTATCATGCATGTTGAGTACTATAGTGAATACTTCATACTGTTTCATTGTCGGTTACTAGCCCTGACATATAGACAACTCAGTAGACTTAAATAGGAGTCTTCACACTATCAGTTACAGCAAGCCCTCGAGGTAAGTAGATCAAAAGGGGGAATTGAGAAGTAGAGTTCCGATCGGACAAGGATGCACTACTGCACGGACCAATGAAGTAATAGCTACCATTTGGCGCAGGTATGTAAAGTCTTTATCTTATCAATCTCATCGTTCGGAGTTTGTGATCTAATCCTTGTAACATCTCGTTTCGTTCTTTTCGCTTTTAACATTTTCACGATATTCATGATGGCTTCAGAGTCTGGCAGAGACCCCAAGGATGATGGAGACAAAGCGACGAGGCTCGAGGATAGGCGCATGCTTATCCTCTATGGCTCCGAAACGGGGAATAGCCAAGACCTTGCGGGCGACCTCGAAAGGCTCGTGGAGAGACTACATTTCCAAACATTTGTCTGTGAGATGAATGATGTCGAACTTGTAAGTCGAGTACGAGCAGCGGGTTCATTCATTCACTTTGTTCATCATCGCATTACCAGCTTTGTTTCCCGTTTACCAGCCTGGCCAGTCATCTTTCTTCAAAGACATTATCCACCCCTTTTACTTGGCCGGTCCCTTAGGTGTGTTTTTACTAGGTGCACGGGACATACGTCAGTTCCCCTCTAGTCCCAGGCCAAATTTACCCAAGGTAGCAACTTGGAAATATACGCATTTCAATTCTTTGGAGTGTTGTTTACTTGCATCTGGGACCCGCGCTCTCCTACTGATTATGCATCGACTTTGACCAATTTACCAACGAGACGCACCTGGTAACAAGAACCTGCCTCATTTAGAACGTTTTACTACAATACCCTTTGATCATCTTCGTCATATCTACCACCGGCCAAGGCGAAATACCTCGGAACGCGATCAAATTCTGGAAGAGCCTCCTCCGCAAACGACTACCGCCGAACTGTCTACAACAAGTCAACTTCACAACTTTTGGTCTTGGCGATAGTTCATATACCAAGTAAGTAACATACCTCCTTCCCATTCTCCGTTTCCCGCTCCCTGCTTCCTGCTTTCTGCTTCCTACCTACTTACTATTTTTTATTTTTTGTCCCGTCCGTATTACATCATCACGCCAACTAATTTTTTTATTCGTGCAGGTATAACTGGGCAGTTAGGAAACTTCACAAACGCCTAGAACAGCTGGGTGCGACCGAGTTCTTTGCCCGTGGCGAGGCTGATGAGCGTCACCAAGACGGGTACGTCTCTCCGATTTCCACATGTTTGCTGATTTTCATCCTGCTTCCCTCATACCCCCCTTTTTTATTTCTTTATTTGTCTATCTCATTCGGCTTTCTCGATAAATTTTTGGAGAACACGGCTACTCGCAGTTATAGACTAATACTCTCATAGCATCGACGGCACATTTTTATCTTGGTCGTTAAGCCTTCGGAGTCATCTTTTAAAGGAATATCCTTTACCCGAAGGCTTATCGCCTATACCCCCGGAAGTTCAGCTTCCCCCAAAATTCACATTAGAACTAGTATCCAACATGGATACATCAGATGAGCCAATGCCTGACCGGGACACTCAAGAGGCCAAGAGTCCGAGCAACGCAGGCGTAGACGCAGACGCAGCTCTTGCCACTACCACGTTACCAAGTGGCAATCCTTCACCTGTCTATCAGGAAAAGGCTCTCGATAGAACTGCAGCACTTTTTAGCCATGCTGATACGCCTAACCCCAAAGCTTTGGAGCAGGCTTTACGGGCAGAAAGAATGTCCATCAACAGCAACACGTACGTTGCTCGTTTATCGGAGAATACAGCCAAAGTAATTCGCGGTGGAATAGATACTCTAGACAAACCCAATGTGCTAAGAGATCATCCATCAAAGTACTCTGTCGAGGATTTGAGCACTAAGGAAGCACTTCCTCCCGCAGATCTTCTTCCCATACCCCGAGCATGGCCCGCCGTTTTGATAGAGAACCGCCGAGTTACTCCTACTTCTCATTGGCAAGATGTTCGTCATCTCATTTTCGACGTTCCCGCACAGCCAGACGTCTCTAGAAAGGGAGACTTAGGCCTCTTCAGTTACGTACCTGGCGACGCAGTCGTCATCCATCCTAAGAACTTCCCCGCGGATGTGCAAGCGTTGATCGATCTCATGGGCTGGCAAGATGTCGCCGATTTGCCATTTGAGCATCGGGCAAACCAACAGCACATGCTATATTCACGACCTAGAAATTGTCACCCGCTTGCTAATTCTACCCTTCGACAACTCCTACTTCACAACTATGATATTACTGCAATTCCCAAGCGAATCTTCTTCCAGGAGATCGCGTTTTACACCGAAGATCCCACGCACTCAGAACGGCTCAGAGAGTTCTCAAACCCAAGCTTATCAGATGAATTCTATGACTATACATCCCGACCTCGACGATCTATTCTGGAGGTTCTACAGGATTTCCCAAGTGTCAAGATCCCTTACGAGCACGTTCCGTCCATTTTCCCCCTTATACGTGGTCGAGAATACAGTGTTGCAAGTGGCGGTTCGCTTCTTAAGAGTGAAGATAATCATCAGGTCACAAGAGTAGAGCTCTTGGTGGCGCTAGTGAAGTACAAGACTGTGTTACGAAAGACCCGGCAGGGTCTCTGCTCTCGCTATCTAGCATCTCTAAGTCCTGGAACAACCATCAATTTGGTACATAGAGAATATGACATGCTACAGACGGAGCTCATTCGTAGACCGCTACTAGCGATTTCCCCGGGCACGGGGGTTGCGCCGATACGCGCTCACATTTGGGACCGTCAGGATTACGCAGATGCCGGTGATATTCTCCTGGTATTTGGCGGGCGAAACCGTGACGCCGACTTTTACTTTAAGGAGGAATGGGAATCATTTGGCGTCAAGGTTCTCACAGCATTCTCCAGAGACCAGCAGGAGAAGATCTACGTGCAGGATCGTATCCGCGAGAACGCGCTAATGATCTGCGATATTATCCAGAAGAGATGCGTCGTCTGTATCTGCGGAAGCGCAGGAAAGATGCCGGAGGCAGTTCGTTCAGCCCTATGCGATGCTATGGTCATTGGAAAGCTGGCCTCCGACCGGGAGACGGCGAATAAATTGCTACACATGAACAACCCCATATGGGAAGAAGTTTGGTGATATGGAGGAGGATCGCTAGCAATCTGCCTTTCAGACTGGGTTGATTGTACCAATTGTGGTTCTCTTCACCATGCCTACTCGATAAGGTTTAGGATGTAATGAAAAACATCACGAGCACTTGCATAAACATATGTGCCAAATTGTTTCCATCATGACCCGTAAACTTAGGGAAATGCCCTCGTCAATTCGTTATCATCCATTGGTACGAAGGAGTTTAGCTTTCGACTCTATCCTCCGTAGATACGGGAGAACTTCTGGAGGTTCCACCTAATACATCCCGTTAAGTGTTCTCTTGGAGTGGATTGCTCGTAGTCGTTATTTATTCTAATAGTTGTCAGATTACCGTAGCTGGGGGCTATGAGCACTGAAATCCATGATTACGCTCGATTCATTTTCGGGGGTTTTTAATACTGAGTGAAGCTTGAGTGCATACCTAGTGAGACCCATCGAATAAGCAGCGTTATCCAGTAAACATAACGGCTCGAACTAGTCCAGATAATAGGAGCAGTATTTTAATCACCGCGAAACAACTAAACTTACGTGCTATAGTTTTAGTTGGCACCTATCTAAGCAGTTGTGTTTCATCAAGAGTTTATGTCATTCATAGATAACTTAGACGGCCTAGGTCAATATTGTAAAGTGTTGTCTAACGAACAGTTAGGGTCTCGTAAACAATAGTTGGAAGAGTGAGGTAATTTATACGATAGTGAAGATCGAGGTCGTACGAGAAAAGGGGACTTACATTCAAGGGCTGTCTAGTCTGCTCTAGGGGGATACCACCACGTAGTTTCAATGAAATATAAATGCGTACATAACTAAAGGTTATCTCTTGGTGTCTATATAGTAGGCGTGTTACTGTTTGCAGAAGGGGCTTTTGTGATAACATAGTAATATTCCTCGGAGAATAGATAGGGGGAACAGATCACACCAAAAACATTTCCGGAGAGTGGAAATTAAGAGACATTCTCTCATAATAATCAGGATAACAACTTGAAGGTTTCTCAAGTCTAACAAAACACATATATCTATACTCTATTTACTGTATGGCGAACTTTGGTGTCATCGCCTCATCCAATCATAAACTTCCCTCCACCGGATGTTGACCTTTCAGCGGGTGCTATTAATATCTGTCACCTCCGTCGAGCAGTACCGGCATAACAACGTTACATCGATCCCGGCTCTATTTCGTCATGAACAGACGAGATGGAGTGGGCCCGAAGAAAGCTCCACATATCCGTGTGTTGCTTGACACCCTATGGACTATGATGTCTCTTCATATACTGTTGTACGAAGTTGACATCGGGGTAACTACCAATGTGGCGAACTAATAGTTTATCATAGAATAGAGGAACCGCAACTACTTGAGTATTCCTGCAGCACATAGACGCTAGGAATGGAGTAAGATCTGCTTACACCGAGGACCTGTATTGCGAGGTCTTAACACTAGATGCGTAGATATAGACATGACAGTTGAGTATTCCGTCGCATCACAGGATAATAGTTGATAAAAATCATGAAGAGAAAGTGATGCATGTCTCTGGGTTCTGCGTCTAATATGAGTTGTGGTAGCAACGTCCACCATAAGCTCAATAAAGTTCTCATAATAAACGCCATCCACAAGTTTGCAATAATCTCTTGACAAACATACCGAGAATATGTCTCGGGAGGTTCGGAGAACTAGTTGCTATCGAATTCGTCGTTGAAGATCCTTAATTTTATCTAACTAGATTGTCGAGTACTATAACCAGATGACACTTATTAACAAACAGCCGCCACGTTAGTTACATCCCTGAAGTCAGTATCGAGGAAACTAGGTAGTATCTCTAGGATAAAACATCGTCCTACAAAGAAGGACGGTTCATCTACCTACGACACACATCGATTCCCGAAACTTGCGAAGAAGAAAGGGTAGACTGAAAATGGCATTGTCCGTCTCTTACGCGTCTTTAAAACCTGAAGGGCCGCATGACAACCAAGCTATCATTGACATGTGTCTAGAACTCCCAAGGCAGAATCGCAAAAAAACCGTAGCTTTTCGGCCCCGAAGTCAGCCCCTGTCTGCGACACCGACGGCGCAGCTACTACGTATAATCCAAATGCCGGCAAGCCTTCCGAAAGCAGTTCCATAGGGTCGGCGGATCGACCCGGGGGGCACATATCGAATAGATAGAATGGATTCGTATGCACGGCATTGCCGCATTCCGACCCTACTCGCTGATTTATGCCGCGTGCCACGCTTCGCCCACGTTGAGACAAAATCAAGGTACAAGGCCGAATTTCCCCATGCTTAACCTTTTCGGAACCATGCTGTTTACGTGCGCATAACCAACCCAGAGGATCTTCGCTGCAGGGACCTTCCTGGCGAAACGAACTACCCCAGGACGTTTCAAAAGTGACGTTGGCCGGAGTAGGCCGACATAAAATTCACGATGACGAGTCACAGCCCACAAACAAGGAACGCATGTCGGATTTCAACGTGTACTATGTAGATGATGTCTCTCTTCGGTGAAGTAATCCTCCAAAGAAAAGCATGCACGAGTATGTACCTATATGTGCAAAATTTGTGGCCTTAGGTAGATGTATACATGTCCTGTTGGTTCCTGGCCCCGACCCCTGACAGATGCGGCTCCCAACGTGCATCGGTCGATCACCTAGCGCATCCTAGGAGACAGGCAAATTGATTACATCCCATATACATAGTACAAAGCCCCGTTATGTGATAATTCTCTGGATCCTTCGACCCTCGAAACTAGTAGATGTTAGATGAATGTGAGTATGCTCCGTGGGTATCATAACGTCGTCAACTGAGCGATTGATTTTTGGTACTGCCCCTTTCCCTCATTTCTTTTTTGCGCCGTGTGAAACCGAAACCAATCCAATGAATATGTACCCATTGTATGTTAGGCGTGTATATATGTGGATAGCCTGAGCGATTATATAGCAATCGAAGTTACTTTTCTCACAGTAGGGAAAGACACCCGACGCCAACCGGGAAGAGGCATTGCAGCCCCCAGTCTGGCCTTAGACCCTGTCCTCCGTTCCCCTTTCTCTCCCCCACGGATCCCGATCCCGTTGCTGATGGTATCGTCAAGGCAGCATTGTTCCCGCCGCTGCCGCTACCCTGGCTCGGACTAAGCGTCGTCGTTGACGCCCCAGGCGCTCCCAGGGTCCACGTCTCCATCCCAACACCTCCGGGACCAATCGTCAGGGTGTGTCCTCCAACGACTGTAGTCAGGGCCTCCGAAGCACCTATGCCGACGTGGAATGTAACGCCACCGATCTCAACTGCCGTAAGCCCCATCTGCGTGACCGTGGCTCCGCCCGCGATCGCGTACCTAGTAGCGCCGGGCGCGGCTGTAATCCCGCCTAGAGTCTGATTATGCATAATGATACCAGTCGGCGCCACGAGGATCGTATCCCCGTCTATGGCTGTCGTGAGCGTGCTGCTAGCGTCGGGCCCGTAGGATAGCGTGGTACCTTCGATAATGATTGTATCGGATCCGATAACAGTGATGAGCTCCCCACCCATAACGGCGGTCTGTGTCGGCCCGGGCCCACCTGCGGCGACGTGGAGGGTTTGCGTGGGGAAGACGATGTCGGTGGGTCCGAGAGTTATCGTCTGCCCTCTAACCACTATCACGGTGGATGTGGGTTCGATTGTGAAGGCTGTGCCGTCTATGGTTGCGACGGACGGTCCGTATGTCACCCCTAGACCTCCCACGGAGGTCGTTATCGGTGTAGGGGCTGGCACAAAACCGTCCCTTGCGTTGGACGGAGGTCGAGTAATAATGGCACCAGTGCCTACTATTTGGGACGGATCAATAATGAATGAGTCGCCTCCTACGACTACTGTCGATGTCTGTTGCGCCGGATCATCGATGAATGTGTGATCACCGATTACTACTTCGCCAGGCTGAACTATCACAGTAATCGGAGGCGGGCTTGCACTAGTACTGCCACCATTGCCGCCATTCCCATTTCCGCTTCCGCTTCCGCTTCCGCTCCCGTTGCCATTGTTGTTTTCACTGTTTCCTTCGTCATCCTCTCCATTATTGCCAGCACCGGTGTCACTGACCGGAGTTGGTGACTGTTTAGCTGAATCGACAGGTGTCGGGTCTATACCGTATCCCGGGGTAATCAGGTTTCCACCACTCACTGCCGACTGGTGACTTTTTGGCCCAGAAGGGGACCCGCCATAACTGGGAGGCGTCTGGGTCGGAAAAACCACGGCAGGGTTTTTGTCTGTCGTAATCAAAGTGACAGTCGTAGCTGGATTGGCGAAATCGTTCGTCGTCGTAGTATGAATAAATGAGCATGTTTGACCGGTGCTATCACAAAAGGTTATGGTAAAACGCCCGGTTGGGCTCTCTTTAGGAGTACACGGTACTGGCGTGCTTATTGGCGGGTAAGGGGGTGTGTAGTCAGAAGGATCTCCACTCCATGTTGTTGTTGACGTGTAGGTGATGGAATAGGAGGTGACAGTAACAGGCCCGGTTTCCTTTGCCGGGCACTCGCTCGACGTAGTGGTGACGGTCGGGGTCGTGCTAATAGTTGATGGAGGCAGAGTCACAGTAGGTGAGGGTATTGAAGAGGCGCTGGAGGTATCATTCCAGCCCCATGGTCGCGATGTGGCATTGAAAGAGAATGACGATGCTATTGGGGGTAAGGAAGTCCCAACGCCTGTATTAGAAGCAGAGCTTGAGCTGCTGTCGAGAATCCTTGAACTACCCCTTATCGGGCTTGACGTAGGCAATACAAGTGTAGGCCTCACAATTGTGGTAATTGTTCCTAAATTCAATGGTTCAAAGAAAGATTCCGGTGTCAATGGAGTAGAGCTGTCCCCTGAAGGTGCTGTAACGACAGACACGTCATCAACAGAAGTCGTAATTGCCGTGTTTGAAACAGTATCTATAGGCCTCTGATACGTCTCTGAGCTTGTCACTATGAAACTAGATGCTAGTATATCAGGTGAGCTTGTGGACTCTGGGAACACCGAGTCGTTGCGAGATGGTACCCTTTTATTGAATTGACCAGGGCCGTATTCTATAATCCCGTTAGTAACGAGAGCAATTTAAGCAATCGTTGAGCCTCGACTGACCGGCTCTAACCAATTCTAGGCCATGACTTGAGGACACCACAACACATGATGCTATTAAGATGGTAATGAGCATTGCTGACCCGGGGCGAGTACGGTTCTTCGCCCCTATTTCTCACCCGGTGCTTACACCGGCGTGTTTACTTCGAGGAGAAACCGAGTTCTCGGCTTTACATCTGGAAGGAAATCGATATGGTTTTATCAGAAAAGTCATCACGTGTAATAGGGAAGCGAGACAAGACGTCGTAATAACCCCACACCCGTTGGCGAGAAAAGCTCGGCTGAGCCGCGACTTTTTATGTGAAGCACCATGATTCGGAATTGGCAGAAGTCCAGGCGAGCTAAGACCTGTCGGTAAGTGGCTCGCAAGTCCCGTAATGGGTTGGAACGTAGACACGGGACGTCTGATGGTGAGTGGTCGTAAGAAGGTGAAATTGATTTGCAACCGTTTTGGGCTTCTGAGTGGTGGGCCGATTCATTTGGGATGCCGCCTAATAAGGGGAAATATGCATATCCCCGGAAAAGAAAGACCCTATACAAACAGGTAACTACTTCGTAAAGTTCTCAAATAGACCTGTTTCGCACGTACAAGCGAGGTCCTCTACGTTGTACCGCTTACATATCTATATCCATACAACCTGACGATTCTACGTTCGTGGATTACTAGCTTTGCGGTTGAGCGACCTGTTCCGGTAGCCTCTTTTCCGAGAAGCCGCAGATGAAGATAAAAAACAACCGAGACGTAAATCTAGGAGAGCGGAGATCTATACCCATAGCAGAGTAAGATGGCGAAATGGAAGTGACGAAGCGACGATCAATAGAATTTGCCGGATGAAGGCAAGATTGTGGCATGCTACGCTCATACCGACCGCAGGGTCCTACGGATACAGAGGTCAACACCGTATGAATAGCACCCGGCTCCAAGCTGGTTAGGTATACCAAGACTGGACAGTGAAGGTGGGAGGTGCTCGCTTAAACTGCCTATCTTGATTAGGTGCCTCTGGTAGTATCTTGGGGTCTCTTTGCGTATGTCGATGGCGACTTGATATGCGCCAGATATCCCGGGAGCACTGATAGGTATCTTCGGGTCCGATGACGCAAATTATCTAGGGAACGAGTGGGATTGCTGTCAAATAATATAGCGGTTCGATCATTTTGAACAAGGCTGCTGATCCTATAGCCTCACAGAATCCTGATCAGATAACTCCGATGATCGAGACCAAGGTCCAGATGTTGGCAGTACGCTGAGGCGCTGCCCCTGGCACTAATGTGGGAATCAGTAGGCATCAACCTCGATAGGTCGCAAGTCCGGCCATAGTTTTATAGGAGGTAGATCAGCCAAGAAATCCTTCCGCGCTCCTCTCGGTATTGGTTAGACGTTCCAATTGGGGATCCTGACCCCGACGGTATTCTTCATTTGAAATTCTGGTGCCTAGCTACTCCAATTTGTGCTTGTATTGTAGATGACAAGTGTCTCCGTTGTTGTGTCGATATCGTTGTTTTGTTTGAAGCTGATCGATGAACTTCTAGAAGGTGAGAGCGACGATCTGGAAGCTTTCAGCAACCGAGAAGGGAAAATATGACAAGCATTATTTGAGCAAGTTAGGTAGATATTGATCTTGTGTCAAATATTAGGATTAGGTGAGCTTCCCGGATAGGTAGCTCCGGCGGGCAACCCTTTCCTTCCAATCAGGGTTTGGTCTCGATGAGGAAGGGGGCCTTTGGAAGAGGAAACGCAGAAGGAGCGAGGGCGGGGGATAGGCAGACAGAATTCGCGGATTATTCATCTCTGTGCTACTAGGTACGCAATTGACGCAATTAATGTCCCGCCGATCTCAAACAAGCTTGATTCCTTATCGTGTCACTTCACTTATCCTTCATCATGCCTCACTTCGAATTGTGGAATATGAAACCGTCTAAATATTGCACATTCTTGAAAGTGCTATTGTACGCGCACGTACTACGCGTCGGCCTCGGTCGCTTTTTATTACTCGACATGTCGGCAGAAAAGGCCTTCGGTCGTCTGATTTAACCAGCCCTGTCTAATAAGTAATTTACCACGTATTGACAAGTTTTGGCCACTGCCCAGATTTTCATGCGCTGGTCATCAGATACCTAAAACTGCTAGTGGCCGGCCCCAGTCCAGATGCTACCTCGTGCCTTAGTTAGGTAATGGGGGCGCAGGACTGCCGAAAACCGTGAAGACCGTGAGCTTGCTGGCTTGTCAAACAAGATCACACAAGCCAGACAAGCCTGACAAGTCAACTACATAACAAGCTCAGTGGGTCAACCTTTAGTGCCGCGAACTCCAATGCTCCAGCACAGCGAAACAGTTTGAGTGGGCAAATGCGGTCGTTGTAAAATGTCAAAAAGTCCCACGCGACCCCGATTAGTCGACATACTTTGCGTATTATCTAGAAAGGTCCTAACTAGCTGGGCTTTTAAGACACGACAGCTACCGAGAATTAACTATTGTTATTAATGCCATTGTGAAGGAGGATCGTCTGGGGAACACTAGGCCGAAAAGCCACGCGAGAGGATGAGGCAACGCAGCCAAAGCCGAGAACTCACTCCTCCAAACCATTCCTCCGCCGCCTCTCTCCTGCATAGCCAACTTAACTAAGACACTACATCATAAATTGATAACACGTAATAACACTAAGATATAAGACATAAGACATAAGACATACGAGATACACCTAGGTAGGTACCTGATAATATTACCATCACTGATGCTCGGAACAGATTAAGAGTTCTCGAAGAAAAGCTCGAGCTGGTCCGAGTCCAATGCGTCTTTGTCGCGTTCCGCGCATTGTATTACTATCAACGAGGTCTACCCCTCCTGCCCTCTCAGGTCCAGCGAGAGAGCGAGAGAGAATTCGATGTTCCATATTCCATGCAGGTAGCGTGGTCGTACCCCTGACGAACACCCAGACGCCTCCACCGGTAAGACCATGCTGACCTGCATTTTAGCCACAAGATGAACCCCTGTCCCCCCTGCCCTGTCCAATATGCATGTACGGGCGCACATCACTGCTAGGTACTAGATAGCACGCTCCGTCGATCTACACTGAGCGCGGGCAGGGCATGGGATGGCATGGACCATAGCAGGCATGGCATTGGGCGGTGCCTGTGTAAAACCCGCTTGTTAGCTATACCCCGGTAGATCCCGCCACTGACGGAAATCTGCCTTGACTTTTATGATTCTGCTTGTATTCTCTCTCTTGCAACCCACAGTGAAACTGGTTCAACAGACTTTATACCTACCCATTCGACTTCAGGTACGGCGGTACAGACATGATAATGATCACAATCACACCGAGTCGCGTCAGTTTTGGAATTTGATGGATTTGGATGAAAAAAAAGAAAATCACCTGGACGTCTGCGAGCCTGATGAAGCTTTGGAAGGGAAATAGGTGGTGACCTTGCGCGTCTCTTGTACGACTGCCGAGTTGGTGCGACACGACAGACAATGTTGACATATTTCCTCGCAACCATCGTCGGGACGCTGCTCGTACCCGATCTGGTCAATGCCGACGACGTCGACGCTTTATGGATCGAACCATCTCTGCAATGGCACGTCGACCCGACCTTAACCTGAGATGGGCATGGAGTTAACTGTGACCTAGGTACGGCATCGACGGTAATTGGTCTTCGATCGGCCTCTTTGTGGGAGAGCCAGCACAGGAGATCAACGTCACTATAAGTACGAGTCTGTCCGAAATATGGGTTGTTGAATCTGGCGGCTGCAGTCCTAGTAAGTAGAACCGAAACTAAAGAACCTGTAAAATCGTCCACCGTAGACATCGGTCTGACATATTATAATCAGATGTTCGTTGCGCCGACGCGCGTGGTGGCATTTATAATACCAGCGCATCGCAAAGTTGGTCAGCGCTGGGCGCGTGGCAGCTCGGTTTGAATTATCTCGGGTTGGAAGGAAATGGCGACTACGCGATGGAGACGGTTGTTGTCTACGACAGTGTACGTCGTTGGCAGACATCCTTTAATAAGCAAGTTGTAGCTGGTATCAACGACACCGGTTATTATACCGGATTCTTTGGCCTGGGTATTACGCCCGGCCGCTTCAACAACGTCGTTGCGCAGAGCCCCATTGCGGCGTTAGTCGAACAGGATGGTGCCATCCCTAGTCATAGCTATGGCTATACCGCTGGAGCATACTATGGTGAGTCCTGGGTTGAATTGAGAGTCATAGATGCACTTCCTAACTATAACTAGGAGGTTCGAGAGGAACTCCTTTATCTCTAACATTAGGTGGTTACGATACCGAACGCTTCGAACCGCACGACACCAACTTTAACCTCAATGCTACTACGAGACAGCCAGAGGTACTTCTGAGAGCTATTACTGCGTCAGTTTCTAATGCTAGTGATGCTCCTACGTCCTGGTCAGCCCCGTCGGTAGCGTTGTCGTCATTCAACGAATCCGTGACAGCTCTGCTTGACAGCTCGACGCCTTACCTTTGGCTCCCAGGAACTATATGCGATCGATTCGCGGCTAACCTAAATCTCACGTGGAATGAAACATTTGGGCTGTACCTCTTTCCGGATAATGATAACCTCGAGCGATATCGCTCGTCCCCGGATCTTTCGTTCACTTTCACGCTATCAAGTGGGGACAATCATGACGACTTTGGGCACCCACTCGACGTCGCCGGAGTCGTGAATATCACAGTCTCTGCTAATGCGTTTATCCAGAGCCTTCGTTATCCATTTATGAACCTTATCGAATTTGGTGATGCGGCAGTACCTTATTTTCCTCTCAGACGTACTGAGGAGAACGGCACTGTTATTATTGGGAGGAGCTTCTTTCAAGAAGCATATCTAATCACGAATTACGAAACAAGTAGCTTTTCTGTCCATAAGGCCGTATTTCCAGAGAACCCGCTTCGAGACACATCGATCAAAACTATAGCATATTCGAGTAATAGTCCGTATCCTGGCCCACCTGCACGGTCTAATAACGGAGGGGGTCTTTCGCATTCCCAGATCGTGGGTTTGGCAATAGGGGTTTCTTTCCTAGGGATAATCGCAATAGTGGCTTTATTACTTATATGCCGAAGAAGGAGGAAGTCGAAGACTACAGAAAGTTCCGAGGATGCTTTTAAGGAAAAGGCTTCCATAACCGATTCATCGCCGCCTACTACACCCGTAGGCCGTATTGTGTCCAAGATATCGAAGAATTGCCCGATTCGAAAAACCAGGAAGGGGAGTGTCCGCGAAGAGCGGGAGGAGCGCGATGAACGCGAAGATCACGACTCGGATAAAGAGTTAAAGGTATTTGAATTTGCTGCGGACCAAAGCCATGAGCGATATGAATTGCCAGCACCGGGGCCGGTAGAGTTGGATGCTACTAGGTCCAGGGAAACTACGGATACCAGTGATGGAGAATCGCACAGATCGAGTGACTATGAGTTTGCAAAATATCAACTGGAACAACAAAGACAGGGCTTGGTTCCCGAATATACCCCTAGTACAGCAGAGTCGCCGGTCAAAACATACAATATCAGCCCAACATCACAATATGGGCCATTAAACCGTATTACCGAGTCTCCATCACCCACATCAAGCCCAACCTACGATAATTCAAGCAACAACATGCCTTCGCCATTAAGTTCCCAAAGCGATTGGACAAGTAGGATACCGGACAACTACTCCCCTCCTATGGGTTTCGTTCCTTCTCAGACGCTCTCACATTCAAACTCGAACCCAAACCTTACATATGCACCTTCATCACCGTCATCGCTGAGCAGCCCTGGAACGGCGTCATTGGGTCGTTCTGCATCAACAACTGGGTTCGGAATGTCACTGCAACCTCCTACAGTTGGGCCACCTCCCGCCTCATTCCAGCGAGCGCCCATTGATGCCTCCCGGGTGATTTGCTTAGGACCTTTACCAGATAATGTTCGCTTGCCCAACCAATGCCCTCAACAGCCCACGCAAGCTCCCCAGATACCTCAGCTATCGATACCTGGAGTCCTCCACCTCGATGGCGAGACGTTTTCTTACCCACCTATGCCTCCTATTCCAACCCACGAGGAGTGCTACCGTGCGTCCCGTCGCGTGTCCACGGCCGACACTCTGGGAAGCAATTATACCGTCGAGGAGGAGGCGCGTATGGCGGCAGCACGGGAAGCGGTAAATACCCTCGGCCGGATAGACGGAGCCGAACTGATTCACATACCTCAGCCAGCGTCGAAGCGATATAGCTGGGAGGAACCATAACCTTAAACCTAACGTACCATTCTTTTGATACCACTAAACCTGCACTCCAACATATGATATCCACGGGAGGCATTGTCGTTTTCTTAAGACGTTTATAATTATTCACATCGACCTTGCTCGACGCACATATTTCTTTTCTTTCCTTGTTTTCCTTCACGGAATTGTATATACGAACCAAATCAACCAACCTACCTACCTACCTACCAAACAGCAGCCGAGTTCGGCGGAGCGGAACCTTTTGTGTGTTTACTTAAAATTCCCCCCTAGCGGTATACATACCTCGACGACGAACAAGAGGCGTGAGCGAGCGCGTGTTTTATTACCCCCCAAAGCATTGGACTGGCGTTTGAGTCGGGCGGCTATTACTTATCAATCAAAGTTCCGAGCGCGCGATGTTTGTGCGTTTGGGACATGGCTTGTAGATACTAATTATGCCGTGGGACGAGACGAGATGAGACGAGATGAGATTGGATCGGATTGGACGGGTCGTTGGATACTTGATGTTGACACGTACGAAGAGACTATGGGTACGGTGATGTCAACGTTGGTGTAACGAAGGAGGTGGATTCATAGCAGGTAGATACCGAATTCCAAAGAGTAGAGAAAAATAGAGCTCGTTCTCAAATGAAAAACACTGTCTATCTGAACAGGTACATCTTTGATTCGTCCAAATTGTTTGCATCAAGCGCAACTGTCTTCACTGATCCCACCATTCTAGGTAAACTAGGTAGACAGATAGATTTGGTCTTAGCTGGCAACTGGGACTTGACACGAAGTACTTGCACCGTCATACACCGCATTGATCTTATAGTACAACTCACGCGTTGGACAAATGGCGGTACTGCAGTGTGGTAATATTGATAAAACTAGAGACAACGCAAATATAACTTATTAAGCTCGAAAGCATCGAGCAAGAAGGGAATAAACACAGTTCATCTCAAGAAAGTAATGTCTCATGAAAAACACGGCACTTCTTTGCTCGACTTCAGATAGCCTTTCCTTTGCCCTTGCCAAGCCCACTTCCTCCGAGCGAAGGGAACTCATCCTCCTGATCCATAAGAACAGCCATGCTCGACTTTCTACTCTCTTCCTCTGCTAGACTGAGCTGCAGTGCAAACTCCAGGTCATCGTCTATGACGGCTTTAGAACCAGTAGCTATAGCATTTGTCGATTCGACAGGCTTAACTATCGGGGTATGGCTCGACGACGCAGGAATTAACGGCCCCTTGCCTTTCTTATCCTTGATCACAAATGGGACATCACACTCTCCAGACCCACTAGCCCTCGGTGATCCTTCTGTATCATTCACGCCTTCCATGAGGGACAAACGGATCGCCGCTTGGATTTGACGTTCATAATCGCTTTCATCCGTCGTTTCATTACGGGTACTTGAACTAGCAGCCAGAGGACTTGGCCCAGTAACACTTGGGTCGGGAGTGAGGGTACTGCCAGAACTAGAGGTAGTATCGAAATCTGCAGCTGAGCCCGTATCACTGGCACTGGTCCGACGTTGCTCATCAAGGAGGAATGATTCCTGGGACACCATCTCAGCATAGCGTATAGCTTCCTCTTCTGTTAGTTCCCCGAGACCAACACCGAAGCGGGAACGAAGGCGAGCTTGCTCTCTCGCCTTGTGTTCTTGTTCGTTGCGGAGTTCTTCAGCCTCTGCGGCGATGTAGCCTGCGACACCACCGCCGTGACGTCGACCACTGATCCGACCGTGAATATCTGAGTGACGTTGTCGACGTTTACGGCCTGTCGCATGATTTGAGGAACTGTATGACCAATAACGTACGAAGGTCCCAAATGATACAATTCCATGAAGCAGGCCCGGATCAGGGTCCAAATAGATGGCCCCAGCAGCGGCGAAATTAGAATCACGTAATGCCGGGTTGACGGAAAGTAAATGTCGAGGCATACGACCCGGGGAGCGTGAATTGATGGTCCGAATCGGGTCTAAAGTAGACGCCAAAGGATCCCAGGCTTGGACGAGCCCATCACTACCACCATGAACAAGATAAAGAGCCGACAGAGCTAAGCACGAAATCTCAGGAGATTCTGTTTGAATGACCCTAGCCGGATGTATACCATCGCTAGCATGGGTTTCTCGCATATTCCACAAGACCACCTTCCCCTTATTCGTACCCACTCCGAACAATCTTGCTCGTCTGCCGGGGATATCTGATGGTGCTTGCCTTGTTGATGTTGCTGGACCACTCAAATCGATGTTGGCTACGCTTTTCAGGGGATCTTCAAAGGATGCAATCAAGGCAAGTAGTGACGTATCCACCCCAGTCGCAGTTATTTGCGAGTTGCCCAGCTCCTTCGAGTAAAAGAACGTCTCATACCAATCATCTTGACTTGGCTTTGCGGCACTAGTGATTATTGGCGGAGAAGATAGCTTACTTGAAGTCGATAAGGTCTGCTTTAGTAATGGCGAACTAGATGAGTTCGGTGACGAAGTTCTAGTGCTACTATCGCCAAATATAGAAGGAGTAGGGACAACCTCCACCGGAAGTTCTGATTCAGGAGTGGGCTGGGCACCAGGTCGAGTTCGGCTCATGGCACTTCGGGTAAGTCGTTTGATAGCTGAAGTTTGGTCTTCTTCTAGTCCGCAATCAATAACTAACACGCTTTCGCCAGCACCGTGTTCGTCGTCACTTGCAAAGTCCACTTCAAGTTTTCGGCGCATATCCCAACCGTAGCATACCTTGCGAAAGTGGGCTGGTTTATAGCGAAGAAACTTTTCTATCTCACGAGCTTCCGCTGCCATTTGATCTTTAGTCAAGCCCATGTCGTCTGAAGGAGAGCGTGGAGAATAGGCACCACGGAGTGCGTTCCTACCCGACTCATCTGGACGTGCCTGTCGTCGAGTTGCCTCTACTAGGTGCCAATATGTTGAGCGGCCTGTATGCCATGCTAGCTTAAGACTGTCGTCGGCCTTCGTCTTGCTGCTAGGTGCAATTGGAGGTTGAGTTAGGTAGTATACCTCTCCCAATGCATTTAATGCAACTGCGAACACTCGACCGAGAGATTTGCGCTTCTGGGTATAGCTATCGTCGATCTTGAGTGCTATGATAGGCACTCCGGGACTAAGCACCCAGCGAGCGCTTACCTCACCTGGAGCATACCGCGGTCCCGTGGGATCGTAACCGAGGGCAAATGCCGTCACAACACCCAACGAAGAGCCAGTCATTATTCCAATCAACGATTGGGTCGTGGAAGGAACAGACGATGTTTTAGCAATCCAAGCCGAGCAGACGCCTTCTGTCAGCTCCGGGATCTTCGGAATATCAGGGTGGGCTTCGACGAGTCCTGCATCCTGGCCAAGGTACTTACCCCTATATTCGCCTGTTGCACGATAGAAGACACGGCCGCCGGGAAACCCTTCTCCACCAAGAAGGCCATACGGCTGACTAACGTCCATGACGTTAGGAACAGCGGCAGAGCCTTCACCAACCCCATATGGCAGAAGCTGTGGTACCACATCATTCAGTTGGGCAAAACCGAAGTGGTCATCTATGCCCCATTTCTCAACCTTGCCACTGGTAGGGTCGCTAAGGGTACCGACACCCATGTCCGAAGCTCCGTGGATAACCCTAGGTGGCTTCTTCCCGCTAGGCTTAAATGTAGCATGGAGATGCGTTACCACTGATGGGAGTTTGGTGTTGTACGTCAAGACCGCGCTTGCCTTCTTGCCGGACTGGCTCGTCCTAGAGGAAGATCCTATGCCGCCCGAGCTTGTTCCGGGCTTGCCTCTGGCGAGACTACGGAGAAGTTGGGTTCTTCGAAGGTATTCGCTACGCCAAGAGGAATGGAGCGCTAGACGTGTAAAATAGCGAACTTCCGACCGTACAACGTCCGGATCTTCTTCACCCCATATTCCATTTTGATGTTTGCCAGTGGTGGCTAATGCGTCCCGTCCGGGGAAGAATCGCTGGAAAGCCATGCGCCATGCATGAGGGGTAGTGACCAAATCATAAAATCGCTTCGACACCAAGGAGACGGCCGCATGCGAATCTGGATGCAAGTGGGACAGGATATGCGTCAGAATCTCTACGATATAGTTAGAATCCCTTCTAATGAAGATTATACGTCAAAACGGTATCCATACCATTTGGCATGTCAGATAGCTGGACTCCGTCGGAGCGCGTGTCGGCGCGTTTAATAACCTTGAAGCCTAGGGCCTGTCTAGGTACTGCTGGTGTCAATGCATTTTCATATTCAGATATCCGCTGACCTGGAGTCTTGGATGTTGTCGCATGTGGCTCCTCATGGGCATCGTTCAATCGGCACAGTCGTTCTTGGAGGGAGTCCGGATTAACGCCTTCTTCGCCATCACCGATGGCGCTGTCGCCTCGCTCTGAGCGCGGTGACATGCCGTCGGACAGCTGTTGCAGTAGAGAACGGCGGGCTGAGCCACTAAAAGCATGGTGCTGAAGGCCATGTTGAACGGTATGTTGAGATTGAGGGGCGCTGTTTGGTAGAATATGTTTTGAGACCTCCAAAAGCTCTTGTTGCATAAAGTAGTGTAGGAGAAACGAGGGTAGAATGCGCTTTTGACTGTGCGATAGACGATAGCACAGTCAATAATCAATAATGATTAATAATTTGGATAAAAAGAGAGAGCGGGTCACGTTATTTGGCGATGCTTTCTTTCAATGTTCGTTGTGAGATTGAGGAGAAAAAGATGAAGTTGACGATTACTCGCGTCGTTGCCCGTAATCTCGTAATCTCGCTACCATAGGAGAATTTACCTAGGTACTTACTAATAAGGTTGTAGTTGCTAACTTACAATAGTTAGCCCCAATAATTTACCAGTAAATGGACTACTAATGGTGGGAGGACAATTGCGCTCTAGCTTTTGGAGATTCTAATAATAAACGGAAAGTCCTAGTTGAAGCTATCTAGGTACATATATAAAGAATTAGTAGAAGTAATACGTCACTCCTAGGTTGAAGAGGATATATTTGTTTGACAATAGAAGGAGCTAGCGGCTATGTTCACTTTGATATTCACCCAGTACCCACGTACTCAGACACTTCGAAAAACAAGGCAGTCAAGTTATGCAATAGATGATACAAGACATACTCGATTGATCCACGTTCTAAGTCTTGCGGTCCGGCAAGAGCTTCCACTCTCAAGAGTCAAAGCCCAATCCCTCGCACAGGTGCATCTTGAAGATGGGGCAGCCCACCTCTTCAAAGTAGGACCAGAGAGGTTCTCCAGAAACCAATGTCCTGATCACAAGGCTAAAGTGGAGGCCATCATGAGACCATCATGACTAACAATCGACGGCCACTTTAGGGAATAGACGACCAAACTCTAAATGTCTAACAGAACAGTACGGATGACAGTAGGTGCAACGGATTCTGTATTACCTTAGTACCTCCCCTGGAAAGGCTGGTTGACATAAGTGCTTATTTCGGCCCGAGGATCTTCAACATGTTTACAAGTCAATATAAATACCTACCTGGTAGGAGAGGAATGACCAACTACCGGTGTTAGTCTAACACAGCACACAGCAGTGTATGTAGCTAGGTGACAATGAACATCCAGGAGAAATAGTAACCACATCAAAACGTTTAAAATAAAATAAAAATCAATTAATACAATATAGAAATGTAAAAAGAGATGTCCTATTCTGCCTATAGCGAAAGCCTCGACATAAATAAGCATCCATATTAAAGGATCTCACCCACCAAGCCCCCCTCAATGTCTCAGAGTAAATTACCACTAGCCTGCCTACCCCTGAGACAAGATTATGCAGAAACCCTCTGCCAGTTGATCGTTCAAGAGAACATTTTTAATTTGTCTTTTTTTCGTCTATTCATGGTATATATCAGAACCATTAAACACAATGGGCTCTAGAGGACCGCTGCCGATTGGACACGACTATCTCTTTCTTCACAACGTTGTTGACGGTTTTTTCCCCATTCAACACCAGATTTCCGAACCAGACGTTCATATTCGGGACAGGCGTGACAGTCATAAATGTACAAGTATCCGCGGTCAGTCATTTTCCCCGCCGGGTCCTCTAGAGTCCATTTTTCGACACATTCCGATTCTTCCCTTCAGCCGCTACTCCAACCCGGCACACAAGAACACCTTTGCCTCTTCTCCAAACCCCCAATTCTCAATTATAAAACGCAAACGCATTAGATTAAAGTACCTGGTCATCAGATCCAGGCCAGCAAAAGGTGGGCTTAAATCTTTGTAGATGCCGAGGATTCGTAACTATTTTTTTCCGGTGGTAGACTCAAATATCCCATTGACAAACCAACCGTCTTAGAAAGTAAATCACAAGAATACCCGAGTGAATGCTCACGAAGGGTCGCAATTCCTTAGGCAGGCCGCCCACAGTGGCTTCTGTTCAAAAACAGGCAACGCCTTCTGGATGGGTATCGAACTATAACTAAAATGAAACGGGTGTGACGTGCAGGTCGTATACGTTCGCTCAGTTCCAGCCAAGAGAGTTCTCAGCTGCGACTGGCGCCGAAATGTTGGCGGTACGTGCCGAGCTGTTCATCCCACTCCTCCCACTTCCTTGACTATCGCGGGTGTTTCCTACAACCCCACCGTACCCAGGATTGCTAGTGAAGTCCCGACTCAGCAACGCACCACCCATTAGAGCCGGACTTCCGGCCTGTCGCATCTCAGAAGGTGAGTTGATAGAGCTAGTTCTCTGGTGTCTCTGCTTCTTGCGCTTGTAGCGACGGGCAATGATAAACATGGCAGCGCCGTAAGCACCAGCAACGCTAGCCGCGCCCACAGCAATACCAGCTGTTACGCCCTGCTGAGCACTAGTTGTCTGCTCACCCGGACCCTGAGTATCGAATGGGTCGTTGTTGGCAGAACCAGTGTCCGCTGGGTCTGATCCGCTACCTCCAGTAGAACCAGTAGCACCATCCAACGTAGAACCAGGCATAATACCGATAGCAGGGTTAATCTGACTGGTCAAATTGCGCACCAGCGAGTTAGGGTTGTTGTACAGGGCAGTCGTGGGGTACCCGATGTCTTGGCTAAGTTTGGAAACTCCATCTGTGGGATACCAGACCATGGCTTGAGAGGTAATGTAGCCCAAGCGAGAGATGGTATCGTAGGGTTTAATGCTGTACATCACAACCCTGCTAGTGTCGTAGCCACCGCCGTACGCAAGTCCCTGAGGAAGAAGATCGAACATCTGAGAAGCAGCTAGAGGCTCATCTACGAGATGCTGATAGTTCTCGCCGAAGAGGAACGAAATTTGGATGAGTGTCGTATCCTTGGGTTGATCTGGCGGTGCCACCCACGGGGTAATTGCCTTTGGCAGACTCGTCGGAATTCCAGTCGCCGTAGGTTGTCCGCCGGTGCTAAAGGTGCTAGTAGAGGGCTGGACAATGATCGTAGTCGGGAGCCAAGATTGGGAGTCCGTAATCGTACCAATTACAGGAATACTCGTAAAAGCGGGCGCCGATGTAGACGAAGATGTGGTTATAGCAGGAGCACTCGTTGAGTAAACGGTTGACGACGCAGTGCTAGTGGGTTGAACAGTCGTGCGCTCAGGAGTAGAGGTCACAGGAGTGGTAGTGTTGAGGGGAACCGTCACTACGCTTGAGGACTGTGTAATAGGGACTTCTGTTGTCGAGGAGGTAGTGTTAAGTGGGACAGTTGGCGCAACAGTCGGAGTAGAGGTAACCTCAGCTGATGACGTAGTATTGACAGGAATCGGAATCACGGTAGGCGTCGACAAGGGCAAACTGAGACTGAGGGACTCCGTAGGCAGAATCGTAGGCAGCCCAGTCGAGTCCGTGGTATTAGCGATTGACGTCGGGACTACAGTCGACGATGAACCAGTGCCGAGGAGAGGTGGTAGCGACAGGATAGGCGTTTCAGAGCTCGAGGTAGACGAAGCAGTCGGGGCAGTGCCGGGGAACGTGGTGGTCGGGAAAAGGCTCAGACTTGAGGGCAAGAGAGACAGGCTTGAAGGCAACAGAGACAGAGACGGCAACAATCCACCGTCGGAGCTCGTACTAGTTCCACTGGAGGCATCGGTGCCCGACTCCGTGCTCGATTCTGTCGCATTGGCCGAGACCGATGAAGAGGCTGTCGGAAGAACAGCGCTCGTAACACCTCCCACTGCACTCGTAACTCCACCAACCGCACTAGTAACTCCTCCAACCAGACTGGTCACACCACCGAGTAATCCACCGCTGGAGCTGGTCGAGCTTTGGGTTACGACACCCGTAGGGGCAATTAGAATACCTGAAGACGAAGAAGGTACTGTCGCGGAGGGTACGACCGCAGAGTCGCTTGCGGAATCAGTAACAGTGCCATTGGTAGCCTCACCCGTTGTCGAAACCTCAGCAGCAGTCCCCGTAGTAGTTCCAGTCGCGGAGGCAGTCTGATTGGTCGAGACAGATGCCGTCTCTGCATCGGAACTAGGTAATAGCGACGGGATACCCAAGCTGAGCGATGGCAAGGAGATTAGCGGAGGCACTCCTCCTGTAGACCCAACGCTGCCAGATGAGGCAGAGGTGTCAGAGGTCAGGGTCGTTGCCGTCACTTGAGACTCGGATTCGGACCCGCTCGTTGGAGTTGCGACGGTCGAGGAGCTTGCGCTGGGAGCGTCTGACGGAGTAGTTGCCGCCGACGATTCGCTAGGATCGACCCCCGAAAGAAGGCTTGACAAGAGATCGGAAATTGAGTCCTTCTTAGTCTCGGAATGAGTTGTGGAATCCGGCACATCGCTTTGGGTATTCCGCGATGCCGAACTCGTAATTGTGTGATTAGTATACTGCCTCTTTACGTGTCGTGGAAAATATATCTTCGGTCTATTTTCAGGCTCTGCGGTAGCCAATGACGCGGCGGCCACTAGGGCGGCAACGAACAGTGAACCAGAATGCATGATGACTCAAATTAAATCTCAATTCGTATCGGGTAAGTCAATCGCTAGATGGCTGTTGCAACGGCTAGGTTCGAGTATCGACTGCAGCGTATAATCGTGGCTAACGGGGGAGGTTAATCTCACCGGCGGGCGAGGAAGCTCTGACCTGGCCACTTACTATGTCAGGGCAATTTAGAACGAATGTACTTGACAATGTATGTCAACGAGTGGATGCTAGAAAGGAAAAAACAAGGTCAGTGTCTTCTTCGATCACGTCTGTGGTGGCATCAACAACGCATTAACGATCCACGGTAGATCCTCAGTTGCCTGAACAAACTCCGCTTCCCTCGCTCCACGTCCCATAGGCGACCAATTCTCGGCGTACACTCGAAGTCTCAACTCACCTTGTTTAACAAGCAAAATATTTGGGTTATGCGATGATAATCTTTTCAAAAGAGTGGCGCGACGAATAAATCGTCAGCTTAAATCAATAATAATATAACGTTATGTTGTATGGCGTTCACGACGTATCGCACGGGCGATTTCTCTTAGCGATGCATTGGTCTCGACACGCTTAAACCGTCGACTAACGAGCAGTCGTCAATTTCAGGAGGGTCACGACTCCAGTGTCGATGGATGGCCGGCGCGCCGAAGGGGGAAATATTGTCGTCGAAAGGTAAGCCTTACGAGGTCGGCGAAGGGGAAAAGAGAGCGAAGGACGGGAAGAGGGACGGGAGGGTAAGGCGGAGGGCGAAAAGGCAAGCAGGTCGAAGGGGGTAAATGAGAAACAGCGAGAGGAAACGTGAGAGGGAAAGTGTGAAAGAGAGAGTCGGGACCCAGAGTGCCAAGGCACTAAAACCCAGGGGTGCCTTCGTTATTGATCAGTCTGTTCATTGATCAGGGGAGACGAACAAGGGGTCTAGGGAAGGGGGTGGGGTGCGATGGCTAATTATGTGAGACTATCCCTAAAACAAACTAGCGTCAGTGGGGACCAATATCGCGCTCTCTCATCTAGGAAATAGTGCCAGGGCCGACTTTTTCTCAAGGTGCCTTTTAAACCGTTTAAACGCCTACTCTTCTAGCTCGAGGCGCTAATAGCATCAAACGCATTGTTGCTATGATTTCATTTTTACTATTATTTCGTGGTATGAAAGGGACGAATATCAAAAAGGGAGGCCAGAAAAGGGAGCGATGAATGGAATGTTCAAAGGATAATTGATAAATCGATCTAGACACACAAACAACTATCTTGCTCACTTGGTCATTTCCCCTTTTTTTATCTTCTTTTCTTTAGGATTCGTCCCATCTTTTTTAGTGTTGTGCTGTGCAACTGATACGATGGTATTCTAATAATTCATATTTAATTCTTCTTATTGTTCTCGCTGTGCAAGTCCCGGCTTCCAAATACGGTTTAGTCGCCAGCAACGTCAAATACTACTAGATGCAATATTAATATCGAGGCTACGACGACGTCCGTACCAACGTGCAGACGGACGGGCTGGATGAAGTGCGACTCGCTGCAAGTGCACTACAACACCTACTGTAGAGATTCCCGTGCTTGCTGCGGCATAATGCAAGTTGATATTTCCAACCTCGATACTGGCCTGATTGATGGGAGGGGTGGCTTGGACCTTACAACGGGCACGACGGGCGCCTATGATGAAGTACCCCAGGTCCCATCTAAAGATACTTGGAAAGTGGCGCTATCGGCCCGCAAAGTGGGAAGTGTCCAGTGCAAGGACAACAAAGTCAACCGAGATATCGACGCGTAATAAGATCAAGTTCTTGATGGCGTCCACCCCCGGCATATTAACTGGCTTCTTATTGGTTCGGTTGACCTAGAAATAGCGGCCCAGATCCCATCCAATTGGCTCTCAAAGGTGCTGCGCCCTATTGCTACCTCAGGCCAATTTGCTAATTTCCCTGAGCTTCGCGGGCTGGACTGATGCGCCATTGCACCATTGCACCATTTCGGTGGATGTTGAACTCCCTCATTGCATGTTCGGCGGGTGTTTCGCATCTCCACGTTTATTGTGGTATAATCGGAGCGAGCAAACGACGCCGGCAGCTTGGCCGATTGAGATCTGCTTGTCCGTCGCGAATTTCAATGCAGCTGGTTTCGAAACGGGAAGAGAAGCGAAATCATACTCCGGCAACTGGAGGATCGCGTTGTAGTAAGTCGCCGAATGAACCGTTTCATCGGGTCGAAACATGATAGCAAAGAATCACATCTCAGGTCTGCATCGCTTGACCTGACTGCCGGCGTCTTCCTCTTGGTGTCCTGTCACTTCTACATACATCCATTAGTATCACAATGGTACCTACATACATAATAGTACAAAGTCAATTGAATCCACTAGTGCGGTGTCTACTATGTATACCCGCGGCCCGTCAAACTCTGAATTGAGTTGAGTTTAGGTGATCCGAGCCTTAACCATAATCATTAACCATAAATAAAGATTTAAGATTGAGCTGAACAGCGCGATACCGAATTGTTGGTCTTTAGGGCTGTCTGAACTGTCAAAAGCAAAAGGGTCAAACCTTCTGGAAAGTCAATTGTTTCGGAAGGAGACGCACACGCGGCATTTCTCTTTCACTTTACCACCTCATCCCAGCATGTCTCCTAGCCATCCGTTACTAACACCCTCTCACCCCTGTATCATCGAGCTACTCTGGCTGCTTCAAATCGGAGCCCCGGTCAGATTCATATCTCCCCTCCAGCCGAAACGGGACAAGATATGCAAATCGCAATAAGGAATCATAGCTTGACTTTATGCAGGCAATAGGGCCTAAGCAGCAGATCACAAAGCTAGCCAGGGCTAAGCATACATACGCCCGTCGGCATCTCATCTTTTTCGAGGTGTCGGTATCAGGTAGGTCAGGCAGGTCAGGTAGATCAGATGGGTATTCATCCTACCCAAAAATCCCATGTTTCTACAATGAGGGTTGTCGTCAGGACTACGGTACAGTAACCACCTACCTAACCCATCAGTATCCATGCTTAGGTTTCGACCCGTACCTAGCGGTCGAGAGGTCGAACACGAGAAACATCAGTTTTTAGTTTCGTCTCGAACATCGGTGAACGGCGCGGACAGTGGACCTCCAAATCTTGGCCGTGCAGACCGTGAATGGCGCGAATCTTGGAAACACGTTCGCGCAAATTGTGGATAAATCGGATCTTTTATGATTCGACCACTAAACAAGCGATGGCGTATATTGGTACGATACTCCAGTACTCCAATATTTAATAAAATGAAGGGAGGCAGAGAGAGGAGAGGCGCCCACAGTCTAGATTCTTCGCAATACAAAAACTCCGCCAGTCTTGTTTATTGGATCATGATCAAGATGCGGAGTGATATTAAGCTGATAATTTGGTAGGCAGGCAAATCTGCAATGCAAGAGCCGGACCAAATGTGGAAGCTCAATTGTCTTTCGCCAGCTATTCGCGTGGCTTACGGGGCACTCGGGCATGCCTTTTTGTCTACGCCCGGCCGTGCGGTATTCCGGCTCAAAGGTTGTGTACCTGCATCTCGCGCGCGCGCCACGCAGTTCGAATTCTCGTGGCTCGATCCCCCAAAAGAAAGTCTGCTCGTTCGTGGGATTTTGCCGGGGGGCTGCACGTTCCTGACTATCGAAAGCCATCGCGGAAGATCTTACCGGCAGCTTACCCGCGCAGCTTTCTTTACTCATCCTTTCTTCCTACCATAGCTCTTTGCGGCGATCTTTCCGCCTAGCCCAGGAACAGAGTTCTGAGCTTCTACGAGATCTTCGTAGCTTTTGTAGAAGGATCGACAAGATGCGATGCGATGCGCTGCGCTACAATACGAAGATGTCTCCCTTTTTTTTCGCCGAGGCGTTTCGTTTCCCGAATTGTGCAGGTCACGATAACTCGGCTTCGTCGTCTCACCTTGTTTCGGTACAAAGTCGCCGTAGTAAGACGAGCATATTCGCATTCCACCATTTACCTACTTGTGCTTGCAGATAGCTGATGTAAGGAGGGTCGGCATTCCTACCGCGCCCTTTGCAGCTCCCTTACGCAATCACCACGTTACTTGCAAGCTGCTAGAATTTATGTACAGCTGTGTTTATGGTGGGTAGTAAGATGAGAAGCGTGGTCTCCTACTGCAGTAGTTCGCTGCACCTGTTACATTAGTACGCCTCTTGTTCCTGACTAAACCGAATCGCAATCTTACGCTTACATGGTCGTGGGAATTGGCGTGTGCTAAGCAAGCCGCGATCGCATATCTATTGAACACATGGTCGGGATGTCAAAGCCCGAAATGTGAATAAGTCACCGGCATCTAAGAACAAACTGAATCACAGATGCTAGCGTGATATTTTGTTAGTTCTCTCTATCGTATCTTCCCTTTCATTTCCGTGTTCCGAATCCATCTCATCTCTGTGAGCGGTGCCCCGATCTGACAGAAAAAGGTTCGGAAATGAATGTATTCCTACAGGGGGATCTATGGTCATTACTACTTCATACACGAGCACATACCTACCTACCTAGATGGTCAATCGAAACTTCAACCCGACAATCAGCACCTTGCTCCTCCGAGGGAGCATTGTCACAGCATAGCCCCCAAGGAACATCAGTACCTTTCTAATAGCTTGGGGGCCAATACTGCTACGGGTTTGTTTAGCAAGTCTCCAGCCATATTGTGGGTGGGCAAGTGTGGCGTGCGCCAGCCTGGCTTACTTGCCTGGGTAGGTAAAACTTGGCCTACACCATCCAACCTACTAGGCCATATTTACATGCTACAATCTAATACGAGGATTGGTTCACCTGAAGCAAGTAGCTGTGGGCTTGTTTCCTATTTACATTTCTAAAGTGCTGAAGTGGGATGAATTAGCTCGGCCTCCCTCCCCTTAAATCACCATACGTACGTCGTCAATCATGACTGAAAAAAAGTGAAAATGAGCTCAATTCCTTGATCAGATCGAACAGGTTCCTAGGTAAATAATTAGAGACTAGGTGTTCTATACCAGGTAGTAAATAGTGTCTTTGTATATCCATGAACTCGGTTCAGCGAACGTACATCACCCTAATGGTCGCCTATGCAAATATACCTTCAATTTGGTACTACACACTCTCTGCACTTATATCTCTTCATTTAATCCATAAGTATGACTATTTAAACCCTTGATCTAGACACAAAATCTATATGGCGCTGTTTGGTAACATCACGTGCTCACGTCTATGGTAGGATGAGCTTTCTTGCATCATTGGGTAAGTCATACTCTCTACGAAGCCGTCCAGAGCCCTTTTGACGATTTTAGTATATTGAAATCGATTTAGATGAAACTCACTACATGAAGTTCTCTTTGTATTCACAATATCTTTCAATAAAGCCATAGAAGTTCGTATGAAACATGCCTTGTGAGCCGGTTTGCTGCACATTATCTTTCGTATTAGAAGAGCCGGGTTATGAGTTGCTTGCCTAATATTTCAAGGCTAGTATGGGCAAAGCTAGACGTGAGTATTCATGGCTGTATATCATATGAGACTTCATTTTCATCCTTGGTGGATAATACAGCACCAGCATCAACCGGCACTAACAACGTGAGCAACCTTATGATTAAATATAACCACTAGATACACTAGCCTGCAGTTTAATATACAGATGGATTATTCCTATAAATCCTTCTATTTCCTCATATTGTGTTGAGATCCATAGTAACACATAGTAGCCAGTCTTTTGCTAAGAGTCGTTGATGTCATAGTCAAAACCAGTAGTATAATTATATTATTCTGTCATAAGTGACTTATATTGTCCACAGGTTGCACCTAAGGCATATGTTTTGTAAACTCTTTCTATCTAGGAAGACGTATGTATAGGCGGGGAGGAATAGCGGCGTATCCAGGATGAGATATATTAATAAGGAGAAGCACAGAATGGCTTGTTCAAGTGGCGATGTTGCGACGGGACGCCGCCCCTAACGCTATTAGTATAGTGATTTCCTCCTTCTACGCGAATTATTACTCAACTAGATCTCCTAACTTGAGATACAAATTCTATGTCCTTCGATGAGTATATTACTGCATCACAGTTGTAGACGTGTCGACTCGTAGTTGAAGTCCTGCACCCGAAAGGCGAAAATAGTTAAATAAGGAAGTAATTCTCGATTAGATCTACATGCCCTGTCGTAATTGATTTCTAGATCTCTACCCCTCATAGCCAACTAGAATGCGTGGTATTCGTTTTAGATCACTGGTTAAGGTAATGTGGAATTGTTTTCGACGGCAAGGGCGTCTATAGTTGTCATCAACTCGTCACAGGACATAACGATCTCCGCATATCGTTGTCCAAGTAGATTTTTCTTTGAGGGAAAATAGTTTAGCATCTTAAGAAATGATACTGTCGTCCTCTCCTACGTAATTGTCCAAGTCCGTCAACATGCCGCGCGACTTCATTGTTATTGAAGTGGCGTGACATACATATACGGTAAATTCTAAACTGCATCCACCAATATTCTCAATGCAACGACGCCTGTGGAGGTTGCAATTAGGCCAGGCACCACCGTTCAAGCAATAGAAGTGGATGTTGACCTGTAAAGCCCCGTCATAATGACGACTCCGCTTAGGCATGACCATAGAGTTGGGCGGTCGTTGGCCTCCTGCCAACACCAGACCCGTAGACTCGCGCTTGCCGCCTGAAGAACCCGAAGATTTGTTGTACTATGACCTAGAAGGAATATTGCCGTAGTCGAACTCGGGTACCCCGTAACTAGTGTACTAGGTCCTCATGTACATAGGGGTGAGCGGGATTCGTAGTCGACATTCTCTCGGAATGGCGTCACTTGAGACTGGGATCGAATCTTTATGACGTGTCGTGTGCTGCACTTTCAAGCGCCGCCGGCTGTGAAGGGACCTCTCCAGGTAGGTTTGATAGGGTATAGGCGGGGCCGGTTTCCGGATGAAGTCGAGGGCTTATCGGCGTCCCGAGAGACATACCGTAGATAGACCGGGGTGGATTCGTACGATTTCTGAGTTGCCCAATGGCAAAGCTAGTCGTGGCTGTATATTCATTCTTTAATACGGCTGCAGCACTTGACTGGGGAAGGAAGTGCTGAAGTGCGAGGCTCAAGTCAAGATCTATCTCAGCAATGCGGCGTGCTACCTGTCACGATACACAGGTGAGTCACTTATTCTCGTCGGTTAGGTCGCTTGGAGGCCGAGCTCCTTCGAGAACCGTCCCTGGCGCGATTTGGGAACTCCGTCTGCCGCTCTGGCCAATCATCATCGGAATCGGATTTGTTGTCGGTTGTCCTCTTAGCTCATTTCCCAGGTTATACGTATATCGACAAAGAAGTGTTTCAAGAATAGCACAAGAAATCTCATATTCAAGCAATGACATCATTCGTCAGCGGATCTTCCAGTATCCCCTTGGACCCCTAGAATGCGGCTGCATCCGAAAATAACCACACCCTAGTCCAAATCCAAGCCCTCGCACTCCGTGGGGGGTTGGTGAAAAATCCGGGGCGCCGGCAAGGGCTACGATCTCGGATCCGTCTTTATCTCCTATACCCCTCCTACGTGAGGAGCATTGTCTTACATGCTTTTACAGCCGAGACCTACAGGCGGTGACGGCGGAAGGCTAGAGCCGTCATCCCCGGCCTTGTCTAAGATTTCGCCTAGCTGCATGGACTCGATCGAGACGGTCTACTCGGTGCAGTTACCCTGATATCTCCTGATATTTTTCCGTGGAAAGACCTCCACGTCGTCCGAACAAACACAATCCTAACGGCTTAATGCATACGGAGCAGGGATGGGCCGCGCAATATTAAGAAGGAATGTCGGGATATGGGAGGTTAGGTATGTTGCTGTGAAGGGTGATTACTCTTATTCTATGCACCTGCTATCCAATGAGTCCGTTGGGCAACATTCGGCGCATGGGCTGAAGGAGAGAAGGTGAGATTGGTGATGTCAGAGACGCTTCGTCAAGCCATGTGGCATTGGTCGCGTCCTTTCCAAGTGACGTAACTGCCCTGAGGACCCTTTAGACGATCATTGCAAGTGGCGTCCGCCTACCGTGCAGCGCCGGTCTTGTGATAGGTGGTCGCGTCGGTTTCTCACGGCGACGTTCGACTCTCCTCGTCCCTTCTTTTTGTCCTCTTAACCGTTGGTCCGTAAGTTGCGGGATGGTAACACAAAGTAACTGGCAGACAAATTGATATGTGACAGATGCTATATCCCTTGCATGTATCGCCTCACCTTATTCGCTGCCCCAGCCATGGGCCCTTGATCGGCAACTGATATCATATCAGAGGACAGACGGGACGATTTCCGCTGCGGAGACTGGTCCCAGCGCCCTGGAGGCGAGCTGAGCTGGTTCTATGCGTGAAATTGATATATATGCCTCAGTTAGAGGTAAAATACCTTGGCGAGATGGGCAGGTGGGAAAGATGAATAGATGGATGGGGGGGGGATGGGAGGGAAGAATGCGGTTGCGTATGTAGTTGCGACTGCTGCTGTCACCTTGTAAGACGTTTGCGTCAGTCATGTGTATGGGAAATGCAGGACCCTTTCGGGGTATTCATTCGCAGGGAGCGTGCCCCCCGCGTAGATCTTGGTTGCCCTCCTTGCGGGCTAGAATAGATCCCATGCCATATTGTACATGCCACATGGGCAAGATGTCCAATCATGGTTAAAGATATCGCAAACATATCCGAAAGCGTGCTTAGAAACGCCATGACGGCTAGGGTGCACCTGCAGATCGAACCGCCTTCCCATGGCTTGGTATGGGTTAGAACGGGTGAACCGGGAGCTGAAGACTGACGTCTTGTTGCATTCGCGTGAGCGCAGTGAGACGAAAGGGACCCTCGAAGGACCCTCCCATCCCCATTCCCTAGCCTTGATTTCCCGAAGGAAGATGCCTAGATAGATTAGCTCGAGGTCCCTTTATCTTGATGGCAGGTAGTAGGCCGAATCCGCGTTGCAGTCGGTGATGCATATGCCAGATGGTGGAGGTGGAGAGCGAGCGAGTGCCAACACTCGAGCTTCAGCTTTTCTGGAAGAGGGCAAAGCGGCTGTGGGAGCGGAGAGTGACACAAGAGGCTGCAGACGAAGTTATCAGCTGACCCAGCACGAGCCAAATCATGGCATTACACATTACACGACAAGTTACTGTCCGACTTCAACCTGTCAACCTGCGGGAAAGGAGGCGTATAGGCGTATAGGCATATCGGCATATCGGCATATCGGCGCATCAGCGTATCGCAACGTCAGAGCTCTCAAGCGAAGCATGGAACAATGCAACTCCCACACCCGGTATAGTCCCCACCTGGGCTCACCGAGATTTCAGACTTCTTGCAAGTTTCGCAAGCGTGCCATCTCTACATACGCCTCTACAGTAAACATGTTAGGAAGTACGTGTCGCATACTGTGGGGGTTGGCAGCCCGGTCGTAAAAGCTGCAGCACTGCTAGATTCGGTCATCGGACGAGACGGTTCTGGAATATTATAACTGTTAAGTTACAACAATAACCTGTTATAGGCATGTTAGGTATGTATAACATATGCAGGGTGGCAGTGTGGCAGAGTGGAAGCATAGAGAAGAATCTGGCTTAAATGGCAGAGTCGAAAAGAAGGTGGGAGGAGATGCAAGCAGATGCAAGGATCTATCATAAGCGATCGGCCCAACCAACCCCACGGATAGCCCCGCACTGAACCCCAAGATCTTCAAACGCTCTTTCCTTGTCCTGCTCGTCTACCTATTTTAGGTGTTGTTCTTTTTTTTTGGTGGTTGTGGTTGTGTTGTTTAGTACGGTAGTAGGCAACCGAGGCAGCAACGCAGTTGCTCTGGTGGGTTCGTTCTCGAGATCGGCCCACCGCCTTCCTGCACTTGCCGATTTTCTAAGGTGCGCCTGGCTTTCCGTTTTGTTGACGAAGAAATAGCGTACAAATTATACAGGTGGATCATAAGATACGCGCGCTATACCCTGCTAGCATCGCTATAACCCCGCATGTTCATAGGTATAGGAATTGTACTTAGGTTGGGTAGTAACGAGATTAGGATGTTCCCGGCAAGCAAACCAATAGCAAGTTAGAAACATATTCAGATATAGGATAATTCCTATCCTGCGTATCAAAAAGATTGGGTTTGCTACCAGCTAGTTACAGTAGTTATTTGTAAAAAGACGCATAGATTTTGAGACTCAGATATATGATTAGTATGTACTATGTAGGGTTGGAAACATCGCCCACTTAGATCCACATCCACATCCACATCTACCCACATGTAGGCAGGTATCCGATCTAACCAGTGAGCATTTCTGATTTGATGTGCCAGTGTGCCTAGAATACCTAGACAGATTTAGAGCTTGCTAGCTCGTTTAGTCGGCCTAGTGTAAAGAGTCAAGACGGAAAGTGCTTCGTCATGTTAATTGACGTAAGGTTCCATTATCCATTCTACATAATACATCCATACATGCCTAGCACTCTTAATGTGTGCCGTATGTACATTTCGCGTGCGTATGTACATGCTCGACTATTTGACTTTCTACCTACTTACATGTACACACTAGGTAGGGAGGTACCTAGGGCAGGTAAGGTATTCCAAGGTTGGAGGTTCTTCTATCGTGTGTTCCTCCAGGGCTCGGAAGGAATTCGTCAGAATTGGACAAACTCAACTTTCTCGAAACCTTATTCGTCCGTGCATTCGGGTGTTCCTGCCTGTCATACGGGTTGTAGATCGGGTACCTGGCAACTGGCAAGGCAACCTACACGTTACCAGCATCGTACGCAATACACACCAATACACCCAATACACCAACATGCCCCCCATACGCACCTCCAGCTACCTACTATTTCCAGCTTAGAACATTCGAAGTTAAAGACTTCAGTGTCAGGAAGACCTTTCCGGGGAGGGTACAGGGTGACAATGTGATACACTAGCTCAAGTATACATATGTACCTTAGATCACAGGGTACATATATTTGCGCCTTATTAATGTATCTGATGGGCCCTATTACGTGCTTCATCCTAGAAAATTCAGCGCTCAAGCGATATTCGTTTCCGTTTCGATGTTCCCCTTTTTGACTATTTAAGGTTGACTGATCCTCACCTGTTTCCCTCCGAGCCTTCCAGTCTGACGTAGTCTACTTAAGCTGACTTTTAGCGATCTACTCTATCCTCAGGTAAGTTCGGCCTTGCCTTCCAATCTCTCTTCATCCTTGAGCCGCTTAGGTACCCGTTCGTATATCTCCGCAGAAATAAAAGACGCTAAAACATCCCACCACAGCTTCGTCAACTCTTTAACAAATTTCTCAACTGAGAAAAGAATAACCTGAAATCTTTTGTACCTTTTCAGAAAAAAAGAGCACAACTTCCCTCGACATCACACACAGGCCATCAGCATGGGTTTTACGAAGACCATTATCCAGGAAGGCACTGGAGATAAGCCTATTGCCGGCCAGACCGTTACTATCGAGTACACCGGCTGGCTGAAGGACACCTCTAAGCCTAACAACAAGGGCGCCAAGTGAGTTTACAAACACCTTGCTACCCGAGAGAGATCCAGGCAATTACTCGGGATTTACGCCCAGAATACCTAGAAGTTTATTACGGTTAGCTAACCAGTATAAAAAAGGTTCGACTCTTCTGTTGGCCGAGGTGACTTCGTCACGCAGATCGGAGTTGGTCAAGTTATCAAGGGTATTTTCCCTAACTCCCTAGAACCGATTATGTGCTAGGAACTGACTATGTACTCAATCATATTAGGTTGGGATGAGGGTGTTCTCACCATGAATGTTGGCGAGAAAGCCACCCTCGACATTAGCAGGTATGATATTACCAACTACCAGCACTAAAAATTGACATTTAGACTAACTTATACTTAATTATAGCGAATTCGGCTATGGAGCTCGGTAGGTTCCATCCATTACTTTGCATCGTAAAATATTTTGAATATCCACCCGTCCGATTCCCCGTCCGGGAACTCCAACGGCAATACTCTTAGAAACGCTCAGCTGACGAATTATTCAGGGGCTTCACTGGCCACATTCCTCCCAACTCTGACCTCATCTTGTAAGTGCTATCCCTTGAAAAAGATATCAACTGCTATCCGAACTATAGAATTGACACTGATTTCTACCTTGTAGCGACGTTCATCTAAAGAAGGTTGAGTAAATACTACTAGGGTACATAGTAACCTCTTGACGGGATGGAGTTTTCGGTCCATATAATCTGGCAACGGACACAGGACAGGAGGTTCTCTCAGTTCGGGCATGCCTAATTTTTTAGGCTGCATGCGGCATGGGTTAGGGCGGCTTCTGTGTGAGAGGCAGGATTAAGACAATAAAGACTATCGTTGATCACTGAAATTTTCTATTCGCCTGTTGCTCTTAGAGACCTGCGTGACATCGTGCCAGTTGTCTGGGACTTGCAGCTGGACCAAGTGCTTTTACCACCTATCTACCTATCTATTACATGCAAGCTGCATCGCACCGATGATCCTCTTCCCTTACAAACTCTTCCGCCGAAATTGGTACTAGCCCAAATCGAGGTTACCTGCCGAATCTCGGTCTCACGGCAGACGGCGGCTACGATAAAAATGCGAGTTTTGTGGCCGAATCTATGTCTTGTGCGATTAAGACACGATTAAACGACCCTCTTTTATATCTGATCTCGGTACCGATAGCTGAGTTCATACCCAACTTCCCGTACCCTACATCCCGAGCGTTCGATGTGTTTCACACGTCGAATTCTAGCGTGTCCGGGATCTAGTATCGCAAGTGAATGATTAGGTGCCCATGTAAAGATGCAGACGCAGTTACCGTATACAAGTCGATACAAGTCGGGTTTCGCTTAGATGTAGGTATTTCGCCGCGGTCGTCAGTAACACATGATCTAAGACAACTTTGTCTACAAATCTGCCTACGACGATGCGATCGCCCGACGTTGGCGGCCGCCATTGTAACACTACGGACGCTTCCAGCCGCTTCTATCTCACATCGAACAGATCTAGGAAAGTTTAGGCTTTATTATTGTGATCGTTGTGCGGCTAACGTGTGAAAGAAGACGAAGAAGGAAAAAGGAGGGTAGCTTATCCAAGCTGTTTAACCACATTACAAAAACAAAAGCAAGATTTGCCCCTCGCATGGTGTATCGAGATCAAGTTACTAAGGTTGATCTCAATCCTTCGCTACTAGTTGCGATCCAAATTCATGGGTGTCATGGATCTTGGCAGGAAATAACACCCATGCAAGAGTATATGACATCCGACAGACATTTGCGCAAGAACTGTGACAACGATTGGAGTTCCTGTAAGGCAAGGCGACCCTCGTAACTTGGAAACAGGGATCGAAACCTGGGGTCAGATTGATATTGGTTGAGGAAACGCACATTCTACTACTACAGCTTATTGAACTTGGTAAATAGAAATCCTTCAAGTCCTACGATTCGCCTCATCTAGAATTCCGTCTCCAACTCTTACCAGCTAATTAGACCGCTCAAAATATCGCCCCTGATTTAGCCCTTTCCATGTTTCTCGCATGGTCGCAGAAAATCTTCAAGATTTAAATTGGGTAAATGGAGTTGCAATTGGAGACGACACTGGATAAAATGTCAAGGAGCACTTCTTTATAACCCGTCTATATTGAAACCATCTAAATATTTACCCATCTATGCCCCCGGCTGTCCCTTCATACCGGTGGAATACATCTTCACACCTTATCGTTTAGGAATCTCTCTAGATCTTCAAACTCCCCGCTGTGCTTCATCATGTCGTAGAACTGCCCTTTAGCCTCGTAAAGTTCTTTTGGGCTTCCAACCCTAGATATCAAGTTAGCTAAAGGATGCCTGGTGTATTTCGGTATATGGGTTTACATACTCGAGAACGGATCCCGCGCTCATGACTACCACGCGATCGTAATCGATGATAGTCTTCAGTCGGTGAGCAATGGTAACCAGAGTCCTGTCCCTTCCGTATTCGTTCAGTTCCTTTCTTAGAACTTCCTGAATTCCCTGGTCGGTCTCGTAGTCCATCTGCGATATTGATCTTAGTAACTGAAATGGTCAAGGGAGAATGACAAGTGGCACATATACATACGCTTGCAGTCGCCTCGTCTAACAACATCAACTTGCTACCGCGTACCAAAGCCCTGCAGAGCGAAAGTACTTGTCGCTGTCCGTGGGAGAAGTTCTCGCCTTTAGGTTTTACGGGGGTCGAAAGAGTGATACCAATGTCACTGGACGGTTCGTCGGACTGAGCTTCGTTAGTTCCATTATGCTGTCCGTTTCCATTTTGCGCGCTCTCTGCATTTTGGTGGTATTGGAACGACGCGATCCCGCTACAGTATTGTAGCGCCTTCTCGAGCGTTTCTGTTGGAATTTTGCCTGTTGGGTCTAGGTTTGACCTAACATTTCCATTGAACAGTACCGCCTCTTGTGGGATAATCGTGAGTGCTTCCCGGAGCTTCCTGCGTGGCAACATCGTGATATCTACGCCGTCGAAGAGAATTTGTCCCGAGACGACGTTAGTGAAGCGCAGCATAGATAAAACCAACTACGATTTTTATAGGTTAATATACTGTCATCATTTGGTCTGAGACGCCTGACTTACTGTACTCTTTCCAGACCCAGTCCTTCCCACGACTGCAACTCTCTCGCCAGCTGCAAATTTGAGATTGATGTCCTTTAAGATCTCTGGGCCATCTAGGTCATACTTGATAGTCACGTTGCGAAACTCGACTTCGCCAGTTGTTGGCCAATTCTCAGGCATGGTGGGTTCGGGGTTATCAGAGTATTGGGAAATTTTCTTGACCTCATCCGGCTTCTCTTCTGGCTCAACAGAGGCATATTCCCGGACTCGATGGAACTTTTGATATATTAACGTTGAAATTCTGATAGAGCTCCTTTAGTTCAACTTACGCTCTGCATTTCGATTTCAAGTTCGTTGCTTGCTCTTACAAGCATGATAATAAGTTGACTTAGAGTCTAGTTATCATATTAGCAACTAGGGTCTAATTTCCCTAGGAATATGGCTAACTTACGGTGGCATTTGACAACGAAAATCCAACAACGCCAGCTGCTACAAGACCTGCTTTCGACACGGCAATCCCGCCAGCAGCGACCGTGACTAGTGTAGTCATCATATCGACCTTGAGCGCGACCCATCTGTTGCAATTAAACTGAGCTTCGGAAGATCTCTCGAATATTCGCAGCTTATCTGCTAGCTGGTCGCCGAAGGTTTGGGCCATTTTTGCGCGGGCGCGAATCACAGGGAGACCAGCTAGAGTATCGGCGAAGTGGGCGAATAGAGGGGATTGCGACGACGACACGAGCCGTTTGACCGCCACAGCTGTCCTGGTGTACAGTTCTCCCGCTAAGATTCCAGCGGCGCAACAAGCGGCGGCCGGTAACATGAAGATTGGAAGTACGGAACCGACGGCCACAATTTGAAAGGCAAGGCGCGTAAGCGTCTCCACGCCCAATCTGAGCACTGCCATGTTCCCATATTAGCTTCTTAAAAGATATATACAATACCAAAAACCATAGAATAGAACTTCACTTACTGCCAGCCAATTGATTATCAATGGAGTCCATGTCTCTAGAGAACCGGTTGACTACTCTGCCGATAGGTGTCGTTTTATACCAAGAAAGGGGGACGCTCAACACCGCTTTGATGAAGGTGGTATGCAGTGATCTCGCGGCGTACCAGCCGCCATTCTCGTACGCGATATATGTTAAACCACTGAAAATGACGTCGGCAATACTCCATGCCGCGTATATACCAAGGTAGAATCCAATATTGTATGCATCGTCTTTCCCATAAGCGTCTACCCAGACCGCGATCCACAACCCGGTCCCGACAAACGAGGCGGTGGAAAGAATACTCATCGCAAGCGCCAGCATAGCGTAAAATGGATTGCCAAATAATCGCATGTATTGGAAAACTACAAGGACGTGTCATTGGTTTATTTTGGGGCAGATGTTGCGGCTAGTTGGGCAATACTCACATTGTAGACGGGCAGTTGGTCCGGTCTTGAGAGCTTCCTGTGTTACCTCATCTCGGCGTTTATCTTCCGCGCTTTTGATGTCACCGTTAGAGCTTCCATTAGAACTTCCAATGAGCGTTGTGCCATTGCTTTCGGCGGTATGAGTTGCAGCCGCTTCCACGGTCTCGTCAAGATTGCCTTCGTCGACAAGCGTTTTGTCGAGCGTTACGGATTTCCGGACCACGCCTAGGTTCTGCTGGATATCCTTCACTGAGCCGTTCTCTAGTGTTATGGTTAGGTCTGCTTGGGGCGCAATCCATGGCAGCTGTGTTACGAGTACCACAGTCCTTCCCTTAACTATAATTTTGAAAAAACAAGTATTGTTAGTTGATCGCTGAATTCCGATATGTATATGTTATGTGGACCAGCTTGTAAGAAACATAATACAATATGGAGAATACTTACGTAGATCGCCGCAGAAAGCTTCCTCCCATAGAAATGCTGACGTCTTGGAATCAAGAGCGGAAAAGACATCATCAAGTAAAATCACGGACGCTTTCGAATATAAAGCTCGTGCCAGAGCAACGCGAGACTTCTGGCCTCCAGATAATGAGGCCCCGTTCTCTCCAACCTCAGTACCATCTCGTTCTGGAAACTCGTCAAAATCGATCGGCAGCCCGCAAGCGTTGATCACTCGGTCGTATCGTGCTTGCTCAAAGGGGCTATTGAAGAGAATATTGTCACGGATCGTCTCATTTTGTAACCAGGGGCTTTGCGAGGCGTAGGCAATATCTTCGGGGCTTGTTACTGTGCCATTCTCAAGGATAGTCTCGCCAAGAATCGACATGAGGAGTGTTGTTTTCCCACTCCCGCTCTGCCCTGTTATTACGTTTAATCCACCCTCGACGAAATCGATGGAAATATCTTTTAACGCAAATAAAGCTCTCTTGTGACGCCTGAAAGTAGCATTGCTGATCTTAAGCTGGCCGACCGGATGAGATTGCAGGGGCGTAGTGCTGTTGATATAACGGTCTAGGCGCTTGAGAGAAACACCTGCGGCGGTGAAGCCTCGTGACATGTTTGACGCCATCGACAGATTTCGGCGCAAAGTCCTAATTAATGTTATAGCCGTAAAAGCGACTTCTGCCGTTAGTGGTTCTTTACGAACAAGCACCTGTAAGGTGAAGATAAGTACTAGTGATAGATTCGGGATCGCTTCCGTGAGTTGATTTAGAGTAATATAACTGGTATTTATCGATTAGTACTTCGTCATAGAACATGTCAAGAGTAAGACGGCTCACAGTATGTTCAAGGCCCATATCTTCTTTTGTTCGCCGAGTCTGATTTCATTAACTCGCTTGATGATAGCTTCCTCCCACGAAAAATATTTGATCGCTCGGATCGAGGCTAGATATTCTGAGATGACTGAAATCCTCGAGTCTTGTATTCGTTTCATGTCACGTTGGATACCTACCATACGTCGGGCAATCAAAACCGGAAACGGCGAAAGCACTAGCATTATAGCAATACCAACGAGTGCTGTCCAGTCTAACAACTTGTATAAACCAAAAAGAGCCACTACAGATCCAGATGTCACACCGCAAGCAACAAGTACGACGTCTCGGCCTCTGGCGATAGTGTCCACATCGGCACCCATGAGGTTTGCCAGGCGACCTGTTGAAGTAGTGGCTTGTTTACTCTTTTCCTTTTCCTTGTCCGTAGCGGCGATCTCGGCAAAGACCTCGTCGTCCAATTCCATGGATCCCAATGCTTTGTAATATAACTCTTGAGTCAACGCAGCTCTAACACGCACAAGCAGGCGAGTTGATGTGAATACGTATTGCTGAAAGCACACAGAACGCGATAGTGGGCCAATGAAAAGGAGCGCTAGCCAGACCCAAGGCCGGAACTGAGATCCTTCTGGGTCAGAAAGGTAGCGAAGTAATCCGTACATAGCGTACGGAGCAATCATTTCAAAAATGAAAGACAACGCAATCCAACAACCCATGGTGGTAACTTCCTGAGGCAAGAAGTATATTAATGTCCAGAATGTGGATTTGCCTTTCCGCCGTGCCTCCTGAACTCTAGAAAGCAGGACGAATGGCTCATCATACCAGGGAAGTCTAGGTAGTTCTTCTAAGGTCATTTGTCGGCGCAAACCCTTGAACATGAGAGGCGTAAGCCATTCGTACGTCACGTAATACTCCAACCAGCTGCATGTTTCTTCGGGAGATGGTTCTCGGGTTGGTATTTTCTCAGAGATATCAAGATCTAACGATGGCGGTATCCATTCCCTTCGTGTGGCGAGAGCTACAAACACGGCGGCAGCTAGTGTTGATATGCTACAGATCATCATTGGGCTCATACTCTCATTATGATCTGTATCGATGTATGGAAGAAGCTCCCCTAAAGTAAGGATGAGCAGGGAACCGGCAAGGATAAAATTGGTGTGGTGCAAGGCGACATGCCTCCACTCGAGATCGTACGCCAGCCGCAAAACACCAATGACAAAAGCATAGGCTAAAGCGGTCGCATCGGTCCACCTGCCTTCGCCCCGGACAGCGGCAACGATCATAAAAGCTAACGAGCTAGCTCGTAAGAGTTGGCTAGATAACTCAAATGGCCATGCTACCGCGTGCGCATTGGATTCGGGCCCAGAGACCTTGGAATAGGGACGGTGGAGAAGATATCTGACAATAACCAGGAAGGACGCAGTGATAATAGTAAGCTGTAGATACCCAGCTCGGGTAAAATCCGAGAGGTCATGAATCCATTGAAGACTCGATATGCTAGATAAGCTCATTAGATGTCTACTCTCTGATAATATTCTGGAGTAAGGGGTGTTCATCTACCTAGTCGCCCTAAACGTGCTATTTAGAGTATAGAGCGATTGGGAACGAAAGGGAACAGAGTCCCAACCATATTCCCTAAAACCGAATTGATTCATGGTTTCTCATGGCAAAGGCTAAGAATGAGGTATCGTGAGACGTGACAGTTCTCCCGGTGAGTCAACATGAAAATCTCGATGAGCAAGCTGTTAATACTCGGGTAATTGCGTGCTCGGGGGGCTAACCACCATCAGGATAAGCTGGGGCCTGGAGGGACGTGAGACCCTTGCCAAGAGGGGAAAAGTAACCTTAAGAATTGCCTGAAGCTATTCTGACGTTTACACCGCAAACCGTAGAATTGGCTACCTGGATTGTAACTAGGTAACTTGGACAGTCTATATGGATTAATTGCACGCGTGTAAGTTGGATATTTTGCAGGGGAAGTTTATGTGGATATCTAGCCTGTCGTAATTGGTTAGTCTAAAAGTGGTAGGTAAGAGCTGCATACTCCGATCTCAATGCGCTTCTCGGCTCGGACTGACTCACTAATTCATTTATCTTATCTATACCTCCCGTTGAAAGTCCTAGATATTTGACGATGGAACATCAGAACATTAGGACATCGGGCATACCCAGGTATATGAGCGAAAGCCGTCCTTATCTGGTTGCACTGCACACTTCCACATCCCCCTTCACCTCTCTTCGAGCAGTCTGGAAGCGTCGGGTTTGTGGCGGGTACGAGATTAGCGGACTAAGGACAGCAGAATCCGACATGTCTCATTCGCTCAGAACCGTTCCTCACCCAGACATACCCAACTAAGCCTAGCGACTGCGCCTCAGCGGACACATAGTAGCTAGGCCGGTGTGCTCGGTCCCTCACCGTCACTTTGAAAATTGGTCCAGGTACCTGCCCGAGTGCGATTATCGCAGCGAGTATCCAGCGAATCAACATCCAGTATTATGGAACCATAGCACCTAGATTCGTGACCTGCTCCTTCGCTGCACCCAGTATCTTCGCTTGATGTGGCAATCGATCAAGTGACAACCTTCGAAGTCGGACGTCGCATAAAATTTTGATTTATTGAGGGTCTCCTTAGTATCCGCTCCTCAACGTCTTCTTTTCCGGATCAAGCCCCGGGCGGCATTCTTGAGCTGCGAAATCCATGGTCAACTAGGATCTATGCGAAGCCGGAAGTATCGACTATCCAGCTTCTAGACACCAAGACAGAATGCATGTCGTATCCTATGTTGCTGCTATTCAAGATAGATCTCGGTGGATGCCTCTGATGTCATTCGGTGCGGACACCTTTCAGTGTTCCTTTGAGAACGACATGTCTATGTCTAATACGGTCGCATATTAGCTCAGTCTACAACAGGAATCTATGCCAGCTACTGAGTTCGTGGTAACACTATCCCCTCTCTCGCGATATGTAATAGAATTGCCGAGACTCGCACAGGAAACGTAAGGGGCGCGAAGGAAAGTGAGACACTGAGTATACAAAAGCCGTGATAATAAGTGGTAAGTTTAGTTTGGTGCCCGACACTCATGTTAATAGTGAATGGCTACCTGAACCAAAGGTGGATCAGTTCGTATGCATCGTCCTAGGCCAGAGAGTTCGCCAACCTCGAGAACTTAATATCAACCAAATCATTCGAGGGTTTAGTAGCTTATAAGGGTAAAAACATGTTAATATTTAAAAGGGAGCCAGGAAATCAATAACACGGAAACCGACAACGTATTCATATTTGGAGCTACATTGATGAGCGAGGTGAAGAGGGAGAAAAGGACGTTGTAATTAGGTAGTGAAGCAAGCTGAGGCTGGAAGGCTCTGATATACCATGAGGGGATCGGAATAAGATATCATATTTTCAGAATCCACTAGAACCGATCAGAGCATCAACTGTGCCTCTTGGCGCAGAGCTTGGGGTCCGTTTCTGCATGGTATTCAGGCTTGGCGAGAAGACATCAAACCACAACATTAGTTTCGATTATAATAACAACTGCCGACCTTGAAATAATGCACATAGTAACAATCTCTGCTGCCAACGAATCTTGAACGGGGAGGAGGTTATGATGACGCTTCGATGTCAAAGAATCGTAGGTAAGCCTTATACATATAATTAGGTAACAATCATATATATTCAAGATCCCTCGTGAAAATATGACGGTTATATTTGGCATATGACACAGAGATTAAGTACGACGTGTTATAGATGTAGGTACTAGATTTTGAAGGATATCATCATGAGTTTGCTTAGCTGCTTAGCTAAGTAGACGACCCGTTTGGTCAAGCACAGACCAATGTGGCTAGTGTACGCTATAGTGGGGCACTTAGCGTAGCATGCAAACCTTGAAGATTGAAGTTTTAAGGCTGACTGTGGCTGCAACATCAAGGTTCCATTTTTTGCCTTTAAATATATCTACCTAGTACAAAGAGTTCAACTGTATGACTTCAAAAAATTTCAAGGTACCAGGTCAAGACGACGTGAGTCACCCGCGACGAATTACACGTAACCGATGAGCATATGAGCATACGACCGACATAATATCCTGTTTATCGATATGAAATGTGACCGATATCTTAATATATCGCTTGTTTCTACCTATCGGAACTCGCGCTAACATCCATCCATCTCGACTTTTACCGAATCGCCTTACTCTACCCAAGTCACCTCTAATCATCCTAATCATCCACCAACAATACCGACATCATGGACGATGACTTCGCCGAGCTCGAGCTCCTGTCGCTCGTATCGAAGGTCACCTCTGAACTCCAGAATCATCTACGAATATCCGATAAAAACGTGGCCGAATTCATCATTGCTCAGCGACTAGAATGTACCAATATATCCGAGTTTAAAGACAAGTTGGCCGGTGTTGGCGGTGCAAGTTGGCCAGAGAGTTTATTCGAGAGTATCGATCGTTTGGTTCGAACTATGCACCCCAAATTTAAGGGCCAAAAAGAAACAGCCGCAGAAGAGCATCAGCAAGTTCGGTCACTGGAGGAGAAAGAGACGCTTTTCAAAGGGTTGAGTATCCCAGATAAGCAGGGTGATGACGCGAATGGGGATGATATCGATGATACATTGGCGCTTTTGGAAGGACTGGAAGGCAAGGCCAAGAGTGCGCGCCCGGAACGAGAAAGGTCGTCTAAGAAACGATCCTACAGTCCTGAGAAGGAAGATGGTACAGATGTAAGGCACAAAAGGAAGGAGAGATATCGATCCAGATCTCGTGACCGTCGAGATCGGGCTTACGACGACGATCGCGACTACCGGAATGGCAATAAAGAACATAAGAGTCGAAGGGATGAACGCGATGAGCATCGGTCACATCGCAGCAGCCACAGAGACAGAGACAGGAGGCGGAAATATGATGATGAGGATGGTGATGATGATTCGCTTCGCCGTGCACCTGAACCGGAAGTTGATGACTCACCGGTATTATACAAGGTTTACGATGGCCACGTCACTGGTATCAAAGATTTTGGTGCGTTTGTTAATTTGCACGGTGTCAAAGGCAAAGTGGATGGAATGGTTCATATATCAAATCTGGTCCAAGGTCAAAGGGTCAATCACCCATCAGATCTTCTTACGAGAGGCCAGGACGTTAAGGTCAAAATCACCAAAATCGAGTCAAATCGGATAGCCCTATCTATGAAAGACGTCGATCAAGAGACGGGCATGGACCTTGCACCACAAGCTCGAATACAGTCAGGGGCTAACATGGAGAGTCTCGGTAGTCGAAACGGCGTGACTCCTCGCAACGATGATAATCTAGCTTCTCTTTCGAACTATACGGGGCCTCCACGTTCACAGAAGAAAAGAATGACATCTCCAGAAAGATGGGAAATTCGACAGCTCATTGCTTCTGGTGTTGCTAAAGCCTCAGATTATCCCGACTTAGAAGAAGACTATAATGCTACCCTGAGAGGTGAGGGTGAGATGGAACTGGAAGAGGAAGTTGACATAGAAGTCAGAGAAGAGGAACCTCCATTCCTTACAGGTCAAACGAAGCAATCACTCGAACTTTCGCCAATTAGAGTGGTAAAGGCGCCTGATGGGTCGCTTAACCGTGCAGCAATGTCTGGGACGACATTAGCAAAGGAACGGAAGGAATTGCGCCAACAGGAGGCTGAGGCTGCTGCAAAGGAGGAATCAAAGGTAGATCTTGCATCGCAATGGCATGATCCAATGGCAAATCCGGATAGTCGCAAATTTGCTAGCGATTTGAGGACTGCCAAAACCACTGCTGTAAAGCCTGACGCGGTACCAGAGTGGAAGCAAGCCGTTGCGCCCAAAGATCAATCGTTCGGTAAACGAACAACCATGTCAATCAAGCAACAGAGAGAAAGTCTCCCAGTATTTGCCTTCAGAAATCAGCTCATCACAGCTGTTCGGGAAAATCAAATCCTGATTGTGGTTGGTGAAACAGGATCTGGCAAGACGACCCAACTCACCCAATATCTCGCTGAAGCTGGCTTCACCAACAACGGTATGATCGGTTGCACACAGCCACGACGAGTGGCAGCAATGTCTGTTGCCAAGCGTGTGGCGGAGGAAGTTGGCTGTCAGTTAGGCCAAGAAGTTGGCTACACCATTCGGTTCGAAGATTGTACGAGTCCGGCAACCAAAATCAAATACATGACTGATGGTATGCTGGAACGAGAGATCTTGATGGACCCTGATTTGAAGAGGTATTCCGTCATTATGTTGGACGAGGCTCACGAGCGGACCATCGCAACTGATGTTCTTTTCGCCCTCCTCAAGAAGACCGTGAAGCGGCGAAGTGATTTGAAGATCATCGTCACATCGGCTACTTTGGACGCTGATAAATTCTCCGCATACTTCAACGAGTGTCCTATCTTCACGATTCCAGGACGAACTTTCCCCGTGGAGATACTATACAGCAGAGAACCCGAATCCGACTATCTCGACGCAGCCCTAGTGACAGTTATGCAAATTCACCTTACAGAGCCTCCTGGAGACATATTGGTCTTCCTGACGGGATCGGAAGAGATCGATACGGCAGCTGAAATATTATACGAACGAATGAAGGCTCTAGGCCCAGGCGTCCCTGAATTGATCATCTTACCAGTGTACTCGGCGCTTCCCAGCGAGATGCAGAGCAGAATTTTCGATCCGGCGCCCCCTGGAAGTAGGAAGGTTGTGATAGCCACAAACATTGCCGAAACCTCAATTACAATTGACCATATCTACTACGTTGTGGACCCAGGCTTTGTAAAGCAGAATGCTTACGACCCAAAGCTCGGAATGGACTCCTTAGTCGTTACACCCGTCTCTCAAGCCCAGGCCAACCAACGTGCTGGCCGTGCTGGCCGAACCGGCCCTGGCAAATGTTTCAGATTGTATACTGAAGCTGCTTTTCAGTCTGAAATGCTTCCGACCACCATTCCAGAGATTCAGCGTCAGAATTTGGCTTCTACCATCCTCATGCTGAAAGCTATGGGTATAAATGACCTTCTTCACTTCGACTTCATGGACCCGCCACCTACTAACACAATGTTGACGGCCCTGGAAGAACTATATGCGTTGTCGGCGCTTGATGATGAAGGTCTACTAACACGTCTTGGTCGCAAGATGGCCGACTTCCCCATGGACCCTGCTTTAGCCAAAGTTTTAATCGGCGCGGTTGACATTGGGTGTTCTGACGAGATGCTCAGCATCGTCGCCATGTTGAGTCTGCAAACTATCTTCTACCGACCGAAGGAGAAACAGACGCAAGCCGACCAGAAGAAGGCCAAGTTCCATGACCCACACGGAGATCATCTTACCCTCCTCAACGTCTACAACGGTTGGAAGAACAATGGATATTCAGCGCCATGGTGCTTTGAGAATTTCATCCAAGCACGTTCAATGAAGCGCGCGAAAGATGTGCGTGATCAATTAGTGAAGATCATGCAGCGCTACCGCCATCCCATCTCTTCTTGCGGTCGGGACACTCAGAAGGTTAGACAAGCGCTATGCTCAGGTTTCTTCCGCAACTCAGCAAGAAAGGACCCTCAGGAAGGATACAAGACGTTGGTCGAGGGTACGCCAGTCTATCTACATCCAAGCTCAGCATTGTTTGGGAAACAGGCCGAATGGGTGATCTACCACACTCTAGTGCTTACCACGAAAGAATATATGCACTGCACGACTAGTATCGAACCGAAATGGCTCGTCTCCGCCGCCCCAACCTTCTTCAAGGTCGCGCCTACTGATAAGCTCAGTAAGCGTAAGAAGGCTGAGAGGATCCAGCCTCTATACAATAAGTATGCAGCGGAGGACGACTGGAGACTCAGCGCTCAGCGGAAGGTTGGACGGTCTGGTGGCGGAGGTGGCACATGGGGATAAGGAGAGAAGCTTCATAGGCAAGCAGTATCACTGAATGACCTAGGTCAACTTTTAATTGAGTGGTTCGTTCAACTTCTTGTCTGAGTTGCTCTCATGCATACAGCTGTGGCATATTAATCCGATTGCCAAGTCCTAAGTCGCTTATAGTATAACTAGTTACAGTCTACGACATATCACTGTCTTCTTATACTATCAGTCCTTGAAAGACTAGCTCTTTGCCAGTAGACGAGTTCCGTCACGTCAGAGCCATCTAATAAGTTAATTCCCGTCATATGATAGGCATAGCCCCTATTGAGGATCACCGCGCGGCGAAACATTATAGCTATAATAGTTACATGCATAGATTCTTAGATGCTCATTCGAATTTTCTTACGATAATTCTAATGAAGAATTTGTTCTCTAGGTTTAATGCGACAGAATATCAATTCCCAAAGGGGTCAACATCACGTAATAGATTGAATATCGTATCCTAAGAACGCTCCACTCCCTAATTCCCAAGTTCGACTAATCATAGATTTTCGTCTTAGATTCCTAGTTAGAATAGGAGGCTCGAGCCACGGGCCGAAACCAAGAAATACCTATCGAAAAGGCAGATTACGTATGCTGCTCGGGCGTCGTCGACGTCAGCTCAAGCTACGACATCGGATATGAGGCTTGAAACAACTCCTGCTTCAGGCGGATATACACCGTCTCAAGAGCACAAGCCGTAACCGGAGTTTCTCAATGTCTTTACAAGAGTCTCGAAGGTCCGAGTGGGCCGACCGGGCGGCCTCAGAATTCTGAACTGGCCGAGGGTTACGGCCCCGAGGCGCTTCAAGCGATGGATCGGAGAACGTGCAGCATCAACTCTATAGGTGGTTAATGGGTAGGATCATCAATAATTAGTGTTGAGTTCCAATAAAAATTGATATGGTATTTTGATTGACCATCATCATTCTCACCGCTACTATTTCTGCAGGAAGTTCTGCTGGTCTCCGTGATCTCGTGTTCGATATCACACTTCAGTCCGCCAGTAACAACTCCGTCCTTAGCGAGAAGAATCCGCGAAAGGACCGACATGTGAACTAATATCCTAATTTAGAGGAATATTGAAAACATGGTGATGAATTGTGCCTAGCAAATTTGAGGGTATCTATACGAAAGTTCTGTTCATTCAAGTTTGGCTTGCTATGAAAATCCGTTCCCCTACCTGTGGTAACCTTTACCCTGGTCTCACCTCAACGTCCTCTAGTATTCAACTCGTCAGATAGATATTGCAGAAAAGTCCAATGCATCTACGTTATGATCACCCCCCGTGTGACCTAACCCACGCGGCGCAGCTACCCCTACAAACCAGACACAGCTCGACCCAAAGTCTCAAATCCACAGCAATTAGGACACCGGGCCGTCGATGTCTCGGCACCGGGACGCCGGGGGAGAGGGCGCCAAGGATCACGCGAGCGCCAGTCTCAAAGTCTTCGAGAAAACGTCCGCGAGTGTGTGGTACAACGATGACTTGTAGCAGCAGCGCCAAAGCAAGCTTTAGCTGCAGACATCCGACACAGAACCTCAACAACCCTCGTCCGCGCATCGAACGATTTTTGTTCTTAACTTCCTTCGCGCGTCGGCGCCTCGACGCCCGTCAATATATTTTTATATAGTGAGGCACAGATTGTTCTCGCACGGAACCTGGGGGGGTTGGCGCTCGCAAAATAACCCATATAAACAGGTACTTACCCAAGCACACATTACGCTACCTCCCCTTGATATGTATGTATGAAGATAGGTAGTATATACCTACCTAGGATGGGACGACGTTAAATATGTTTGATATAGGTACCTAACCCTGTCCCCTAATATACTACGTAGGGGTGACGCAGGGCGCCATGCCCGCCCAAAGCGGGCTTTCTCGCTGCGCGAGGTGACGTGCGGGTAATATCGCGAAATGGAGCGACACCAGGACAGCAGTCCTATGTCCCATCGTTGGGCCGCGTTCCTAATCCAGCAATGCGGTCCCGGCGTTTCGACTAGAGTTCGTCGCGGACTGCCGAGCCTTAAGGTGCATCGAAAGTGGGAGTAACCTCAGTAACGTGTCCCGCCGTGCGATCGCATTCAGGGTCCCTAGGTATGTAGGTAAGTTAGTTATTGATGGACCCCTACAAAGTATGTCGGCTCTCGTGCGTACATGCGTGCGTACCAATATATATAATATACATCCCTACATATGTACGCAGCGTGCCCATGCAGCATGCAGGCGCGGTACTTCGAATATATTGCTTTTTGCGGTGAGATTGCGAATGCGCGATATAGACCAAATCTCTCGAACCTGCGACCCAAATCTCCAATCACCGACGAATATATCCCTTAAAGCGAATTATGCATTGGGGGATTTTAACCAGTAGCATACCTGCGCAGAATATCACCTCCCTTACCCCAATTTTACCGAAATGCGGGTATAATTTGCTGTTGATCGCGATCCTCTGTTCGGTGGGGGCTCTCTTACATAGCATGGGCCGACCTGTTAGGATGGCTTCTTGGCTATAATGACGTCGATCATTTTACTTCAACCGGGCGAAGCCAATTCGAAGATGGATGACGATCACACTTGCATCGAGGGTCCACGGGAACGACGTGATCGTCCGGAACAGGCAAGCTTAGGCAAGCTTAAACCATCAACACGCGCATAACACGGTAACACGGTAACAGCCCTACGTCCAAGGAGGAAAGGAGTGTCACGAATCATCGCAAATATCACAAACTATTACTTCGGGAATTGGAGATGGGAGAATAGAAGATTATCTTTACTTTATTGATGATTATAAAAATGCACCTAAACCAAAACTGCGGTGCGCAGATGACTAAATAATCATAATGAGTGGTATCCTAGTGGTATCCTTAACATCCCGTGCTAAATTACCCCAAACGCCGGTTCGCCTATGGTCCTATCCAAGTCGCAAAAAGGGGCGCGATCATGCTACAGCTGCCGCCGCCACCAGAACGTCCAAGGCAGAGCTTTGCGTGCCCGCCGTGGCGTTAGAGAAGGGTCCTTCCCAGCTACCTCCGAGCTGGTTCTGTGCGTTACGGTTCTTAGCCCATATCGTATCAGCGTTCGTAAGCAGGAAGTTCTTGATGGGGTCCATGGGAGCCGCCTTTTGTAAGTAGTGCAAGTTCCGCATGAAGACACCCTTAAATTGCGACCCATCGCTCCCGCAGTTGGGCTCGCAGCCGTCGCTAAGAATGCCGTCCTTGGTGAGATGCGAGATAGCCGCCGCAGCAATGGTTTGAGCCTCGGTGAGCAGTGACTGATCACCCGTAGCTTGGTGAAGCTCGACTAGACCGCCTAGAATGACACCCTGGTTGTAGGTCCACGTCTGCATGCCGTTGTTCTTGCAATCGTCGGTAAGTCCATCATTAATCAGATTCTCGCTGTTGATCAGGCCGCTATTCTTGAACCAGTTCCATTGTGTCATGGCAGTGTCAAGGAAGTAGTCCTTCCGATCGGGTATCCGATTTGCAAGAGAAGCCGCAACACTGAGGAAGAGCTCATTCGCGATGGCGTTTGTATACGTAGTCACTTTACTCCAGAAGATGCCACCGCATGTCGAGTTACCCTTCTTCATATCCTCAAAAATTTCGACAGCAGCTTGAAGATACTGCTGGTCACCAAGGCCCTGAACGCCAAGGTCATGGCTATGGATCATAGCTAGCGCCCACCATCCTTCATCGTCGTAGTAATCGTTGAGAAAGTTATCGAAACCTCTCTTTTCGATTTCAGATCGTTTCGTTATCCTGGTGTATGTTGATATAGGGAGGCCAGCTGGCGACATGACCTTTGACGCTTGTACCGGCGTCTTCTGTGCTTGCTCATACTACGGAAAAGAGTTAGTATTACTCCTTTATGCAGATAGTCCTGGCATTATTGATTGGTCGCAAAGCTGTTTTAGGCGCATATAGCTGCCAAGCCAATCATCAAAGGTGCTTTATTATGCCTTCGAATAAGGACAAGGGGGCTACTCTGGTATACTCACGGTATTTTGGACGATGCCCGGGATATTCAGCGTAGCAGCAGCAGTTGGGTCTAAAGCCGCAAAGTCGGCCAGCATAGTCAGACAATTGGCACTATTCCACCAACCAGTTGTATCCCATAGACCCGTCTCGCTGTTGTACCACGTCTGGAGAGCATTTATGGCGTCGACGGTGTGAGAAGCATACGTTGCTGAGTCGGCGCGGTTGGTGATATGACTAGACATTAAGAAAACGGCTCTGGAGGCCAGAGACCCAATTAGGGAAGAGGAAACCATGGCGAATTACCGGAGTGATGAACTATTAGGAAGTAGGTATAGAGAGAGATAGGAAATGTTTCATGGATGAGCACAGAAGTTTTCCAGAAACTTACTGGTGGTAGGAAGGAAACGAGTGAAGTATATATAAAATAAGCAGAATAAGCTACCAGTAGGTAGAAGGAAAAAAAGGAAGAAACTAAAACCGCCACCTGATGAGTGCAATGAGTGGAATGTGACGGTCCACTGGATCTCGTCCAAAGTAGATTAAGGGAGGTGAACGAGGATGCGCACCTTGTCATCAAACAGGCTGCATCCATCAGGCTCATCTGCTGCGGACGGAACTCACATGAGCTCCTGGAGCCCCGGGCACGGTTCGGCTCAAACATGTACCTCTAGTATAATACAAATTTCCAGACATGGGTTGTTTTGTGACCCGTAGATCACTGATGGTTGACATGATGTATGTATGTAAGTGACTGTGCTCTGGGCGTACATACCGACTACCTACTTTCTAGGCATGTAGGGCTGGTAGGACGGACGACACGTTCTGTGCGATCCGAAGCCAGCGGCGTGTTCCTGGAAGGCCGAAAATGACGATCGCGGCATTTGATGATTGGCGATGGGTTGGCCACGGTAGACAATGAGCAAATCGAGGAAAGGGATGAACAGGTTTGGCAAGAAATGCTGGGTTGTGCTGGGTTCTGCTGGGTTATGTTGGGTTATGCCGGGTTTGGCTGATGATTAGCTTATTAAGATCTCCGATAGGGTTGTGACCTGTTTCAGAACAGGCATGATTCTCATGCTGGACATCCTTGGGACGACGGATCCGACGTTGCATGACACACCAACCAAGTCTTTAGGCGGACCTGTTCACCAACTTTCCACCAAAAATGATGGATAATGTAATAAAATCCCGGCACCGTAAGTGGCTTTTCCTGCTCGTAGTCTAGTATCCACTTAGATTCAGATCTTGCCGAACCAGCTCCCCTAGTCATCCCCTAGCCACCCTTGGGCCTTCGCGTAGATCATCTTTAGCGAATCCGTTTCTGAAAATGCCATATGCAGCATCTGGTCACAGGAATGCGGAATATGTGTGCAGGCAACCTCGTGAGCATTCCAATTGCCAAGCCAAAGCTCATCAATTGATTGCCAATTGACTGTCATAACCGCTTCATCCAATGTTTCCTACAAGAAACTAAGAGACCTGAGGGTCGAATTGTTGGAAGTTGTTGGGAGTTTGTTTTAGTGGCACGTCTGGCCGGCGTTAGATGAAACTTCAGCGCTTATTAGAGTACCAATTCTAATGTATCTGACTTTATGCAGCCTGGGAATTTCTAGATAGATAGGAAGGAATAACCTTTATCCAGCTCCAGGGGCTACGATAAGAACCTTAATCTTGGAACCTTAGAACCCCTTATTCTTCCATACCTTCTATTTCTAGCCCTACCAGTTACCTGCCAAGTGCTAGGCACACAATACTAGTACCTGCCTAGGAAGAATACGGGAACACTGTCGCACAAAACAATAATAGCAACCCATTAACTCAAAAATCGTTAGCGCTGTGTGTATTTTGTGTACTGCGGTACAGCGTATTGTGTACCAGTAAGGTCGGGTATTATCTAATAGAGTTTGTTGTTGGTGTTGCTTCCGCCTCGGCTTCCTCCCGCCTCCGCACCCGATCCGTCTTACTGTCTTACTGCACACAACACTGCACTTGACATAACACCTCTCACAGCTGCAACTAAAACCACATGTCATCCACATATGGGATGTGTCCTGTATGTACGATGACGACAACGTCGATGACGATGTCGCCTATGTTTTATATGTGCCTTACTTTACAGCAGCCGTCTGCATGCAAGGACCTACATACGTGCGGCTGTCATGAGTTCTGATTAAACATTTATTGCTTCTGCATCCGGTCGTCCTTTTTAAAGCGTGAGCAATAATCTGTTGCCGTACGACTCTTGAAAAATCACCTTTGATCTTAATATCAACATTAATTACTACCCAAACCCAGCTGACTGGAAACAGGCCGACGGTGACAAGGGGGTAACAAGAAATGCAGTGGTACTCCCAGAGAACTGAGCCAACATCGTCTGAATCACGAAGCTTGGCGTAACCTATTAGGTCATTCTCTATAGATCATATGTCTATATATCTCCGAAAATGAGTTGCGCTAACTCTCCAACGCATCCCGAGTGATCGACATACAGCCTTTTTCAGCTTGGCCCTTGCAAGACAGCTCAGCCTGTTGTTTTTGCAACTCGCTTCGGAGTAAAATTCAAGTTTGCGAGGTGACAAACATGACCTACTGCTTCAACAAAACATCGCTAAGCTCGACATAATTCCCGGGTGACAAAGCTTACCAATGGTCTAGACTTCTCTGGTAGTTCTGTCTCGCCAAGACTTCTACCGAGTGCCGAATATATCCTTGGAATATCTCCAAATTTGCTTCTCCGCAGCGATGTGCCGTTGAAGAGGCCTCACCTTAGCTGCCCACGAACTCCCCCGCATTCACGGGCTCTACCCCAGACCAGGGGCGGAAAAATTACCTGAGGATTGGATTTAGGAACTTCTCCAACTGCAGTGGCTAATCCAATTGTCCGGAAGTTCGCTTCAGACATTTCCGAAGATCGACAATATAAACAAGCTGCTTCATTAGCAACAATACTGTTCAGAAGGTAGGCTAATATGCTCTCGTATCACGCGTTTACATCTTGAAGTTGAATCAAGATGCTGTCCCGGTTTTTCTCCAGCTCGTGTCTCATTCTCCTGTCCCTTTCTAGATGCGTCTGCGCGAAAGTGGTTGCAACCGAAAATGCTACGGCACTAGTCATCCAGAATGACCGCCTATTCACACGTGTCGACAAGGCCTCTGGGGCTATGGATGCTATATTCCTGGACGGCCAAAATCTCTTGGGCACACGGTCAGGATCTACCGGCATATTCAATTTAGACTGTTATTGGTAAGTCACGCCATGAAACAGACAAAGTAACGTAACGTGCTGAGCCACGATCAAGTATCCCAAGTGGTTTTTGGACACCGGGATCGACACAACCAACCTATGAGCTGTATGCCGGAACAGACTCTACGGGCACTAGCTACGCCGGTATAAGGATGTCCGACACTTACACGCCCACTGGACAAGTTCTAGAACAGTATTGGTTCCTCAGGGATGGGGAGACCGGCTTTCATACCTTCTCACGCCTCGCGTATTACAACGAGACCACACCGTTCTTGCGAAACCTCCAGGAGTTCCGAACATTATTCCGACCTAACTCGAACATATGGACTCACCTTGTGACTAACGAAAGGCAATATGCGCCGCTACCCGGCGCCGAGGCCGTGGCAAACGAGGTCGTCGTACAAGGTAAGTGACTATTGAAGTCCGGGTTGAACAAGCCCTTCGACCGTGGGCTCGGAGGAATAGATGTCTCAGGAGACCCCGAGACACCGTTATCCGTCCTTCCTTATTCGTAAAGTCTTTCCTCAATGAATACTAATCACGCGTGTTATAGATGCTACATGGTACTTGGGAAATACGCCTAATGATCCGTATGTTCAAGAGGAAGCCGACTACTTCACAAAGTACACATTCCAGGATACATGGAGAAATCATGATGCTCACGGGATGTATGTTGTATTTTCATTAGCCAGGCTAGTACTAAGTTGACATAATTTAGGTACGCCGATGGGTCCCAAATCGCGGACAATTCAACCTTCGGAGCTGTATGTCTACATTTTTCTTCAAGAACTCGTCGATCACATGCCTGAGCACACCATACATGCCTTACGGCCTAGGACGAGATTCACCCTCAATCCCGCTTCTACATGTGAACGCTAATGTTTCTTGTATAGTGGATGGTTATGAATACTAGGGAAACCTATTTCGGAGGCCCGCTACATTCTGATTTGATCGTCGATGGAATTGTCTATAACTATATAGGTAGGTGACTAACCGTAAGTGATTTTAAGTACAATATGTGGCTAACTTCATATCCAGTCTCAAACCATCACGGAGACCAAACGGTAAGTTAACGGCATCCCGTTCATGTGAGCAAGGTCGCTGATAGCTTGGAAGCCAAACATCACAAATGGATTTGACCGGACATTTGGCCCGGTGAGTCAAGAGTATCGGATGCGAGCCAGAATATTGCTGACAAAATTAGCATTTCTATTACTTTAATCATTTCCCGGCCGGAACCGATCTTCAGGTTCTCCGAGAGGATGCTGTGAAGTTCGCAAACCCGGAATGGAGTGCCGACTTCTACGATTCTATTGCAAAATACGTGCCCAACTACGTTACTAGCAAACAGCGTACTACTTGGAACCTACAGGTAGATCTGCCTAAAAATGCCAAAAACCCCATAGCCGTATTAGCACAGAACGGTGTCGATTTCCAAGATAACGTTTTAGACACCAAGGCCTATCAATATTGGGCTGAAATTAACGAGAGCGGTCACGCGACCATTCCACGAGTGAAAACTGGCACGTACCGACTTACGATCTACGCGGACGGAATATTCGGACAGTACATTCAAGATGGTGTGACGGTACGTGCCGGAAAGGTAGATACGACTCGGGTTAATTGGGTAGAAGAAAGCCAGGGAGTCGAGATCTTCCGCATCGGCACGCCCGACAAAAGCAGCGGTGAGTACCGGCATGGTTACGAGCCCGATCTGACACACCCACGCCACCCAGAGCAGTACAGGATATACTGGCCGGTATACGACTTTGTCGACGACTTCCCAGAAGGTGTGACGTTCAAGGTTGGCGAAAGCGATGTGGCCAAAGATTTGAACTATGTCCACTGGAGCGTATTCGGGGGCTATGCTAACACGCTTCGCCCTGAAGCGTACTACGGCGACGGCAACGTAAACAATTGGACCATCGTATTTGACTTGGAAAAATCTCAATTTTACCAGAAGCAGCAAGCAACATTCACTGTCCAGCTAGCTGGAGCCAAGACTGCCGCAGGAAACACCGACGTGTACAATGCTTCGGAGCCTTATTCCAATTTGCCATATACGGTTAATGTCAACGGAAAGGACCTTGCGCCTTGGATAATTCCGTAAGTGCTTCCTTAGCAACCGATCCTCTATTTTCAGGGGTAGCTAACGATTACGTACGTAGTTACTACCAAAGCAGCTCTTGTGCAGTGCGGTCCGCAGTCATTTGCTACAACGTCGCGAATAAGTTTACCTTCGATCCAGCTTTGCTCAAGGAGGGCGAGAATAAAATCGTCCTAAGCCTACCATATAATGCCACCGACTACGAGAGCGCAGTGCTGCCTAGCTCGGTCTATGTGCAGTACGACGCATTGAGACTAGAAGTCAGCTCAGGGACGAAACACGGCTATAAGAGAGCCACGTAAAGTATTTTAATTCAAGATCTCGGGGACCTGTGACTAAAAATAACCTGATATCTTATTAGTATTTAATGATCGAAGCATATATCTTTCTTGCTTAATATCTACTGCTCTGTATAATACAGGAGCATTCGTTGTTCTCATGCTGCGCCCCAAGCAATAGAGCAAGAATAACTGAGGCTCGTATTACTGCTGAATATGCTAAGACCGTGTCGTTAGATTTCACCTAGCGAGTTACGATTGATTCCATAGCTACGTTTTTCGACGGGTGTAAGCGCTAAGGCAAGATAACTCAACCATTGTTCTGCACGGAGACAAGATTGGATCTTATATGGCTGAACAGATGGCCTGGGCAATCCCACCATACACATATCCAGAACCATCCTTGACACGTTTAGGAAATGGGGTGGTCTTCTGGAGTGAGCAGATCAAGCATGTGCATACATTATGCCAAGCCCACCGAGATCCATTGATCATACTCTTAATCATCATTAGCCCTTCCAACGCGGATTTAGGTTGCCGATACCGTATACAATATTGAGATTGTGAACGAACCTTGAGAACTCCTACCATTTGATCGGACTACTTCGCAAAATCGGGAAACCCGCGCCGCAACCGGATCGGATGTTCACCCCTTCACGAGCCTTATCAGAGGGCTCGGGATATCCGAGAACAGGACCCACGATGTCGATTCGGAGGTCATGACAACCCGGTTTATATTGACAACTGCACGCCATCCAAAGCCAGTAAGCGTCATGGAAATTGTTGATCGTTTGAAACGATTTGAAACTAGTCTCAACGTATGACGTCTCATTCGCTAATTGCAATAGATTCATGTTCAATTGGCTATCCCTTGCGTAGCCCATCAGCTGAGACATTCGTATACGCACTCCGCCAATGGCTAAAGATCTATAGAAAATCTAGAGAGGAGAATGACTCGGCAATGTTCCGATAGGGTGAAAACGCAATAGCAATCTATAGTGACAAGATCGAACAGCTAGCTCAAGCGAGTAAACGGGAGTTATCGTGGAGTGATATGGAGCTATTCCCATGGTAAGCAATTTCACATGCACGACTTTCACTTCTGGCGACTATAATACGGCAAATAAAAGGGGTAAAGTGAAGTAAATCTAAACGAAGTTCCATTTTTCTCCTGAATTGACCAGAATAAGTATATAAGCGTACATACGTACATCCAACTGACGTGCTTTCATAGGTCAGCTTCTAAGTCAGCCTAGCTCTTGAAGCAACGTGCAAACAAGCTTCTTATTAGGGCGTAGACATATAATAGACGCCGTATAACAGGACGACTTAATGTCATCCCCTGCCCACGTATGAGGTTACATTGAAGGGACACAACCTCCGTTTCGGAGTGTTGGTCGTATTGGCCAGCGGGCTCCTGGACGGTCTCGCTAGAATTTCCCGAGGCCGATCCCGAGGCCGAAAAGCCAGACCTCTTTTTTAATCCATCGACCAACGGCAACCCTTGGAACTTCCTACGCCCCGCACTCAGCTCCGAGCAGGCCGCTCGTAAAAATACCTAGAATAGCTAGGAAGCTTTTTTCCTTTTCTTATCATGTAATGCGGCTCTGCTGCTTCCTCCCCGCACCTATGGAAGGACATCAGTGGACTGTTCGGATGTGCATCCGGTCTCGATATAAATATCGTAAATCGCTAGCTCGGGAAACGATTCCGATCCTCTACCGTCTCACCTACATATTTTTATGATTCTCTCAACATTGAATATATCGAGGGCACGTGGGAAGCTGTACTGCTTCAATCAATACGTCACTCTACATTCCAGCTCGTAAAGATACATCCCGATTTACAAAGGCAGCTGAGCCTCGAAACAAATCTTGTTAACAACTCAACGTCACCTTATCAACGAGCGGGAGAAGGCGACGCCGACAAACCGTCAAGATGGGCCAGCCAAAGATTCAGATCTCAGAGGTAAGTCAGGCATTTCTCTGACTCGCTTTCTTTCTTACCTCGAAAGGAGGCCTCCTCTTTCTGTCTGTCTCACTTTCACACATTCTCATGGAACCACGTAACCCCCTCATCTTCACTTGCCGACCAAAAACTCACGCACGCACCCCTTCAAGCTCTACATCTACCCCATCAAATCGCTGCGCCCCCTCTCGGTCCCGGCAGCACAGCTTCGCCGCGAGGGTCTACGTCACGACCGCCGCTTCATGCTGCTGAAGGACGAGGGCGGAGGGCGGTACAAGAACATCCAGACGGCGTACTTCCCGGAGTGCACGTTGTTCCACCAGACCCTGGACGACGACCACATCGTTGTCACCTACCGGATCCCGAGCACTCCCTTATTCCCTCCCACACCAGAGCAGCGGGGTGAGCTGCGCGTGCCCCTGTACCCGGCCTACGACGAGTCGGACGTCGTCGGAATCAAGCTGTTCGGCAGCGAGACGACCGCGTTTCGCGTGCGCGAGCCCTACGACGCCTGGTTCTCCTCGTGCTTCGGGTACCCCGTCATCCTCGTGTACATCGGCGAGAACCGGCGTCGCGTGCTGGCGCACTCGCCCCCCGCGCCGCCGCGCCCAACCAAGTCCTGGTTGGCCACCGTCGCCTCGTACGTTCCATTCACACAACAGTGGCCGCCTTCGCCAGAAGATGAAGGTGGCACGGATGAAGAAAAACCCGACGGTGGCCTGACATTCAACGAGGCGGCGCCGTTCCTAGTAACGTCGAAGGCGTCGCTGCGCGACGTCAGCGCGCGGCTGCCCGAGGGCGAGGAGATGGACATGATCAAATTCCGGCCCAACATCGTGGTGGACCTCGTGCCTGACGACCAATCGCCTCCGTCTCCGCCCCTCACTCCCACCAGCACCAACGACGCGGAAGAAGGGTCAAAGGGGGAAGAAGGATGTCAGCCCACCATCACCACCACTCTGAAAGCCTGGGACGAGGACTTCTGGTCCGAGCTGCTGATCGGGGGCTCGCACCGGCTGGCGCTGACGGCCAACTGCGCGCGCTGCGTCTCGATCAACATCGACTACGGCACGGGGCGCCCGGGCACGGGCGAGTCCGGCTCCATCCTCAAGGCGCTTATGAGGGACCGCCGCGTGGACGCCGGAAACAAGTGGTCGCCCATCTTCGGACGCTATGCCTTCCTGCTGCCCCCTGCCACCGCCACAAGGACGAACGGTGCTGGCGGCGGGAAACCGCTAGGCGACGATGAAGACGACGACGAAGAAGGCGATGATGATGATGATGATGAAGACCTGGTCGCTGACGTCGCCGTGGGTGACGAGGTCCAGGTGACCCGGCGTATCAGCTCGCGAGACGTGTGGGCCTGGCCGAAGTGAAGCCGCGCCCCCAGCCCAGTTCGTCCCGCCGTACGGCCGGCGGCGGGCCGAGAGCGAGAAAAGAGCCTCGTCAATTTCCCTTTTTCGTTTCTTTGCCAGTCCCATTCTACAAAATCTTGGAAACGGGCCACGATGAGCTCGAGCCAAACATCGCATATCCGCGGAACCGAAAGGGGGAAGAAGAAGAAAACCAAGGAAAAAAGGTAAAAGTAGGCGAGGGATCGCCGGATGGAGCCAGCGATTCCCCCTTATGGCGTCAGCCGGCAGCAGGCCTATCCTATCCTACGCTCTCTCGCACACCTATGCTTAGCTAGCTGTACATACGTACCTTATACATACATACCTCATACCTACCTACCTATCTACAACACGCACCAAACCCACAGCCCACCGACAACACGAGCCCTGCCAGCTGTCACCGACGTATCTGGGCATTCGTCCAATCCACCCTTCTTACGTACGAGGCGAAGGGGGGTGGGGGGTTGGGGTAGAGAGATCAGGTACAGGTATAGCTAATAGGTATAAGGTATAGGTCCACGGTGTAAAGTAAGGTATGTAGTTATCCCCCGACCGGATCGCGATCGAGTTACATCCGGCCGACGGGGGGGCCAAACAAATCTCGCATCTCGGGCAGATAGAAGGGAAGACCCGTTCGATACCGGGCTGCGGGTAGCGAGGTGAGGCGAGGCGAGGCGAGGGTTAAAAAAAAAAGGGCCAAGGAAAAGGAAAAAGAAAAAGAGAGAAAAAAAAAAGCTTGGTCGTACCATCGAGTAATGAGGAGTAGCGAGTTATCTCGCGAGAAGAACCTAAAGCGGCAACGACCAGGTTTTATCAAAGTTAATCATGACAATGATGAAATCAGAGTATGTATGGAGGTACCTATATGCGTATGCATGCAATGTGCGTATGTCATGCGTGCGTGCGCGCGCGCAGATCCATCCATACAAAATGCACGATGAACGATGTATGTACGATATACGATGCGATTGTACGATAGAAGCAGAAAAGGAACGAGGCCGAGAATTCCTCCATCTCCCCCAATCGCTCTTCTCCCCCCCACACGGTCGAAAAAGCAAGCCCGTCAAGGCGAGCTTTGGGGCTTGTTGGCTTGCTGCTGTGTCCCCCCAACGCGGTCTGCCGTGTGTCTACCGTGTACAAACGGCATATGAAAAGCGCGGCCCCTTCCCAGGTCCCCAACCTTTCCAACGAACAAGCACCCAATACATGTTCCAAGACGTTCCAGAAACCGACGGGACCTTGCAGGACTGCCGCGTGTGCGAAAACGCGTGTCCCCACGTTGCACAACCTTTGTAGTAGGGTGCGTAGGGGGCGTAGGTAGCCCTGCCTAACTTCAGCTTCTTCGTTGGGCCGCACGCAGCAGCCTCAACTTTGACTTCATACCTTACCTTACCTGACCTGACTTGACCTGAGCACGACCCGGCGTGAGCCAGACCAAACCAAAACCAAACACGCGCGAGTGGACGAGTACACCTAGCAAAACCTGCAACGTGGCATCGAAGCCCGACCTCTTGGGCCTATCTGTCCGAAACCAACGAAAAATCTCTTTTCTCTATCTGGTAGTAAGGTAATAAACATGATTGAGGTATTGGTTGTACTTGCGTACTGGGTTTCTCTTGCCATAATTTCCTTTTTTTTGTTTTCCCTTCGCGCCGGACAAGAAAAAAGCATCGCGTAAAAAGGGAGAATAGGAAGTACGAGTCCGAGGTTAGAAGGAAGTCTGCTCGCGTACTGTGTTGCCGTGAGGAGAGTGACTTTTCCTTGCGTCCGTGGCGCCCTCATTTTGTACGAGATAATAAGAAAAGGGACAGTGAAACCAGATCCATCGTAAATACACAATACAACCATTTCTAATCCCCGAATCCTGCAATCGTGAGAATTTTTTTTCCATTGACCGTTCACATTGTCCCATTGTACATTCAAGGAAAAGGAAACAGATCTATGACGTGAAAACGCCGACCCAATGGGCAGTGCTGAGATTCCTGCACGCCCCAGAACTCCGAAAAAGACCGTACAGAGAAACGGGGAAATTTAGGCGACTCGACGCTCCGTGGGATGGGAGGGCACCTAAGCTTCCAGCAACAAATACAGTGTTTATGGGTGTACACGAAGGAAATCATAACTATGAATGCCGTCAAACAAGGCTAAGGTGTACCGCGTACAGCCTGTGACAACGGTGTAACACTTGGTCGAGAAAGTGATCTATCTCATCGGGATCTCGACGATTGGACCGGGATGCGCTGTGGCTCGACGAGTGGCTGAAGAAGCAGGGAAGGGGACTGTGAAAATGCCATTGAAAGGACAACGGTCCAGGCCAATAGGATCTATTTTGCCTGTCGTGGCCACGACCTGCAGGATCTTAGCGTCCACTGACAAGGGGACCCCGCGCCAACTTCCGGAATGTCGATGGGCAATTGCGTTTCGAGAAACTTTTTTTTTTCTTGTCGGGGGTGTCGTAAAAACTCATTTTTTCCCCGATGTAAATCCCAACCCATGACGCCGGATGAAGAGGTTCCCTCCAATTGAAAAAAAGTGAAGCTCGGCTTTGAAAGAGCCGAGACCGTGGGAATTTTGTGCTAAATTGGGGGCCATATTAACACTCTGTCCATCTCGTTTGTCATATTTAAAGAATAGATGATGACATGAGACTTGATAGATAAGTTTATCGAGCTTACCTCAATGGAAAAATCAGTGACAACAGCGCAGCCCGGTCCGGGTCCCCCGTGCTTAGCAGCTGTGTACGCATGCCCGGCACGTGTGGAGCTTGCAGTATCGACACTCGAAAATCCACCAGTGCGGACCCGAATGACACATATGGCAGGTCCATTGGATGAGAGTGCTGTCCGACTTCAGCATCTTGAAAGAGTGTGCGCAGTTGTTTCCCACTGCCATGTTTGCGAGATATGGTCAAGGATGTGTGCCTTAGCTGAATTTCCGAATGCCGGGGTAATAGTGAGTACCAGACGGCTGGATGTGGCGGCGGTTTTGCTTAGTCTACCCTAAGTGACGGGTCAGCCATACGATTCAGTTTTCATACGGTCTACAAGTGCGGTATTAGTGTTGTGGAACACTTACAGAGAGATGAGCAAGGAAGTGGTGTGGACTAGTAGTCGATCTAGTGTGATGACTGTTGGTGGCTGTAATCTGTGAAGACTGGTTTGCGTATACTGCCTGCGGAGAAGGGGCAGGAGAAGGAGAGAGATGGATTGCGTGAAAGTATACGTGAGAGTATATGTGAGAGTAAGTGAGAGAGTGTGTGAGAGAAACTATCGAGGAAGGGAGGCTCGAGATATGAAGGGGAGACAGGCGTTAAATAGCCAGTCCGCAGGTTACAAGTCAACGGGTGACCTTGAGGTCCAAACAGAATGTTGGGTTGTCTTTGATTTTTGTTTGCCAAATGTGGGTTTGGGAAACGGGAGGAAGAATCAGAATAAGGAGGCTGTTTGTAGTTGTAGGGCTGGCGAGAATCTGGCAGATTAGGCGAGGCGGAATGGATGTTTTTGTATCAAAAGGTGAAACCAGACGGACAACAGGCGGTAAAAGCCTAGATAATATAATAAAATAAAATAAAAAATAAAATGAAATAAAAGAAATGTGATGTGTAACTACTCGTTCGTAGGGGACGTCGTTGCAGGCATGACATGGAGTTCGTTTTCAGGGAGGCTCAAATACTATGTGAGTAAGTACAGTCGAGAGTCTCATCGACGACGTCTAACCCTGTCCTATGACGATTGTCACGATTGTCGGTACTGCTCCCGCCTGGTCCATAGTAGGTAACTCGGCAGACTACCAGACACCCTAGGGATGGTAGGGGCTAGTAGCTTAGTTGGTAACCTTCCAGAGGTAGGGGATTGGGAAAAGATGGAAACGGAGCTTGGGACCTGGGACTTCGGACTTGAATCTTGGGTGAGTTGGACGACTTGGGTGACTCGGGCGGCTTGGGTGAGATGATTAACAACATTAGACAGGAGTCGGGGTGGGAACTTGGAACTCTGGCATGTCGTCCGAGAATCGATGACAAGGGCAGAAGTAGTCCATGTAAAATGCTAAGTGTGGATTTTGTCGAAGAGCGATCAATCTTCTGCGACATGGGCATGATGCGGTTTTGACTTTCTCGACTATTGCGATTTCCCACTTCCAATTAACCTTAATACTTAATACCTAACACGCTTTAGTACATTATGTAGTAGCTTTTAGTATACATAGTACCTGGATATTCGTCAAGGATGTACATTTATACCTAGCACCGACACAGCAAGCACCTAGACTAGCCTGGCCTAGCCATCAATTAGTATGTATCCATATAGCATGGGATGTGGATTTGGGTTTGGCGTGTATCTAGGTACCTGCGTATATACACACCCGCATTTAATTGTACATAGGATATTAATATTCGATGTTCACTTTGGCAGGTACCTCCACTGCGTACACACATGCGTACATGCGTCCAGTATGTACTTTCCTACATACATACATACGTACTACACGTCTACTTTAGGTAGGTTAGAGGGTAACTGCCTGAACGGGGACCGTGTCAGACTTTTTTTTTTCTTCGAGTGTCGGCTTGAAACTTCCTACCTATTATGCAAGTCGAACTACTAACTAATAAATAACAGCATTTGAACTAGGTAGGTAGGCGATGCATTGCAGCTATGTGATGTATGAGTATATGCAGTATGACAAAGTACCCGGTCGTTTTTGTATGTTGCTGGATTTTGTAAGGTTGTAAGGTTGTAATGTGGGTCAAAGAAATATATATAAAATAACACAAGATAAACGAATGGTTGATTTTGGCTGTGTGTATGTATTGAATTGTATTGGAGTTTATTTTTACTCTAGCGAATGTACTAGCGAGGAGAAATAATTTAATAAAAATGATCAAGCAATAGGATTTGAAAGCGAGTGACGAACCACAACGCTTCTTTTGGGAATAAGGGCCTAGGCACTGTCTTTTCAGTCCGCATGGGGTATGACACGACATGGAACGACAACGGCTTTGCTTGAAGGTTGTGGATTTCAATTTAGTCAATTAATTTTTTTCTATTGCCTCTTTTTCCTTGTTTTTCTCGATCTCTTCATATGGAATGTCGCCATTATCCTCTCTGTCTGGGCTGACTACCTGCAGAACCAAGACCGGTTTGCCGTACGATGTAAGTTGAAGATAGATGCTAGTCGAGGGTCGAGGATCGGGGGGTTATGTACCCTTTACTTCTCTCAGGTTTCCATACCTCGGGGAGGTATGACCGTTCCCAAGGTCAAGGTCTGGGATTGGACAAGGTAAAGGCGTACAAAAAGGATTCCTGGAAACAATTTTTTCAATCGCGGTGAAAACCAGTCACAATCTGGAACTAAGCGGACGGCACATAGACGGAAACGTATTGGTCTTATCCTTCACCGGTCGGCCCTCGCCGCCTACCCCTACCCTACCTAAACTACAAAAATTGCCGAATCGGTTCCCAGAGAGGGCTTTACCGGTGACCATGTCTCTCCTCCTGGGTACCTCGCATAAAGTGCTCATATATATATGTATGTATGATGGTTTGAGCCTAGAAACGATATAGAATCTCAACCAAACACATAATATGTCTGGTTTCCCGCGTACGATCGGAGACAATCTAGTTCATCTAGTCCACATAGTTCCGCAGCACGTAGTAATAAGGCCAGGTAGGTCAGGGTCGTTGAGGCTACGGAGGCATGTACGTGTTTTGGGAAGCATTCGTGTGCAAGAGGCAGAACATTCAAGTTGGACCGGACAAGACGAAACTCTGGCGCGGTTCGCAATCACCGGCACGGTTCGCCAAGTCCACGATTGTCCATGTCTAAATCCTGAATGCTGCCGTCATCTATTGGCTGCTCAACTGACGCAGTTCATCACTTGGTTATATAATAACCCTCTCTATACCCACACAGCGTCGCCTCGAGAACGGGTCCGGGGGTTGCATTACGCGCGGGTGTAAGTGATCATGTATCCGTAAGTAATAGGCATAGCGTGTTAAGGTAGTTTCTTTGAAGGGAACATCCCGATGTGCTACCTGAGGGCGCATCAGCTCGATTTTACATGCGTGCAAGATCTGACTGCGACACGAGGTTCACCGTGAGTGACATACATACCCTATCTACTTAGGTAGTATATGAATGCTTCCGTGATACTTCGGAGTTATGGTTAGTCGGTATCAGTAAGAACTAGGGGCCCCTTCAGACCAACTACCCGCCGGGGTAGGCGGGGATTATGTAAGCGTCAAGAGGGATTTACAAAGTAAGAATCAGGATATAACTAGGCTCGAAGAACCCGAATGTCTGGTTTAGCACTTTACTATGTAGGTACTGTAAGTAAGTATAGGTAAGTAGTGTAACATAAGAGACCGAGGATAATCGTAGGCCTATTGGATGGAAATATTTTATAGCTGACTAAATTAAAAACATTTGGTGTAAGAATCTTACATATTGCGTTTTTTTCTTTCTTTTAATTACTCCATAATGGGTAGCGAATTAAGGGATCCCACCATCTTGGCCTGGACTTAATCATGTGAAGGAAAGGGAATGTATGTGTAATGTACTTATCTGCCTAGGTAGGTAATCTTGTAATACAGCATCGCGAGCAACTTCCCTTTGGCTAGACGAGGGCGGACGAGTCGACTACCCACCTAGGTATGTGTAGTGTAATAGGTAATAAGAACTTGGAGCGATGAGATGGCGATGATAAGAATTGACGATCCTGACTGATAGTATGTACTGACTGATAGTTGTACAACCCGCGGGTATTTAAGGCTTCCCGCAACGCGCGGGGTGATTTACAGACCGAGAACCTCTGGATGAAACTTTAGGTTTGTAACGGGTACATTCGAAGGTAAATTTTACGGTCTTACAAAGCAGCTGCCAGGACAGGGACTTGCCTGTCAAAATCATTGATGCGCGAATGCGCAGTTACGTATGTACATATGTAATTAGTAATTAGGTACATCCCTACCTACATACCTAGGTACCTAATAGGCAATGCAACTTGAATTGATTTACCGTGCACCAGATTGACGTATCGCATAGGTACATTGATTGATAACGTATATGTAGCATATATGCAGGCAGAGCATCCTACCTTTTGAGGTGAATCGCATCCATTCAATGTTGCGTGGCATGACATAACATACTATATCGCCTTACCTACACCTGCTCTATTCTTCATGTCTGAGTCTGATACGTGCATAGATCCTCAGGTACGCAGAGGCACGAAATACATATGTAGGGTTGTATGACGGCGGCTGACAGGCTGCCAGCGTGTCATTGCCATCAGGTACCAACATAAAGGGACTACATGTACATGTCAGGACACGCAATTCTGGATTGGAACGTGTAGGAAGATTGAAGGTTGAGCAGCACTTACACGGGTCGCGGTTACGTCGAATCTCTTCTTTTTCCCTCCATCGGGAAACCTCGTGCCTGGCGCAATCTAGATGCAGCAGCAAGTCGACCCATGAGGGTACATTACCCGCAACTACTTTCTATTTTGAGCCTCCTGCACGCCTGCCGAATAGTCATTTTCTACCACACCCCTGAGCCATTGAACCTTGATTCGTCTAAGTTTGTTTAAAGTCAACCCAATCAAGGAATAAACTTTTAGCCGAGCTGTATTAGGCCTCCACCACGCGTCGTTCGACCTTCTCGCTGACTCCTCTTCAGAGTTGCCGTGACACCTCATACTTCATATTTAAGCAGGCCAAGCTGCACCGGAGCACCGCCTGGTGTCCATCGTCTCCCGTGTCTGCTTTAACGAAGTTTCTTATGGGCGTGTAGCTATACAAGAGTTTCCATGCTGCTTGTCAGGCTAAAACCGCCGTTGGGGTGCTTCTACTAATGCTACTAATACGAACCCGCCCCAACAACGCAAAGTGGACCAATTTCTTTAGTACTACATACAATTCCAAAGTCTTGCGCATATTCCACTTTTCAACCTAGAGATGGCAAATAGGAGGATTTCGACGCCATAGTTCCTGATCCTAGGTCATACGACAGAGTAAGCTCCGTATTCAGGCACTGCGAGAATTTTTTCAAATTACTACGTACGTGCTTCGCCCGGACTATCTAGGGGTCGCGAAACTCACGATCGATT